GTGAGGGTGTGTTAGATTTCAGCTGACTGCACTTTTAATGTTGGCATGAATGTATCAGGTAGATATAAGAGCCTCTAATCTGATCTGTTAGCAAGAAAAGCACGCCTCAATATTCTTTTTCAGACCTGCTGATGGAATGACAACATTACTCCCATGATCGTGTGTTTGCTGTATCGCCGACTAATCCAATCAGCTCTCTAATGGACTAAGCATAAGGGAACTTAATTGAAGAGAAAATGCAGAATCATACCACCTTAAACTCATAATCTGTTTACTGTGTCCATCCAGGTCCATTAAATAAAAATGTCTATATGGGTGTCTGTAAAAGGATAGATTGGCAGTAAGTAAGTGTAGGATAGTCACTTTGGCCAAGTTGGACAGGATGCAAGAACAGCAACACAGGCACAGACACATCACAAATGTGAGAAGCACTGAGGCCCAGAGAAGTGCTGCGCTGAAGGTGCTGAGACACTGCTGGGCACACTGGATCACAAAAGTGGTCCCGGTGTGAATTTGCTGCGATGATTTAATGTAACTGCTGAGTGATTCATGTGACAAATATGTGGCAGATGGTTATGTTTTCTCCATGATGTCAGGTTGCTGTTGTTACCAGTGCCAAATATGTAAAATAGAGATAATGTTAAGCAAGTTTGATTAAGGTACTTCCATCAGTTTAGACACCAAGCAGCTATCAGAGTAATGGCGGGTATGTAAGAAAACTTCTCATTTGAATGATTGATATCAATAATTAAACCAGTTTAAGGACAGATAATTCAACGTTAGCACATATGGTAGCATTTCGGAGAGCTCAGGATTGGAACAGATACCAAGAAACTAGAAATATAACTTTATTTCAAGTAGTTTTGCCCTAGGTATCATTTGAGTCAATTTCTCCGCCCATGGTTTATCTGAATGTTCTTCCTTGAGCTGCGTCACCCCATTGTAGTCTGTAATGGACTGGCTTGAGGTCTCACTACAAACAAGTGGCTGCTGGAAAAGAGTAGGTGAGTTGTGTTTAGTCTCTTTGCTAAAGAAATTACGCAAAGTTAAGAAGATGTTTGGTGGCTAGTGCTGTGGCTGGGACCCTATATGTCTGTTGATGCAGTTAGGTGCTGTTCTGAGTGTTATTTGTGGTGTTTCAGTGTTTGACCCTAAACCAATTTTATGCCGGAATATCCCTTTAAAGTTCATTTGGAGGCAACTGAGTATGTGCAACATTTGTCATGACTATTTTTGAAGAGTAAATGAACTGTACCATAAATGTCTCTCTCAACCACATGCCCTCAAATTTATCTTAATAGAATAAAAATGTTGAGGTCTTTTACAGTATAGCCCCCATTTAAAGGGCTGAATCTTCAGTTGTTTTCTTGATCATCTTAGACCTCAGAGATCGAAAATGTTTTTTTGAGTTTTGTGTGCATCTGAGAAATAATAAGATGACAAAGACGACGGGCGAATACTTGACCAGAGGAAACAATAGACTTCCATTTACTACAACTGTCGCATTCTTGCTCACAATGCTACCTTTCTGTTTTAAAAAGCACACACACACACGCACGCACGTACGCACGCACGTACGCACACACACACAAAACATTCCTTTTAGAGACATACTTCAACTTACCTCTCTCTAAACTTACATGCAAGAACACATACAAACACCTGTCTGTGCTGGTGGATCCTCTCTTTGGTTGCCAGGGAAACAGCAGGACATAAAGCATTGGAACGAGGGGTTCAAAGATCTTCACTTCCTGGTGATGGATGAAGTCATAGGAAGGGTTTTACAACCATGAAATGAACATTTTCTTTTGCTTGACTCTGTGTTGAATGCACAGCCATTCTATTGAATGAGTGCTGACAAGCTTTTCATTGCACAAAATCACATATTTTATAAATAGAGGCTTCCAGAGCAACACTTAACATTTCTGCAGCAAGGTTAAGAGATCAAAGATGTTGTTGCGATGGGAACAGTCTCCTGCTGATAGAACCAGGTGATATTTAAAGGGTTTATTATGATAGTGACAGGGTGGCTGACTGGTGTTCCACATAATCCTGGACTAGTGCATGATGGTGGCCAACCTTTGGAATCTGTCTGTCTGCCTCCTTTACTTGGAGGTCTGTTTTTAGCAGAAATATGAGCTGGACCTCTCCATGTAGAGGGAGCAAAAGTAAAGCAGAATAATTCCCAGACACTTGTCAAGCTGTCCTAAAGGTAACACATATCGAGCTAATCTTTCCTTTTGTGAGGTTTTGAAACTGTAAAGACAAGGCAGAGGATTAGATTGATAATCATTAGATGTCAACTTAAAGCCCCTGTAAGGAACTTTTGGATTATGTCAATCTTGGCGCCCCCTGTGGACAAAGCAGTCTTTGCTTACCTTGTCCACTACACATGCTAGAATGGTGATTTATTACAACAAACCTCATCTTGTTGACTTTTGACTGTCAAATCTATTACTCATGAATAATTTACAAAGCTGTTTCTTCAGCGCAAGGCTCACACCGGGTTCAGATAACAAATATAAGGGTACACAAATTGTAGGTCTTGTTGCCGATGGTCTTCTTTGTTTTTGTATATCATTCAAAGGCGCCAACATGATTCTCAGTTACTTTCATGAACATCAAAAAACTCTTTGTAAGAGCTTTACTGAAATTGGAGTCGACATGTAACTGGAAGTCTTTAACAAAATATCAGTAGATGTGAGGATCCTTGAAGTTGGACAAAAAAAACCCCCACAAAACAAGATTTATAAAAGCGGAACATGTGTTTAAGTCGGTATAGCACATCTCAACTAAAGGGCTGTCTGGTTTGCATTAAATGATACTGATCACATTGCTATTGCTGTCTCAGCTCGGCCTTTGGAGCCCATTTCCCATAAACACCACTATGAGTCTGGTCTTTAAAGGTCTGCAGAAGACTTTTACTGTCTAAGTAGGTACGTTAACATGACACTTGAGAAAACAAAATTATTGCCTTACTCCGATTAAGACCGGACAACTGAAGTGCATGTAAACACCTTAGTCCGACTATAATCAGAGTTTGAGAACTCCAATTGGAGTCGGAGAACTCCGATTAAGACAACCAAATAATGCGATTGGAATTCGATTTTCTCTACCATGCAACCAGTGTAGTCAGAGTGCGCCACGCCTCCGTAACCCTGCAACAAAAACACCAGAGAAGAAGTGGCACTATCATTTAAAGAACTTTCTACTCAGAAGCAACTGCAACATGGCTGAAGCATGTAAGAATGTCCACTTTTGGAACGATGAGGAGAGTACTGTTATGCTTTCCCTCCTAAAATAAATGGAAAATTTTAAAGTATACGGACGGTCCAAACGAGGAACGGAGACATCTTCAAAAAAGGTCCAGAAACAGTGCAGCTGAAAAGACCCATATTGCCCCCTAGTTTTGGGGAGGAGGACACGTTCACGTCAATAATTCAATTTTCTCAGCTGCATGTATGCACAGACAAGGAGAGAAGTCCGATTTGGTGAAAAAAAAATGAATTATGAGCTTAGTCCGATTAAGCTGACTGTGTGATCATGAAACAGAATCAAATACTTCACACAGCTGTGTAATGAAATAAAATAAAATACAATATATATTATAAGCTTGACCCACTGTGCCCGGTGAGCCGGTCAGCGTCCCATTTTTGTGACTCGGCACACACATTTTTCTTTGAAAAGTGGTCAGCTGCATGTTATGTCATGTGTATTAAAAGAAGGCTTTGATGTAGGCTTTGTTCTTTTTCCAATGCCTCCTATCTCAACTAAATTTGAGGCATTGTTAAAATGTTTTTTTTTCCCCTGTTTTTACAGTTTGTACAGCTCTTGCTTCGCTTTTCATCACATCTGTTAAAAACTCTAAAACTTTCCTGCAGTAGTAGTCTTGGCATCCTTTCTGTTGAAGTGGACTAAAAACATTTCAATTTTCATTTTCTCTAGGTCCTTCTCTGTCCTCAGCCCAGACAGCAATCCTGAAAACATTAAATGGTTTTCAAGAAAAATGGAGAGGGACTGAAATATGAGAGGGACAAAAGAGGAGCAGGGTAGAGTGTAAAAGAAAGCTATTGTACCAACTGTGTGGCTGGTGATCAATTAGTTTTTCAAAAAGTAACACTTTTGAAAAACCACAAAAATAGGTTGAAATAAAAATGAGCACACTGTATATGTATTTCAGTTTAATCTTAGCAGCAGTATTTTTAACACACCGGAGGCTGTTGAACCCTTGTTCAAGTTTCTGTTCAGTAATCAGAAAATCTAACCACTTTCTTAGGAAGCTCAGCCTCTTTCCACCACACCTTTTTCTCTGCTGCTTTGTTGCTGCTCTGCCTCTCTCTGCTGCATCTAGCATGTAGCTGCTCTGCCTCTTTCTGCCATTTGTTGCTGTTCTGCCCCTTTCTGCTCCACCCAGCATATAACTGCTCCAGCTCTTTCTGTTTCGCCTGGCATATTGCTGCTCTGCCCCTTGTTGATCTGCCTGGCATATTGCTGCTCTGTCTCTTTTTGCTCCGCTTGGCATATTGCTGCTCTGCATCTCTCTGCTGTCTATTGCTGCTCTACCCCTTTCTGCTCCACCCAGCATATTACTGCTCTAGCTCTTTCTGTTCCGCCTGACATATTGCTGCTCTGCCCCTTTCTTCTCTGTCTGCCATTCTTCGCTCCATAATAATTCAGTAAGCATTTTTTGGAACTTCTGACAAGTCATTTTTGAGTGACTTGTCAGAAGTCATAGAGAATTATTTTTTCGTTGGCCTATAAATGACAGAGGCATTACAGTTACTTACTGTTAGTCCAATACAAGTTTGAAGCAGCGTGTCGTAATTGTGTGTATCTATCACAGCAGAATGTTTATGTATCTTTTAAGGTAGAACACATAATCTAAATTACAAGAATTAATTGCAAAAGTTGTGCTTCTTTATCTACCCCTGCCCCATTGAAGAAAAACAGTATTGAAAATATTTCAGATGTAAAAACAGTGACTCAGAGAACATGAGAGCTATAATGTTATAGATATATACTTTATTAATTCTCTCTGATAAAATAAAATTACAAAATAATTTCAACCTCAAACGGCACTTTCCTTGTTCATAATTATTTAACGTATTGTTAATACATATATCATAATTGTCATGACGAATGAGAAGAATACTATAGTTTAGTAATATTAGATATCAGCTATAACTGCGTTTAATCATAATGGTAGAAAAGACTAAGCAATACAAAGCTAGGTTTCGTTAACAGCATACTATACAATATTCCAAGCGTATGTAATTCAGTATTCCGGCCACAGCATGTCGCTAAAAGACAGTTTTTGATATTGTCTCCAATGCAAGGGTAGGCTTGTCTCTTTTCCCATCATACCACTATGATTCCTCTAAGACGTGTCTTATTCTCTTTTTATGCTTGATTTATTTCACAAACAGCTCTCCCACCATGGCCATTTCTCCTTGTTAAGGTTGGTTTGTGTTCATCTGTCGTCCACTAGGATCTATTTGAAAGCAGTGAAGATCAGTCCATGTACAGCTCTGTAACAAGTCCATGCCCAGATTTTCACAGTTATTCCCTCAGAAATATTGTCAAGATATCTGCAACGCCCCCTGCTATCTTTTGTCCCCAGAGACAGCAGCGTTCCCTGCCTATTATTGAAGTCCATTTAAGAGAGAGCACTTTGGTTGTCGAGGTGTGTGTGTGTGTGTATGTGTGTGTGTATCGGTGTATGCCTGCATGTGTGTGGGTGTCCATTCCTGCTTCTGTTTGGCAGTTTAAGTGACTTAGCAAGCGAGAGTGTTTGAGTGTATTTCTTTACACAGGATACATTCATGATAACAGTGCGTTGTTTTGGGACAGCAAGCTTAAATAAGAATGGCAGTAAGTACAATCCTCTTCTTCCCTTTTGAGTGCAGAGGACACAACCATACACTGAAAAAATGTAACCACATCAACTCATAATAACAATCAAAGTAAGTTTGATTTTTACCGTCAATTAAATTCCCAATATAAAGCAATATTTGCGTTATTCTAACTACACATTTCTTTCAGAGAGTTTAAGCAAAAACAATACAGCTTATTGCCACTCCTAGTCATCCTCTGACTTCAGAATAAAAGAACAAACAGATCATTTATAATTTATGGCGAGTGTTTTAGCTCTTATTTTGACGGACTCCAGCAGACCTCTTGGCGAAGTAAATTAAATGACATACAAGGAAAAAAATAAAACTCCATCTTTAAATCTCTTAAATTCTCAGTCTGTTTTGTACTGTCATCTATTCTCATATTCATACACTATAAATTTTTCATTTTCTGTGATTTGTATGTATAATTTTCCAAGACTTTGACAGAATTTTATCAAACAAAATATATTCAGAGCTTATTTTAGTAAAGCAAATTCAGTTCATTTTAACTCAATTTATGTTGTAATTAAGTCCTGCTGTAGTTATTTGTGTTTATTTTCTCATGTGCTACTTCCACCGCACCACAAACAGATGTTGCAGTGACTCATATCCCTTGGTGTCATACTTACTTATTTCAACTTGATCTGTAATTTGTGTAGTTCACTGAACGGTTACAATCCTCCCGAGTGAGTGATTAAAATGTCACAACTATGCATTGTAAATCTAAACTACTGCAATAGCTCACAGCCACAAAAGAGAGCTCATTCGGATGAACATTTTTTTTTTTTTACAGTGCGTCAACATTACTTGGCAGTGCTGTGTTGTGATTGACAGTGCATTGAGTGCTTGGCAGTATAGGCTTTAGTATTATCTTGTGGGTTTTCTGCATTCATTCCTCTGTGTGGGTTTAATTAGGGCCTGCATTGTGAAAGATTGTGTATTAGGGTTTGTGCTGTGTTCACTTGTATTGCGTGGAGAAAGTTAGTTGCGCGCATGTGTGTGTGTGTGTGTGTGTGTGTGTATGTGTGAGTGCGTGTGCGATGCATGCCACTAGTTTTTTTTTTTTTTAAATATATATTGGTCATATTGATTGAACCTTCTGTTAAAGGGATGCTCGTTAACACACAATTAGCATTCAGATAGAAAATACATCATAAGGATAAAAAGTCATGGTCATTAATTCCTGATGAAGGGGGAGAGAGATTGGGAGAGGGGGAAGGAAAGAGAGAGATAGACAGATAGAGAGAGAATAAAAGGCCTTTTTCAGTAATTGGAGCTCTGAGTTCATATAATTATTCCTAGTTAGTTCTCCTCCCTCTCTACTTCCCCCTCCTCATCCTCTCTTCCTCCATTTCTCACCCTCTTGACGTCCTTCCTCCCCCTCACACCTTTTAGAGTCTCCATTTTATCATCTTCCCTCGTTAAGGAAAGCGCCCAAAAGTCCCCAACGTGTCTCATCATTCACACAGCCCCTCCATCTTAGTCCTATTATCCCTCCTCATGGTGCTGTTTTCGTCGCTCCGGCTCCAGAGGATCACCTCTCATTTCTCTCCCCCTCCTCCCTTCTTATTTTCTTTCCTTTAGTTTGAAGTAACAGGACTAGCCTGGCCTCTAGTCCTCCGTCCTCGTTCTCTCTTCATATTTGTCCTCTCCTGGTCCTCAGAGCCGTCCTCAGCAGCTAGAAGTGCAGGTATTGGGGTTGGGACTGACCTCCAGGCTGCCCTCAGGGCTCACAGGTGGAGGTGACAGGGGAGACTCCAAGGCCAGAGTAGTAACCTGGGAAGGGGGACTAACTGGAGATGTGACCTGGACTGGTGAAACTGGAGGTGGAGGACTTGTTAAAGAAGCAGCAGGGGACAGAGGAACCATAGCGGTTCCTAAACCACCACCATCCCCACCACCACCTCCCCTACCGTCCCTTGCATCTCTTTCCCGCAGCAAGTGGACCAAGGCGGCGTGCTGGGCGCTGAGGGTAGCAGAGAGATGTGCGGGTAGGGTGTTGAAGCCGGCGGTGAGCTGTTCCACCCGCTGCTCCAGGGACAGCATCTGGCGCTCCAAGTCCTCGCTGCGGTCATTGAGCTCTGACATGAGCTCATACATGACACTCTGCATCTGCGAGGAGAGAAGAAAAGATGACTCAGTGCACACAGAACACTTTGAACGAGAGAGACGGATAAACACGAGAACGATGAGGGTTGTTTTATTAAGGATATTATATTGTTTTTGGATTGAAAAAGAAACGAAAAGACAGGGATTAGTAAGAGCGAGAAACTACAGTGATGAAGAGGGCTGGTCGTGCAGCGAGGGAGGAGTGAGTGAGCGAGAGGAAAAATGTTGGAGAGGGAGTAGAAGCTGGAGGGAAGTCTCTGTGTGGGCGTTATAACGTTGTGTGAAGAAAGAGAGAAAGGAGAGAGAATGAAAGGAAGGCAGCAGAGTGTCCCTGCCTTGCACATCTTGGCCTCTGTAACCATGGCAAAATGCACAAGTGGCCAATCGAGATGAAGTCATTGAAATGGCGTAATTGCTAAATATTTGGTGCTGAAGGCATCGCCCCATGGAAGACCACGGATGCACGCAAACCCTCTTGATCTTCTTCTCCCTCTCTCTTTCTAGTATTTTTCGATAATCGCACACACACACACACACACATGCACACTCACAGACGTGTGCACTCACATTCTCACGCAGACACCCACACAGTTACAGAAAAACATGAGCACTCCCCTCCCTCTCTCCTCTCATATCCTCCTCGCTCTCTCACTCAGTCATCCCTGTTTTAACACTTGTTCTGGTTGCTAGGAAACGCAAAGCCACAGAAGCGGGCCGGTCAGTGCTCGAAGAGGGGAGGTGATATATTTTTGGGGGGTGAAGGCATTTTAGGATCACGTTATCAAGCGTCTTAAAAGTGTGTGATGAGTGAGTGTGTCTTACCTTTGAGAGGTCCACCAGCGTGTTGGCCTGGTCACTGAGTTTCCTCTGCTCCATTTTCACACTGCGTAATCTGTAAACAGACAGACACACAGATTACACAGACGTACACACTCATAAAGGTTGAAACCCTGTAAACACACCGTGGTCGGCCCTGAGATTTGATCCCTTAGGGTCCAGACAACAACACTGCGGAGGGGTCACCTTGCTTACCCCAGCCTAATGTCTACCTGAGGTGCGCAGGTGGATTTTAATGTCCAAACACAACCAAAACACAGTGCTCTATCAAACCCAGTATTTCTGTAATAAAACTGAAAATACGAATGAGATTATCAACATGGAGACGGCAGACCCAAAAGTAACAGAACATTTTTTATATCATATTTAATGTCTGGAACCTGCAGGAAAAAGGGGCCAATAGAGAAACAAACTGAGGCAAATAAAATGAGATAAAATAAAATGAAATGAATCATCGTCTACAGGGAGTGGATGACTCTCAAAACTCCCAAAATAATTATGAGCCATAGGTCTAATCTGTGATTTCATGCCACACAAGGGCAAGTCAACATTTCAGTGACTGGGATGATCCAACTGGGACACAACTTTGTATGCATAAAGATGAGCCTTAATTTAAATAACCCACTGAGCAACAGACGGCTATTAGACGTCTAGGTTTTTTTTTAAACCTAATTTCAACCGTCTAGATTCTGTATATTTTTAGACAGAATTTAAACGTCGCACTTTAACCCATTATTTAATAACTGATGCTTTGTTGCATAACTGATCTCCAAGTACTTAACCAAAATAATAAAGATAGCCATTGAGCAATATTCAGTGTAGTATAGATATAGCCCAGATAAACTCAGTCTAAATTTATACGTCTAAAAAACGTTCATTTTTCGACCTGTGGTAGCCTGATTTTAGACCGGTCATCTAGGATAAAGTAAGAATTCAGATTTGGGCTAGATAATGAGATATACATGAATGCTTTCTCATTTTTATATACTTGTTGGGTCCAAAATTTTAAAAAGCCAATCTAATGTTATGACGCAGCATGTACTGTTTGAACCCTGCAGCTCCGCCATGTTCCTCGTCTCTCTCCTGCTGGGTTTACTCACTGTCTGGACTTATGACTCCATTTCAGTCAAATCTCTGTAATGTCCATGAGTTTCATAGCCAGGGAACTGTTCTTTCACTGTGTGCTATTTTCCCCCTAAAGCTCCAGCTGAAAGTCATTTCACATGGTCTACATTATTGAAGTTACTCGCCAGATATTATGGACCTCATCTCTCTACTCGCGCGCAGCAAACTACCCCAGTGGTGGTGCCATCTATCACTGCCTTGCATCAGGGAGGAGGCATTTAAAGCTCAGCAGAGAAAGCCTCGTGTCTTAGAGTGTCTCATACCCTCCACTTGAAAAAATAGTCATAGTTCAGTTTAGACTTTCTCTTTTTCACCCTGTGAAGTTAGTCTGGCACGGAGGAGGAGGAGGAGAGATACAAATGATAAAAGGAGCAACTGCAGGCAGGCACGTCTACTAATTCGTAACTGTCTTAGTCATGAAACAGACAAAAAAAGTTCATGGATTACAGTTTCTGATTCGTTATGAAGAAGGTTGTGGGATTCAGACAGTTTCAGAAAGTTTGCTTTAGAATAAAAATTATGAGAAAGAAAAGGATTGAAAAACACAGAAAAATTATGCAGTGTAAATGCTATATCAGAATTTAAACTTCATTATAGTATAAGAGGGTAGAAATATGTTTAATGTTAATCTATATGCCTCAAGTGAATCACTGTGATGCATTCAAAATAACTTCCTTTAAAGTTCATTTTTAATTTAATTTAATCAGTTTTTAACTTTCATTATAATAATCCAAGTACAAGCCACCCCCATGTTAAGTTTTCTATCTGATGCAAATGCAGATATATCGGTTACAGGCTACTTTAAATTCCCTTTCTAATGAAGACATCCACATTTCAATTTTACAAGTTTGAACCAGTAAAAGCATTTATAATTGCCTGATTCTTACTCTGTCACTTTGAGCGCAGAGTCAGCTGGTCCACATGCTTCAGGATTAGCCTTTTCGATGTCGCAATTAAAAGAGTCTTTGGTCCCTTGACTCTGTCTTTTGAAGACACTTGTTCTTAAAGTCTAGACTGAACCATTCAAGATCAAAGCGGCAGGCAACATAAAAGAGGGGCTCTGAATTGCGATGCCAGGCAGAATACACAATCTTTAAGTAAAATACCTTGAGACAGTCACCCCTGCAGTTATTTATACAATCATGAAACACAACTGAGCACAGAGGAAAAAAAATAGTAGAAAACTAGAATTAATTTCAGCTGTTTGTAGGGGAGACAGGGGATAACTGTAACACTATTTTCATTATAAGATTAATATACTAAAGCATTTGTTTGGATGGAGGACATCAGTAGCAAAGTCTTGAAAATACTTATTCACTCGCTAATGTTTGCTTTTTGTCCCAATAAGTACATTTAAAACATACTGTACAATAAAATGATCACTTTTTTCCATTTTTTTCCAGCTAGCTAAGCATGCTCACCTTTCTTACTTTCAAGTTAAGTTTATTTTGTCTAATTAGCACAAAAGTTCAGGACATGTGAAAACAAACACCTTAATGCCTCTAAATGATTTTTTTTCTCTTCAATAAATTCAGCTGTAAATTAGAGACTTTTAATCCACTGTGGGTGGAAAATCCAACGAAGCATGTGCAGTAGGAGAGCCACCTCTCTGGCAGTTTCGGAGGAACGGGACTAATTGTGGCTGTCTCTTGTTACAGCTCTCCCCAGTCTCCCCTATTAACAGCATCAACAACACTCCTAAGCACGGATAAAGATAATGATTAGAGAGTGTCTAATAGTACACAATGCACTGATTACTAAGTCCCACAACTGTATTTTCCTGTAGTGATCATGCCCTTTAGTACTTTAGGAGATTATGAATCATTTTGTGTGTCCCTCTGAGTATATGCGTGTGTGTGTGGAATCATGCACTTTATCTGATTATCAGTGTTGATTCAACCAGTGGGTGGACAGAAAGTACAGCTGATTTCAAAGGCTTTATGATCTCAGCGGCATGGTTGTGTGTGTGTGTGTGTGTGTGTGTGTGGGTGCATATAAGGTGCGTCCTCACTGATGTATCGCCTGGAGGAACTTCCTCTGGTGCTTGCGGACCCTGGAGTGGTCAATCTTCTTCATCAGCTTGGTGTGCTTGTAGATGAGCCAGGTTTCCCTTAGCACATTAGCTGCTGCATTCTTTATCTGCACCCAGACGAAAAGGAAAAAAAAACACACACATTACAAACATGCATTATAAGCAACAAGTAGCCCTTGGCAACTGGTTTAGGCAACAGGTTTATCCCTCTTTCCTCACCCTTTTCCATTATCTTCCTGAAAAGAAAAAAACAAACAAACAAACCACGGTTCTCATCTTTGAGGCTGCCCTCATTTTCTCTGTCTCTCTGTCTCTCTCTCTCTTTCTGCACACACCAGCTCACTTGCCAATGCTTTTCATAAACAGCTCTCTCCTCAGGGAGATTTGGCAATGAGAACCTAACAGGAGTCTCCCCCTCACACACTTCTCTCTCTCTCTCAGTCTGTCTTTATGCCACATTATATTCTAGACCAACTTAAATGGGCTGCATTATCTTGGCTGGTTGGAGCTAATTCGCAACAGTACCACCGTAGTTCATTAAAAGCGTTTAATTATGAAAGCAACTGAATTAAAACAAAATAGCATGAGTGGCTGCTCTTAAACTAGCTGACAAAGACAATCCCCATTCATGCAGAAGGTATGTTAGAGAAATAGTGTGTCTAATGATGCTCACAGATGGAAGTCTTAAAAGCTATTACAGTTAATGGAACAACGGTCATTTCTTTTTTTTTAGTTGTAGCTCCCAAATGGGAAATTTCTGCCATTTAATTAAATACCGATTTTTTTTTTTCTTCTTGGAATTTTAGTCATAAAGAGAAATTCCTACATGGTATCCTCAAATGCTCCAGTGTATTTCATATGGTGTTTATCTCTATAGGTTGACATGTAATTACAGCAGAGTCTGACACCTGGCTACAAGAAAAATGAGCGCAGGAGGATACCATGGAGAAAGAAAAAGAGAGGGAGAATCTGTAAGGACATAATTTGAAGGAGAGACATCAAAGAGATGCTGAGCACTGAACAAAGAACAATTATACCCCCGTCTGAGGAGCACAAAAGATCCCAGCAGCTTGGCTAATCAGCACCTATCTGCCACAGCCAAGGACTGCACACAAACACACACACGCTGACATGTACACGCATGAAGACTAACACAGTATCAGATGTAGATGAAGAAGGAGAGGAGGAGGAGAAGGAGGAGAAGAAGGAGGAGGAGGAGAAGGATCTGGGCTTTGCAGATGTGTTTTCAATCACACAGAAGAAGTCACACCAAAATGAGCTAATCCAACATGCCCTACATTACATGTGAGACCCCTTTTGAAGATTTAGTCACATGGTCAAATTGTCCCTTTGGTATGATGATGGTTAGCCTTCTGATTTCATTCACACTCCTACCTATCATGAAAACACATCAAAAATATGTAAATTTAGTCTGCAATGACTCCTAAGATTTGGATGTAAACCCATGTTTTTCTCTCCTGGTGTGTTCGAATAGAATTACAAAACTCTCACCCGTCTAAATATTGCAAGGACACGCAGTGACAGTGCTGCAAAGACGCTTAAGAGTAATTGTCAAAATAAGGCATCCTGTTTTTTTGGCCCTGCGGCGCTCATGTCAACACCACTGCTATTATCTTGATGGGTACGTTCCTTTTCTTCAGATGGTGTTTTAATATAAATTTTAAAGTCTGTTCCCACACTGATAGAGAGGACATTTTAGGGAAGAGGTTTATGTTTACATCAAATTCAGAATCTCAAGTTTTAATGATGAGCTGTGATACGGAAGAGCATATTAATAAACTGATACGTCATATCATGTTTATCAGCTGATTAATCACTGCAGGATAAGTGCAATATGATGAATGATGGCATGTTGTGCCTGTCTTGACGGTTTACTCTTAAGTTTCCACACAAACTTCCCACATCAGTCCAGCAGCGCAGAAGGAGTCTGATCTGCTACTCCAGGGCCTTTTAATTAAGCTTCACCCTTCATTTAAATCTTGGGAACCGCTCCACATGCAAATAACAGCGACTGATAATATCACACTGCAAAGACGGGAGCTCCATTAAAGAAAAAACAAAAAGGACTCGTACAGAACCGCTAATAATACTCCATGAGAAACCAAACGACAGCAGCGGCAGCCATTTTTGGACCATATGGTCTGTAGTTGGGCAACCATGGTGGGGCCATATGGCTGGTTAGGGTCAAAGATCTGTTCTGGCTGCTCTCCTACACAGCACACCTTATGGCAGGTACATGAGAAATCTGTTTAAACAAGGGGTTCCCACACCTCAGCATGTTGGGTGTTAGATGACATATTGTGGAGAATAAATCAATCAGTATAAATAGAAACATTTTAAGGATGTCATCACCACTGACAAAATCGCTACTAATTACAGTATATCAGTAAAGCATCTTGTACATTAGCATACTTGTATCAGAAATTAAAAACGAACCCTGCACTGTTTTCTTATAATTTACACAAAGCAAAGAATCATTTCCTGGTTTGTTTTTATGTCTTTTCATCACCATGGAGACGTTTTCTAACATTAAAGGAGGCACTGAGGCATCTGACCCCTGTGACCCTGGAGACAATTAATGACCTATTCATCAAAGAAGTAATTATGTGCTGGATTTGTAGCTGTTTTGGAGAAGAGCTGAAAATGTAAACAAACACGGTATGTATTTGTAACTTGGCAACAACCTCCCACCCCATGCGTGAGCCATGGTGACATGTAGCATTACCTCCTCTGACCTTCCCTTATAGGAACGGTGTCAGGTTGCACACTGAACACACACACTCACAAAGGCAGACACACACATATAAGTGGTCTCGCATTAATGAAAACAAAGTCGTCTACATGTAGACCCTGCTGCACTTTTGGATAGAGTCTTTTTCTTTATTTGTCTTGTCTCAATGTGGAATTAAACTTCTTATAATGTGACTTTTTTTTAATAAGAAATAAAGACACATTTCAGTTATTTGCTTGCAAAACAAAGTCAATAACCAGTCATTGTTTTCTTCTTTTCTAAACTCCATCGAGCAAATTAAGGTGTCAAAGACTCTTTGACAAAATGATGTAAAATGTGCTTTTACAAGTTTTAAAACTCTCCTGAATGCCTTTGGTAGTCGACACCCACCGCATACAGAGAAAGCAGGACAATCTTTATTTATCTGGCACATTTTATTCCACAGGTGGGAGCAAAACACGCTGAAGCTTGATACATCCAGACAGCGCTCTTAAAAGGGAAAAGCACACTCAGGTTCAATTGGTTAAAAGAAATAAACATCAGTGAGAAGTATGAAAGCATCTATTGAATGTTGTATTGATTTTTGCCCCAGTCACAATGCATCCACACTAATAAGGATCTATCTTGCTGGGGTGGAAATTATCAGGCTAGTGGAGTTTTTTTTTCCAGTGAAGAATACAAAAAAAAACAAAAAAAAAACTAGCTTATTAGTAATCTTTGGGGGTCATTTGGCTGGTGTTGTAAACATTGGAAGGCATAGCAGCACCTCCTCCTTAGCTTAAGCCAAGGGTGTACTCTGAATATTCAGAGAGGGCAAGGCACTGAATATGCCACAGGGACCCTGGGAAGCACTCTGAATTAACCACCGGTCCAGGGTGGAGGGAGAATACACAATCAGAGTGTGACTTAACAGGAAGAACTGTTTTTTCCACCTCTTAATAAGGTTGAGAAAATGAATAAAAACATAAAAAACTGACTCTAGTTGTCATATTTGTGGTAAGCTGGCTAATTGCCTCAGTAGCCCTTTTCACTGGATTGTACTCTTAGAAATCCCCCGGGCGTTATCCCAGCCTTAACTCTATTCGACCCTGTTTTTTTAAACTTCTTTTTAGCAGCTGAAAATCATGAAAAGCTCCTCAAACTGACCAAAGAAAAGGTGAGTCATGGAGTATTAAAGGTCTTCTTAAATACTTAAAGCATAGAGCCATAGTCTGCAGTGGCAATCACAATCTTTTAAACACATTTAAGACTGGTCCTGACTTCAAACATAAGCGCTTCAAATACCCGACACATGGCAGACTTAAAGGCTTTGTAAGTGTAATCGAATTAACATACATGTTAATCTAATAAAAGTGAGAACACTTCCATGAACACTGAATGAAAACTAAGCTTATGCATTAAACTTTACAAGTTTCAAAACCAAATGATCCTCCCCGATAAGATTTCAAAGGTCTTCCGCTTTCACTTCACACCTCACAAGACTTCAACCTCAGCCTTGTCAGACCCGTCCAAAAAATGGGATCTGAAGATGAAAGCCGAGAAAACCTCAGGAGGACAGAAAGTGACAGTCTGAAGTATGTTCAAAAATGTGTCACACAAGTGTCAGCACCAACATCAAGTTGTCTGAATAAATATAAAATGTGGGGTACACAGATGTCTACAGAAATGTTCCACCTGCAGTTTTACAGCTACAGGTATTGGTGAGCAAAAACAGCCAACACTTCCTATTCACATGTTTATAGAAAACGACGATATATTTAATGCAACAGTGTCCGCTTGCCAAGAGCTTCACTGACTATTTTATTAATATATGTTCGATGGAGGGGGACACAATTACACTGATTTCAAAAGACAGTGTGTGTGCTTTTTGTGTCCATCTGTGTGTTTGTGTGTGAACATGTGGTGGTGACAGGATGTAGGGTCTATAAATGCATAATTCATGATGAAGCCTTGAGTGATTGTATTTCCTTGTTACAATGATATGGCAGAGAATGGCCCCTGCCATGTAAATCAATGTGCATACAACAGCTTCAATCATTACTCTCTCAGTAATAGAGGGTGGGGGACAATTACCACCACATAAACCCAAGACCCTTTGAAGGAAATGTCACCCAGCGGTAGGCTGTAATACGTTGAATTTTAGTGCTGTACGGCACCTCCCTTAGCTGATGACTGGCATTGTTAAGACTTGATTTATTGGATTTAGAGGACCTCCACCTAGAAATATACAGTATTATCTTCTTCTTTACATTACAGCTGATGAGATATGATCACTTCTGCTTTTTTCCATCTTATGTTTTCAGTAGCGTTGGTTTGTTTGTTGGTTGGTTTGTTTGTTTTTCTGTTTGCAACTTTATGGATAAAGTAACAGACGGATTGACCTGAAATTTTCACCAGAGGTGCGTCTCAGCCCCAGGAGGATCTCATTAAATTTTGGTGGTGATCCGGATCGTCCTCTGGATCCAGGGAAGGATTCTTTATCATTGTGAGATAGGGCAAATTTTGGAATTTGGCCAGAGTCTTTAGTAAAAAATTACACAAAAGGATCTCAATGAGTTTTATGAGGTGTCAAAGGTTGATCCTGATCCAGACAAAATTCTGGATACTGTGATCCAGAACACACAAAAATAAGGGTGTCGTTGGAATTTTCAGTGCTGAAAGATAACCAATGGGCGGCACAGTGGTGTAGTGGTTAGCACTGTCGCCTCACAGCAAGAAGGTCCTGGGTTTGAATCCGGGTCAGGGCATTTCTTGTTTTAGGAACATTACGAACAGTGAACATACCAGTTTAAACACAAATAAAAGTTCATAAAAGACACGAAACAGTAAAAGTTTTGGTGTGAATCACAATATAAGGGGGGACATGAGCTGCTTGGCGGAGGTCTGCGCTCTCTACAAAGAAACTCTACAACCAGGAATTCGGTAAAGAGAGACGGCTATCAATGATTTCCAGCACACACTGTGAAACTTTGTCAATAAATAACATTGAGAATTTCCAAATTTATAATCTGATTCAAACACAAATCTGCCTCACAGCATGCACACACTGTAGCATTTCCATCAGAGCATGTCAGTTAATAACTTGTGTTCATTTTACTTCTCAGTGTAGATATCTGCTGAATGATAATGTGGGCTTAAATAACCCCGAACACTTAGTGGCACTATAAAATTCAATAAATCTGCCAAAGTTTGATGTTTTTGAGTTGCAAAGGACTACATTTTTCAGCCATACATTAAACAAAACACTTTTTTAATGGGTCTTTTTAAAATAAATGAAAAGAAGTATCATAGACTTTAGATTTTAGGTTATTTCTCTTCCCTTTTCAGCCCCACAAATAAGAACTACATCAGTTTTAAACTTTACATTGCTGTGGATCTTTGGACAGAAAGTGCTCCAGCAAATTGCATATAATTCTTGGCAGGCTGCTGTTTCTCAGCATTACATCAGCCTGTGCATCCTTCATCGCTCTCAGAGATAAAAAAGTTAAACCGAGTAAATATTTAAGTTATTTAGAAACTTACTTGGACACTGCCGCACACATAATGACCCCTGAGCTGTGATAGGTAACACAAAACCAGAACGTCTGGTTTCCTTGTATAAACTTACTCACAGTAGGCCAATAAATCAGAGTTTGCAATTTTTTTTAATCACATAAGCTACAGTTAATTAAACCTCTATGAGCTGACACATATCTAAATCACTCTGCATCCTACAGTAAGTTGTCTTTAAAGTCCCACTTTTTTTTTTGCTGTTCAAAGTTTCATTTTTTGAATTGTGATTATGAAGTTTTTTGCCAAAATCATGTTACCTGTTACCTGGGCTTTTCTTCTGCAGAGCTCCAGTAGTTCATTAGCAATTCACCTCTGAGTCGTGGGTGGAGACAGAGCTGCTCTGCACACTCCTCTTCATGCTAACTTGTAGCCTAACATTGCCGGTGCAGTACTATCAGAGTTATTCAGCTCTCGGACACTAATGTTTTTAGGGGTATGATGAGGAAAGCTTATATAATAATTAGCTTTCTTACTAGCACAGCAGTCCGCTAACACACACGCTTGTTCCGCAATCATCCTCTCTACTTCTCGAAGTCTGGCCTGCAGAGCGGGGCACAGGGGGCGGAGCTTAAAATTGTGACGTAGAAAATCCCACTGTGTCTGAACCATAGACTCTATATGTAGAATGGACAGCGTCTGCCTCCTTGCTGGGTGAAGCCACTCCAAGAACAGCACACCCTGGTGACGGGTTGCAGTGAAGGTCATAAACCCTGCCTCATCCAGCAAAGCTTAATTTATTACACAGAACATAAATCTTTGCGATTTTGACATTTAGTTATTGTAAGACTGGTTTGTGCTCAAGTCCTCTTTTTTTCTGTGCAGCTCCATTTTAAAAAGTTATTAGGGGGTTCATGTTTTCTATGATTGACACTTAATACAGCCTATGGGCGTACGAAGATTGCGTAGCTCACCCAGGAGATACACTGTTTAAGCCGAGCGTCATCACAGTGACTCTCGGCGACTCTCCCGCCGAATGCGCACAATGCTACTGCGCAATGTTGGTTTTAGGAAGTGGAGAAAAAATGAAGAATTATCGAGAGCTTAAGTATACGGCTTCAAATCTGTATACTGGCGGAAGGCAGAACCAAGTTGTCTATAGTATATACAGTCTATGGTCTGAACCTGCCGTTTGGGTCTGCCAGAGGTTCACAGCAATCTGAATAAAGAAATACTCTGAAAAACCATTTTGCACTTATTTTTCTCATGATGAGTCCTCAAGCATCAGAAAAATGCCATATAAACATGTAGACAACAAGAAAAACATGATTTTCAACAGAGTGGGTCTTTAACAGTAGAATTAAAAAGAGGATCTGTGTTCATTCACTCGCCTCTACAAAACAACTTGGAAAGAGCTGTATGTTGGTTATGGGGAATGCAGTTTACATCCCTGAAGAACAACCACTACCAATTTAGTCCAAATGGGTCACAAGAATTGCAGCTTTCCAGTCCTTTGCATGCAAAAACTCTCCCACGCACAAACACATGTGCGCACACACACACACATACAAACACACTGTCAAGGTGTTAAATGCCTTGTGAAAACACTCTGGTTGACCCGAACACAGCCTGCAGGAAGATGAAGTGAGTGAGTCTGACTGCAGCAGAGGGTCAATTCATCCTCTCTGTCGATATTTTATCAACGCTGAAATCATTGATCACCCTGCCCCTCTCAGTCACCCAGATACCCCCACTGACATAATGTACCCTACATATTTGATATGGGAGCTATTTCTGAAACCTGGGTCTTTCAACTTTATGAAAAATTGAAAAGGACCGGAGGAGAAAAGGGGATTGAGAGATAGAGGGAATGAGGCAGGGAGGGGGGCATGAGGATGAATGGAAGGAGTCCGCAAAGAAAAGAGAATGTGAAAAATAGAGAGAGAGGAAAGGGTTTACTTTAAGAGAGACAAATGTCAGAGAAGACAGGGGGTTGAGGGATGGTAATGTGCAAAGGAGGAAAAAGATCGGAGATGAAGAGAAGGAGAGACAGGAAGAGAGGATCAGAGAAGAGAAAGTGAGAAAGAGATGACCTTTTATTCCCTTCACTCACTCAAATAACACCTCACTCTGTCACAACAATACGGACTGATAGTAATTGGGGTGCCTGAAGGTGGGGCAGGAAAAGGACAAACCAGAACGCCAAGCACCTTCTGTACAACCTTCAAGTAATGCCAGAATAAAGACCAACATCCCCTATGGCACATAAAAACTGTACTTGTATAAATCACAGTTCTGTCTCGCAGAGAATGTGACCTTTCTTTTACAAATTATAGTTTTGTTTTATTCATGCGTGACACACTCATTCACACGGCCAACAAGCCTACACACCCTTTTTGTGAGCTGCGTGTCCATCATGAAGTTGTGTACGTGTTTCTCGGCCTTGGTCAGCTCCAGCTTCCTGGCTACCACAGCAACCACCAGAGCCGTACAACCAGCACCCTGTGAAAGAGAGAGAGAGAGAGAGAGAGGAAAGGAGGAGGAGAAAATAGAGCAATAAGTGAGTCAGTAAAGAATCGGTGGCTGTTGGTCCAGGGGAATTAGCCTGAATGATTGAAGGGAGAAAGGACAAATATAAGGAAAGGAAGCCACATAACAGAAGGAGAAGTGAATGGAGGAGGGAGGAGAGGATTAAGAAGGAAAAGCTCGGCTCCAGATCCACATTTCCTCATGTTGAGAGGCAAGCCAAGTCTATTTTCACTTCCAATCCATCTGGTGTGAGATCCCGTCTATATCGCCTCTATATGACGCTGAAAAAATAGGCCCCTTAAAGAGAAAACGGCACATCAAAGATTGACACCACCTCATTTAATTTAATTAGATGCTGTCAATCTGAATTACATGGTGTCAGTCTTCTGTCACCTGAGGCTCCAGGCCTGCAGAAAGTGTAAAAGTGTAAAAAAAGACTGGGCCGTTTTTTAGTGTTTTTCCAACTCTGCCCACATGGGACACATGGTGCAGTCACTTGGGAGAGACTGACAGCGGTCTCTCAAGCAGAAAGACATGCATGAGAGACAGTGAAGAGGAGCAGGAACACAGGGAGGAAGACAGACTTAATTAACTTTTAGATTAGACACTGTTTTCAACAGGGGTTTGAGTGCTCGCAGGGTCCTCTACAGAGGTAGGAAGGAAAATAAAGGGAGAAGGGAGGAAAAGATAAAAAGAGCAAAGGGTTATGGGTAAATAAAAAAATACTGAGGGAGTGGTTGGAGGAAGACGGAGAAGAAGGCGATGTTAATGAGGTCATATCTTCTGATAAGCAATGAATTAAGATTAAGAGTATTTAATGAAAATGTATGAGTGTTCCTTAATTCATGCGTGCAAGAGTGTGCATCTCACAGCAGGAGAGTCAAGAAGAGGAGATGTAGAGATATAGGAGGAGAGGAAAAAGTGAGGTCAAGAGGAAGAGCACAGAGGCATGCAACATTTTAAAGCGTATGTGGGAAATAACCAAGATTTCATCGTGCACGCACTGGAAACGATAAGGCAGCTTCCGCCTAAAATAACTTTGGCTGGAGTCAGTAAAATGTAACAAACAGGCACAAACGACATTAGTGCCCGCGTCGTCTATACACTCATCCACTCTATTTGTGTTTATTCACAAAGTATGAATAAAATATGATGAGAGCCGATGGAAAACCCTCAGAGCCTTCATACATGTCTGTGATCGAGGGGAAAATGAGCCTGTGCTGAGTTACAACAGCACAGTGTGTACATGTACAGAGCTATGGAAGTGTGCGCATGTATGTCCTCAGGATTGCCCTGTTTGGTCATAAACAGTAGGGTGCTGATTGGTTTGTCAAGATAAGCTATAAGTGTGTGAAATCTCGGTGTGGGTGTGCGCTCATGAGGGTTTGTTTGTGTATACGCCTGCTCTCATTTGATTTCAGCAGGGTCCTCTTTGCAAACTCCACAGAGTGACACGGCTGGTGATGGCTGTGCGCTGTGATTTGTTTTGTACGCCTGGGTGTTTCCCTTTCAGTGCAGCCATCAACGCTGCTGTCGGAAAAAATTGGGAATCACCCACTCCTGCAAACTCGTGATAAAAGTGCACTTTTTTGGGGGTCTCAAAGAAAAACAGGAGGAAGAAGTTTACCAAGCAGGTCAGCAGGGGCCCGAAGAAGAAAGGCTGGGAGATGTTAAAAATAAAAGAATGTAAATGTGATTAGTGTGCCCAGTACACAGAGACAAACAAAAGCACGGAAAGGGCTTGAAATAGCATCTACTCTGCATCTTGTTAACCCAAATGCAATGGCTCCCAGTATCTTTAAGGATTGATTTTAAAGTTTGTTTACTTGCTAACAAGGCTTGTAATTGTTTGGGATCAGCCTACATAACTTCTTTGTCATTTTAACATTTTTCATAACCTCCGAGATTCTCTGAGGCTTTTTAAAAATATGAACCCAAAGAGAATTTTGGCTGCTCTGCATTTTTTAATTTAGCATCACAATGTTTAAACTTTTCGATGCTGAAACCTGTTGGCTATCACACCTCTGGAGTTAATCGTCAGCTGAAGCAGTTGGTGCTAAACGACCAACTGTTTATGTCTGCAGTTAGACCAGCAACTTCAGGACCGAGACTGAAGTTAGTGTTGACATTTGACACAGAGCTGGCCCAAGCCTCAATGTGATTTTGGGGCCCTCTATTTCTGCCAATAATACTGATTGTTGATCATTCACACACCTTCACAAATCTCTATGATTAACATTCCCTGACATGCAAACATCTTCTTCTTCTTTCTTTTCTCTGCTCTTGAAGGATATGTCCTTTTTCGTGATATTGTTTTGCCCCACAACTACCTGCGCTTGGATGCTCAGTGCACATTGCACAGCAGGAGGCACATAACGGTAGCAGAGCTCTGACATATTGGCAGTAAGAATCATAGGCCTACATCAGCAGCAGCACTAAAATGTTTTTACTTTATTTTATTTTTACAGCAATATATATCTGATCATACTGAAAGCATCACTCATACATGCAAAAAATAAAAAATATTACTTTTTTTTTTTTTGCTCTTGGGGGCCCCCTACTGGCCGCGGGTCCCTAAGCAGGCGCTTAGTTCGCTTATGTCTTGGGCTGGCTCTGATTTGACGCCTACAAGAACAGGTGAAAAGCTTCACTTGCTGTTCATACTGCATTTACAATCTCCGTTTTATGGATGTTCTACAGTTAGTTGTCCCTAAAGTAAGAACTGAACTGGGCATGAAGGGTTTTAGGTTTTCAGCACCTAATACCCGGAATAAACTACAGCCTGAACTTTGCCTTCAAGCTCTTGTGACACTAAATGAATTTAAAACTATAGTGAAATCATTACAATCTACCTCATCCGTGTGTTAATGTTTTATGTGAGATTGTTTTAATGTTGAGATGCTGTGAATTTTATCTGTTGAAGGAATTATGCTGCTGCCTTCTTGGCCAGGTCTCCCTTGTAAAAGAGATCTGTAATCTTAATGGGACCAACCTGGTTAAACAGAGGCTAGATAAATAAAAATAAATAAATATTACTGTGTTTTGTGTTAAAAGCTTACTGTTGTCAGATGACCTCCTGTATCTTGAAAGGCAGACAGATATGATTATTGTGATAGTGATTCTTTGAGTCTGTAAAAAGAGGGTGTATTCTTGAATTTATACATTAAGGAAGAAAGTCTGCACATGTGCTGGTACTGAGTCTGTGCAGTCATGACTATCAAAGCAAAATGACCCAAGTGCCAACGTATGTAACTAATTCATAACAAATCAATAACTTTAACATAAAATGTATAGGTGGCTTACAGTAATGAGTGTGTTTGAACACTGCTGATGCATGTTTGAAACCAGTCTATACTTATAATTTTTAATGGTGAATGCAGATACAATAATTTTACTCTCTAAGGCTACGTTCACACTGCAGGATATAATGCACAGTTCAGATTTTTTGTTAAATCCGATCTTTTTGTGCGGTCGTTCACATTACAACAACGAATGCGGCATCTAATGTGAACAGAATGCGTCCGTGAAGTGACCCGCATGTGCACAAATTGCTTTCCGCGTCTGTTTGTGTTGTCAAACAATGGTGACGTTTGACGCATACTGATGATGTATAGGTCGGATGAACACGACCAGACTGCCGTCACATCGGACACATATCCGAGGCCTGGGTCAGAATTGAAAAAATTAACACTTCCTTAAAAAAATCAGACATGTGTCACATATGGTTAAAAAATCTGAATTGACCTGCAGTGTGAACATAGTCTAAGTGAATAAAACTCTACTTAAAAACGTCTGTTGTTCTGTGTGTAAATGTGTGAAGAATCTGTTGACAGAGGCAGATTTCCTGATGCATAAAGGTTTCATCAAAGTTTTCAAAATGTCGGTAAATAAAAATCTCTTTTGAACCATGACTGAGCATCAGCTGTACTCTCAGCTGCTTTTAAAGACTTCTTCAACAGGACAATGCTCACCTGGATATTTAGTTTTATCTAATGTTTTCTTGATTTACCTTCAGGTGCCTTTTTCAATTCCCTGCTAGGTCTCATTACTCAGTCTTGCATTTGTTGTATTTTGTTAGTTTTGTTTGATTAACCTGCTCTTTTTATTATCTACTTTCCCTCTCTCGCATTTACGTTTCCTTACGAGTGGAATCAATTACTACTTATTATTACTTGCAGTACATCAAAAGCCTGTGATAAATGGCAACACACACAAACACTAGTATACATGCATACTGCGACACTTCTGTAAAATGTACTGCATCTGGTTTGTTTGCAGATATACGGCATGTGGAGTGGTTATTAATAAACAGTACTTACTATGTTCACATTCATTAGATATTTATGAACTAATCTTCACTTATGGTTGCCCAAAGGAGGAGTTACATAAATATACTTTATCAGCATGCTACCAATTATACCATCCGTACAGTAAGTGGCTGTACATGTTTCTTACGGGGGTTAAAGCAAAGTGCACAGCAACATGAAGAAATGCAAATACACACAAATGAAGAATTTGATGTTATTTGTTATGTAAAGCATGAACCTTCAGCTTTTATATAAAGACAACATACAGTTCACTGGGTTTCAACATGTTAGTCTACCCTGCCACCATCCACCCACTCACAGGACACACAAACACACACATATACACACCGACACCTGGCACACCCCCGGCTAGCCTCGGGGCAGTGGTATATTCCAACAATGTTGGCCTTTATGTGTTGTCATAGTAACGATGTAGAGAATTCCTCCTATAGGAACTCATTATAATAATTTTCAAGTAAGGAAAAAAACAACAGATCCTTTCCTCTGTCCCCACCCTTTTTTTAACCCCCTTCTTCTTTCCTTTCTGACATCTTCGCTGCTTCTTTTCCCACGACCTGCCGGGCCTCGTCTTCCTCACAATCACAAGCTGAACCTTGCTCTTTCTGCCTGCATCCTCGCTCCTTTTCTGATGATCAACAAAAATAAACTACTCTGAACACTCTCTGAAGTGAGTGTGTGTGTGTGTGTGTGTGTGTGATGGAAGAGAAGAGTGTGTGTGGGAGTCAAAGTGAGAGTGTATGTCAAGCTCTGTGTCACTGTTTGTGTGGAGGATGCAGTCTGTAACTGTGGGCCTGGGACGTTCTGTATCCACCCGCTGTTTGTTTGTTTGTGTGTTTGTGTGTGCATGTGTGTGTGTGTGTGTGATAACATAACAGTGAGAGTTGTACTCTGTCTCAAACACCAATTGGATGATTCACCCAACAATCGAGGGTCTTTGTGTGTATGTGTCTTTGTGGGTGTGTGTGTTTATTCACACATTTAATGGACTATACAGTAAAGACAGTAGGTGAGCTGGCAAGAACAGAGAAGCAGACAGAGAGGATGAAAGAATACACACACAGGTTTTAGAGTTGTGAGGAAGTAACTAGCCAGAACTACAGACACCTAATTCATCTGTTGGATGAGTACGACTACTTCTGCAACTTTTAAAGGCACAGTTTCCTACACTGATTAAAGGTTTTTGTTGTTTGTTCATTTCTAAAATAGAACTAATGAGACGATTGTGGGAATTAAGGTCCTTTCACACTGGGAGCGTTTTTTTCGTGCGATTATTTCGAATGTCAATATCTTTTTTCAAACCCATATCCTGTCAAAACAAGCGTTCACATCAGTGATGTTTTCCCGTCCCGATATTGCGGCATTTATTTTTTCGTATCACAGTCGGATTTTCGCATACTGTGTGTCAGATTTCGTGTCGTTGTGACGTCAGATTCACCGGTATATCCAACATGGCCGACCAATGGCTGTGTTCAATGACTTTTTCTCTTGCTCAATGATAAACATTTTCTGCGCCTGACTTTGGTGTTCTTTTTCATGTAAAATAAATGAGAACAACGATAATGTTGTCCTTGTTTTATTAGCTGCTAAATCCACTGTGACATCTTACCCCATGTAGTGAGACAACTTACCTGATGGTGGGGCAACATGTCACATGTTCTCACTCTCTATTTGATTGCTTATAACTCTGCACTGACACAAGATATGAAAATGACATGAATACTATTTATATGTACGTGAGACTTTGGTCTTTTATCTGGTACACATGTTGATAATATATGATGTAATGATTTTGGGAAATATATGAGTGTAAAAAGTGTGACAACCAGCCCCGGTCTCCCCTACACTAACTCTGTCTTTAGCATCACAGCTGCTGCTTGACTTTTACACACTTATACAAAACACACTCAGCTCAGAGTAAAAGCACTATTTGCAGATTGTAGTCTAGAAAAAAACTATTCAGTGGCCTGTGCCTTTTACCACGACTCTTTTCATATCATACTGAGTAACCAAACTGATTTCATGACTTTTTGAAGGTTGCCCATAGAATGTAAAAGCCTCATCCTGAACAATCAGCCCTTTTTTATGATATGCATTTAACCTAGCCGTTTCCTGACAATGGTAATCACCTACAAAAGCTTGCCAAATGTATTGGACGAAAAATCTAGCTTAATTAAAACTGGGAAAGCTGAGGATACGTGATGCCAGAATGAGCGGAAAACAGAGCAGCACTCAGCAGTCTGTCTGCGAATACAGTCAGTGACCAGGCCGTTTAAAAAAACACAAAGTAAAGTACCTGAGTGGTTTCCATCTGGTCGGACCAAAACTCTGACTGCAGAGTTAATGAAGACATGGAGAAGTACCCAACCCAGGGTGCCTGACAGGGGGTCAAAACTGAGTTACACCTCCACTGAAAACTACTTGTTCAATTCATTCCAGGGTGACCGGCATGTTTAATAAGAGGATGGCAGCGTGGTTGCCCTGGAAACGATTGCCTTGTACTCCATCCAACTATTAACCATAATTCAACTCTCAGCATGATAGTTATAAGTAAAAACAGCTGGAGCTTGGGTTTAATGTTTCAATAATTTATATGACCACAATGGCTTCAGTTTCATTTACTTTCAGCGGCCAACATACACAAATATTAAAGAATATTATTGCCAATAGATAATAAAAAGCGACCTCGGCATCAGTCAGTAAATAAAACACATATTTCAAATGTGGTGACCATCTGGGTGACAATACTGTTTTGTAAGAATGACACACGCTGAAAATGAGGTTATGTGCATCAGATGGGTCTTGGATTTGGAAAAGTCATAGCGTTATGTAACTTGTTTGGAAAATGGCATTATTAGGTGAGCACTGAGCGCTCGACATGCCGTGACTTTTTGCTCTGTTGTCAAATGCAGCCTTTTAGTATTCACCATTCTCTCCTCTTCTTTGACAAGAAACATGCGGCAAATAAAGAGCAGAATTCTCAAGGGGCATTTTATCATAATACTTCCAGTCATTTTTCCTGACCTTATTACAAAGTAGTCATCCTTATTACAACATTTAGAGATTACTTGACATTCAGAGCAATTACAGATCTAATTTACTCGCATTTGAAAAGTTACTCACTTCTCCCAATTATTCAGAGCGGTGAATGTTAAAGTTGATGCTCAAAACAAAAAGACATCTTGATTTGAGGCACAAAAAAAGGTCACTATGACAAAAAGAAAGACAGCAATAAGAGTGCAAGCACAAAAGAAGGAAAGAGAGGTAAAAAACCACCTGTGAAGTGAAGCAAAAAGAGGAACAGTCGGTGGGTAAAAAAGTGATACTAACAGATGGACGTTAAAGGGAAACAAACACATGGCCTCAGGGATGGAGAGACAGACAGAGAGAAAGAGAGAGAGAGAGAGAGAGAGATGGATAGAGGGAGATAGAGAGGCAGTTAGTGCTACATAAAGAAAATGAAATACAGAGAGAGAAAGGGAGGGAAACAGAGAGTGGGAGGACATGGCACACTGAAAGGTGGGACCTTCATTATGCAATGAGGACAGTCAAGGGAATAACACACACACACACACACACATACACACACAAACAAGTAGCATGCTCATGTTTGCACGCCTACACACCCAAAACACACAGAAGCACAGATGCAGGCTAATTCAGGGAGGATTGCCCAAATCACACAAATGGCTGAATTTCTCCTGCAAATGACAGCAAGCTCTCTAATCGGGTGACCTTTGGATGAAGTGAGGACAGCACCGAGAGAGAGGGAGGATGGGGGTAGAGATGGGGGAGGAGAGGGGAGATAAATATACTGACCATGATTCCTGTGAGTAGACAAACTCCTTTGCCACAATAGGTATGGGGGACCATGTCTCCATAGCCGATGGACAAGAATGTGATGGAGATAAGCCACATCGCCCCTAGGAAATTACTGGTCACATCCTGAGCATCATGATACCTGAAGAATATGCGTGAACAGAGGATAGAGTCAATACACGGTTGGAGAACAACAACGGCAGTATAAAAGCTGCATAACTGACCCACTGTTTCCTTTCTGCAAACATGGGAGCGTCAAACATGCTTTGATTTCTCATGACAGAACAAAACACAAAACTGCCTCCATCATTCCAGCCCTATGCACAACACTGTTGCCATAGTTACCAAACCTGGTGCTCCTCTGGAAGAAAGTTTAATCTTCAAAAGCCACTACATAACATTTTTGGAAATGTTTGGCTTCCAAGTTCCACGTTCATAATAATAGATGTATCTGCATGGAGACCGATAGTTTAAAATGCCTTCCAAGACAAGTATTTTAAAATTTGCACCATGTTTGAAGAGATTTAACTAAATTTAATGAGATTTTTTCATCTGATAATCTGTTTTGAGAGAAGAGGAATCGCCGACTTAATTTGGATGTTGACCAAACAATGATTTCCCAGCAGCCTGGTACTGATTGGTTAATCAAGCTTGTTAAAACTGAAAAACACTTCCTGTTATTTCCTTGATTACTTTTTGCAGGATCTACTCATTAGATTTGGGACGTTTCTCTTTCCTGTATTGATGATATGAGAATCGTGCATGAGTTCCTCAGGTGCCTATTTGTCGTTATCGATGAGCTGTCATAGGACTATAACTAACAGGTTATCACATGAATGTGGTCCATGAACCGAGGCTGTCTGAAACCACATACTTTTATACAATTCATACCAAGAACGGCATCACTTTGAGTATGTAATATGTTCTGAATACATGATATGCAACATTTCTACATGTGAGAAATGCCTGGAAGAATGTCAGATTGGCCCAAATGTTTGATCAAAATGGATAGACTGTATATAAGATGGACGCCGTCTGTCTCCTCGCCGGGTGAAGCCACTCCGAGAACAGCACCCCCTAGAGCCTGGCTGCAGTACAAGTCGTAAACCCCACTTCTGCCAGCAAAGTGAATGGAGCGGCGGATGGCCTTTAGAAATTAATTACGCAGAAAATACACTTTTCTCACCCCCGACTGCGATGTTGACATATAGTGATTATTAGACTGGTTTGTGTTCAGGTCTTTTTTTCTCTCTGCAGCTCCATTTTAAAAAGTTATTAGGAGTTATAAAAACAGGAAATTGCGTCATTCTCTACACTTTGCACTTGCCGCTTGTGCGTCGCTCTTTTCCGTTCATCGTCAAGACCAATCAGGTTTGCTAGCAGAGAAGAGGATTTAATTTTTCCATCGTTTTTCTCTTTTGTTGCATTGGAAAAATGAGTTGTTCTGTAGTAAACTGTGTTAACCGACATGTGACATGACCGCTGACACATTTCACATTATATTAGGAGAAGTGGAACTTACTTATTCTTGGTCAAAACGTCTGCGTACAACGCTACTGCGCAGCTCTGGTTTCAAGGAAGTGGAGAAAAACCCGGAATTACGGAGAGCTTTTTGGCTTCAAATCTGTATACAGGCGGAAGGCGGAACCAGGCTGTCCATCTTATATACAGTCTATGTCAAAATGCATTTCAGCTATTTGAGCAATCGAACCGTCTGAAAGTCAGCAACCAGCAGTGTACGTACAAACAAATACTTGAATGACTATGTATGTATGCTTCATAACAAACAACTGCACACGAGCTTTGCCATCATACCTCAAACCAGAGATACGACAAGATTGATAAGGTCACATGACACGGAAAGGACGTGCATTAATATGTCGTTATTGGTGATCTGTCAGATTATTGGGCAGTATGCAGTATGTGTTGTATGAGTATGTAATATGCTAGTTTGTCATTTCAGACCCCCGCCCAGCTCGGTTGCTGACCTCTCACACACTCGTACGGTCCAGGCAGCGATGATCCACAGAGAGATGCTGAAGACCAGCAGCACCGTCCCGGGGCAGATAGTCATGAGGGTTTTCATTACAAATCGTGTGTTAAAATGTACCTGCAATACACACACACACGTAAAATACTCACACACAGTATAGCAGAAGTGCTAAGTGACACATTTATCACAGTATTTCAAGCTTTAGCTCTGAATCCTCATCCTGTAACAGGATGTTTCCCACACAGATTTGAGGTTTCACTAATTAGTCTTCAGAGAAGCTTCTGATAGCTCCGATAGCGACAGCACTCTGTGAATTTCCACCGTAATTGGAGTCAGGATCGGGGCTCGCCCTCCGACACAGGTCAAGCTTTATAGTGTGTTTGAGTAATTGGCCTATTTTGGAGTCCAGGGCTCATTTGTCCTCAACTTCTATCAGGTGGATGAGTGGGACCCCGGAAGGGTTAAGCAGCTGAAAAATGAGTGGTCATATTAGAGCTTCTCTATAATGGTAACTTCACCTCTCTGTCTGTTACTGTAGCCTGAGGGTCAGAGTGGTGTTATCGCTGATAAAGTCACAACCTTCTCTATAACTCATTTCAAACACACACTGTCCTCTTCCTCTTCATAGTTTGCCGACATCCTACATCACAGTACATCTTCACTTTCTGCTTTTCCACTAATATTTATCATTTGAAGTCATTTCGAACCTGCCTCCGATCATTTATTGCACGGCTTGTAGACATTTCTCCCTGCACTCGTGCTGCAATCTCACTTGTGTGCTCTCTTTTCATGGCCCATTTGAGCCGTACGCAATATCTTGTTCTCATTTCACGCTCCCATCTCGTATTGTATTATGAGAGATCCACCAAAAGCTTACATCTAAGTCTCCCAACAAAAGAGGAGGAAGGGGATTTGAACTAGTCGATGAAAAGAAACAGGGTGAGTATAGGGACGGAGCTGAAGGAAGGATTGTTCGAGGGATAGAGGTTAGGAATGAAAGGGACCGGGCAGACACAGATTTAATTCAGAGCAGAGAGCCCTTGACCTTAATAACTCCCTCTTCTCTGTCTGGTTGAAGATTTAACCACCACAATCCTGAAAGCACACTACACATACGCAAACCCTCTCTGACCTTATTTAGGGCGCCTATACTCCTGGAGGAGGCGTCGGTGAAGAGTTTGCTGTGTAGAAGCATAACTCTGGCAATGAGGTAGAGGCGCAGGAACATCGGCACGCTTAGCACCATGTCCAGGTCAGCCTCGGCTTGCGACGGCGCGTATGAGAAGGCAAGCCGCGCCCGCCACTGGAACTTAAAGTCCCCCGGCACAGGATGCACCGCAGACACCAGCAGCTCCAGAGCGATGAGCAGAACCCTCTCCATGGTCATGGCGATGCGCCAGTCGTCGGCTCCGTTGTCGATGACGAACAGCTGCGGGGACAGGAAGGAGATGAGAGGAGGTTGAAATAGAAAAGGAGTTACACTTGTTTTAAAGCGTCAAAGAGCAAACTTCTCATCATGAATCTCTGCTGGCACATCTCAATATCGGACTCAACGGATGATTAAAGGAACCAGCAGCAATTTAGCGTGAATGTCTCTTTCCTGAGATGTAAAACACCAACCATCTAATCAGCAATCTATTCAGACAGTCACTGTGGTGTGGCTCGTTTTCATGTAACGTAAAACTTTTAACTGAAACGACTTCAAAGATTCTCCTCCTGAGAAAAACAGGTCCCTGGTTATAATAAGCGCAATATTTCCCCATAAAAAGATCACTGTATTTAACCACACAATGCTATTTAAATTGCAGTTTCCCCTCCCTCCATGTGGATGTTTTGTATCGTTAATTGCTGTATTTACTCTTTAAATTGTCCCCGAAGCTGTTGTTATAAGAAAGTGGTAAAAGCAGGTTTCATTACAGGGACCCTCCTCCAGACTGTGCTGACAGGAACTGAGGGTGTTAAGCGTGAGTGGGGGTGCAGGTGGTGGTGGTGGGTTGGAGGGGTTTGGAAGGAGATAGATGAAGTGCAGAGGAAATGAAGAGATAAAGATAGGAACAGAGAAATGTCATGGAGAGGAGGACACTGCAAAAAAAACACTCTTAATCTTTTGGGTCAATTTGAACTGGTGAAGAATGATACTCCTGAGCGAGGGGATTTTCTACCGCTGCGAGATTTCTGAGTCTTTTCCTCGCACAAAGATTCTCTCATCTTTTAAAAACAAAAGTGTGTTTTCTATCAACGCGTGGTGAGATTTTGCAGTGAGATTGCATGTCTCAATATGAAATCTCAAATCCCAAAGCAGCGCCTTGAAACAGAGAGAGAAACGAGGAATCCCCCTGCAGTAGATGCAGAAGAGTTTCACCTGCAGAAACAGCTGGCGCTAACCGTCGCTCTTTAACCACATGATTCATCTCGAGGGCTTTTATCCCACACAAACATTTATTTAGGGTGACAAAAAAAAAAACTCCACAACAGGTCAAGCATGAGAACAAACACTGGCAGGCGGCTGTCATGATGGAGGCAGACAGAAGCGTCCTCCACCACCTATGGACACACACACACACACACATTTCTCTCCATCATTATCTACATCCAGCTCAGCAGGATGCGCGTTTTCTTCTACTGTAACATGTGGACACGTATGTGGTCAACAAGTGGACACACACGTATGTAGTCTACGCACACACCTGAGTCATTCTGTAAAAATATCTAATGATTTCACCAAGTAAGTTTGTGTGTGTGTGTGTGTGTGTGTGTGTGTGTGTGTGTGTGTGTGCGTGTGTGTGTACTGTACTCCTGTGTATTTGTGTATGCCTGAGCGAGTTTCAGCAAGAGTGTGCAGACCCAGCCTCGTCATGGTGACTGTTGCCAAGGCGACAACATCAAAGAGCAGCCGAGCTTAATTAGGATCCCCAGCGAGAGAGAGAGAGAGAGAGAGGGAAGGAGAGAGAGAGAGAGGAAGAAAGAGGGAAGGAAGGTGAGGGGAAGAGTAGGAAGAGGCAGGAGGTAAAGAGTCAAAAAAGAGAGAGAGAGAGATACAAGAAGAGTTGGGAGGAAGACAGAAAGGAGAGGAGAAAAGAGAGAGAGAGAGGAGTGTGTGACAGCGGTATAGAGAGGAAAATGACTGACACTCGTGTTGCCTGCGTGCACTCGGAGGATGCTCGGTGTGAGTTTTTGTATTTTCAGGTCAAAAACGGCGTCACATTATGGGGAGAAATTGTTTGTTCTCATAAGTGAACACTCAGAAATAATGGTTCAGGGTGAAGTCAGATTTAAGCTCTTACAGTTGATTCATTGTGCTCAGGATGCACCAACATTAGTTCCTCTGTGTGTGTTCGATTCAGCCACAGAGCAGGGCACCAAACTGTGTTTATCTTCATTCATTTTTTTTCCTCACTGTTTCTCTAATCCTCTGTTCCCTCCCTCCACACATCCCTCACTCTCTATCCTCCTCTTTTTGAATGACATCTTCCCAAATCAAAACTGAGCATATTCAGTTAAGCGCCTCTCCCTTCTTCCTCGTTTACCTCTGCTACTTTTCTTCCCTCTCCTCCTTGCCCTGTCCTTTACTGCGCTCCTGCTGCCGGTCTTTTCCTGGCTAAATCGCCATGAGGAAGGGATAAATTATTAAATTCCATTAGGAGAGTAATCTGTCAATGGGAGTGAGTGAGTGCCACTGCCCCTACATGGACCAGAAGGAGAGGAAGAGGAAGAAATCCACTCTCTATCAGGGCAGAACACGGGAGGTCAGAGAACAGCAAGGCTAAACAAACTTAGACGCAGCAAACGAGCCCGAAGGGGAAAAAATGAACAAGGGCATGAAAAATAAATCCTCCTCTGTTATTCTCTTAATTTTAACTAAATGTGGCATCGCAGGGCAGAGGGCAGGAACAAGGAACAGCGACAGAGAGCGGACAGGACAGAAGGAGGGCAGAAGAGAGAGAGAGAGAGAGAGAGAGAGAGAGAGAGAAAGAGGAAAAACAAACAGCAGGACAGCTGGAGAGAAGAGAGACCGAAAAAAACAGAAAAGGATAAATGTGTGAAAATGACAGCCCCAAAGATGTGAGGTCACCTCACAGGTGAAAGTGTGAGGTCTGGGAGGACACTCTGCACCTTGCACCCCCCCATCTGCTACATCTGCAACCTGCTCCAAGAGTTTGTCACCTCTCATCTCTCCTCCTGAGCCAGCCATCTCTCTATCCATTCTTCAACCCCTCACAATCCCCGCGGCCATCGTACCTCTGTAATCATGTTAAGTCCCTGATTGCAGATGTCTCTCATCACGGAAACCAGACACAGGGCTGGCCAGACTCTGTTTGAGCAGGCGAGTAAGCAAGTGGGACATGCAGGGGGAGATTGTACATTCACACACTCACAATCAGGCCCTGTCAAATCCAGCCTCTAAATACAAAATAGATACATCCAAATCAGCCTCAAGTCGGCGTTTCCCAAAGGAGGGAGAAAGACTGAAGCCCAGTCTGGGACAGAGATGGAGTCAGTTACAGAGCGAAGACCGAACATACAAATGCCTGGGTCATACAGCATGGAAATTCTGGCAGAAAATGAGTGTGGTGAGCCAAACGCTCACACAAGCACAGGCTCACACACCTAGATATACAAGAATATGCATAAATGAAGGGAACACCCCCTGTGGCGTTTTTTTTACAGTCGACAGGGGAGGAAGGTAAGAAGATGCAAATAGATGTGTTGGGAAGTGTGTGAGATGAGGGAAGGTTCACGGGTTTTTCTGGTGTGTGTGTGTGCGTGTGTGTGATGTTGCCTAGTTTTCTGCTAGAAAAGTCTAAAAACAGCAACTCAGAGTAAAGAGAGGATTCCACCGTTGGTATCTAGAGACCGGGGATCTCCCTCATTCAAAACAAATAGGAAAAAACAAACTAGGCTACTTAAAAATGCCAGAGGCTGGCATGGAACAAAACGCATATAATTAATTAACATTTCCAGGAAACAGTGAGTGAAAGGCTCCTTTCATGTCTTGGGAGGAAGCTGTGGTTTTCCTCACTGTGTTTTCTCTGGGCGGATGTACATTATGCAGAATCTGCAGAACAAAACACATCATGAAAGGACTGTCCAAGTGTTATCCACGCAGATCTTAAAGAAGAAAACCCTTTCTACTTGCTCTATTTTGCTAATATTGTGTGCCTGCCTGTGAGTGCCAAGCTGGTGTCTTCCTGATCAATGGACTGCTGCAAAAATCCTCCCAAAGTAACTGAATAACACAGTTCACTAATGCTTAAAGTGCACTAATGGACTGGAGAAATATCTCTTTCTCGCACGCTCTCTCCGAGTTTCTATTTGATTAATTTCAAACAATTCAATTTTTGTGGCTTTCGAGTCTGCATTTCTTTACTTGATAAAAAGAAAGCTTTCTTTTTTGACTGCTCTGTTTCTTGTTGCTTGGAAATGAAAAGTTTGCATACATGTGTGATGATGGCAGATTAGTGAGTCATGGACGTCCCCGAACACTACATGAAACACACACAAAGTTGGTGCTGTCCGCCTGTACTTCGAGATATACTGGGATTTTTGAGCACACATTCAGCCTGGTTTTTGAATCGATGAATCATTTATCCTTTGATTAACCACTAAAACTGCGGTTCATCATGATAGCTCTCTTCGGAGCGAGTGTTTTTCTTGATCCATCATTGGCAAAACCATTGATAATTCAACCCTCGGTTTCCATCATTCCTGACCAATCAATGTTAATTCAAACTAATGGTGTACAGATTGAACAGTCAATCACAGCAATCTCTAAACGCCTCCTGTGTTCATGTGGTGAAAAATAATCTCTGCTTTACTTTTCAACAATGAGAGTTTTTTTTTTTTTATAGGACTGTTCAAAAGACCGTCACAAGGAATGATAATTGTAGGTGACTCATCGAGCAATCTCGGACTGAAATTAAGAAATAAAAGAGAATAGAAGAAGGATCAAAAGGACAGTAATGAAAGTCTGACAGCAAAGAAAAAAGCACAATATTGATCGATGTTGTGTCAGAGATCGGGTGCCAAAACACTCAATGCGTGATTTCTCTGGTTTTCAGTCTATTTCACTCTTATTGAATGTTCAGTTCAATCACACCAGCTTGTCTGACACAAAGATTCCTACAGTAGGTACAATAACTGACTAAATGATCCGTCACAGTCCAGCAGCACGGTGGTAAATTGGAAGTAACCATGGTAACCGCTTTAAAGTGTGTCCCCTCTTGATTGTAATGACAATGGCTCGTCTCCTTAGTGTTTTATAACTGGTTATCAAAATGTTGTGAAAAAAAGAAAAAAAATCAGAGACAAGGACAGAGGTGGAAAAAAATGAGCATCCAAAATATTTTACGGTTGTTATGAGAAGAACATACAAAAACAAACTGCACAAACAATGAATGTAGCCACAGTGTTATGACCCACTGCTTTCTTTGCACATGGATTTCTATAGGGCGGCTGCTTCGACTAGGTTACCATTAAGTGAAAATGTTTAGAGGAGCAGGTAGTGGTGCTGAACAGTGTATCAGAAAAGTAACAAAGGGATACTGCTATAGGCCAAAACAGCAGCCTGCTTCTTTAGGCGCCATCTTCTGGGTTGTTATACTGTGACACAATACAGCCTCTCTGTACTTTATACTAGTATACTGATAGCATCAGCTAGGACTGGGCAATATGGTAAAAAGTTTATCACGATATATTTTATTCATATCAGTCAATATCAATATATATCATGATATAAAAAATGAAATTAAACAGTGCTTAATGGTAGCATTTTTTTTGCAGTACAATAAGCTACTGCATCTGTGAGGTCTTCGTGTCTCTTCGATGTTTTGTCAATGGACGTTGCGCTAGAGAAAGCGGACTGTATGGTCAGCTGTTTCAGCTGTACAGGCGCCATGGGCTCCTTGCCCCGCTCGGGGTTTGTAACCTTCTGCACTGTGTGTGCTCTGCCGCATGGCACTGCTTTAGGTGGTGAAGAAGATTTGAGGTATTTCCCGACTTTGCAAGAACATGAACTCAACATAATTTACTCTGCTTCATGTCTGACCTCAAAAAAACAAAATACCTCCACACCACCGACATTTTCTTGCCACTGTTGACGACGATGTCATCATCTGTTGAACCTTCATCTTCATCACTCATTTTCCTTTTTTCTCATCGACAGTGCTGTTGGCTTCACGTGTTAAAGTGCTATGGTTGTGTGTAGTTACAGCCTGCTACTACACAGTTCTTTGCTACTTGGTTCTAATTCATGATTGGTTCATTGTGAAGTGGACCCAGAGCAACTCCCCTGTTCATTGGCTATTCATTTAATCTACTAAGAATGCTGACTATCGAAAAGCATATTGACCATGTTTTAGATTGATAGTAAGGGAAATTAATTTTTATCATTTTATCACCCAGCCCTAGCACCAGCATAGAGAGGAAAGCTCACTCTTTAGGTGACAAAAAAAGCATTAAATAGAAGAATAATACACTGATTTTTATGGGGGAAAAACACTCAGGAAAGAGTGTTAAGATACTTAATAAAACACCACACTACAGAATGTGAATCTGTGGACACTAACTTTTCTGTTTAAAGCTGAAAGTATCCCTGACTGACCTAGAATAAAACGTCATATATTTTTCACTGAGCAGGAACCAGCAGGGTCCGAAGACCACTTGCAGTCCAATCATGTACTTTAATGCAAATTGCACAGCAGAGGTGGAAAAAACAGATATGACCCACCAGGAACCACCTGAAAAGGTACTTGAGAACAGCTTTTTTTTTCCTTTTTTGCCTCAGTGTGAACCATAATCAGGACAAGGAAATGCTGAGTATTGCAGCTGTCAAAGAGGGAAAAGCCAAAAGAAAAACTGGTCCCATTCAACTTCAGAGTTTAAAGAGTTTCAGTTAAATACATTTCAGTCAACTGATGAAAGCCCCCGTGTTTTAATTATTCTTTGATATCATGACGTGGGTGTTGGGATGACATTTCTGGGAAAAAAAATATCAAGTAGCGCCTGGTTTCTGGCAGCAGTTGGTCAGCCAAAGAAAATAGACAGGAGGAGTGTATCTCTTTTTTTTTGGTTTCTGTTAAACTGCCAGAAAACAGTAACTATGATAGAATAAACAAAGACACACTGATAATGTATCTATAATGCGATAGTAAAACTTCTAAATCAAAGGTTTATATTTATGTAGGATTAATGCAGTCAGTGTTTGAATGTGAATCTGTTATGCAAAAACTTGATTAAACTTAAAAGTCTTTAAACCCGGTGATTGAATGATGAAAATCTGACTGTATTGGAGGAACAATATGTTCGGCTCCAGTTGGGACTCTGGCTGAATTTTGTACAAGTTTAAGGAAGAAGTTTTAGATTAGTTGATCAAATACCTGTCGAAGAACATTGAGGAGAACCTAACAGACTTGACAGGTTGACAAGATAGCTATGGTAGAAAACTATTGGAATAAAGACGGTGAAAATCTAACATTTGAAGGTTTTAAGAGAAAATGCCCCTGTGTAATGGGATTGGCAATGTTTGGTAATACGAAAATGTTTGTTACAGCGAAAGAATTGTCATTTTTTAAGTCGAGTTTTTATTGAAAATAAGCAGAAATAACTGAGCTGCATCAGCGTGCCTCTCATAGACTAGACTAGAATAGACGCCGTCTGCCTCATTGCTGGGTGAAACCACCCCGAGAACAGCACCCTCTGGTGACAGGCTGCAGTATAGGTCATAAATCCCGCCTCCTCCAGCAAAGCTCATAGTGCTGTGGACAAACTTTAGAAATTTATTACATAGAATATACATTTTTCTCCCCCCTGGTTGTGATGTTGACATGTAGTTACTGTCAGACTGGTTTGTGCTCAAGTCCTCTTTTTTCTGTGACGCTCCAAGTTATCAGGGGGTTCATGTTTTCCATGATTGACACTACACAAGATTGTGTAGCTTGCCCGGGAGATACACTGTTTGAGCCGAGCGTCATCACAGCGACTCTCCCGCCAAATGCGTACAATGCTACTGCACAAGTGGTGAAGTGCGTACAAATCTACTGCGCAATGTTGGTTTCAGGAAATGGAGAAAAAATGTGGAGTAACAGAGCACTTTTCAGCTTTAAATCCGTATACTAGCTGAAGGCGGAACCAAGTTGTCCACAGTATATACAGTCTATGGTGCCTCTACACAGCAACAAAGCACTGGTTCTTATGTAAAATATTACTTTCCCCCACCATTGTCACCCAAACTATAGCAATAAAAATAACTTTTCTGATACTTGATCATAATGGATACACCAACCTTCAATTATTTCTCCTCCACATAAAAACTAATTATAATCAATAATTAATAAAAAGGCAAATTTTCATTCAATTCATTCAATTTTCATCCAATTTTATTTTAATCTCTGATGAATTTTAGAAAAGTCTAGATTGATCGCTTTTCTTCAGTTCATGCTGAGCACAATAGGTTTTGGGGATCCTATGACAGATCAGAAGAGACAGTGAAGATGCAGAGAGAAGAGGAAGAGGACCAGGGGTGAGATCAAAAGGCAAAATGAGGGCGTGAGGGTTTTGTAGAGGTCGAGTCATGCTGGCGAATGTTAAAGTACAACAGGGGAAGGGTAAAGAGGTGAGAAGTTGAATGCTGAGTTATAAGCAGAGAAAGGAGTGAAGAAGAAGAAAAAGGATGTGAAACTCAAAAACAAAATTGAATTGAAGCCCAGAGGAGAGGAGGGAGACAGATCTAATCCGATAAGCAAGGAGAGAGAGGAAGAAAAAAAAGAAAGAAAAAGAGAAGCACGCTGATGGTGTTAACAAAACGTACTTTGAGATAAAAGACACGAGACAGGAGAGAAAAATGGATATCAGTCGAAGAGAAAGGCAGAGAAGGTGGATTTATGTCTGCTAAATCAGATAACATCACTCAGATCTGTGCACGACTCTGCCTCCTCAAAATTCTGTGCAAATGCATATATGCTGTGTTTGTGTGTCTATGTGTGCATAATATCCTCTTTTGTTGCCCTGGGAAGGATGTGTTGCAATCAGAGAAAAAGATCTTCATTGAACAATGTCCTTCATTTTGCAAAGCACTATTCTTCTGTTTGTGTGTATGGACCACGCGACAGAGGAAGACACAAACAAACTGCCACATCTGATGCAACTCATGCATATGAGCAAACAGGCCAGGCGCCAGCAGGCAGGTACTGACTAATAAACCTAACATGCATGTAATACAACATGTATGGTTTCAGGTGTAGCCCGTATGCTGTAGATGAAAGCACTTTTACGTCTTGTTCACGCACTGCTGCACAAGAAACAGAACAAGATTTGTCCCCATCGACCAGAACAAATCTTTGTTTTATAGGCTTCTGTTTATCCAATGATTAAAAAAGAGGATGTAAAGAGTTAATTGGGAAGCTTAAAGTTCAAACTTGATTGAATTCTGATGGAGACAAGCTCGCTGTTTACTGTTGCTGGGAAAGGACTGGGAAAGAACAAGTCACGCAACACTGCCTACGCCGCTTCTTGTTTATTGCTGTTGGCATGTCAGTGCTAACAAGCGTCAGTAGCAGGTAGCTTTCTACTTAGCAAAAGTTGTGTAAAGCATCAAAAATGATATCTGGAGGAGGGATTTTAATGAAGGGCTAGAAATCTCTCCCTAAATACACATGAATCAGAATCAGATTTACTTAGAATAAGATTACTTTGCCTCCATATGTACATTAAACGAAATATTACAAAAACTACTATAAGGATTACAAGTATCTATGAGCTTAAATGAGACATTAAACTTATATATAAGTTACAGTCGTGCAATAGTGCAATGACGTGGAGTGTTGTGAAAGTGGAGAGTGGTTGAGAGAAAAAATACATGTCATTATAGTACATGAAGTAAATATACAATTGTTTTACAGTATTGGCATTAAAAATAAATATTTATTTTATTTTATTTATTTAGCACAGATTAAAAACAATGCAAGGAGGGAACGAAGCTGACAGACTTATACAGAGTTCCACTCCCATCAGCGAAGTAAAAGGCATAGGGTGCAAACAACAAAGTAATTAGGACATAGACAGGTTATAAATATACGATGAGTAGGGAAAGGTCAAAACATATACAAATTGTCATAAATAGAACAAAGACTAATCATCACCCAGCCCAACCAGAGATAAAGAAATTATAAGTATACATAAAAAGAAAAGAAAACATGAACATAACAGATACTGACGTGTTTAAGACATGATTAGATGAGATTTCAATTATATTTTAAATGATAATATTGATTTTAGAGATACATCCAGATTATTCCATAGTTTTGGTCCTCTAAAAGTGATATTTGACTGATGACAAGAAAGGTAACTGAAGATGGGCATTTTGTCTTGTTGAGTATGGGTGAAGGCCAGATGAAAAGGTAAAAAAGTTTCAGAAAGCGTCAGGTTAAGTAAGTAATATTAAAGGTCCCATGGCATGCCAATTTCACACAACTTAAAATAGTCCCCTGGTGTGTTAGAAGCATGTCTGTGACGTCCTTCGGTCAAAATTCGATTTGGATCAATTATTTTAGTGCTCTTTTTATCAGCTAAAAACAGCTCCGCTCAAAATCCTCCGTTTTGGACCATGTCTCTGTAATGAATGAGCTGCACCTAAGCTACGTCCACTTTACACCCATCTCTCTGGAAGGGGCTGTGGTTGTGCTCCGATAGCCATGTGCTAATGTTTACACTGGCTCGGTCATGGCTGCAAGAAGATCGCTCGTACATCCTTCCAGTTTGAGCCAGAGTCTGACCCAGAGGGAGAGGCTCCGGAAGAAACGCTTAGCCGCGTTCAGACCAAACGCGACTTGAAGCGACCTAGTCGACACATCCTATGTATTATTCAAAGCCGCCAGGAGGGTCACGCTTAGCCGGGACGTCCCGTATTTCAGCCAAAAGAGGCGCGTCGCCGCACGGGTAAATGCTAAAGCTACATGCTGCTCCGGAAGGGGATTTGTCCCCCGCCGCCGGAGTTGTCGGGGAAGAAGCGAGCGACTAAAATACGGGAGGATCCGGTAAACCGGCGCGGATCCGGTGTGTTTATCAAAGCGTGGTGGCCGTGTTGAGGCACCGGGGGGAATTTAGGCTAAACAGTAAGTCAAAATAAAACGTTCACACTTACAGATGCCACGTTTGTAGTAGGATCACGGATAGTTGGTACGGATCCATTCTTTATCTTCAGACATCTAGCAAATCCAGCGTTGAACTGTCCCTCGTTGATAAAACAGTCCGAAGTGAAATGGTGCGGACATACATACAGATATGTTGGAAGTGCCGCCGGTACATTCCCATTATAAATAAAATCCACCCACTGAGTCCTCAAATCTTCCTACGAGGGAGTTTCCAAAAGAGTTTTGTGCTCGTTTGTGCAGCCAACAACAGAGCAAACGCTTCCTCTTTTTCAGATCGTACTTCCGCCATGGTTCTAACCGGAGCTATGGGAGCGAGCGGCCGGGAAAAATGGCGGTGTTTAGATAATCTTTAGGGCGGGCAGTGGGCGGCTCCGTGGGCAGAACCATCAACCCGCCAGCACTGACATGACGTCATGTCAGTGGAGTTTTCAGAACGGCTCTGAGCACACAGTTCCTGAATACAGAGATAACTAAAAAAACACTGGATGGAATTTTTTCGAACTTGGGGGGATTGTAGCGGTTTTCTATCCCTGATATGCACCCCCCTCCCGTTAACAAAGTCAGTTTTTCATGCCATGGCCCCTTTAGGTAATAGCGTGTGGAGGTATGTGTCAGATTAGAGGACTGGTTATAGATAAACTGTTTAAACAGCTATAAAAGTCACAGTGGTCTTTCTGTCGCTCTTTGAATGTTAGGAGTTCATCAGACTAACACCTCGTTGGAAGAAACTGTCTTTGTGTCGGCTGAGGGGAGGGGGTTTGAACCGTTTGTGTCCCAGGTGTGAGGGGTCTGCAGCGATGTTACCTGCCTTTTTCCTGACCCTGAACCGGTATAAGTCCTGTATGGAGGGCAGGTTTTTTCTGCAGTCCTGATTGTGCATTTAAGTGTGTTCCCAAACCCAAACCAAACAGTGATGGATGCGCAGAGAACAGACTGAATGATGGCGGTGTAGAGATGGATCAGCAGCTCCTGAGGTAGTTGAACTTCCTGAGTTCTCACAGTAAGTCCAACCTCTCAGGGAAATAATCACAATCTTTGAAAATATTTCCCGCCAGCTCTCTACAGCGACTATACACTACAAAACATTAGCTAGCTTCCACCACTTTATGGTTCATATCAGCTGTCACCATAGTGGTGTGAATACAGACAGAAAAAAAGTCTCTATGGTGTTTAGTTCTTGGGAAACTCCCAAATGGATAGTTCTGCTTCTACACGTCCCCAGAACTGTTTGGTCCGGAAACACCAAATCATTAAGTCTCTTGGAACCATTTTCTGCATATCCTCAAATTAGAGAGGTGAAATTATGCTTGTTTCATGTTTCAAAACTAAAGACTAAGTTAAAGCCTTGGACGTCAATACTGAATGTGGACAGATCTTCAGATTTTGAGGGTTAGACTGACAGCTGCTCTGAACAGCTTGTTCAAAAAGTCACAAGAATTATGTGAGAGGGACACGGGATTTTCTCCACGTGACGTCACCACGTGAGTCGCCATCACCGAGCGTAACAAATGCAACACTTCCCAAACAGAGATGTCCTGCTCTGGTCTTTGTTGCAGGGGACTTTCTTGTTGTTCTCTTTCCAAACTTTGTAGCTCAGATTCAGGGTCCGGGACATATGGCCGTATTTCATAATTTGTCGTTTCAAATATAGAAACTGGAAGACAACTTCAGAGCAGAGAGGAGGCTTCCAGAGAGCTGGCCAGTTGGAGGAAAGTGGGCTTAGAGAGCCAGCAGATAAAAATTGAGCATTTCAGACAGAACTTGAAATGAGGATTTTCAAAGACACCAGCCTAAGAATGACAGTGTTTGAGATGTTAATGAATGAAAGCTGGAACAATATAAAGCCTAAAAATGAGCACAACACCCCCTCTGCAAATGCTGAGCAAGTAGGGGTGGGACAAAATAATGATATCATCATCCCGACTCATAGATATCATATTGCTGGTGCCAAACATCGATGCAAGATGATACATCTCTCTGAACAAATTTCTTATTTGACTCACTGCATCACTATTTCATGACTCCCCATTGAGGTTCTGATGAGACTGAGCCTGATGAGACTATCTTATCTTTAAGAAGCATTTTGCATTCCTCACTTCGTCAGTTATTGATAATTCATTTTATGGCTACTTAAATCAATCCACACAAAGGTGCTGAACTGTTTTAATTTTGTTGTGATATCATGGGCATTGGGTTTATCTCATGGATGCATAATTTTAAGTTAAGTTAATTACATATTGGCATAATGTATATGTCAATTTTTGCCAATATGTTTTCATATACAGCAATATTTTCAAGTGTTAAAAACAGACAGCAGGAGCATTACTGAATGTCTGCATTTTAAAAATATATTTATAATTCATGTGATTTTGTCCTCTAATTTATTGTTTGCTTTTGAAAAAAATACAAAATCAAAACTAAAGAAACAAATTTGGATTTAAATTTAAAGAGTAAAAGACTTTGAATTTTGACTTGGTGCTCTTTACAATAAAAAAAACAAACAAACATTTTTTATATATTGTTTTGTAGGGCTGGGGGATAAAACAATAACAATATATATATCGAAAATCAATTTCTCTTAATATCAATATAAAACATGGTCAATATGCTTTTCGATAGTCGGCATTCTGACATGTTTTGGTAGACTATACAAATAGCCAATGAAAAGGGGAGTTGCTCTTGGTCCGCTTCGCACTGAACCAATCATGTGCTGAATTAGAACCAAGTAGCAAACAACTGCGTAGTAGCAGGCTGCAGCTACACGCAACCATAGCACTTTAACACTTGAAGCCGACAGCACTGTTAGTGAGAAAAAAAGAAAATGAGTGCTACCCCCGGCAGAAATGCAAATGAAGGCTCAACAGATGATGACATCGTCGACAACACTGGCACAAAAACGTCGTTGGTGTGGAGGTATTTTGGTTTTTTGAGGTCGGACATGAAGCAGAGTAATGTGCACTTCAAATTATGTCGAGTTCATGTTCTCTTAAAGTCGGGGAATACCTCAAATTTTTTTGAGAAGCCTGTGGCGCCTGTGCAGCCAAAACAGCTGACCACTCAGTCCGCTTTCTTTAGCGCAACGCCTTACGACAAAACGTTGAAGAGACACGGAGACCTCACAGGTGCAGCGGCTTATTGTACTGCAAAAGACATGCTATATCGATATTGACTGATATGAAAAAAATATATTGTGATAACATTTTCCCCATATCACCCAGCCCTACAGTATTAATATCAGTTTCAGCCAAAATGGATGTGAAAGTATCGGCATATCAAATACCAGCAAAAATCCAATATAAATCCTAGTATTGTTCTATGAGTTACCCTGCAATCCTTACCCTCTATCAGCAGAGTTTAATCTACAGATTCTTGCTTAGTACAGACATTACAGTGTTGGCAAAAATGTATATTTGAAGATAGAAGAGAAAATTTAAAGTGAAGAATATGTAGAGATTTTCTCATTTTTATTTCCTCTTAGCTAAACTGAGCTTTTCATTACATTTTTCAGTTTTTGGACAGCAATTATTTTGGACAGTCTCACTGAATCCCCAGTGTTTTTTGCAGCAGGCATTAGTTTTGTAAGAGAAAACAAAAATGCACTTCCTGTTAAGCACTGAACAGCAGACAGCAACACCATTAAGGACTGACTTGTAAACATTTGGTAGCAATTTGTTCCTCAAGAGACGGCGGAGTTAGTGAGAGCCAAAACAAAGCAAGAGGGTAAACGTTGGACTGTGAGGCCAAAAGCAAATGTCGCTATGCAATGACCACAGGGGAAAAAAAATAAGAGACTGTTCACAGCTAGGTGTTTCATGCCAATATGAAGTCGATCGAGTCCTAATATTTAGTTGTTTTTAAAATTTATCTTGTCAGATTTTCCTGGGGGGTGAGGTTCATTAAGAGTGATTTTACGCCCACAGTCTATTCAGAAGAAGTGTGGTTGCACTTATTTGAAATCAATCATGTCGAAAATGTTTAATAGTAACAATCAGATATCCTGTGATAATCTCGACAACAGCTGAGGATGGTCACGTGGAACGAAATAATGATCAACAAGAGGCAAGCCAATGAATGGATAAAGCAGTTATGGTGACAATAACAAATGTGTAAAAGTGTAAAGTTAGAAGATTTGTGGAAACAAGGGTTTATACGACATGACGTGTAAATTTCAGACTAATGAGAAGGATGATTGTACAGAAATCACTATTGTAATATAAACACGATGTAACCATCTTCAGCCATGACTTTTGACCTAATAGTCACTTTTAGCTGCAAGAGATTTTTCTGGATTTCTGGTTTTGAGAATAGGGTGACTATGTTGTTTGTGAAGAGAAGCTGCTCGTTGTGGTGTAGTTTGCTGGTCATATTACTTCACTCAGCACATTATGAAAACAAATCTGTTAAATCCATCCTTATCTTTGGTCGTGTGGGGTCTCTTACATTCTGTACATCTTCAAAATTTTAAGAAATTATTATATCCAGTAGATAATCTGACCACGATGTTCTGATGGTCCCATACTTAGGTAGTGTAGTGAGTACAGTGTTATTCTAGCCGAGACAAATGACAGAAACAATATTCAAGTTGTGATAAATCAAGTTTATCCTTTAAAGCTGCCTGCTGCTCATGAATGATCTCAATCCTCGCCCAAGTTATTATGAAAAGTGATTTGGGGTTTTATACCATCTTTACCTCCCCCGCCCTGCTGTGATTCCCACTGATACCTTTCACAGCACACACCCTAACTTGATTTAATCAAAAGGAATTTTTCTCAAAGAGATTAGCAGAAGACTATTTGATCTCTCCCCCTCTCTCTCTCAACATTACTGTAGCTCCCCGTCTCTTCTCTTCGTCTTTGTCGGCATTAGAGTGCCTGTCACGTGCGGCAGCCACAGCGGGTGTGGGAGGATGACTGACTCCGTGTGTGAATGTGACATCAAACTTGTGAGCGGTGACAGGAGATCTTTTATCAATGAATTCTTCACAATATACGCCAACACAGTCATGCACGTGCAGCACATGTGCATCCGCTGAATTGGATCCTTTCCCTTGTGAATCTCAGTACACAGCAGCTCCCTTTTTACAAACTAGTTACCAGTCTATCAGTCTCTGGGTATGACAATGAATACACAACGGCTATCTAGTTATTGATCCGAGCAGGCAAAGAGCAAGAACCTCCATGCAGAAGGTTTCAGAGTCTCTATCAAAGACCCACTGTAACTTCAATAGACATTTCCAGCCACTCACGCTGTGATGTAATGAAAAAAAAAGTCCCAGCATTAAACTAATATGTGGTTAGATGGATGAGTGTTGTTCTGTGGTTTTGCTGGTAGGAGTAATAGCCAGTGTGGGGGCACTCATTGGGTCTGATTCCCGCAAGGCTCCCATAAATAGTCAATGTGCATTGATTGCAAATGGCTTCAGATGAAAACACAAGCTAAATGACCATGGTACCATTATATTAGCAAAATGACAAACAGCAAAGCAGATATCATGAAGCATGAAAGCGTTTCTGATTGATTGTTTCAGCCTTAGAAGAGGTTGATGCCTTGCTTTTGTGTGTTCTTTGCGTGCCTGTGTTGTTGTTGTGTGTGTGCGTGTGCAAATTCTCTATTCATCTGGTGAATGACATGATTGTTATTGGCTGAGTGTGTATTTAACATTTGGTACATATCCACTCGATGCAGGGATGTGCAGACCGGTTTGTCGATCCCACTTCAGCCGTCATTAATGTCATTAATTGGTTGGGGTGGACGCACACCTGGGTCCCTCAGTCTTTTTCATAAGCTTGAGGGAAAACAGCATCAAGGGGACACTGTGGGCAGAGGTGTGCCTCTGCTTATATTACTCCTCTTTAAAAAGCTGATAGCATTAAAGAAATTGAGGAAATATGCTGTCTTGCCAAGGACTGACTAAAAGATCAATATCGCTTTCAAATATGTGCACTTAACGTCAAGCTACATTTAGAGCATGTTGAGTCTAGATAAGCTCTTTCAAAAGGTAAAGGTTACCAGAGTGGTGAACAGATTCTTTGTAAGGTTTCAGAATCTGAAGGCCATGAAAATATTTTTGATATCTGATGTGATCCAAGCTCTGCTTTCACTTAAGAGGACAATCTTCCATAAGCATTTCAGCAGACCTTGGCCAGGAAAGCAGTCACTGTTGAGATCAATGGGGATCAAATGTAATTCAAAATCTCTCTAGCCTTTAATTAATCTCTATCAACAGATATATATATATGCATGTACTGAAAAACTCACAACTCCAATTCAGTTAAGGCGATAGTGGGACTTGAAACAACGAGCAGCCAAAAGAAAGGGAAGTCCTTCACTGCTGACATGGTTAGATGGGAAGCTTGAAAAAGAAGCTGCACATTTATTATTCTTGACAACATGTAAAGATTCAAGATTGCCAATTTAGTTACTAAGTGAGTACACACACACACACACACACACACACACACACACACACACACACACACACACACACACACACACACACACACACACACACACAATAGTCAGGTTTACACACAGACTTTTTTTCATTCTGGTACTGAAGAGGAGAATGCGTACAGAGGAGTTTTTTTTTTTTAATAGTTCAATATTTCATTTCCTGCTGTCTATGGTTGCTATAATGATTAGTTCCTTGAGAGTTGGTATGAAAAACAATCTCTTTGCCGCAGACCTATTCTGTGTGACCTATTCTACCTGTTCTATGTGCTCTGTTTGGAAGCCACCACATTTTCAAGTGAGTAAACGTCACTGCGCATTTACGTCAAGACGGAGCATGCACAGACAGAACACAGACTGACAACTTTCCGTTTCACCACCTACATGACAAAACTTTACTTTCAATCAGTTTGGGAAAGAAATATTCTATCTCTGTGAAGCCGACTGAAATTCCATTTGGCTTCAGCCTGTTCATTTTAAATTGGGGTGTTCATATGGGGCATTTTTACTCAGTTTGAGCTTCTAACCCAATTCTAATCAGAATATTAGGCTCCATGTAAACCCAGCTAGCTACTTTGGACCAGATTAAAGCAGGGAATTCAGCTTGGCATCACCACACCAGTGTAAGTTGGTGAATGGGTCTGGAATAGAGTGGGATTTATTGCTCTTTGAATAACTGGCTCATTGTTATATTTATCTATTCATTTTTTAAAAGTCAACCAGGGGTACACATGGATGAGAATTATTCTGAAATGCTGATTTTTATTTCATTTGGCTTGTGCTTTCATTGTAAACATTCCCTAAGGAGGCGCCATTATCTCCATGCTTTGATAGTGAGATCACTATTTTGAATTTTTCCCTCACCTAAAAAAATCATGCTCATTGCTAAGCCTTAAAAAATATATACATAGTGTAGCATTTTACTTGCAAATGCACATTTACGTACTGAATATACTATACCATATAACGTAGTTTGTTTTGTACATTACAACAATCACAAAGTATTATACTTTTACATCAATGATGATAGTGTTTTAATAATGAAGACAGAGAGGATAAATGCTAATAACCAGAGTGCAGTGTGCACACACACATATGTCTGTGCTTGAGTTGTGCCACCTCAGGCAAAAAGTCTTATATGGGGAAAAACCACTGGGAGCTGAGCACTGACACACTGTCAAGTTTACTCAACAAAATTAAGAAAAAGGAGTCATTTATTTTAAAAGAATAAGAGGAACTAGCTGAACTCAACTTTTGTGTCAGCGCAGTGGTAAACAGGAGTGTGAGCACAACACTGAAAATTAGTGAGTGACAGGAGGGGTAGGAGGATTTAAAAGGAAATGAGTGTTTGGGCTTTTAGACAATGAAAACATTTATCTTTTCTAAAAAATAAAAATAAACAAATAGAAAATAAAATAAAAAAGTGGATAACTAGATAACCCTACATGTCTGTAAACACTGGTCACCTTAAAAATAATCTCACGATTCTCCCTTCCTCTTTCACTCTCAGCTCAGCCGGCTGATATTGATGTGATATCTTATCATGTTAAAAATTCAATCAATTAGTTAATTAATTAAAAATGTAGCTAATTTAATTTGCTGGATTAGTGTTATAGTGTCATATTGCGGGTATATTTGGGTTAAGCATGTGAGGCGCTTCAGCACTTCTATCCAATAGTTGTTATGGTCAGAATTCTGCAAACCTCTTTAAATACATTGAGCAGTATAGCTGTAAAGATTTACAAGAGCCTGGAGGCAAATAATCTGCCTCAAGGTTGCTTAATCATCGAGTTACGAGATTTGTTTGAGAAATCATTTCAGCCCTAGATTTTAGTGCTTCACATTCTTGGACACAAAACTCAAACGAGGCGCCATGGGTTGAAAATATCATCAATGACAACCTGACACATGACCAGAACAGGCTGACATCAGCTCTTCATTTCAAAACTCACAGATATTATAGAGGTGTTCATCCTCTTCTTTTAAACTAACATCAAACCTAAGACAGAAATGAGTAAAAATAAAAAGTCCAGAGCCTTAACTTCATCGGCTTTGTGTGATGTTGCGTGTTTTACCTGAACTTCCCGTGCATGGTACGCTATGATGAGACCCAGCAGTATGACGGTGGACAGACTGATCAGACACTTCAGGGCCAGCGAATACATCGAGCTCTGTAAGGAGAGAAAAAACACACACAGTCTTAGTAACATGCATCATAGTCGTGTTATTTCTGAAGGGATCTCCTAAAAAGAGTCGTTTTCATTCACCTTTTCTTCAGGAGTTTGGCTCGACTCAAGGCAGTTTTAAAACGAGTTAATGGTTCATGAACTACAGCACCAGTGGCTCAGTTAAGACAATACGAGCAAACATTTACACAACAGACCTTCAAAGCTGACCAGAAGTAGAGCGGCAGTGTTCTGCCCGTCAATATCACTCTGAAGTCAGGCCTTAAATCCTCTGCTTGTCTGGTTTCATAGGACTTATAATCAATGGAGTGGGGAACTTCCGATCAATACAACTTGTAACACTTGGACGGCTTCTTAACCCCCATCACGTAACATGTTCAGAGAACAGCTCAGCTCGAATCATCTCGGGTACGTGCACACATTCAGACACAAACACGCTCCCAGATTAGTTCGTTAACACATGAAACGCTCTGTTGTACCTTTAGAGAGATGGTTTAAAAATGGAAAAATACTGACTGTTTTTAGGAGCTGTTCTGCAGGACTCACTTATAACAAATTTGTTTACTTAGGAATGCAAAATGTGCAAAAGCTAGAACGGAAAATTAACCTGACCAACAAGTATCACAGGTTATTCATGGCAAAAAAAAAGTCGAAGTAATAAGAAAGAACACCGTGAAAGTATAAAACCACCGCTCTTTTTATTTGGGAGGAGAGAGTTCATGAGGCATGAGTGAATTAATGCCCTTTGAAGCTTCCTGGTATTCAAACAAAAACAAGATTCAGTGGAGGATCTGTTACATCACTTCACCTCGGTTTTTTTTTGCTTTCACCTCATCCAAATCTGTCATGCATCAGAAAACCTTGTTATCCACGCATGAGGTACAGCTCGAGGCTCTGTGTTAGTCTGTGTTGACTGCTCTGTTTGTTATTTTCTTTTCCTTTGGTCCACCACTGAAAATATTTATGGAAGCACAAGATTTATTTGAAAGAGGGTAGTTGTGTGCATCACATACAACGTTTCAACTCCTGACTCTGGTAAAATGATGACTCTGTGTAAATCACAGACATATATTTATTGTTTCCAGAGAATGTAAGTAAACCATCTTCTGATTTTCATTCTTGGCACTCGCAAATCAAAGCCTGAGATTACTTTGTAAAACTTTTAAACATCAGCATACCTAATGTCATTTTCCGTCGTTTTTGCACAGACAATCAGAGTCTCTAGTAGGGTGATTTTACTGACCTTATACTGAAGATAACAGCAGGCAGATATTAGGTTTTAATGAACATTTCCAAGGAAATATTGAATCTTTTCCCATGAAACTTTTGTAGATGAGTTTTGGGTCTCATAGGATGAACTGGGAAAACTGTTACACACTTTAATTACAGTCTAGTGATCTTTTAGCTATCATTATCACTCATCTTCCTTTCAAAATACCATACTGTGTTAAATACTTGATCCTGGTAGGTCAAAACCCCTGAAAATTGGTGATTAATCCAAACAACCAAGGCAATGTCAGTGGGGATGTACCGATTCAATATTGGTATTGGATATCGGTCCGATATCAGCCAAAAAAAAAAAAGAATATTGGATTATATCGGTCTGCACCTAAAATCTTCCATATCAGCACTCAGATACAAGCAATCCATTCCAGACTTTGCTCCAGCACCTCTATCCAGCAGGGGTCCAGCAGGTAGAGCCCACGTGATCACAACAACAGTGTGTACTACAGTACTAACAAAGTAACAAGGAGTAGGAGTGATGCCGACCATATGGCAGTATTTTTTGTTGAAGTCCAAAAAAGACGTTGCAGCTGAGTGCAAAACTTGTCGTGCACAAGTTTGTGCTAATATCAGATCAATATCAGTATTGGCCAGTACTGAAGGCTACAATATTGATATTGTATCAGAAGTAAAAAAGTTGTATTGAGAAATCCCTAAATGTCAGGGTTGAAGAAGTTTAGCACCAGTAGTGTACTCAGAGGGAGGGCATGGGGGCTAATCACCCTCATGTAACCTTTTCCCGCCAGAGTGGCATCGGTGCTGGCTCAGAACTGCTTCAAACTGTGAACTGTCCAACAACAAGTTTGCTTTTCCATGTGCCTGACACGTTGGTCTGGTAGCATCCAAAATCTGTAAACACAGAGGCAGAAACAACAGTTCTTGTCTCAGACAGGTCCTTAAAAAAAGAGATTAAATAATGAGCAGCTGGACTTTAACCAGTGAGTGTATCTTTGAGCTGACAATCACTATAGAGTAGCTTGAATCACGAGTGGCGGTGTTAAGTGACAATATTAAAAGTTATGTCTTTGCCTCATTTTGTTAAAAAGAAGAGTCAACAGCAAATCACTGAGAAGAAGGAGAGCTGAATGAGGACAGTGACGTCAACATGAATATTCCTGCAGAAGTTCCTTTCACCTTGTTCATCTGACTTCAGTGGAAATGTTTAGTTAAATATCACTGCAGTGATTTTAAATATTCACTTAATGTTATTTCCTTAGGAGGATCATACGGATCCACTGACATAGAAGCGTTGCTGTGGAAGTGGAGTGATTTTTTTTAAACTGTATAAATTAATAATTTTAAAAGATTATAGCCTGTTAAATTTGAGTGTGGGTTTTGCTTCCCTCCTTCTTGGTTTTTTAAATTTAATGAAGCATTTACGACACATTGATATTTTTCAAAAACCTTGGTGTATGACCAATTGCCTTTTAAGCTTAATATGCCTATCAGCTTTAGCTGGGGATTTTTAATATTTTACCTTCTAAGAAATTAAAATTGCAAGCACTATCACTGGATGCGTTTTAAAGTGCTGATGTGAGCATTTTGCAAAGCACCACTTAACTTGCCTAAGTGCAGCATTACAGGGCTTACAGTCTGGCTGTGGACTCTTGATCCTGTGGACCATTATTTTTTTATCTATTCAAGTCTCACACTATCATAACTATAGCACGCTTTCAAACATATGGAACTAAGTCAATCCAAGATAACACAAGACAATCATAGTACTACTATATAATTCAAAAGGAAAAAAAATCTCTACAACATAAAAAAGCATTGAAAAAATGAAAAGAACGATGATATTCTGTTCAATCAAGACCAGATCAGATATAAGGATTTTGCTAAGTAATTAAAACATGCTGGTAAAAAAAATCACTGTTGGGTTTGTTTTGTTTTTTTATTCTCTGTAAAAAGGAAAATTTTCATTACTGCCACACTTATAAATTTTTTTAAAACAGGACCCAGGACAGTACTTTTTTTTTTTTTTTTTTTAAAGTTCCTACTTTCTTTTCTTTTTTTTTGTGCCTTTATTGACAGGACGGATTGGAAATATGGGGAGATAGAGAAAGATGGGGGAGGACATGCAGCACATGGTCAGGGCCAGACTGACTGTGGTTCCCATATGTGGGGCACGCTAACCTGCTCGGCCATCTGCGCGCCCCCGGTACATATTTTTTTTAAGTGTAGTCAACCAGGTTTTGAGGTGTCATACATTCATAGCGAACTGAAGGCTTTGTGTCTCTTTGTGTCGGGGGCTTCCCAATCCATAAAGTGAAAATAGCTGCACACAGACAAAGAATGTCAAAAATCAGCAGTCGAAAAAAACATCCAGTTTGAGTATTTTTTAACAGCTTTCAGTCTCTTTCACTCTGAAAGCCACACTAACCAAATCAATCCATTTTGTCCATATCAACTCAAGGACAATGTGAATGCAAGATTATAACAGAAAACCCCTGAAGTGCATTCATACTTGAGTTCACAGAGGGGGCAAGATGAAGACAACCGCCTGCTGTCTCTTCAAGAGGAAGAGTTGAGCTACCTAAAGACAGCAGCATCACTTATCAGATATTTGGCCTGTTAAGTAGGATCTTATTAAGCATTCATCGCCAATCACTCTTGTTTTATCTGAGGCTGCACTCCCAGTTTAGACACACATTACTCTGCCTTTCCTCCATGATGTTATTAAGCACAATCTACATTGCATTTTGGGTTCATGAATATATATTGCAAGTCAGCCTCCTGGAAAATAGAGTGTGTTAGTGTGTTAGTGTGTTAGTGTGTCTATTTAGGGTCTGTGTAAAGTCTTCATGGCCTTAATGGTATTAATTCAACATCACGCACACACACAGACACAAATACACACACATAGTCTAGATGGTTAATCCTCCCAGACATCCTCCTTTGCTGAGCATTTCTTCTTCTTCTTCTATTCAGAATCTGAGAGGATCAAATATTAGATTGAGCGCCTTTGCTAGCATCCAACACACACACAGACATACACATATAAAAACACACACATGCCAGGAGAACACTGAGGCAGTGCTGTTCAGATAACTGTGGTCGAGGGCCACTGCACAACACTGGGAAACTACCATCTCGCTTTGGCTCTCCTCTGATTTCATCCATCAGTTGCCCACGGCTTTAAAGCTTTTCTCTTCATTTGCTCACTTTCTCATGTATCCTCCCTCCTTTTGTAACATCTCATTTGTACGCACTGAAGCGAGCCAGGAGCAGGAGAAGCCAACATTGAATAATGAGAAAAATACAACCTCAAAATTCAGCCCTCTGAAAGACAGAGTAGTGGGGTTGAGCTGAATTAGGGGTTTTTAGAGTCAAACTCCTCTGCCTGATGTCTGTCTGGGTATTTTAAAAATTCTATCCTACACACAATCAAGAGCATTTTTCTGCCTGTTCTCACCGTCTAATCTACCTGTATTGTAAAAACTGTGAAGGGCATGGGTGTGTTTTCATGCCTGGGTTTTGTTTATCACCGCTCTTGTTTAAATCATAAGCAGAGAAAAGTCTGTATTTTCGCTGGCTTGCAGTGGTTGACGTATTTCTAGTAACAGGACACCTCTTATACCAATGTTTGCTGTATTAAATTGATGCACCTGTTCTGAAATCCTAGATAAATATAGCGACAGAGAGGCTGAAGCTGTTTTCATACCTCAATAAAGACAGGGATGGCTTTTATTTCAAATCAGAGGAGCAGACGCACAAAAGGTTTCATACAAACTGCATATGATGGGGACATCTCAACATATTGTTTTATTTTGGATGGGAAGCGCATAATATTCTTTTATATGTTTTTGTGTTTCAGCTTAACTGCAAAGATATGGAAATTACGGGAGAACCTACCACTGAGCAACACTGGAAATTGATGTTTGGTTGAATGAAGGTTGTGACATCAGTGAATAAAAAAAACTTAATTTCCTGTTGGTTTTCTGTCAAATTAACATTTGAGCAAGAAAACAACAAAGCCCCTAAAGGGAAAAGGAGACAAAATATTTTTCTGTTTCACAAGACCCTGACATTTTTTTGCAAGATCTTGTGCAACATAATCGGCTATATCCTGAGATTTATTTGTTTTAACGCACACTCTCCTAGTTGTATTTTACATATACACTATTCCTGCTGCTATAATGCTTTGCCAGTATATAAGGGGCATATACAAAGTTGGGTATTAAATTCTTCTTTCACACCTTTTGGACATTAAGCGCACTGTTATTTATGAAACTGTTGTGAAGATCAGTCCTGAGTGGGTTACTGTGATTTATTATACAAACTAAAATGGTTTCACAAAAACAAATGAAAAATAAAAAACAAACTAAACATAGCATGTCAAAAACATTATCGCTCACTGTAATAAAAACAAGGCTTTGCAAAGAATCGTATCCTGGGTTTACAAAAATAACTCAAATGAGACGAAATTATGCAGAAAATGTCCTCAGTTTTCATCTTTGACATGAGCACCCTGACTACAGTGGAGTTTGAGGGCAAGAGATGAGGAAAAAATGAGAGATGCAAATATTTTCTGATGGATTCACTTGAAGAATAATGTCAAAATGTCAAGAATTGTGTCCAAATATTACAAAATTTTATTAAAAAAGAAGAAAAATAGTTTTTTTTTTTTTTCTTTTTTAGAAAAAAATAAAATAAAATACAATTCCTAAAAAGTCTATGGTTGGTGAAACTTTTTTGATATGCTGTTTTGCTGTGCTGTATTGTATAGATGTATGAAGAATATAAAGAATATGATCATGTACTTCACTGACTGTATCTGTATTTTGGAGATCCTTTTGACATGTTTTATTCATGTGATGAAAAGTTTTGCTCTTTTGTCTTTCCAACTTTATTTACGAAGTCTGTCTACCATTATCAGGAACTTCATCATAGACTAGCTATAAAAGTAAACAACTTTAAACAATAGTAAACAATAGTCCAGAAGCAGCGACGATCACAGTGAATGAGGTTAAAGAGGGACAAGCACACACCCTTGAATTGTTTGCCTTTTTCCTGGTTGAGTCTGAGCTCCTGTGCTTTTCTTTTGGATGTGTGTTTTACGCTCGCCAACACGTACAAAGCGAGCCACCTGTGGTATTCAGCTGTTTCAGATGTAATGTAGTTTAAAGAAATCAGGCTGTTTTAGACAGACTGTTAAACTAGTGTAGTTTAATGTTTTTCTGTATGGCTGCTGTCCATGGTTCTGATCATTGGCTTGTTTGGATGACAGTAGCACTGTGAGTTTCTACACAGTTGTCGGCTTAAAAATTGTTTTGAGCTGTTGTGTACAATTTCTGTACATGCACACAAGCATGAGCTTTGGACGTGCTTGTGTTTTCATTAAATTGTTTTTATTGTAACACGGTCCATTTTATTGATTTTAATACAGATCCTGCCTTTGACAAACACATTAGGGCGGTCTATCAGACTTTGAAAATTACAGTGAAAAAAGGGATTTGGAGTATTAAAACAAATACTTTTTGAAAATTAAACCTCTGTTGATGTTGAACTATGTTGGTTTTCACATCGACCAAATATTCATTCAGACCAGAATTCAACACCTGTCCTAACTAGACTCCAGCTCCTCTGACGTTACATTGATGTCCAACTGTGTTCACTCAGTCAAATATGCTGACTCACAACACAAGATGATCAATACCACTCTCTTGTCTGCATGTTGACTATCCAGCTAATGACAAGCTGTGGTTTCACAGTGGAGATTATACTATAGCTCAGCCAGGCTTTGACTTCAGTTCTCTCTGAACAACAAACACACTCAGTGAGTAACTATCTTTTGTCTAAAAACAGACAACCGGAGTACCTTTCAGGGTTCTTGTCCATACACAGAAGTTGCCCGGCAACCAGAAGTGTACAGGTAAAAGTACTGGTGCAAATACTCTCATTTAAAAGTATTGCAACAGAAACCAAAGTGATAAGGGTTATGATCCAAAAGTTGAACTTCTTTCTGCTCTTAAGACTCTAGGCATTGACAAATGCTGAACTAAATAATAGACACATCAACAATGGCGCATCAACAATCTACAAAATACACCAACTAAGAAATCCTATTAGTGGATAGATTCTTTAGCAAGTCATATACTGACAAATTTCAAACTATTCCTGACATGTGATATATAAACGTGTCAGCATGTACATGTGTCAAATGTGTATGAGTGCTGTTTCCCCTTTTTTGTCCCGCTGTGCGTAAGTGTATGATTAGTGTGTATTGATTAAGGGCTTGGTGTGAAGCATGCAGAGCTAACAAGCTTTTTAAGCTTCTTTAAGTTCAATTAGCACACACACACACACACACACACACACACACACACACACACACACACACACACACACACACACACACACACACACACACACACACACACACCACTTTTTGGGGACAGAACATTGACTAAAAATGTGAATTTGCCCAACTCTTACCCTCATCCCAACTTGCTCAGTCAATACCTTGCTTACTCATAAGCAAACACACTCCCAGACAACCCAGACATTCACACACACAAACATACACACCACACGCACATAAAAACAAAACCTGTTGGTTTCCAGATGAGGGTTCCCCCAGTTGTCCCCATCTCACCTTTATTGACACAGATGTAAGAACAAATACACTTTGCTTTACAACACATTACTCTTGAAGCGATAAGTTACCCATACACATGACAGTAATGCATTTAAGTGTGTGTGTGTGTGTGTGTGTGTGTCTGTAATGAGTTAGCCTTGGGGGTCTCTCCCTGCGAGGTGATGCCTCCATGCAATCAGTCTCCAGGGAAACAGGCAGTAGACAGAGGAGAGATGTCACCTCACCAGGATAAACACACACTCACACACACATGACTGCACATTGACACACCATTACTGCCCTACACACTCCATTAAATCCGGACAAAGGCAGATGTGAATCCACATACACTCGCACAAACACAGATAGCAGGTGCATCCACGTGTACCATTATGACAGGGATATAAAGACACGCGCTCCATAGGTGTGTATACTCATAGGAACTGACTTAGTGACGTGAATGTTGTGTTACTGCCGGCTGATGCAAGTCTAAACACACCCATGTGTACCAACACACTCACACATACGGAGACAGCTAGCCCAGCCTTGTTACACTGAAAGAAATGAGCATATTTGTACCTGTTAGTAGCAAGACCCCTGGGACCTGCCATCCCTTTAGAAGCCTGTGATCTAGAAGATGAAGAGAGTGAGGAAGGGAGTGGAGGAAAAGAGGGGGAGGAGGAGGAGGAAGGAGGAAGGGGGACGGAGAGAGAGCTCTGCAGAAGTGCTGAGATGGCTGATAGAATATGGTGGCAGTTGGTGAGTTTAATTCCCAGATGATCCCCTCGTACAGTCTGAGCAGCGGTACGCAGCCACTGTAAGTGTCCTTGCAAAGAAAGGGCTGCAAAGGTCAACCAGTAAATGTCTGCCAGAAATGTCAAAGATAGGGGAGCGAGGGGGGAGGTTGATGTTGTACGCCTGCTGGGATGGCAGTGAACCCTTTGGGGATATGGAGCTGTATTTAAGACCAGCGGGAGGGATGTAAACGCTAGGCCTGAGGGAGAAAGATAGGAAGGAAAGGAGGGAGAAAGGGAGGAAGGACATGGAGGCATACAGCAAGCAGAAATCTGACAGTACAACTTTGTCTCTCTTTGACCAAAGCTGATGTCTGACCTTGTGTATCAGACAATACGTCTGCATTATTCTGTATTCCATCACTATTGCTCTGCCGGCTCTTACCTACTAACAATCTACTATGGACCTTTGCCACACTGTTGTTGTTATAAAATAAAATTGTCATATAATAAAGTTCTGTGCTGTATTCAAACTGCTAACCCGCAATTTCCACCGCATACGGAACGGCTGCGAAAAGGCCGTATCCGCCGATCGCAGCTGATCGTAACCATTCAAGTTAATGTGTCTAATTCCACCAGCTTCTTTCCGTTCCGCTTCAGATCGCCGGACTCCAAAGCTGATCACAAAAGTTCTATTTTTTATGGACACCGGAGCATGCCGGATAAATTCAGCACAGATTAACTCGTGCTGGAAAGGAATTCGTGCAGAGACACAAAATAAAACATCCAGCTTCTTTTCAAGATAAAACACTCCGGCGGATTGTATTTCACACCATGCAAACGGGCGGGGATGAACAAGTTAAAGGTTTTTAGACAGCATTCCACCCTGGTGACACCATGGATGAGGAGATGCTGATTCTAAAAGTGTAGAAGTGGATTTTCTCCTCTGGAAGGAAACAATCTACTGCTTATATGGTTATGTGGCTATAGAGACAACTCGTTATCGCGCGATTGCAAGTGAATCCGCAGGTCCTTGTGAGTTCTCGCTATTCCCACTGTCCGTAATTTGCCTCACGAACGGATCTGGTAGGAATTGGGGGACGTCGCAGTTCTGGATGCGGTGGAAATTCAGGGTTATTGTACTTGCAGTCCTGATATGATCAAATGTAGTATGAAGAATGCTAAAGATTAAAGCCTCCATATTTGGGGTGCTTAGACCTCTTAGCCATCACCACCTTGAGTGAGGTTTGGTTTTTGTTAGATATTTGATTTTATTAAATGGTGTATGATGACATGATCGACAAGTCTGATGATGAATATGGCTGCTGCAACATTCCATGAAGTGGATTAGCCAAAGATCGGAAGAAAGGTGAAAGAAAACATGACAAAAACTAACACAAGATTCATTAAATGTTCCCCAACCCCAGGTGTCCACTTCAAACCATCTCATGAGTCCGTTATGAGGCAGAAAGGCCTACTGAGATCAAACAGGCTTTACCCAGTGGGTCCCGACTGTGTGGACTCAGACTCTAATTAACGTCAGGGCAGTATGCCAGCTCTCACTGCGATTTTGGCTTTACTTTTGCACAACGTCGTGTAGGCACATCTTTATATACAGTCAGTGTACCTGATTGGTTTACTGACCGGCATATTTGAGCTATAAATGTAACTTAAACTCAGTTCTTGATACCAGATAGCCCATTTTTGGTAGAATCAGAGGAAATTTCAATACTGGCTCTGGTACAAAAGGAACAGGTGAAGTAATCACAGCTTCTTGTCTATGAAGTAATCGATACTTGTGACAGAAAAGAGACAGGAAGTGTGTCTGCACTCACATATGACACCTAACCCTTTAACTCTCACATGCACAAATAACACCCATAGGTGTCAAGTTAGTGTATTGACAGTGTGACAGGTGAAGTTGACAGCAGCTGTGTGCCTTCTCAGAATAGCCGTGCTCCACGGTAGGCCTGAAACATGGCATGGAGCCGGGGCCCCCAAGGAGCCACATGGGCCTTTGTGAAATGATCTATCGATCTGACAGTGACAGGCCACATGCTAAGGTCCCAGGTGTCCGAAGGTCTCAGTTATTCTCAGATAGAGACATGTCAGGCAAGGCCCTCCTCCCTTTTAACCCTCTCCCAATAAAATCAATAATAGAAGCTCATAAAAAGTGTTTTGAAGAGGATCTGTTCTTATACCGCAGTTAACTATGAACTGTGTCAAGGTCCTCGGCCAAACTGGTGCATCTATTAGGAAAAGGGGCCTGAAAAACAAGGGTTAAAAATACAGACGCTTTAAAAATGAATCATGGAGATTCAGAAACATGGAGGACTCAACCTGGCTCCTGTCTTAGATGCTCTAGGTGGAAAATCTCACAATTCTGCCTGAGAGTAAATGAAACTATTTTACATACATGAATTATTTCTTCATTTAATGGTCCCTTTGCATATAGTATATCTCAGCTCGACGACTAGGATTTGACATTTGCAGTATAAGAATTCATCAACCCTGCTAGGAGCACTGAATAGCAATGGCGCATAAAATATTTAGATGCATTAAGTAAGTAGAAATAATATATAGAACATGAATACAAAAAAATACTCCTTTACAAATGAAGTTTAGCATCCAGAACTATATTAAATAAGATAAGAAGAACTTTATTTATCCCTGAGGAGAAATTTGATATGCGAGTATCATTACAGGACAAATCCTTGTTCTGCACAAAAGTGGCTGGTGAAAGTGAAACAATATTGTACATTAGCTTGTGTAAGCTTTCAACCTATCCTCTTTATCCTTTCGTCTTAGACTTTTCCACCTTTGCAGAGTTCAAACCTTGTATTTAGGAAAATATTTTGCCGTTTGTCTAACAAAGTGCAAAAAGTAGAAATCAGCTGAATGCTAAATTTAACCTGGGGGGCAGCCATGTGATCTCAGTAAGGGGCTGAACATCAAAGCTCTCTCTATTTAACTTGTAAATAATCCTGAATTCATTCTCATACTTCTCTTTCCACTGCAAAATTGTCAACTTTCTGTTTTGGTATATCAAATAAAATCATCATAAATCTATTTTTCTTTTGCAGTTAAGAGCTGACATTGTTAAGCACAATAAGGGTGTTACATACACCACACATTAGGCCTCTAAGAAATATTCTGTACTCTAATTTGAAGGATGCTCCCACTCAAAGCTCCCATGAGGAAACATAAACTAGTCACGAAGAAGACTGATATCAGCAATGATGTCTTTTATAAGACACACAAAAGTAAATGAGACCATCAGACTTTTTTTTTCCATATTGTAATTTTTCATGTATGTATAACTGCTGTGAGGGTGTAGGTGTCAGACAGGATGATTGGCAGCACATGGAAGAAACAGCCTTCCTCAACATTTCTACTGTAATTACTGAGTCTAATTGATATCTTTGACGGTTAAGAGGCAGTAGAAGGATTTCTTTTTTGCCTCTGAATGCACAGGACGAGATCAGCATAAAAAGGTTTGTCCACAAGGGGCAACAAAACAAATGCGCACACAAAACTCCTCATCAGAGCTTTAAATGTCGTGGTGCACAGAACTCAACATTCATAAATGTGGTCAACTTGGAGTCTAAAGTAACATAAATTCCTTTAAATTTCTCACAAGTTGAAATAACAAGAAAGTGTACTGTTTATTTCCCTTCTCTGTTGAAATAACGAACATAAATACCGCTCTGTTCCCTGCAAATGTATCTTTGTAATCTCATAAGTGGCTTAGTTCATGGACTGTGTCTTGAACCTGACTGATTTGGACAAGATAAAAACTGAGGATGGAGGCTATGTTACAATGAATTGAAAATGTCAGCTGTAGCCACAGAATGTGCTGACAGGGTTTGAATCTGTTTCTGCACATGAATATACATATGCTTAGTCACTGAACCCACAGTCACGAACACCATGTCCTCCTCTGTTAACCTCTCTCTTTATTCTTCCTCACACATAAAAACAGACACACGCTCTCTCTCTCTCACACACACACACACACATGCACCATACAACCCACCCTGTTTAGTTCCATTCTTATTCTTCATCTCTATTTTTGGAGGAGAGATAGAGCAGCTGGTTAGGTAAAAACACACACATGCACACATACACACACACTGGCATTATGATCCGATACCAACAGCTTTTACATTGAGATGCAGATGATTTTCTGTTTCCAAAAAGGTAATATTTCTACTGTATAATTGAGGTCAAAGTGGGTGGTAGTGTTCTTCTGAAGTGCTTTATTTTGAAAGGTGCTAAAAATAATATCCCCCTCTTATGTATTTAAAAATATCAGAAACACCTCTTTATGTTTATATGTAAAGTCCAGTTCAAAAGCTTTGCAAACTACAAAACAACTGCAGTTAAAATTAATATTCCAAAGAGTACAAACTCATTTTCTATTTCCAAAGGCAGAATTTAAACAGATCATTTAAAACAAGTGTGGGTGATAAAGAGTATTGTGTGTGTGTGTGTGTGTGTGTGTTTACATACAGAGAAATGAAAAATGATCTTCACATATCACATTTCTGCTACAAGCGCTCACACTACATATCAAGAACCTCTGTCAATACTAAGCAGCCCCTGAGAGAGGCAGCATCCATTTTCAATGTGTAAAGCACATGTGTGCCGGGGTGGACAGTGCATGTGTGGGTGAGAGATTATCAATAATCAATGGGAGAAATCATTCAAGGCTTTCCTCTTCGACTGCTTTAAAGCACTGCATGAACCTCTGCTCATCTCACTCTGCCATCCACACATCCATCTCCCTTTCCCTTCTCTTTCATCCTTATGATTTCCATCCTTTTTTTTTTTTTTTCCAACAACAAACCAGCGAGCTTCTTTCCACCTCAATTATCTAAGTGAGGGCTTGAACTGTCTGATGGAACTCCAGTATCTGTTGGAGGCAAACCAAAACTGCAACCATAAAAACTGAAAAAATATGTAGCTTGGCACTCTGCATGTAAAAATGAATGTTGATCAGGCGCTGCTGACGCAGCTGTGGGACTAAATTCTTTCTCAAAAGCATTAGCCTGAAGGAAATTATGAAATAAGGCACCTTGTTCTACCTTAAATCCAACTTCCTGTCCTTAACTTGGTATCTTAATGGGCTGACAGCAAATCAGTTATCAGAGCATTTGCACCTTTCTTCAACTTAAGAGCTGTCCATCATTTTTCATTGCTGGACAGTGTTTCCTGATTGAAAATGAAGAATGCATTAGTTGTGGCTCAAGGACCTAAATCAGGCTTTGTATTATCGCCTTTCCTTTTTTCTCTCCTTCTAAAGCCTTTCATTTCTCGCCCAGCCGCTTCTCCTCTCTTCCGATCACACTCCCCCAGTTTGACGCCCACTGGAAGAGCACAGGAGAGCAGAGGGAGCGAGAGTAAGAGAGGGGGTGCATAAAAGGAAGAAAGAAAGGAAGAAAGAAAGAAAGAAAGAAAGAAAAAAGGAAAGAAAGAAAGGGGATTGGCATGGATTTGAAAGGGGAAAAAAAGAGAAAAAAGGAGCACATAAAGAGGCTTCTGTCTTCTACAAACGGGCGAATAGGTCGACCGAGTGGGGGCAAAGACAAGGAGGAATTTAGAGACATTTAAAATATGATTTCCCTTTTATGAAAAGCCATAGCCTCAAGAACTACAATTTTATGTAAAGTAATGAGTTGGCAAAAGTACAGCCAGTAAAACAGAACAGGTTCTTCTTTCCCAACCTTGAAAGAGACACAAAGTGTGGACTTGAGACCACAGAGCACAAACAGGAACGGAGATGGAGGGATATGCAGACAGAGACACACAGAGCTGGACTTCTCTAATGAGCTACCTGTAAAGCTGTGCTCTCATGCTGTCATTTCCTCTCTAACTTGGCCATGTATGAAAAACTGCATCACAGCCAGAAGTGTGTCCACCTTATTAGTTTAAAGGAAATGCAATGCTGTGTGAAAGGACTGAAAGAAGGGGGGAAAGTATCTGCATCATGAGGTGAGCACAATTGTTCCAAGGCTCCCTGGGTTTCTTTGGCACACACACAAGCATATACACAAACACAACCGAAATAAACAGACAGAAGCAGCCAGGGGCCCATTCAGCTTATTACACTCCCCATTACACAGACAAATGAGATCCTGGCCTCGTACCGATAATCTGCCCCCCAACCCCACCCCACCCCATGTCCTCTGCGTTGTTGTATTACATCATTCAGAAGCGGCAACTGTCAAGTTTGCTCGTTACAGTGCACAACCCTCATACAACATGGGCATCATGATGGTCAGAGTGGGATGAATCAGTCATGCAATTCAGTGATAAATAGCTGAAAGTGGATTCTTGTTACCTAGTCCCCATCTCAACCAAAACACGACACTTGAGATGATGACATGTTCACGGTCTGTTGCGTTCAATGCCCTCCATCACATCATTTCATTCATGCCGTACCTCCTATATTTCCTGTCACTTTTACTTACTAAAACTTAAACTTAAATGACCTGGAAAATTTTTATGAGGTACCAAACTTAACTTACGAAGCACCTGTGCACACCACCGCAACCACAATGGAAGGAGTCAGGTTGAGACACAAGCAGCCTTGGTTAGACAAGATACATGAAATCTCTACTAAAATTTTATATACTTGGGCCAGTTATGAGGAGTAGATAGAAGACTAAATGGTCAAATCATATAGGGCTCTCCCGATACAATATTGATATCGGATATTGATCCGATATCAGCCAAAAAACAAATATCTGATTATATCGGCCTGCATCTAAAATCTCCAATATTAGCACTCCAATACAACCATTTTCAGACTCCACTCTGGCACCTCTAGCTAGCAGCGCCCAGATCCAGCATGTAGACCCCACGTGATCACAACAACAGTGTGTACCAAAGGTACAAACAAAGTAGCAAGGAGGAGGAGTGATGTCAACTGTGTGGCAGTATTTTTTGTTAAAGCTCCAAAAAGACATTGCAACTTGGTGCAAAACTTGTCATGCACAAGTTTGTGCCAACATCAGATCAATATTGGTATCGGCCGACACTAAAGGCTACAATATCGGTATCGTATCGGAAGTAAAAAAGTTGTATCAGGATACCCCTAAAATCATAGCGCAACAGATTGAGGCATTGTGAGAGAGAGAGAGCTAGCACCGCCAGCCTTTGCTTCTCCCTGCAGGTTCACATCGCCGTGCCTGTACCTGTACCTGTACCTGTCACTCAGTGAGGGCTAAGTCAACATACAACTTTATTTCCAATTTCAAATGAAACTAAAAACTGCCAAAACCATGCCAGGCTTTGAGATGCCATAAATCATCTGTGCTTGTTTACATCCTGATAGTAGAATATCATAGACTGACAGCATTTGTGGGTGACTTGAGCTACAGCCCTAGCTAGTGGAAGGTGGCTGTGCTAAAGCTTGGACACAACATATGACCAGAACTTACAGGCCTACCATGAAAAGAACGTTATCAGCTGTTCTAATGAATGAGTAATTCTGGTGTCCACTAGTAAGGGTGACAAGGTTTCATTTTTGGGTCTTTAAATGTGCAGTCTTGGTAGGTAGGTGGGGGGTTGGGGTTGGGGTGTTGACATGGGACCCAAGTTCCCTATCTGTGCTCTAGAACTTATAAAGCCAAATAAGTGGTGTCTATGTGCACATGTGGTATCATCCCTGTAGGCCTGTTTCCTCACCTTTGTGTACACGCCCCATGACAGCTCTGTCTCAATCACCATGACGACGATGCCAAACATCCCGAAAATGAGGGCGTAGTCACTCAGCCTCTTCCTTTTCTCGAACAGCGCCCTGCGATGCCCCAGTTTATAGCCAATATTTTGGTTCTTTCGTTTGGGGGCCTTGGAGGTGCTGCCTCTGGCCCCAGTGCCTACAGCCCCGACCCCTCCTTGCCTGCTGCTCCTCCCCGTTTGCGCCCTCCTGCTCTCCACGAGCGCGTGGTTCTGGTGGTAGATGGACATCTGATTGGATGTGGAGTCTGTGATGTCATACCCTCCTCTAGGGTATGGCGAGTCTTCTTTGGATGATATCACAATCTCTGGTGGGCTCTGGATTAAGGGTTGGTTGGTAGAAGACTGGGCCGACAAGGAGGTAGGCGGGGCTTCTCGCTGTCGGTCCTGCCCACCAGCGACCGTTGCCCCAGCAACAGCTGAAACGCCAGCCTCTTTGGTTTCGCTGCTGCTGTCTGATTCGATGAGGTTTCTACGGGAGGCGCTGAGGCGGCTCAGGGGCTTCATGACCCCGCCTGTGTACTTACAGGAGCTCATGGCGATCTCTGTGAAGGGGTTACTGTCTCTGCGGTGGACCAGAGGGCTGGCCTGTCTGTGTTTGCACCCTCTTTCCCGCTCCCGCTCCCGGTCTCTGTCTCTGTCCCTGTCCCTGTCATGCTCCCTGTCCCTCTCCCGCTCCATAGATGGCGAGTGGGAGGAGTAAAAGAGGGCGTTGTAGACCGGTGAGTTATCCCCGCTAAGGCTGTGCTGTGAGCCGAGGCAGGAGGAGAGTGGGGTGCTTGTGGGGTGCAATGCGTTTGGGATGGGTGGGGGCAGAGGCTGGCCTCCAGAGGATGAGAGGGGCAACTTGGGGAGCGATGCTGGAGGTAAGCTGGGCGTGGCAGGAGATGGGGACGGGGTGCTGCCATTTAGACGGTCGAGGCTTGATCCTCCCATGTGGTTGGAGTGGTTTGATCCTGGCTGGTTGCCAGTGGTGGAGGGATGGGTTATGCTGCCCAGGGGTAGAAGGAAGCGCTGGTCCTCATCCTCGCTCCCTCCTAGCAGAGCCAGGCTCAGAGAGGGGGGAGGCTCCATGGTCACAGCTATGGCCAGGCACCTTTCTATAGACAGACATAGACAGAGGAGAAGCTTCATAAAGACTGACTGAGGAGAAAAATGACAGTGAGCACAGACTATTTATCATTGAGCGCAGTAATGAAGAGGGAGAAATTGGCTTGAGGGAGGAGTGGGGGAGCTTTGTGATGGATAACAGTTAGTTAAAAGACGTGAGGGAATAGTCTGAACTCCAAAAGCTGGAGACATGTGACAAAGAGGTGCAGCAGAGTGAAGAAAAGTAGCCATAATTGGGGAATATGTTATTCCTTGAGTCGCATTTGAGTCAGCTGCCCAGTCAGCCCCTCTCAGCGCTCTGTGTCTCTGTTACCCAGTGTCCTCTCCTTCTCTCACATCCCACAATGCTTCCAGCCATTTGTGCCATAAAATGTCATCTGTGTTACACTGTTGTTAGCCAGAAGGATGGTGCACATCCTCTGGCTTTACACCATGAAAATGAGATCAGGCACAGAGACTGGGGGGGGTAATCGTGCCACATGGGTCAATTTTGATAGCAGGGGAAGTACTCTTTGTGTGCATACCTTAGTTTAGCATTAGTTGGCTGTATTTTTATGCATTTGATTGATCCCAAACAATAACCTACTTTCAGTATGACATAATCAGACACCTTCACGCCCCCCTCCCTGTCTGTTTCTCTACCTACCTCCTACCTCTTCTCTCTCAGTCCCTGTCCCCCAGGTTAGTTGTCTTGAATCACTGGCTGGATGAAAATAGACCACCACACTTTTTCTTTTTCATGTTGTCACGGCCATTCCATCATCTTTTCGCTTCACCTCCTCTCACATAGGTTCCCTCCACAGGTCCTCGCTTGTCTCGAGATTGCGCGTCGCTTCCCCCACAGATGTTTGCCTCCGTGTCCGCTCACTTGATAAGCTCAGTTTGTTTCTTTCTCGTTCAGCACTGATCTCTCGACGGTGCCCATTTCAATCCAGTCAGTGACAACCGACCCCAGATAAAGAGGTGTAATCCATGTTGACTGGATTAAATCGGTCAACCTGTGGCTGCACGTCAAAAAATTCCCAGCAACATAACCGTCAGAGGAAGGCGCAAAAAAAAAAAAACACACAAACAAAATACAAGGCTGGATGTCCAGTTGCGCTCCACAAATGAGCAGCGAAGCCTGTCATATAGTATGAGACTCCACCGACTTCCACTCAATCTACAGCTCACTGTCTCACCGGATCTGTCTCTCACTCTCTCCTCCAACTTCTCTCCCTCTTTCTCCGCCTCCAGTCCTGCCGTTCATTCCCATTGGACGGAATCACAGAGGCGAAATCAGCGCTGAAAACAGGTGGCAGGATTTGTAGGATGGTGCTGCCAAACAAATGTCTAATTTTTGTACCCGGGGTGTGCTGTTTTTTTTTTTTTTTCACTGTGGCTCTGGCAGACAGCGTGTGAAACTGCTGCCTGAATAAAGAAGACTACGGTGGGTTAAAATCACCTGTTACGCGCGTAAAAGACGCTGAAACTGGCAACATAGTGTGGAGAAAAAAAGTCATTTGGGGAGGAGTTTTCACGTTTAAAAAAGTGAATACATTTGTGGAACAATTTCTGGTAAAAAAAAAAAATATCTATGATTTATAAAAACACATGGCGTGGAGGAGGGTGTGGAAGCAGCAGGAAGGGCGCTTCTCTGAGGGTACACGAAAGACCCAAACACTTCTGTTTTGCTATTTCAATGACTGTTTTATTTTAGAATCAAATGAAATGGGCAGATTGATAAGCCCCCTGTCAAAACGTGTTGTTGTTGTTTTTTTTAATCACTAGCTATTTTGACTTTTGCGTTAAATTACCATTAAAATACTGTAACGTGAGGGTTGGATGTAAGGTGGTTGGATAATTCAAATGATGAGAAACAGCAGGATGGAGACGGATAACTTTCTTAACAGCACTTTTACTGTTCGGTCATCTTGTCATGAACCACAACATAACCCAAAAACTAGTGTTGTGTCGTTCAAAAACGATTCCTTAAAAAGAACCGAATCTTTTAAGTGAACGTACTGAACCGAATCATTTCCTCAAGTGATTCGTTCGTTTCTCACTTCAGTTAAGCTGTCAGCAGGGCAGATGCTATAGCACGCAGCATTGCCAGGCAAGCAGCCGGCGAACGAGGGATCACATGCACCGACGTCTGAATCACTTGGTAAAAGAATCACGCATTGAATTACACTCTCTGGAATCATTTTTGTAGGACAAAACTAACTTTTTTTATTTTTTACTACAACAGCTTGCATACAATTGGACACAGCATGTAACAAGGAATGCATAAAACCCGCAGCATCCTATCATTGCAGTGGTTTGCTAGGGAACGGTGCATGTTCAGTGTGAATTCTTCTAAATGTTCAGTGAACAAATCACTTACTGACCCCAATTTACCGAGCAGACCAGAGTACACTTAAAACATCATGACTTATAAACAAGTTCATTTTTACAAACCTGTTTGTCATAGAAACACAGCCAAACACTCATGTCTCCCAGTCCCAGACAGAGTCACAGGCTCCTCCAACCAAACACTGAATGATTCGGTGAGTCCATGAACGGATCTTTTTAATGAATCTTTTGAACGAATCTTTTTAGTAAACTGAGTCTAGTGGTTCAGTACATCTAAAAGAACTGCCGTGTCCATCACTACCAAAAACTTAATATCCTGGACAACCCTGATCACATGTCACCGCACTTACCAATCAGAGGCTAGGACCTCAAAATAAATGTAAATGAACCTCAGAAACACATTCTGCATAATCTGCTAACCCTCACAAACAGCTGCAGAGAAAAGCATTTAAACTTGAAAATATGTAAATATGAACCTGTCAACAACAGAATTCTCTGTATGAATTCTATGAACACAGTTTTTTAGCTTAACTTAAAGACAGTTAACTGTAATAGATAACAGAAATACATGAATTGACTTCACTGTTAAAGCTTTTATAGTACTAAACAATGATGTTTAGTACTGAAAGACCTAAAAAACCCTGCTGCATAAGTCACTAGGGGGATTCTTTGATTTCATTCCTCAAAGACTAATCAATTCATAACTCTGGAGAGCCCATACAACATAATCCTACATAATGAGGCTATTCTACCTGGTTTAATCGCTTTAAAATGATAGTTCTCTATGTGCGTTATGGGCACCCTTAATCGGATGAGCATTGACGCGGTTCCGTGTGGGAGCGGATTAGACAGTTTCCTCCTAGCAGGTCAGTTTATCCTGCGATTATCCAGCTGGACAGACATCAATATAATAATATTCAGACTGATCTCTGGCATTATTTATAAATCACAACCCATATGTCATGGTTACAGTGAGAGGAGGGAAAACAAGCCATTCTGCTATATGTTTCACCCTCAATTTCATATTTACAGTCCTTTTCCTGTGTTTTTTTCCCTCTCTCACTAACTGCATCCTTCTGTATCTACCAACAGACTACTTTCCCTTCCTCATGAATAGAAAATAAACACGTAATGTGTTGTTTCTGCCCTGGGCGTATTCGTGATGGGTCAGTGATGGAGAGTGGCTGCTTCAATAAGCGGTAATTCTACATTGAAAGGCCAGGAGAAAGGTCAGAGGTCAGCTCTGAACCATCAGCAATCAAAATGTATAGGGGACAATGGAACGGTAAAAGACAAAATGGAAGAAGCAGGACTGGATGTATGTACGTATAGGGCCGCATTACATCTCCATACTACAAATGGACAATATTTCAATTTATTTATTTATTTTTAAATGGAAAAAAAAATCCAACTATGTAATGTCAGATATGCATTTTTTTTCTTGAAGCACTAAACAGAAAAATAAAACATTCAAAGCTGCTGCCAAGGGCCACAAAGGAAATGTAATAAAGAGAAAACTCAATCCACAAAATGAATATCAGCTTCGTACCTCAAGGAATGAATGCAAAAACACAAATATGTGGGTGGCTCTCACCTGCACAGCTTGTATATTCCTCACATTTGTGTTTTGTTCTTTATCTGCACAAATAAAAAGACTCGAGTCATTTATGCAAAAGAGTAATCATTAAAACTTTGATGTTCTGGCAGCAGTTTCTTCACAGCTGCTCTGTTAGTAAAACACAGTGGGGAGAGAAAGAGAGAGAGAGAGCAGGAGCAAAGAAGAGATTTGACAAACTCAATAGAATACAATAAAGCAAAGAAAATGGAGAAAGGGGGCTGCAGGCCTGAGGGGACATTAGGACTGATAGAAAATAGAAACAGTGGCAGGCTGCGTGCGCTGTATATCATTCAGGAGCCTTAATATTGTGGACAGAGGTTAGAGGGCAGCCAAGAAAGATGGAGAGTTTAGAACAGTGAAAGGAGGGGAAGTGACAGAGAGGAGGAGTGATGGGTCCATTGAATGAAAAGGTTAGTCCACAGTCCTGCCCTGCAGCAGCAGACGTCAGATGTATGTTGAGAGAAATATGTGAACGAGAAAGTGAATAATAGAGTACAAAGAGGAATAATAAAGTGGGACGACAGTTGCCATGCCAACATTGTAGTATACAAATGAGATCTCAGTTCTGTCCTTTCTTGTCCCTAGATCTGCAAACAAACACGATCAAATACATCACAAACAACTTACAGAATTAACAGAATAAAATGCTCGCACCCTGTCACAAACAGTCCAATAGACACTTTACCTTCTCCTCCGACAAGACAACTTTACCGTCATAGGACGGTCAATCAGAAATCAAGGAGTTCTTAGCCACACATGTCCTTTCCTCTGGGTCCACTCCTGTTTAGATAAACTTAGAAATGTAGATAAATGAGATAATGAGTGGTGCCTCTGTAGACATCACTGTTGAATTGGATAGCACTGAATCTAATGAATTATTTTGGCTTTAATTAAGAATGTATGTAGTTTATTGATAAAAGTGTTTCTAGAAGAATCAATTTGACTACTGCACATTTTCTGGTTGTATACATTAGATCAAACTTCATTGCTGTTGCTGCAAAATGCTGTCGTTAACAGGGTTGATGATAAATATTAGTGATGAGTGACTGTATTGCATAGCTGCACAAGTCTTCTCAATAAACCACTGAGCTCTATCTGACCCACTCTGTCAGACATGTCCTAATTGCTGCTCTACACCGGCTCCTCTGTATCCTAATGGCTCAGATTGCATTAAGGGGCCTAGAGGCTGTGTGGGCTAACCCACAGCCTAAAACTGACCGCTTGTATGCAGATGGATCCCTGCAAACAGCACTCTTATCCTGCTGCCTGAAAGAGACTAATCAAATACAGGGATGGAGACGGGGGGATTCAGAGGGGTGGTGGTGGTGGTGGTGGCTGGTGAAGCTTGCAGAAGGCAATTGGTAATGTCGTATGAAACATATTGCCTACAAACATCCCCTCTTTGAAAGAGCTGACAAACCAAACAGTCTGTTAGTTCAGCGTACTAACAAGACTGTGCAGCTGTCATGTGATGAACATTCAAAAGTGTATGAGCAGTTCAAAAGGTGACACAAGTTTCAAAGTGTCAGCATGATAGCAGAGTTCATGCCAGGATGGTACTGATGTTCTGGATATGTGTCTTTGTCAGACGCTGTTTGACCAAAAGTCTTTCGTCAGCAGATTGGTGACACTGCCAGATTTCCTCTCATAAACTCTCTTCCTGTCGCGTTAAAATTCAGGTCCTTTTTCACCCCCCCTGAGGTTTCATGGGAGTTGTTGGAAGATTGGAAACTGGACAGTGTTTTCTTTTTCCTTCATTCCTAGAGGGTTTCAAATGCAGGGGTCATTTTTTTTAACAGACACCTATCATAGAGCCAAAGTTGAGTGCCACATCACTTTCTCAGTTGTCACTCTCTGACCTAATTCTGACTGTGGCCGGTACTTCTTTACCCTTAAAAAACTGTCCTGCCCATAGACTATATATACTAAATATTCTACATACAGTCTATGGTCCTGCCTCAAAACATCAAACATGTACAGGAGTATTTATCTACTCTGCTTTCCTTTTTTTTGTCCCAGATTTAACTGTAACAAAGACTGAAATTGAGACTAACCCAAGATTGACAGTCCTCGTTAATTACCCTTTAGTTTCATGTCTTTGTACCAATTTGAGTCTAGTATTCTGCTTTGTCCCTCATCCTTTGCTTCCAGTCTGAATGATTTTTCTTGGAAACTTAAGTTCTTCTTGCAGCAGCTCAGGATGTGAGCTAAGAGGTGTTGTGTCTTGATCATTTCAAGCCTTTATTAAAGATTTGACACAAAGATAGCAGACAGAAATTTGACTCGGAGATTAGCGCATTAAATCCCTTGAACTGATTTACGCCGGGTGCCTGGCTAGGTAGATGCAGGTCAGGTCCCGTGTTCTTAATCTCTGTAAGAAAAGATAGAGGAAACTTTTGCAACTTTGAATTTAAAAAGGAAAATAGCACCAGTAGGTTTTAAGTAAGCGGTAACCTCTGGTGCTGGAAAATGACGCCAACATACAACTGTAAAAAGTGTAGAGTATTAAATCTTGTAGATCACCATGCTCATATAATCTAACTTAACAGCTGAAAATATGATGTTTAAAACTCAAAACCACAGAAATAGTCCCAATAGCTTTTCATATTGAGAGGATACTAATCAAGGATGCAGGCACCCTTGGTCATCCCACTGAGCAGAGACGGCTCAGTATTAGACGGCTATTAGACGTCTGTTTTTTTTTAGACCTAATTTCAATCATCTAGATTCTGTATATTTTTAGACGTTGCACTTTAACCCAAAAAAGGCAAAAAGCAACTGATCTCCAAGTACTTCCAACCATCTATCCATCTTCTACCGCTAATCCCCGTTCCCAGGGTCGCTGGAGCCTATCCCAGCATCTTCGGGCGAAGGCAGGGGACACCCTGGACAAGTCGCCAGTTCATTGCAGAGCTGACATGTAGAGATGAACAACCATCCATGCTCACATTCACACCTATAGGCACTTTTAAAGTGGCCGATGAACCTGACCCCACTTCTGCATGTTTTTGAGATGTAGGAGGAAACTGGAGTAAACCCATGAAGACACAGGGAGAGCATGCAAACGCCACACAGAGATGCCCTGACCCGGATTTGAACCTGGGACCTTCTTGCTGTAAGGCAACAGTGCTAACCACTACACCACTGTGCTGCCCTGCTATCTCAAAGTGCTTAACCAAAATGATTATTGATAGCCATTGAGCAATATACAGTGTGGTATAGCTATAGCTCTGTTAGCCGGCTAGTCTAAACTAGACTTCTAAAAAACTTTCATTTTTAGACCTGTGGTAGCCTGATTTTAGACCAGTCATCTAGGCCACATCTAGACGTCTATTTGACCTCTTTTAGACCAAAAAATGCTTAGTGGGATAAGTATTGTCTTATGAGAGATGTGTAGTCATGTTAAGTTGGTGTACCCACTGGGGCCGGTCTGAGCTCTAATTGTTGTTTTTTTCTGTCAAATGACATAAACAGGCATCAGTAGGCACAACACCAGAGCCATTTGAATCACTCAGCAAATCTGACGTACAGCCATTCAGATCCCTGGAATCACACCCCTCTGATCCCTCTGTTGAATCTCACCACAGCTGAACACCATGGAGCACCATCCTGCCCTTTGTTGGTTGGAATGACTGGGATTGTTGTCATAATGAAAGGAAGACAAGTGAGAAATCTGCGGCTGGTTCTGTGCCCCCGTAGTTTACAGACGTGTCAAATATAAGCCTTCTTTGATACCCTTGCAGTCAGGAGTCAAGGTCTGAAGCCCTCTGACAAAAGGAATGCTTTATTGTATTTATGTGCTGTGCTTGATTGAAGAGGCAATCGGCTAAATATGTCTGTAAGTGTGAGCAGCTGCCCGAATGCAAACATTCAGAAGTGCTAAAGAAGTCTACAGGCTAATTACAGTTTTAGTGTGTCAGCATGATAGTAAAGTTTTATGGAGGGTTTTTTGTGTGTGTGTGTGTTTCTTAGAGGCTGCAGTCTCCCTTAGTCAGCTGTCTTCCATCTCACAGCTAAGTGACATTGCCTGATTCTTGCCAGACTCTTTGTGACACTTGATTTCTTTAAAAAGCAGCATTATATGGGCAAGTCAGTTCTGCACAATCTCACTTTCAATCACTATTATGGCCAAATTGTCATTTACTGGAAATACAATAACAATACATAACTGTAGCATTTAGTTTATTTCTATATTCTCACCATTGGAAACCGGAGTGTTGGTGCCTTTTTAGTGAAGAAATATTACGTATACATACACATTATGGAGGGACAGGTCTCCTTGACTATTACAGGAATTGCTGGATATGACGAAAGAGTGTTGCAGAGCATTAGCTAAATGCTAAAGCCCCCTGCTCATATTTTTAGATATGTGAACAAGGTCTATCACTAATCTGTACTTGACATTTAATCCTGATTGGAAACCTCATTATGGTGGAAATCAATTCTCAAAAGCAAAAGTGATTTCAGGGAAACCTTATCGCATCGTTTCAGTTCAATCTGCAGAGGAAGCAACAACACATTTGACCACTGCCTGTTGACACTGTTGCAAAAATGTCAGACAATATTTCACAACATCTCGGTACTACTTAGTAGCAGCGCACGCCTACCGTAAAAACTGTTGTTCAGGACTGCGTGCAACATGCTAACTCATGCTTTCTACCTACTCGGCTATCGTAATAACCGTTGTTCTAGTCTACATGCAACATTTTTGTTCTCATTCATTAAACCCGTAAATCGGGGGCATTCCCGGGGACAGCTTTAGCCGGGGACAGGTCATCCAAAATGGGGACTGTCCCAGGAAATTGGAGATGTCTGGTCACCTTAGCCCAAACTGTCTCTGATAGGAGAAAGTGGAGCAAGACCCTGTCCTGCAGTCCAGACAACAGAAGCAGAGCTGTTGAGAACAGCCATAAGTTGACTACTGCTGCAGCAATTGCAACGACGTATAAAGATATCAAAAGGTAAGTTATTTAAAAGAATAACAACTCTTTCAACAAAACTTCAAACCAATCCATGAAATCAGCTTCATCCAAAATCTAAATATTGTCTGGGTACCATTTACAGACATGGACACGACTGTACGATTAATGGCAGTGATGTTATTAGTTCATGTCTGTGCTATTGTACCGTAGCAGGCATGATTGGAAGTAAAAGTGGATGTTTTCTGTAACAACTGAACTAAACTGAAATCCCATTCATATCCCCCACACCATGTTGTTTTCACCAGAGCCCCTCTTTCCCTCTTAAGTGCTTTATAGACTTGAGGCTCAGTTCCACCAGCCCCACCTTATTTGACCAGTATAAATTTGTACCCGACTCCACAGGTTCTCCTGATCTTGATTGTTTTGAACTTAACTTCTAGGCCATTTCTCTTCTCACTCAGCCGGCATGTATTCCCTCTTTACCCTCTCTCATTTATTTCCATTGGAGAGGATCGATTGGTTGGTTTAAGCTCTTTGTCTGGACTAATATTTCACTCCATGCAGCCCCATTGAACTCGCCCATTTTTCCCTCTGCCGTGCTTTGCTCCCCTTCTTCCATCATTAGTGTTGCCCTCCCACCACCAGATAACTTGACAGGAGAGATAGCATGGGCAGAAGTTGATGAGTGGAGATCTGATTCAAACAAGCTTTCAGTGCTGAAGACAGGCTATTTGGACAATACAAGCATGTAATATCACAAAACTGTTAATATAACAGGCTGTTTGGGGGTCTAGAAGTACTTCTTAGAGACTACACTGATTGGCTGCCAACATTATTTCATTTTATCCCTTGACAGAAACAATTACTACAGAACCTGAGACCAGATCAGGCACTTCGTGGAGGTGATTCAGAACTAGAGGCTGAATGTCACTTTTTGTTTCCATTGAGACTTTACACCAAGCGACGACTTGAAACGACTTGTTTAAATGTTCAATGTTATTGCAGCACATTTAGACTCAGCTGACACAGTGAGCATGATCAGTGTTGTATAGTGTAATGATCCCTTAAGATACAGCATGTTCACTGATTGTATCTACACGCAATTAGGATGTTTTTTTATTGAATTGGAGGCATCCATAATTGATGTGCGATGGGATTTAAAAAAAATCAGATGTACCAAATACTTTCCAAACTAATTACTCACCTGCTGATAGTTGGGTTTGATTTAATAGGTCATAAAGAGGAATCTGCCAATTTCAGCTGGCTCACAAACCTTCTCTTCAGGAGCCTTATGAATTTCTAATAGCTAACATGCTATGATGTGTAAATCTATTTTATATGAGAGTTACTCCGATTTTGATCTTAAGCCTTTCTCCACATGCCCTCTCACTCTCACAGTCACAACCTCCCACCCTCAAGGTGAGGACATGTTTCCATCTGCTGATCCTTTGGAGCATTGCACCGGGCTCTGCAGGTACTAATAGGCAGATGGAAGCAGACAATAAGGAACCCCTGCTGAAAAAGAAAATCTCATACTCAGACCTTGACTTAAAGAGAAGTGCTTTTGTAATATATTCAGTGTCAGAGGCTGAGGATTTCAGTCGCAACATAACCTGACTACTCCTGCCTCCCTCTCCTGAATCATCCGCACATCTGAACCTGCGTGTGATTGAATTTCAGAGAGTAAAGAGTAAAGCAGACTCTGACAAAAAAAAAATAAAAAGACACAACCTGATACCAATCCAGTGGAACACTGCTACTTCTTTTATTTTAACTCCAAACTCTATTGGTAAAAAACAGCATGTACATTGCAGTTCAATTGAAAGAATGTAAAAAAAAAACAACTGTAGATGATTTACAAAGTATATACATTAAACCCACACATACACATACACACAGATATTTACAACACTTAAGTTGAACATCACGTAGTTTTGCATTTGGTGGGGTTCAAAAGTCTGAGTCCAACACCAAGAAGTATGTCTAAATGATTAAAACAACCCAAACTCTTGCGCTCACATCTTCTAAAGCTCCTTGTTCAAAAATATCTAGATCCACTTGAAAACAATCTCCAAGGAAACACATCGAACTGTTCAAACAACCTTGCTGTAACTTGACAAAGGACTTACTCTGAAGTCTAGTTTTAAAAGTCACAGTTTCAAGTCTTTCTCAAGGATTAAAAAAAAGAGTTATTGATGACTTCAGGTGACAATATGGTCCTTTATAAAAACATAAACTCTGGGGCTGTAGTGAGAGAGCAAAGAACGTATCGATTTCTACTGAAAGGATATCATAAAACTTTTTACTTCCCAGCAACACAATCGCTGCAAACATTAATCAGTTTCACAAAACTGTCTGCAGAAATATGAAGCACTAACTTGTTTGATTCAGCTGACCTCAAACAAAAGCAGCAAACTGTTGTCTCACTCGTGTTCAAGCTTTACAAAAATATCTCTCCTCACAACAGTCGTCTGGAAGAAAAATCTGAAGCGATCGAACTTCAAGATATTTTTCTCACTTTTCAGAGCTTCCCCCCCTAAATAAAAATCTGGAAGTGGACTCAGGCTTTTGAACCCCTCCCTGCATCTGTGTCCATGTATATGCATAAACCTGATGTATATATTGCATCATCCGTTGACATTACGTCAAACAAAGAAGAGCTTACATTATCTCCTTGGACAACACAACTGACATAACTTTGTATTCCTCAAGAGCTGGCCGTGCGAGAAAAGCCCGGAAACCTTTTTTTTTGTCTGATGGAGATGTATAAAACAGTGTGCAGGCAGGCTGCAGGCAGGAGAGTTGAGGCTTCACGGGACTCTCTAGCACGGCTAGCTCCTGAGGAACTTTTAGAGAGCTGAAATAATGAGATACTAAAATACACACAAGAACACAACACAGAAAAGTAACTCTTGTGGGTCATAAGAAATCGTATTAAAAAGCACGTAGCACAGAAAGGGTGAGAAATTGGACAGAGGACCTTTTCTAATGACAGCAATGGCAATAACATGTGCAGGGAAAGCTGAGAGGGGGAAGGAGGTTTGAATCGTACACAGACAGGGGCCAGGATGAAGGTTTCGGAGTGTGTACAGGATGCCAAAGCCTTGTATTTTAAAGAACGAATGATTGGTTGGTTGCAGAGCGGCGCAACAGTTTGCATTTATGTTCTTGCTATGTACAGTGAAAGAATCTTGTGCCTCTTGCTTACTTCTTACATAGAACCAAACTGAGTGCAATTTTCAGCAATCAAGATTCCTGCTGAGAGCAACTCTGCTTCTTCTTGCTGCATGTATTTCCATGCATGTGTACAAAGAGTGGGGAAAAAAAAATGAAAAAGCACTTGATGGCAGAGGACTTGAACTCTAAATTAACCTAAATCACAAAAACAAACACTGCTAAGCCGGGGCCATGTGATGTCCAGAGTCACTTAGCAGCGCTTGTCAGCTACTCGAGCTCTCGTGGCAAAATTAGACAGTAAACAGTGGTCTGAAGAGGCCAAATCAAACGCGTCCAAGAATGAGTTCACAAGTCAAGTGGAAGAGTGGGAAAACACGGCAGAATATGCCAAACAATATAGAGAATCACAAGATTAAACCAACCCAGATATATCTTTACGGTATGAAGGAAGCAGACATACACAGTAACCCAGGTTTGCAGCAATGTTTACTATGTCGCTTAACTGATTTCAAACTGTTTCCTTTTTATTTGTAGTGTTTGTTTTGTGTATCCTGTGGCCCTCTTCATAGATCTCTCTGACCCCACTCATCCCCTAGGCCTCGCCCTCGCCATCGTCCTCTTATCTATCGTGTCCTTTTTCATCACTTTTCCTCTCAGGCTTAAAGCATGTTCCATTAGAGGACATCATTCTGACCACCAATCACACTTTTCCAAGCAAATCAAAATCAATTATTTGTCTCTGTCAAACCCCAACCCCACCCCCACCCCCCATGCATATTTACTTCATACCACTCACACCTTCTCTACGCCTCCTCTTGCTTAATCTCCATTGCCCCTCCATTTCTACTGCCGCCGTATCCCACAGCTACACCCACCCCATTGTTCCTGATCCCCTCCCCTGTGTCGAAGCTCTTCTCCTCAAGCGGTTTGCCGATCCAGGCGCCGTAACCGTGGTTGCTGAGCGCTTGAAAGAACTGCTGCTTGGCTTTCTGGAAGAACATGGCTGACATCTTGGCCTGGGAATATGAAGGCAGGGAGAGGAGGTCTGTGCGGCCACACCGCTGGCACAGAGATTGGAAGAGACAGAAGAGGTTGGACTTGGACACTCTGGACACGCTCAGTTTTTTCCTAGAGGGGTGATAAAGAAGTCTTACAACAGGCATAAAGGAGTTTTTCGTTAAACAGTGCAGTTTGAGTTTCTACTTCAGCTGATAACTTAATGGAGTCTGGTGGGTTTATACAAAGCCGATGTTAGCCTTTATGGACAAAGCATCCACTTCAATTATGCTTAATTTGACAACAGAGGCTATTAATAAACAGTGTGTGATTCCATCGGGAGCGACAGGTGTTTGTTCAGTGACGTACCCATCCAGTTTCCCCTTGGTCCCATCCAGCACCTCCACACTGTGTTGGTCGTATAAGCTCCAGTTCACGCTGGACTCCTTGGTCTTGCCAATGTGACGGGTGGAGTCGTACACGCTCACCCTGCCCACCTGCAGTCCAGCCAGGTGGTGTGGGAGAAAGCAAAAGGAGAGGTGGAGAGCATGTCTGCTCAATCATGCTAATTCAGCCGCAAAATCTGAGTCAGCAACTCCAGACAGGACATGAAAAACAAGTTCTGCAACGCATGTGTCACAATGTGTGTCCGTCAGTGTCGTATGAAACCAGCTCTACTGATGTGTGAACAGCCAAGAAAGCGTTCAGAAATGGCTGCAACAAAGAATACGCTGAATTTTGTTCGTCTGCCAGCGACTGTTTTTCTCGGGGACTTCATTGGCTACGTGACAGTGACCTTACCTGCTCGTTGTTAATTGATGGATGAGCCAAATTTAACAACGACGAGCGGTGAAGAAACAGTTGTTCGGGCACAAATAAGAGACTTGGCAGCATAATTCATTAAATTAGTGCGATGACCTCAATACTCCTGATTAATGTCCGCACGTCAAATTGACAAAACTTGTGTTATTACCTCTGGGTGGTTGAGCATGAAGGAAGCTGGGAGGCTTTGGGTAAATGCCGTACCGTCTCTGGCCAGCCGACAGCAGACAGCACGTGTGAGGTGTCCGTGGCTGTACAGATAGCCTGACAGATTAAAGACAGTAAAGACAGATTGTAAGAGACAAAGTAGCAAGGACGAATCGGAGAACTTGTCATAAATATTCTGCTTTTAGGAGGAGAGTGAGCTTACCCAGAGTGATGGACTTCAGGTAGATGGGATTCAGGAAATGGGAGAGCAGTGCCCCCTGCAGACCCAACACGTTCCAGCGCAGGATTTTGTCACTGCAGCTCATGGTTCGAAGTCTCTCGCCGTGCTGGATGCCGTCCCAGGTGGGCACGATGTCACTGGACTCCACTGGAATGGTGCCCTCGCCTGAAACGAGCCACGAAAATGTTAAAACCACAAGTCCTGCCTACAGACAAAATGACACCCAAGCACTGCAAACTTCCATCTCTTACCATTCTCCACTTTGGTCCGGAGTTTACCCTGCTTGTTATTCTCAAACAGAGGCTGATGACCCTCGATGTCATCCCCTGTCTCACTGCAGGACTTGTCAAACAGAGCACCGTCCCCACAAGGTGCCGTGCTATTGTGAGACAGAAAGAAGAGACGTTAAGATACTGATATGACACTCACCATAATGACCTGAGGTATACAAGAGAAGGGATCATATTGATCCAAACATGAAACACTGATGGATGTGAGTGACGGGCAGGGCAGGAATGAAAGAGGAGATAACGAGGGGAAGTGAGTAAGGAGAGAGAACATCCGACACTCTCACCTGATGTAGAGGTGAAAGGTTATGTCAGCTTTGATTTGGAGTTTGTTGTTCTGCCCAGGCTCAAATATGCTTTCTTCTGTGCCGTCATAGTGTTTCATCAGCTCACTGTACAGAAACCTGAGAGGAAGTGAAATGATGACTTAGACTTCAAAATAACATCAGGCAGAGCAAGGTCTGGAAGAGGAAGTATTTTTAGAACAGAGGGAACAATGTGGATTAAAAAAATACAGAAACTATGTCTACCGAATAAATCCCCGTCTCGAGATGATCTCAGCATGACAGTCATTAACCGTCTCCCCTTTAAGGCTCAGCTCCTCCCCTTTTACACAGCGGTTTCCTGGCAGAAAATATGACAAACACAGTCAATGTCAAATAACACAACAATGCAACGCCTCTCGGTCCTGCAGTGACCCAGTTCGGTTGGTCACACCATGAAGAAGTGCAGCGGCATATTTTCGATGTGGCGGCACACACGCCCTGTTATTGCCACCACCCTTAACTCTAAAAGGTTACATGCTTCGAGTATGAATATACCAGTTCCCAGGCTGACAACAGTCCCCAGGCCCTCGCCTCTCCTCATGACAATGGTGGCCAGAATCTTGCGTCCCAGAAGGCTGTGCTGGATGCGCGTGGTCAAGGAGTTGAAACGCTGGTGGCTCAACATCGCTATCTGGTCGTGCAAAGTGCTGCCGCTCACTGGAAGCTGGAGAGGAGGATGTTTACATGACAGGACAGGCAAACAGAAAATAAAATAAAGATTTGATGCAAACTCAACGCTGTGGAAACTATTTTAAGTGTCTGCCTAAATTAGTTATTTTGCACTATTAACACAGCGGTGAACTTTTCTTTCTTGAGCATTTCTATAGACCTATTTAAAAAGTATCTGCTACTATCAGTTTGGACTCAGATTAAGTTTAAGTCACCAAAAATGAACACAGTAAAAAACTAGAAAAGCACTCGGAGAGCGCAGACCTCCGCCAAGCAGCTCATGTCCCCCCTTATATTGTGATTCACACCAAAACTTTTACTGTTACGTGTCTTTTATTAACTTTTATTTGTGTTTTAACTGGTATGTTCACTGATCATAATGTTCCTAAAACAAGAAATGCCCTGACGCGGATTTGAACCCAGGACCCTCTGGCTATGAGGCAACAGTGCTAACCACTACACCACTGTGGCGCCCATCTACACCACTGTGCCGCCCATTGGTTACCACCCTTATTTTTGTGTTCTGGATCATAGTATCCGGAATTTTGTCTGGATCAGGATCAACCTTTGACACCTCATAAAACTCATTGAGATCCTTTCGTGTAATTTTTTTTACTAAAGACTCTGGACATTTTTATAGAGTTAAATGCAAAAATTCCACAATTTGCCCTATCTCACAATGATGAAGAATCCTTCAAAAAATTCCTGGATCCAGAGGACGATCCGGATCACCACCAAAGTTTAATGGGATCCTCCAGGGGCTGAGACGCACCTCTGGTGAAAATCTCAGGTCAATCCGTCTGTTACTTTCTCCGTAAAGTTGCAAACAGAAAAACAAACTCACAAACAAACAAACCAACGCTACCGAAAACATAACCTCCTTGGCGGAGGTAATTATGGCCTTTAAGACATGATATCAGGTTGTCTAGCATGGGTCTGGTCCTTCCCAAGGTTTCTGCCTTTTAAAAGGAAGTTTTTCCTCGCCACTGTCACTCATGTGAGATGAAGTTGGTCAAATCTGTCCCATCTTAAGGTTGGGTCTTGATAATTCATCAAACAATCAGCCTGGTCTAGACCTGCTCTTTTTCTTTAGAAAGCGTCTTTGGATAATGACTGTTGTGAAATGGCGCTGTTTAAATAAAATTTGATTGATATTAGGAAGCACGAAAAAACGCAGTCTTAAGTGTTTAATATCCTTTCAACTGCTTCATATCTTAAAACCACAACAAAACAAAAGCCCTCTAACAGACAGAGCCCTTTAATGTTCTGTAAACCTGAAAAATCGTTTATTTATAGACTCAATTGTAACTCCTAATTGGCACACGGATATTAAAGCTTTTATCTTGTCACTGAATCAGCTTTGCTCACCTGAAGCTCTTTGTTAAAACACAAAAGCATTGACATTAACTAAGCCCAGCTTAACCTCTAAACACAGGTAATGAGGTAATCAAAAGCTTTGGCTTTGCTGCCGCTGCTGCTGCTTCTGTAATCCTGTTACATACTGCCTTATTTCTGTGCTGAGTCAGACGGGGCTCTTGAGATGTGTGTGCATGCTCAGATTTCCAGATAGAAAATGTGAAAACGTAAAAGAAAAAATCAAAACCTCAGCTGGAATAAGCTCTCCGGTGCGAGCCGCCCTCTCAGCCTCCCCGATCAGAACCCGTAGAGCAGCGTCTGCCGCTTCCTGTTTCCCTTGCTTCTTGTTGGATGCACACACTGGGGGAAACCAGCGTCCGCCCAGTTTAGCCTGGTAGGTGAATCTAGGCAGAAGGGGAAAATAGGCAATAAGACTAGATTTGACGGGACTCTCTCGCCTCAAGGATCAAAACCATCAAGGTTGCTTAAAAAACAAGCACAGAGTTCAGACTTTACTTTGACATGTCTTGTGCTAAAAATAAGAGATTTCTAAAAAAAAATCTGGTAAGTACATTATTTTTGTCAGCGGTTGCGTCAGACATACTTAGGCTCATGTGCAGGCCCAGACTGACCCACCAATCGGATCTCAGCTGCAAAGCCTCGCGCTCTGGCGTACTCCAGAAGACCTGACACTGCATTGTTGTTCAGGTGGTTGATGAGGTCGCCGACTCCTGCCTCATGTGCGACTCGCAGCTCATCAGCGGTCAGCGGGGGCAGAGAGGGACATACGGTCGCAACATTACTGCCTTCACATTCACTGAAGGAGCCCAGGGGTAACTGAGGCTGGAGAACAGAGGAGGCGGTGGAGAGGAGAAAAACAGAGACGTGAATAGCACCGAACCGACAGAGCGGAGCTGCGTGACAGCGGCAAGAAAATTGGGTTCTTCAGTCTGAGTTGCCTGTTGTCTCTAAAAAAGCGCAATCCCTGGCTCTTCCCTCCCAAATGAAAGGCTCAACTTATTCCAACCTTACCCTGCTGAGCTGCAGTTTCCCATCAGCCATCAATTCCTTGACAGCTTCTTCTGCAGCCAACTGGCGGGCTGCTTTCTTGCTTGGAGCTGAGGCTTCTGGGAACAAGCTCTCTCCGACCTTCACCCTGTACATAAACCTTGACACGAGACAAAGAGAGAGAGTGGAAAAAGGTGAAGAGAGATATTCATTTAACTCTTTCAGCTGGCATCAACAGTGCTAACACACTTTATGAGTAAGTATGACTGGAGATACATGGAGTATTTCTGAGGGAGACAGAAATAGGCCTTGTTACCCTCAGCCAGAGGCCACAAGTGGTGAATTATAATCTGAAAGAGTGTTAAAGAGTGGTTGGACAGAGACAGTATTGTATCTTTGTCAGCTGATGTTCAGTACAAAGATCAGATTGCTGATCTGCTGCTCCTCTCATCTCAAGAACACACAACCAAAAAGAAACTTGCTGTGTGGGGGAGAACGACATCCAAGAGGACAGAATCAAAAGGAGGTGAAGCAGCCGGTACCTTGGGTCATGTGGTGGGCCCGCCTGCCTAGTGATGATGAATTCGATGGAGTTCCCGCTGCGCTGGCTGTACTCCATTAGGACAGACACCGGATTCTTGCCACCGGGAAGAGAGCGTGACAGGGGCTGGCGGGGCCCCTCTGTCATCCCTTCGGCGCTACTGCTCCCACAAATCCCACCCGAGCCTTCAGTTGGCCCCTGATACAAAGTGGAGGAGACAAAAAAACCCTCTCATTTCAGGCTTTCTTTGTTTATGTAACTTTTAGAAATTAAAACAGGAACTAAAATGATCCTGATAATTGCAGAGGCTGTAGAAAGATGACTAATTATCACCTCTATCACCTCTCTGGCTTGTTTGATGAACAATTTCAGATTTCAGTATGAAGTATGAAGTGCACGACAAATCTCAGATATTTGAAGCAACATTTGGAGCAAGTCTTAAGTTGGCTGGAGGTAGATAACTTCAACACATCAGAGACAAACTTACACTGGTGTCTGGGAGTAGATCCATGACTTGGTCCATGCTGGCAGCATTGCCCACCTCCCCCGTGCTCGCACCTCCTTGCATCTCCCCTATGAGAACACGCAGAGTCGCTGCAGCCGCGTCTTTTTTTGCAATCTTCTTACTAGAGGCTTCTGCGGCCGGAAACAGCCTGCCATTTAGCATCACCTGCATACGAAACCTGAAAACCCGGTGAAACGAGATTGGAGGAGACGCAGTGACACAATGCATGATTAATTGAGCAGCGACATCTTTTTCTAAAACTGTGCTGTGTAATGAGCAAAGTCATTTCAACTGTAGAGGAGCAGCATCATACGTCTTCATTAAGGCAGATTACTTCCACCTGGTAGGTCATCAGGGAGTATTAAGGATATTAAACATGCTGGAGGGACAATCGAAACAAACTTGTGCACATCACATAATAAACTCGAGGGTCACTCTGAGGGTGCCGACTTAGGCCAAGTACAATCGTTCTGTTTTCAATTCCATGGTAGCCTTCTTTAAAACTGCTGTATTTGTTTGTGTTATACTGATTTCATTCTAGGGGTTGGAATCACTAGTGGCCCCACGATACGATATTATCATGATACTTGGACCAGGATACAATATTATTGCGATACAATATATTGTGATTTATTTAATTTTTTCAACTGCTAAGCTAATTTAGTATTTTGCTTTCCTTTATGTTTGTCTTATTTACACTGTATTTTATTTTCATGTCGCTAAATTACTTGCACCGCTACTGAAATTTCATGATTGTTAATATTAATGTGCCACTAATGATTTCTACTCACACTGTGTGAGCACAACAACACACAACGTTATTTACGGCTTGTTTTAAGTCATCAACAAGCGCATCAAATCCTGTTGGACCCTCTTCTATCAACCTGAATGGTAACGTTCAAGCTTACACACGGTTTATATAGCGAGGAGTATTGATAGCATTAGCAGCACTAATATCAATGTGCCATTAATGATTTCTACTTGCACTGTGTGAGCACAACCAACACACAACGTTATTTTCAACTTGTTTTGAGTCTTGAAAGAGCGCATCAAATCCTGTCAAACCCTCTTCCATTAATGTGAAAGGTAACGTTCAATCTTATACACTGTCTTTATAGCGAGTAGCACGGGTAACGTAATGTAATGTGAACGCAACAGCATAGCTCCATGAGCGGCAAGAGAGAAGGGGTAACAGCAAACTCCCCCCCTTGGTAAATGAGACGATACGATACATCACCAGACAAACTATCACGATACTATGCCATATCGATTTTTTCTCCCAACCCTATTTAATTCTATCAATACATTCTCAATTAGTTAGATCAGGATCTGCACTAAAATGTACAGGTTCTGTCTGAGTCCTTTCTATATATTTCCATCAAGTTCAATAAAACTGGGCCTACTCCCTACTATTCCACTGTCTCTTCTTTGAATCTTTATATCTACATGGAGCTATTTAGATCATCATTCTATGCAGACTAGTAAACTCAAACTGAGGATGACTGTGGCACTGAAAGCTGTGTGTGAGTGTGACTGGATTTATGCAGCTCTTTAACAAAGACAAAGAAAATGTGTTCTTGATGTTGATCGTTTAAAACATGATCCTCTTAATAAGGTCAGAGTTCGCCCTGGTGCAGCCCTCTGTACAGTTCAACATCACAGCATCAATACACAAACAATGATCACACTGTATTTTCTTCTGGGAAGCTTACATTGACAAAAGGGAACAGACAAAGTCACTGACCTTGGATCATGAGAAGGTCCTGATTGGTCTAGGAGCAGGAACTCACAGTTTTGGCCCAGATACTGGGCATACTCCATGAGGCCGCTGACGGGGTTCTTGAGCCTCAACTCCTGTAACTTGGCCCACAGGTTCTGTGGAGGTGCAGCTGCAAGTGACACAGCGACACTTCCTACGGCGCCAGCTTTCTCTGCTGCGAGTTTCTCTGCATCTGTCTCCTTCCGTATGGCGTTGAGGAATTCCGGGATGTCATCTGACGCCCACTGTCCTTCAGTGGTCTCTTCATCTTGAGATGAGGAGGGGAGCGGGCAGGAGGAATTTGACTGCAAAAAGGGGGTTGACAATGCACGTTAGTAAGATTAGGATAGAAGTCTAAAGGTGGTGACCTTCACTGAAGTTGACAACTTGTGGGAATGTTCCTTTTTCAGACTGTTTTTTAGAGAAAGAGACGACTCAATTGACCATAACCTCAAAACCTCTCTATTCACCTTTACCTGATAACAACAAGCAGATATAAAAACAACAGAGCTCAATTTGACTTACCACTTCCCTTTCACTTTGCTCAGATATCCAGTTCTCTGATGGTGTCAGCAGCTCCAAGCCTGGTATTGTAGGTAGCGGGGATGATGACAGAATCCTGGACCCTCCTTCCCTCTCACCATCAAGTAGCATCTGAACCTCCTCAACTGGGTTATGCTGAGCAGCTTTACGGCTCCTCTCCATCCTCTCTCTGCGGCGGTCTGATAGTTCCCAGGTGGGAGGGTTCACCTCTCCATTCCTAATGATTTCACCTTGCTTCTCCAGGGCATAGAGGGTGGGGTTGACCTGCTTTGCATTCCTTAGACCTAGATTCTTTGCTATGACGAGAGCTGTTGCTTCTCTTGACAGCAAGAGGTACTGCAGAACCAGCTCTTTCTGGTCAGCCATGGCGGGAGGACAAAGTTCCTGGTCGGGGGAGCTGGTAGTCCTGGGATGTTTCTCCAGGCGCAGATCTTTGGCTGGTGACTGGGATAGTTCAGAGTCAGATGACTCTAAAGAGGAGAAGTGAGAAGAAGAGGATTCTGTGTCGGAGTCCTCCTCTTTGACTGACTCCCCGTATTCTGATGTTGCTTTTGGCTCAACCTCAACTTCAGGTTTTAGCGGTTGTTCTGTGCCAACATAGAGATGCAAAGGTGGACTTTGTGCTTTAAGGTTTTGATTGTCCTTGCCTCTGAGAGGATCTATGTAGAGACTCCACTCAGGAGGGAGTTCCCCTTGCTTGGAAGCTTTCTTTGAGCGCCCTAAAGAATAGAGAGCCTTGTTGACTATGCTTTTGGGCAGGTGCAGCTTTTTAGCTAAAGATTTTGCGGCAATTGTTTCCCTCGGCTTCAAAGCTGCCAAAGCTCTGTATACCTGGTCCTGAATTTCAGGAGTGAGGGTGATGGTACCTTTTTTGTAACTCACGATTCCCGAGCTGCTGGATGCAGAATGTCTGTCAAACCTCTCCGCTCCTCTGTTAGGCCTCTCCCGATGAATAGACAAACCCTGAAACTCTTCATAAAGAGAGTCCGCTTGGTCGCACCAGTGTCTGTTGGAATAATAGTTGGGGTTTTGATTCAGGTGTGGAGGGCCAGGGAATCCTCGGGGAACTCTTACGCTTTGCTGCTGCAGGAAATTCTGATCCTGACTGTACCCTCCTCTACCTCTTGGGCTGCTGCAAGGGTTCGAATATCTATAGGTGCCCCTACCTCCACCTCCACCTCCACTCCCACGTGGACTGGCTCTGAACTGTGGCGCCTCACTGTTCTGTCCTCTCAAGAATTCAATCTGCTGGTGCCTGAATGAATTGGGAATAAAACTGGGGCCGTAATTGGGATTATATAAGTGGTCGTAAGGCACTGATGAAGGTGCTCCTTTACTCTGACTTGGTATGGGTGGAGCAGAGGGGCTGGGAGCCTGGGGCTGTATGGGAGCAACTGGACGGCCTGGGTAGTAGCTTGAATATGAACTCTGCTGGGGGCCAGATCGAGGATGGGATGAGGTGGGGCCAGGTCTGTAATAACTATCCTTGGCCTGGAAGTCCGGCGGAGGCTGCCTGCGGTAGTGGTCTCTGGAAGGCCCTCCTCTACCTCTGCTCATAGCGCAGGGGTTGAGCGTGGAGGGGGCCGGTGCAGCTGTCTGTGCCGCTCGCTATGAATGTATGTCCTCAAGCACAAACAGCAGACCCTGACGGAGAGTCAGGATTACAGCACATTCAAAGCACCTGAAACACAAACAAAGGTCAACGTCAGGAGAACATCAATCAACAGAAATGATTACCACTAAGACGATGAATTTTGGCTAATGAGCAGCACATCAGGACAGTGAGACAAACTGTTGTTCCTGCCAAAAACACAAGTTCAGACACCTCTGGCAAACCTCCAACCTGCTCAAGTGTCCTTGGGTTCGTCAGTGAGTCTGTACAAGCTTCAAGGACGAAGTTTATAACTTGATCCAACACTCTACCCTTCCTTTAAAAACGGCGTAAACAGAGTAGGATGGGCTCAAACAAATGCCAACTCTTCAAACTTTTCTGTGTCCACCTTCAGATTATAGCTCACAAGGATACTGAAAGGTGACATACTGTCCCTCCCGTCACACTGAAACTTAATCTCGGGGTAAAAGGGTGGTGATTAATAATTCAGACCTTCTTGTGACCATTCTGCTTTATTTCTAGCCTTACAAATTATTGCTGGATCTGGATCCATAGCAGAGAGGGAAAGTGAGACACTGATGCAGACCAAAAGGACAGCTTCAAGGACACAGAGACGTTTCTGGGCTGCCTGTCACTGAAGCGGTCTGAACTGAGAACCAAGCAAATGTTAGCTGACAGTTTGGACGATAGTGAGTAGGATTTGCAGAGCCGGGTTTATTCTTCCCATCAAAAACAGAAACACAGATAAAAAAAACGAGTTGGACTGCAGACCAGAGTATAATCCAGGATTTCAATTTCCTTATTTGGTATTAACAAACATTGATTCTGCGTCAAGTGTCATATCTGACATCACTCAATAATGTCTATACCAGTGAGACTGAAAACAAGAGGACACCCAATACTGAGTCAGGTTTCAATCCCTCTGCCTTAGTCAGCATCACAGGTCTGTCACATAAAGCTGAGCAGGCCCCGAACGCCAACACGTTAATAGGGAACACCATAGTGTTGGTACATCACTGTAATAGGGCCTGACAGGACAGACTTTCCAGGGGCTAGACGGGGCTGGAGCTGACTCATCTTGACCCTCGTGCAAGGCAACAGTTGACGGATGGAATAACGTCACTGAGTTTTTCTGAATCCACTGTCATTAGGCTTCTGGAGGAGGCTGTGCAGTCACACTGGGAAGACAATCTACTTGACATCTAGTGGCCGTACAGTTCTGTTCTCAAGTTAAGATGCAGCTGAATATCACCAATGCACAGACTGAGGTTCAAAGTGACCCCTCCCTGTTCACTGACAGTTTAGCAGTGCCTCTTTCTATACTATATATTTTCCAAGTCTTTTTCTTTCATGTACATTTTATTTATCTGTCTGACCTTGTTAAATTGCATCAGCCCTCCGGAGCCCTGAGGTCAGCTAATCAGGTGGTTTTAGACGTTCCTCGATCCTTTTTAAAACACTTCTGAAGACGCACCTGTTCACTTTAGCTTTTGGAGAAGTATAGCTTCTTTTATTGGGTCTTTTATTTATTCGTAAAGTTTATCTATATTGTTGTTGTATGTTTTTATTATAGTTTATTATAGTTTTTTATTGTTTCTGGCGATTTTACTGTAAAGCACTTTGGTAGGTCAATGGCTGTTTTTAAACATGCTGTATAAATAAAGCTGACATTGGCATTGACATTATTTAAAGTAACTGTATAAATATCATAAACAAAAATGTCTTGTGAAAATCCCCGACCAAACTACGTAATAACTAAATACGGTCATGTATAAGGCCATGGTGATATGGAATGCTGTGCCAGGACACATCATCCAAGAAAACAACAAATACAAATCTAAAGATCTAGTTTGAGAACATTTACTTGTCAAACAGCTCCTTTTTTGGACAAAGCTTGGTTTGTCTGATCTACTTATATTATTGGAAGTCTGCTTATGTATTATGTATTGGGTACTGTTTGGGTAAATTAATTAATCCAATTCAATCATGTGGAATGTAAATTGATTTGTATGTGTTCAAAGCTTTAAATAAAGTTTGTTAAATATAAAAAAAGAGAAAAAGACAACTCAGCACTAAAAAAAGGAGGGGTATAGCATTTTCAAAAATTCAATATTCTCACACGTTAAAAGTAAATACATGTAAATAAAGCACAGGGACCATAGGTTTCACAGTGTTCAAGGTCTCACCTATAGTTGTTGTGTTAAAAGTGGTAGCTGAGAGGAGAACTTGGCGGTAAACGACGCTGTTTTTATAGCTTCCCAATCGCATTATTTGACTAAAACCGAGATTTACAGCTCGTAGTTTACAGCGAACAAGTTAGCAGTTAAAGAAAGCGGGTTAGCGGCGGTAGAGGTTTAACTTTCCGTGAAGCAGTGATGTTAAACGGCCTCGGTTTGTTTCCTCTGCGGAGGGGTCGTCCGTGTTCCTGATGGTGAGATATGTCCTTTCAGCAGCTTGTGAAAAACACCTGAGATGTAGCTGCCTTATAAATGTTGCATGCAGGTGTGTAGAACAGCGTCACACATGTGTGACCTCGAAAGTTAAGTAAATCCCTGAATATGACTTGTGTAAGGAAACAGGGAGTAAAAGATGCTGGATAAGTTTCGTTTTCGTTTCCGACAAAAAGTTTTGTTTCCATTCTTGATCACGTGACCTATAAAGGCGCAGGAAGCAGGTGGTAAAATCGGGTCATACCTATAAAACATCAAAAAGTAATAAACTCAATTTTTTTGTATCTAATTGTAAACATATCCACATGGTTTAAAACCTTAAATGTGCCAGTTTTACAGTGGAGGTACCGGGACACATTCTCTTACCGTTTCTCCAGGGGAAACGTGCTCAGATCAGATTCTCACATTAAAAATAAAACCGACTGATAGTAATGTAATACATTTTGGGGAGATACAAATATCACAGCACAACGTTGGGATCTTGTATCAGGATCGTGAGAGTACTATTAGTTAAAGGCATAGACTGTATATACTACTCTATATACAGTCTATGGTTAAAAGGTCACTATTATACTTGAGTGAAGTACTGAGACGTGTTGTGACTCATTGAAAAAAACAAAAGACACAATAAAGCGGAAGGCTTTCACAAGATATAACATTAGCCTGTTATTTTACCGGAAACATGGACTTTTAACCACTTATGTTGAAGTTAATTGGTTTATTCAAGTCATTATCCAAAATTAATTTAAGTTATTTTCATATTTTTTTTGTGAAAATACATATTTCACTTAGCTGTATGGTACAGAAACAGCACAATTTCCCCCTATGCTACACCTAGAGGACAAAACTCTAACAGGATATTTAAGTGACTGAAATACAGGTTTTCCTCTCTGTAACCACCCTTCCTCTACATCTGACAATAAAGCAGTTTAGTGTCGTAAATGTTTTAATTTAGACATCTCTTTACTGGGTGAAACTAATCCACAATCTCCATGACAACAGGTCAAAGTCCGAAATGTTATCTTCGCTTTTGTCTGGTGCGAATGGAACAAGCTTTCTGACATTTCCTGAATAAACACAAAGATACAACTTGAACAGAGGTATTCATAAAGACAAATGTTAAATCCTCTTGAAACGTCTGCCTCGGTTTGTTACAGTAAACCCTCAATAAAGGGCGAAGAGTACCGCTGAACATCTGTCCTCCTTCAGCTAACGGGAGCTAGCATGCTACACCGCACTCGCACTGCACCATTTCTATTTACCGCCTGCAGCACAGACACACACTTATCTACACTCAATCCTCTCTACACCAACCTTTAAAAAACGATTAAGAGAGAAACAATCATTCTCATCTGTTACCTTTCCTCGCAGTGCTTCGCCACAGAGGGCTGTTGTTGCTATGCAATATTTTAATGCAGCGATACAAACAATCAATGAACTGGTGCGGGGAGAGAGACACGTGGAAAGCTTGCGACAGACACACCAACAGGCAGACAGTCGCACGCAGATGACGTAAAAACATAGGCGAGGTTCAAATATGTTTCGTGAGTGCACTTCGCAAGCTAGGAGCTTCCTACCTGAGCGGTTAACTTTATAGTTCTATGTTTTTCTAACTTGAAGGGATTGAGCGGGTTGAATGCAGTCCAGGGTGAGAATGCTGTCAAGTTAAGAGAAACAGAGATGATTCATCATTAAAACAAACAAACAAAAATCTTATTTAATGACTTCTATTTAATATTGTAGGTACCTTGGGGCCTACTTCTAAAAAAACATGGTGGATAATTTCAGACTCACATAGATCGACTGGTGTTTGCATTTCTTCTCTAAGGGAGAGTGGGGTAAGTTGAGCCAAAGGGTAAGTTGAGCCAGCCCCTGTTGCTTGGAAATGGTAAAAGAAATTAATAAAGTGACCAAATATTTAGGAGATGGGCATCAATTCATGGAGTCTGTGAAGGTTAGAAGCACATGGGTGAAGGGGTTACACATTTATTTAAAAAAAAAAAAAAATCACTCTTGAAAGTGAATTTAGTCTGTTATAAGTTTTGTTGGAATTGTGTTCAGACCAAAAAAGATCATTTTAAATTTGTTTCATACATCAGTTGTGGTATCTATGAGCTACAATATCAGGTCAAAACCCCTAAAAGTCCACCATTTTAGCTTAGAGGACAAATAAAGTCATAAGTAAGGATACAGCTCAACTTACCCCGCTCCTATGTTCAACTTAGCCCATACACGGGGCAAGTTGAACATAGGAGACCACTTTTTTTGGCATGCTATATTATCAAGACAGTTATGTTTACACTCATTCTGTTGGTTTGCAGGGATGCACAACATCTTGAAATATATGCAGTTACACTAGTTAGAGACAAAACTATGATTGCCTTGATGTAGTGATCTGAAATATGGAAAATGGCTCAACTTACCCCACTCTCCCCTCCTCTGAACTGGGTAAGACTTGTTCTGCATTTTACCAGCATGTCCAGCGGGTGTCAGCAGTAGGCTACTCTTTGACAACAGTAGACCCACTCCCACTTTATCAGAAACAGCGTCCAATGAAACAGGCTGGTGTTAATTACTGAGTGGCAGGGTAGCCTAAACTCATTTATGTTTCAGTTGTTGGTTTTTGTGTTCGATGTTACCTTGTAGCTCGCTTGTGTGTGTGTGTTTGTAAAGAACTCCTCAAGCTTTGCGTTCAAACACCCTGATATTTGACTTCCAAAAACTGAACCCAAGAGTGCTCTGAGCCTCTTCTGCTTACTACCCAGCTAGAGGGAAGGAAACAACCCAAAACAGTGAGCAAATCAAGGTGAGATGACGGATGTGAAGACAGATAAGTACACATCAGAAAGTCTGCAGGAAGTGATCATTGAGCAGAGAAGCATGAAGGGTGACTCTGCCACACAGCGTCTCCCTCTTCAGAGGAGTATTCATTCCACTGCATCTCTCACCCACTCTCTCACTCTCCCCCTCCCTCCCTCTCTCTCTCCTTCTCTCCCTCTTCCTCTCTCCTCTTTCCCTTGTCTGGCACTGCTGGTATCTCTCCAGTTGTTTCCTACCTTCTTTTTTTCAGAGCCCGATCTCTACCTCAGTCTCCCCCTTTTTTCTGAAACAGCATCATAATATCTTCCCTTTTCTCTGTCTTTCACACTTTCTATCTGAATAGAGAGGAATGCAGTATGTGGCAGGCTGTGGCTTTCTGGCTGTTGATACTTTCGACTCTGCTAGAGGGTGAGTGACTGTCATTGATATTAGTGGTCTAACAAGTGTGTTTTCTGCATTTGCTGTGTGTGCTTTGCATGACAGTGCATCTGATCACTTTGTAATAGCTTCACGTTAGCTTGTTAGGTAGAAAGAGTGATTGTTAGTGGGTAGAAAAACTTGTCATGTATCAATTTGCTGCAGATTTTAAAGCTTAATCTGCTCAATTAGATAGATAGATAGATAGATAGATAGATAGATAGATAGATAGATAGATAGATAGATAGATAGATAGATAGATAGATAGATAGATAATTGAAAAGAAAGGGAAGGGTGATAATGAGGCTTCATCTGGGTAATTTATTATGATTGGACATGACAGTAGGGGCTATTAATCTGAATTATACTGACTGTGCAGCCATATTGATGATAACCAAGGTCTAGTTAGGGATTATAGATCTGACATTATACACTCAGAGCATAAATCCTAAAGCCTTTTTTGCTTAGTGTATATCTCATAAAATGGCATGTAGGGTTAAAAAGCTATGTCGGCTAAAGAAAAGGCTCGGTGCAGACATTCAAAGTGTGAAGTCGTTTTTAAACTTGCGCAGGGACCCACAAGTGACTTCTCCGTCTGTGTCAAAGTGATTGAATCAGGAGTGAATCAAAGGAGTTACAGAGCAAAGAAAGACACTTGCCTGCTTTCATTGTCCTGAGTGCTGTGTGTGTCTGTCAGGGGGTGTTTCTGTGGTTAATGGCCTCACTTTTTTCCAGCAGAGAATGAAACTGACATTTTTACGGTTGTGGAAAGACTCCGTCTGTCTGCTGGTGATCAATCAGAGATGTAATTGATTAGCAGGAGCGGGACTCTCTCTCTTCTTCTGCTTCCCTTTCATACATTTTCTGTCTGTGTTCTCTTATCTTGTTCTTTGAAATCCCCTCTACAATACGTCTCTGAGCTGCTTCAAAGATAGTGACCATATCTTTGAAACTTCACCTTTTCACATACTCATCCTAAAGGGCCACTTTTCATTCGAACTCCATCGGAGGATGTCCACTCTCTCTCTTTCTCAGTCTTTCCTTATTGTTGACTTACCTGGCCAACAATTTTGACCTCACTTCTCTGTCATTGCTACCAAACTGTGCACTTCAGTGATTTCTTCTTGTCTTTCCTGACACAGCTTTACATCTGTCACTTTTTGACTTAATCTATTCCTCTGATCCTACTCCCCCATCTCCCCCATGTCATTATTTCTCCCCTCCTTAGTATCAGAGCAGGGTCCTCACCAGCGCTTTTTATTGCGGGAGCTGCTGAGAGACTACAACCCCATGGAGAGGCCAGTGGCCAATGATTCCCAGGCCCTTACTGTTCAGTTCTCCTTCACTCTGATTCAGGTCATGGATGTGGTATGTATGGCTGGAAAAAAACACAATCAGTCATCCATAGAGTGGAAAAAAAAGAAGTCTGTTATCACATAACACGGCTTCACATTAGTGAGAGAATTCTTTGTTCTCAACTCAGAAATATGTCCACATAGATGTTAAGACTACAGGCAATGTTGTTTAAGATAAATTTCCCAAAACTTAATAGTTACAGCTTATGTAGAGGACAAATGCAGACTCCAGCTAGTGGCTTTAGATCAACCAATATTCATATTCATAGTTTAATTAGTTTTGAATTTATTTCACTTTGATTTTCTTCTTTTTTTAAAATCTAATTTCAGTTTGAATTATTCCTTAATGCTAGGTCATTTGTTTAGTTTCAGTTTTATTTTCTGAAAAAGCTTAGCCTAGTTTCAGAGTCCAAGTGTAATAAAGATTGTATGACTTTTAGTGTTACTTGTTTTCTTTAAACACAGGATACCTATCAAGGAGAAAACTACCATGTTATAAAAGCTTCAAACATTATACCATGTTTTAAAAATGTGGTCAAACACATGATAACAATAATAATAATACTACTAATAATAGTAATAATAATAATAATAATAATAATAATGATGCATCAGATTTTATAGCACTTTTCACCTGTGACCTCTAAGCGCTTTACATTGGATACATCATTCATTCGCTCACACAGTCACACCCTGGTGATGGTAAACTACCTTGGTAGTCACAGCTGCCCTGGGACTGACTGACAGAAACATGGCTGCCAATTTGTGCCTACGGTCTCTCCGACCAACACCACACAACCATACACCAGTGTCGATTTGAAAGAGCTCATCCCATGGGTTTTAATGTATAGATTGAAGATTAAAAGTTGTTGGTGTCATCAATGTCCCCATAGGTAGTGGTTTAGGTGTGGTTAGTGGGTGTTGCTTTAACACTCAATCTGCCATGCTCACAAATATTCATAAATCCAGTAACCGCACCACAATAAATTCAGAAAGATGTGGCTTGTTGGGCTGATGCATCATGTCTCGTCTGTGATCTTATGTCAGTGAATGCCATTTATGAGGTTTTGTACGTGTTGTGAGTTTTCCTTCATAATATTAAACTTGGTACAAATTCCCCAACCAATAAATCTGTAGATGTTGGGTTAAAATATACACTTTTCCATAAATCATAAATCATTTTTTCCTCCTTTGTGTTCTGTGTTCTTCAAGGATGAAAAGAACCAGATTATCACCACCAATGCCTGGCTGCAGATGGTGAGTCAAGCTGATAACTTAATGAAAGAGATATTGATCCTTGAGAAGTAAAATCTCATTTTATGCACACCGTCTTTTGCAAGATCAGCTAAATAGCAATGCCCCAGATGATGGATTTCAGTTTTATGATAATGGACACCTCTCACAGGGGGATGTTCAAAGATCCAGAGCAGGTTTCTCTATTTTTCTGCTAATCTTTTTAGAAAATCCTGAGAATTCATCATACTGTGTTACGCTGTAAATTTGCAACCTTTACTGCATATAACACAGACTTTTGAAATGTATGCTTCATATGGAGTAAACAAACACAAGCATTTATAAATTACATTTTGTCCTTATTATTGTTCTCATGCAAAACCAGTGCTGTGCTTGTGTCTCCCAGCACTGGTATGACCATTACCTTCAGTGGAACCAGTCTGAGTATCCTGGTGTCAAGAACCTCCGTTTCACCCCCGATCAGGTCTGGACACCAGATATTTTGCTCTACAACAGGTAAGACTAGCAAAGTGTGCACCCCTATCCTCTGTTGCCTCTACCTCTGCTGCTCCTAACTCAGTCTCACCCTTGGGATGCTCTCTTCCAGCGCTCATGACAAGTTCGATGCCACCTTTAAGACCAATGTGCTGGTAAACTCCAGTGGCTTCTGTGAGTATCTGCCTCCAGGTATGTTTTTAAAAATCAGCATTTTGTCCTCAAATTCAAACTGTTATTCATACTGCCATTAATAAATTTGCCTCTGACTTACTCCAGATGGCTGCAAAAAATCGTCATTTGGCTCCAAGATGGTTTTCATATTTTTGGTGTTAACTTCTCTGTTTCCCCTCCATGTTTTAAGGAATATTTATCAGCACATGTAATGTGGATGTTAGATGGTTTCCATTTGACATCCAGCGCTGTGAGCTCAAGTTTGGCTCCTGGACCTTTGATGGTTGGCTGCTGGACATCCAAATGAAGGAGGCAGACGTGTCAGGGTACATGCCCAACGGAGAGTGGGACCTTTTGGGTAAGGACAGCTGTGGAAGCCCTGGGTGACTGATGGTGTTGCCTTGTTAAGGTCCTTATATAACTGCCATCCGGTGCTGTACCTGACCTATAAAGATAATGTGATTTATTTGATGTGTTTTTATGGGTGTACAATCAGGCAGAGTGCTTTTTTACAAATTGATGTTAACGATTTTGAAAATAGAGTGGCGCTTAAAGTGTGGTACACATCATAACCTACGCGTATCACTCAGTGACAGTAAGGGCAGGGTCCATCCCCCCCTTATAACTCTGGAGGGAATAAGCAATAAAGTTACTGGAGGGATGGATGGAACTTGTTACAGCTGTCGAATGCAAAGACTACTGAAAGAGTAGTCAGGTTAAAAATGAGCTGCTCAGCAGTCTAATCCATCTCATTACACAACCAACCAACCCACCAACCAAAGAGCCAAACAAAAGAAAGTCATAAATAAAACTTAACAGCACAATACTAACACAAAAAACACCACCTGAAACCTCCCACCAAGTACAGAAACAACCACTGCTCATGATAACAACCGATAAATCATCAACCCTTAAAAAACATTAACAATCACACCATGACTAAGACTTTGGCAACATCCTACAACTACAAAACATGATCAACATTATCAACAAGCTGAGATGGCTCAATGTTTATTAAATTCACAACAACCCATAATCACAATTTTACTCGTGAACAAGACCCCAAGATACTTGAAATCCTTTACTTGCGGCAGAGACTTACTCCTTACCCAGACAGAGCAGTTCACCCTTTTCCGGCAGTCAATCAATATTCCAACCCTCATCTATGGTCATGAGCTGTGGGCTGTGACCATAGACTGTATATGGAATGGCAAATATACTGTATGTAAAGATAGAGTTTAAGTGAATTTCTGCAAAATGTGGGATTGTGTTTTCTAAGAAATAACTGGCTAGACAATAATTATGTTTGGGTTAAGATTTGAAAAATTAAGTTTGTACATAAAAGGTCAAGATATCACCATAAATACTGTTCTCTTTCTGTTTCCCTCAGAGGTTCCTGGAGGTCGTCATGAAGTCTTCTATGACTGCTGTGCTGAGCCCTACCCAGATGTTACCTTCGTGGTGACATTAAGAAGAAGGACTTTATTTTATGCTCTCAATCTGCTCATCCCATGTGTGCTCCTCTCCTCCATGACCCTGCTGGTCTTTCTGCTCCCTGCCAACTCGGGGGAGAAGATCAGCTTAGGTGAGGAATAATAAGAGAGGAAGGATGGTGTTACATTTAAAAAAGGCTGAATATGAGAAAATGGAAACCAAGGGGGTGGTAAAGGTATCTTTTGCTGCAGTCTAGTGACAGAATGATCTTATTTTACTCCATTTGTGCTTTCTCTTACAATCTGAGTAAACATCACTGGGAAACTTTCAGTCAGCATTGCAGTGTATTTGACAAGAGGGAGGAGATGAAAGATTGAAAAAGAGAGAGAAAAAACAGAATGAGGAAAAAGAAAGATGAGACTGAAAATTGAATGAGCTTTCCTCTATGTGTCACGGAGATAAACGACTGAGGCGAGGAGTCAAGTGCAACATACCAAATATACTTTTTCACAAAATGTACTTTCTTCTCTTATGGATTCTCTTTTCTTTTTCTCCCACTTCTCCCTGGTGTCCTGTGTCTGCCTGCAGGCATCACAGTTCTGCTTTCTCTCACTGTCTTCATGCTGATGGTTGCAGAGATTATGCCCGCTACTTCAGATTCTGTACCTCTGATTGGTCAGTTTCTTGCAGTCTTTGCACATGCGTTTAACTGTATGGGAGTTGTAATGGTTTCAGGAGGTTGTATACATCATTCATGGCATGCATATTAAATGTGCTTAATTCCCGTTGGTTTGCAGGTCAGTACTTTGCCAGCACCATGGTGATTGTCGGGATGTCTGTGGTAGCAACAGTCATTGTCCTTCAGTTTCATCACCACAGTCCACACAATGGACAAATGCCCCGCTGGGTGAGTTATGAAAATAACACATTATGCGCTGTATTTTTGAAGCATTTTTCTCCAAACAAGAGCAAATTTTATACTACTTTGCAAGAAATCAGAACGTTGCAGTAAGTTTCTAAAAACATTAAATTCAATATAAAACAAGAAAAGGTCAGGTTGAAATACTGGCTGAAAACAAAAGGAGGAGAAAATAACAGAAGAGGAACATTTAACAGGATTGATGTGAGAGGCATTTCGACAGGGGCCAGTGGATTTTTTTCAGGCAAGTCATTTCAGACTCTTTATACAATAGCCTGATCCCCATGGTTGTTAACTGGACTTTGCGATAGTCAAAAGGTTGCTGAGTGCAATGTGTGACGCTCATAAGGATTTAATAGTTCAGTAAATTAGCTCTGTGCCTGCTCATGCAAAGTTTGCAGTAAATCATTTTAATTCTGTCTTAAAGGATCAGATAGACTGACTGTATAGAGAAGATTGAGCAGGTCTTATATCATACTAAAGTTCCTGTTAATGGCCTCAGGGCTGGGGTTTGTAGCCTGCCATAGAAATTTTAGTCACAGATAGAACATGCAGGGAAATGATGTGAAAATGTGAGAAAAGCTTGTGAGGATTTCAGTCAAGTACAAGGTCAAATCTCTCCAGGTTGATTGAAACAAGAATAAGCAAGCACTGTGACATATTGATTAAAATCTTATCTGGAATAAAAAGCTAAACAAAGATTTAAAACTGTGGCCTTACGAAGCACGATAAAAGTACCAGAAAGTATTTAAAAAACCTTTTTCTGCTTCTTTACAGCTTAAGAGCTACAAAAGTCTTTGAGAGCCAGTTTTCAATTACTAACACCTGGTGTTTGAACATCTGAGTTGGTCCGTCTGCCACTCAAAACACACTTGAACAAACCTTTTCATTCTCACTCCAATGTTTTTACATCTTTTCAGATTTGTAATTACCTCCTTTGTTTTATTTGCCTTCCTCATAAGTTTGCTGTAAGTTTGGTAACACTTTATTTGACGCCTATCTCTGTATCCCCTATCTCTCTCTCTATATATATAATGTGTTATAACCAATTATAGCACTGTATAGCTATAGTTATAAATGCTCATAAATGACCATAATTCTATAGCAACAATCATAAGACATTATAAAGCATTTTATCATGACTCACAAGGTCAGGTATTATAATGTGTTATAACTGTTAACAACAGTTTTTTATCATGATCTTGTAAGTCATGATAAAATGCTTTATAATGTGTTATGATTTTTGCTATAAAGCATTATGATCATTTATGAGTGTTTATAACTATAGTTGTACAGTGCTATAACATGATTATAACACATTATAAATATATTTATAATGCGTTATAGAGATAGGCGTCAAATGAAGTGTTACCGTTTTTTATTTTTAGATAGTACTAAATGATAAAAAAATCTATAATTTTTGAAGTTCTTGTACATCATCAGAAGGCCAGTGAAGACCATAAGCAGTGCTTTTTTAATGGTCATTTATTGTGTGCTTGATTTGTAATAAATGTAAGTATTTGAAATTGCCTGATCTTTTTCCTCGTCAACCTTACATGACAGTTAAAAAGGTCACGGCTGAGTCAGCGGCATGTAACTGACCTCAGTAATGGAAGAATCATCCACTTGTGTCAGATGTGTGACAGTCCTTTTATAGCATGCTCACTCTTGTGTATCAAGAGGAGACACAACAGACAAGTTTTGCCCTCCAGTGTCGGGACAGTTTATCCCTGTATACTCTGAATCTCTCAACCATTCAATAGTTCATACTTTATTTTGATAGGACTTCAAAAAAATTAAAATACAGCAACAAAAACATACTACTTGCTACTGTATTGTCTAATGGATTAACAGCTGAGCACAAATTATGTAACATTGCAGAACGTGCAACCTCAGAGTCTGCAGCTGAAGGATGTCAGACTGGTTTGTTTAGTATGTCTAATATTTGCAGGGTCAGCACCACCAGCCTCTAGTCATCCGTAATGGTTGACATCTGCATGCTAGTGCTATGCATTGTGCCTGTTTAGGGGACATGTGCCACTTAAACCAAACACAGCCTACATGAAATTTGATCTCCATTTTCAGATCAAAATACTACTAATCTGCACCATGCTATCATCAATCATCTGTGCTTGTTTACATCTCAGTAGAAAAAAACTAACAGCATTGTGGCAATAATCACTCACAGGCTCATATTAATGAGAGCAGTTTCTTTTGTTACCTCCTCCTCTCCCTCCCTCTTGTGTTTACTTTCCCTATCTGTAAATGCAATTTCGTTGTGCAAAGTTGCAATGACAATAAAGACCATACCATACCATACCATACCATACCATAGGAGCAACAGCAATGTTTGGTAGTGACTGGTTACACTGCAGCTGAGAAGCAACATAAATCAGCATTTTGGGCTTTTAACAATACAGATATTATCTAATCTAATAAGAAGATAACTTTGACAGTCTCTAGGGTCCTCAGGTCTCAGAGGGTAGTATTTCTCTGTGTCGGCTGCATAGCAGTAACAGTAGACTTTGTGGCACAGTGTAATTTAGCTAAGTGGCAGCATACTCTATAAATAACGAATAAAATCGGGCCTAAAACTGAACCTTGCGGTACACCACAGGCAATGTTTAATGTTGAGAAGGAGTCAGGGTGCTTCCATGTCATCACCCAACGCAGCGTCATTTCCCAACATAAAGTCATACACTGACACACTAATATTTGTACTTCATTTCAGGGTTCAGTGTAGAAGTAGGAAGGTGTAGTATCTTTGTTTTTAGCCCTGCAGCAGAATCTCACCATTAATGTCGCTGTTAAGGCCTGTTATATCATGCCACTCTCCGTAGATAGGAGGTCTTTATTTATTACTCAGAAAGATTAACAGGAAAGTTGTATTTCTAATCCATACAGAACAAACATTCGGCACCAACTAAAACTTTCATTTCAACCAGCAACCCTGAGCAGAATGAGACTCATTCATAGCCATTTACTGGGATTAACAGATGCAGAAAAGACTTTTAAAATGTAAGCATAGAAAGACATCTTTTAGTAAGTGAGTTATTATTTTAGGAACTGCTACAGCGGTATAAAGAGTGCATGTGTGTTCTGATGTGTGTTGTGTGTGTGTGTCAGGTGCACTTGGTTCTGCTGCAGTGGGTCCCGTGGTTTCTGAGGATGAAACGCCCAGGAGAGGGAGCAGAACCGATTCTCTCCAACAGCCAGGCCGACTGTCAGAGCAAAACCCTGTCCTCTCCCACCACCACCACAACCACCACCACCACCATCCACACGCCATTACCCTCCACCCTCCCGCAGAGCCTCAACTCCCTGCAGGCCAGCCTGGCTCAGCTCAACCACCCCCTGCCCCAGCCGCTGACACACCGCCCCTCGGGCTCCCAGGCTCCTGTGCTCCCCAATCCCAGCTTCAGAGATCCCAGTTCACATCCACAGCCCAACGGTCACCTGCTTTACATGGGCTTCCAGAGCCTCCAGACGTCTGCAGAGCTGGACCCAGTTCAGAGGAGCAGAACTACAAGTCATGGGAGGGTTCACAGTGGACCGGGTGGTGGAGAGGGAGAGGGTGCAGCAGCAGCAGGAGGAGGAGGAGGACTGGCTGGGGAAACACCTCTCCATCACCACCTCCCATGTTCAAAGTTTGGGAGCCCCCCACAGGAGACTCCACTTTCTCCAGATCCTGACCCGTCTACTACCTCCCCTGGACCCTGCGGCTTGGATACTTTGGGTGGAGCGGGGAGATTGGTGGCTTCACATAACCACAGCAGTACGACCCGATCAATTGCTGTAGATAACCAGCTGCAGGCTCTTCTGACAGAGGTGCAGTTTTTAGTGGAACGAGTCAGGGAGCAGGACCGGCAGCTCAGTCTGGCCGAGCAGTGGCAATTTGCTGCTGCAGTCATTGACCGCTTGTTCCTGGTGGGGTTCAGTGTTTTTAACATCATCTGCACCATTGCTATTCTCATGGCTGCACCTAACTTTGGAGAGGCATTATCAAAAGACTTCCTCTGACAGAACAAAGAGAGGATAATCGAGGAAGAGGAGAACAGGGTTTTTGGGAGTGGGGATTTGCTGGAAGCACAATCGCTGTCGTTACACTGAGACATAAAACAGCAAAATATTCCTGGTTGGTACGGTGGAGTGGACCGTGACTGAGCAGCTTTACATTTTAGTTATTTTCTTAATTTGAGAGTTTTTATGACAGAGAACAAAGCAGAAGATTTAAAGCTATTCATCCTTTTGCACCTGTTTCTGTGTGTTTGTCTTTCTGGAATGACACGTAAACCCTCATCTTAAACAATCCATATTTTAATGAACGGTGAATTGAAACCTTAATTAAAAGTTCAACAACAATGCAACAAAGTTAGAAAGAAATTAACCCCCAAATCTGTCTAAAAAGCAGAAAGCATGGCTCTAAAAATTTTTATTACAATTTCGTACTGCTGTTTTTAAGCATAACATGAAGATGATCGGAGAGAAAACTGCTGTGCTGCATGTAAAAACACACATGAGCTTTTGGGGTCATGCACGATCCAGTTCACATTTTATTCTCCAAGGGTTTCTTTAAAGCTCCTGTGAGTAACTTTTGGATTTTGTTAACCTTCGTTCATCACCTCTTATCTCTTTTCTGTTTTTTTTCATGCACATGTACAAGATGTGTTTTCAAAAATCCCATATTGTATTATTTTAAATGTCCAACGCACCACCCATCTTCAGCGCAGGATTATCTTTGAAAACTGTTGCTGAACATGTTGTCAATCAGCTTGGCAGCAGTGTTTACAAGCATTAAAAACAACCACATAGAAATAAGTCTTCAAGGTGAGCGCATTGATTGCTTTTGTACGTCGTGTAAATGCATCAGTATTGTCAGTCAGTTTCTTCACCAGCTAAGAACTCCTCACAGGTCCTTCATGCTCTGTTATTATTGCTGTTTAGTGCCTTTTATTATTTAGTAGTGGAGAATTTTGTGAGGGTTTCTCCAAACAATACAGACCAGGATCTCTGTGTGCTGCTTTGTTTTGTTTTCTCTTGAATATAATGAATAGATTACTGCTATCAAGTGCTGATCTCTTGAAGATGATTCTCCTTCATCAAACATGGATGGTTCTATTCTTTCTATTGTGAGTGAGTGAGTGAATTCCCACTACTATTTTCCCCTGCATCTTTACATTGGCTCACTTGACTTCTTCTGAGATTTCTAAGAACTTCTCAAGAGTTTTGTCGGTATATGAATCAAGCTTATCTGAGTAAAACAGCCTGAATGACATCTACACATTAAAGGGATATTCCAGAGCAAAATTAGTTTAGGGTCAAAAACACAGTTAACACAGAGTTAGACACCCCCTCGAGAGATGAATGCTGCTGACTGCTTGCTTCTCTAGTTATACCAACTTTAGGAATGACTGCAGGATAGCAATACACAGCAGTCTGAGAAGCCATAAACAAAACACCACTCTATAGCCACAAATAATGCTCAGAACAGCACCTAACTTCATCAACAGCACATATAGGGCCCTAGCCTTAGCACTAGTCCCCAAACATCTTTTTAGCTTTGCCTAATTTCTTTCGCAAAGAGAATAAACACAATTTACCCACTCTCTTCCAGCAGCCACTTGTTTGTAGTGAGAACTCGGGACAGTCCATTATGGACTACAGCGGGGTGCTGCAGCTCAAGGAAGAACATTTATGATCATTACTTTATCATTTCCTTGAAGTAATAATCATCATATTAGTCATTTTGCACTGCAGACGCAATAGTTCTTCTGCCTTAGCATCTTGGTCTGATTGCATTTCCATGAAGAAATGATCATAAATGTTCTTCCTTGAGCTGCAGCACCCCACTGTAGTCCATAATGGACTGGCCTGAGGTCTCACTACAAACAAGTGGCTGCTGGAAGAGAGTGGGTGAGTTGTGTTTATTCTCTTTGCTAAAGAAATCAGGCAAAGCTAAAAAGATGTTTGGTGGTTAGTGCTGTGTCTAGGACCCTGTATGTACTGTTGATGAAGTTGGTGCTGTTCTGAGCATTATTTGTGGCTATAGAGCTGCGTTTGGTGGAGGTTTGTTTATGCCTCCTCAGACCGCTGTGTATTGCTATCGTGTGGTCGTTACTAAAGTTGGTATAACTAGAGAAGCAAGCGGTCGGTCATATTCATCTCTCAAGGGGGTGTCTAACTTGGTATTACAGTGTGTTTGACCCTAAATTAGTTTTATGCTGGAATATCCCTTTAAGATAAAGTCAGTCATTCATTTCTGCAGTTAACAAGCACACTTAAATTTGCTTCATGCAGCCATAATGATTCTTCTTTTCCTGTCATAGTTCACTTTCTCTCAAAGTCAGCCCTGCAGAGACACTAAGTCTTAGCTGGCACAGTTTGAAAATGTACTTGTTCCTTTTTTTTCAACTCTAGGAACCAAATTTAGCTTCTTTTTTAAAGATTTGGATCAATAAAGGAGGTTCAGACAACACTTTGTCATATTACAAGACTTTTAAAAGCCACATCACCCTTCAATTATCCACTTTAAAATATCCTACTACTCAAAATCCCAAAAATTTTACAGAAATGTTGGACACTAACATGTCGATACACTGCAACAGGCTGAGCTGTGAACATTGAGAAATAAACTCTTCTTTTGTACTCTCTAGACATGCATCAAGAAGTCTGTTCACTGACTCGCCTCTCTAGGAATCAAAGTTTTAAAAGATGACATAAAAACAGAAGAAAGAAAAAGTCAAGGAGGCAGTATAGGAGGGAAATAAGATCAGGGAATATAAGTGCATTGAAGCACAGCAATAAAAAGGGGGAAAAGGAAGAAGATGGCAGATAGAGAGATAGAGGGATGGGGGGGGCTATGCAGAGGCGCAGAGAAAGAGAGGAAGCAGATTGAAAGAAAGCACAGAAAGGACAGGGTGGTTACACGCTTGAAAGGAAGAGAGAAGGGAGGGGAAAACGTGCTGAGATGGCAAATAGGGGCCAATAAAGTTTTTAACTGATTGGTGATTAATGAGAGAGGGAGAAGAGAAGGAGGAGGAGGTGGAGCAGGGTGATACCCCCTCCTTCTTCTCCCCATCATTCGCCTCTGGGATGCTGCTGCTGCTAAACTGTACTTAGAGCAGCATTTAAGGGTGACTGGACATATATTCTGAGTTGGCAAAGGATGTCTTTATGAGAATTTATGGTAATGATGCTGGCAAGTTTTCCCTTTTGAGATGATTGACTGCGAAATAATGCAAACACTTTATGACAGGTGAATTTGGCTAATTGCTGTCCTGGCACGGCTGTAGTCGGACTCTCTAATCCGGAGCCATTACTTTGGTTGAAACCCCTTTCACTCTCAGCACAGTATGAGCAGGCGGAGCAGTTTACAGAGCACTTCAGTGGCCTACTGAGATCCTTTTGTCTCTGTGATTGCCGGGGCTGCTGAGCAGTGCAATATAACCCAGGTAATAAATCTAAGGTACTCTCCTCCTCCTGCGGTGACTCAGTCGTCCACCTGCTCTGTTTGGACAGCTCATGCAGAGCTCACAGAAGCACACCGAGTCATACAAAGCAGAGCGGGAGTGTAGGATGCAGGCTTTCGTATCAAGGGGGCCACTGCAATGTGTGGCTGCAGCTGTCGCACCCACATCTAAGGACACGTGAAGCCCACTCACACATAAAGTGGTAGGGCCAGAAAAATGCTGCAGACCCAATACAAGGACCGCTCATAGTCTTAAAGCTGCCACTATACCATAAAGGAAGTCTGAGACACGAGCACACATATTTCTCCATATTCTACGCACTGGTGCTGATGCAGAGCTGTCACTGCTGTACAGAGTTTTCTCATGTGTAAAAAGAAAGACAGAGTATAACAGAGGGAAGTTGGTTTCATGTGCTGTATTTCAACAGACTTTAGAATATGTCAAAGAAGTCCACTGCAGTTACCGAGAGATATCTCTGACAAAAAGCTCCATGGTTTTTCAGATGTAAAGGTTCTTCTTTCCTTTTACCTTTATTTTATTTAAAAACACAAGGTTGTAAATGTTAAAAATAAAAGCATATTTGGATTACTTACATTATTACTCATCAAAACTCTTCATTTTCTTAAAAACGGAGCAAAGACAATGCACCAAACATTGAAATGGAAACATGTTGTGCACGTTTAAAATTTGATGCCAGCAGCAGATATGGAAAAAGTTGGGAGGGGGGATGAAAACCTCTGTGTTACATCATCTCTTTTTGGAATCTGAGGAAACCAAGTAGTCATAAAAAGTTGTCCTGTTTTTGCCTGTTATAGGCTTTCAGCAGGTCCACAGTTTGTGGCCCCCTGAGTCTTTATTTTCCTATACAATGTGCCAAATGTTGAAAGTGGGTGGCAAGCTGTGATAAGAAGGCCAATTTAGCATTTAAACTCCTAAACTGTAGAGCTGTGCTGTTGTTAAAAGTGCAAAATGTTGTTTGGAGTTGCTTTGCTGAAATGTCTCTGGTCTTCTCTAAAGAAGGTATGGCCTGGATGACAGCATTTGCTGCCCTAAAACCTTTATTGTTCATCATAAATGATGTCTCAATGCTGGTTATTTAACTGTGCTCTGACAACAAGCCAACAAGCGGCCTCTCTCCTCTTTTGAGCAGAGGGTGCAGCTTCCATACACTTTCCCCATAGTCCACCCTAAACATCTCAATGTCATTCACCTATGCTTTTTGATCACAATGCCATACGTTTTGAGCCCATGCAGTGATTTCCACTACAGAGTTGTATCTTTTTTGAAGCAGTTTCATCTAAAGAGCCAAAGATTTCAACCACTTTGTGCGAGTTATCAGCCTCGTCACTGTTGCACATATACTGTAGAAATTCTGAGTTATTGGGACATTATTCTGACACTGGTGGATTAATTGCTCTGGTGAAATGTTACCCATCTTCTGACAGACTCAGCCTTCTTGTTCTACAAAAGTGGACTAGGGCGAAGTGAGGGGAAAAAAATAATTACAGAAAGGAGATTAAAGTCGAAATTTTGAGATTAAAGTCAAAATTTCAGGATTAAAAAAATCCAAATTATGTCAATAAAGTCAAAATTTTGAATTAAAAAAAAATTCTGAGATTACAAAATGTCATGAATAATGTCAGAATTAGGGATTAAAAAAAAATAATAATTTTGAGAATTAAGTCGAAATTTCAAGATTGAAGTTGACATAAATAAAGTCCAAATTTCGACTTTTTTAAATTTTGACTTAAATCTCGAAATAGAAATTAAAAAATCTCCCTCCTGCAATTATTTTTTTCCTCTTCTTGTGGCCCTAATCCTCTTTCGTATTTTACACCCAGCTAAGTTTCTAACCTGTTTTTTTTACACCATACAACATTTTTTTGTACTTTTTCGAAACATGTTGCTAGGATCAGGTTTCAATTGGCTATATGATTATATGATTTTTATTAAACAATAAACTGTTTTAATCTCAACATTTGATGAATCAATGCATTTGCACTTTTTTTAATCAGCACTGACATTTGCTTGTGAAGTTTCTCCAGTAGGATGTGGACTCTCCTCTCTTCACTGTTTTCAAACCGTCACCCACTTGGCAAATAAGGTCTATGTTTTTCTTGGCAGAGATTTTGTATAAGTTTAACACAAATACAAACCTAAAGAGACTGTCAAATTATAGAGGTCAACAGTGTTCCTAAACTTGACTACAGTTTCTGCTACATCATTTGAATCAAACAGCTACACTGCTATATGTGCTCATGTACTTACGTAGTGTTTGCTCATGTGTACAAAAACAACCAAGGAAGTGAAGGGAGCAGCAGTTTGTATTAGATGCTGAGAAGTGAATTAGATTTTCTAATGACAGAGTGCTGACTTTGCAATATTTTCTGTCATCATATTCTTTCTTCTGGCCAGTCAGCTTTTCCCGCTTTTAGGAAACCTTCAATCTTTTCCTTTCAGTAACAAAGTGTCAATTTTGCAGCAATTCAGCAACAAATTCTGCTTTTTGAATGGAAAATAGTTTGAAAACTAAACCATCCTTCAACCTTGTTAACTGACTATGACTATGAGAGTAATGTCTGTTAACACCCAGGTCTCATCAGGTGAAAGACATCTCTCCAGACTGTTTTCTGCCCCAAAAGACATATTTGCCATCTCAAAATTCAGATGTTACTACATAATATTTCTCAGCACCAACAGTCAATAGCCATTAATTACTGGCCACAGACACTCAATGCAGGTCGATACAGAGTGGCTGTTTCACTGCCTGTTGGGTAATTGTCTCCCAGATCTCATTAAAAGATGTTGCAGTTAGGAAGAGATGAAGAAGCCCACGCATGAGAGAGGAAGAAAGGAAACAGATGTGGGTACACAAAGACAGAGGGAGAGTGAAATTATCTTTATAGAATTATTCTCCCACCGCTCAAGGAGAAGCTTGTGTATAGCTCCAGGCTTTTGGCAGGACACGGCTCTAAACTCCCACCTACAGCTGTTGTCCAAGGTTCCCACACACACACACACTCCATAAACAAAAGACCAACTTTGAATCAATAAACTGTTTATTCAAAAGAATATGTTACAATTTATTACAGTAAGCGGTGTAACCAAACACTTCATCTTAAATTATACATTTCAGCATGTCAGAGAACCTGCAGGTTGTTTATGTCCAGCCTCTTCTTAGTTTGACTCTTTATAATCCAAAGCATATCAGGAGAAAAACTTAACAGATAACAAATTTTTATATTTTATCTTACTGAAATAAATAACGTTAGTGACAATGAACTTATGTCGGGATGAGAGAGGAAAAGAGAGAGAGAGAGAAGAAAGGGGGGGGGCAGAACAGTTGGAGGTGGGCAGAGCGGACAATCGACCGTGTCAGACATGGTCCAGTACACAGACAAGAATCCTGGGAAATTCATTCCACCTTTAGGACTGCACATCCAACCAATCAATTTAAGACTCAAACACATTCAATTAAAGCTCCTTTACACCCCGACTGAGGTCTGCTGGAGCTCATTAATCAATTAAAAATGGCCTGGCTGAGCAGCACCATCACTGGAACAAGCACTCTTCCAATACTGCTAATTTTGACTCTTTACTTCCTTGAGAGTGATCAAAAACGATTGATCTCATCACAATTCGCCTTGTAAGACTAATGGCTTGAAAAAAGCTGAAATTTTTAGTCTACTGACTCAATTATATGTCTTGTTTTGGTTTTTGCTTTTGGCGTGAATAAAATCTTTAATTACCTTACATGACGGTGGAAAAATTAGCCATGTTTGAATACAAATAATTTCAAGTATTAGCTCATCACAAATGAGATAATGAAACATTTTAACCTGAGGCAGCATCTTGTGAAAATTCTGGATAGAGAAAATAAAATTCAAAACACATGCAAATCCTCCTTCAAAATGAGTTAATAAAGCACTGAAGCGATAATGAAGCATAAAGAAGTAGCATCAAAATATTGCACTAAGCAAATATAAATATTTAATGTGAGTTTAAGAGTTAGAATGACGCAATGATCGGTAATTCAATTATTTCTTCATCAATTTGTCAACCTGAAGTATTTTATCATCAGATAATAATGCTGTAATATGTTTAATATAACCTTATTATAATGGCTTACCAGGAATAGGAACACTAACTGGGCTCATTTCGAGGAACATTAAATTACACTGTTTATTACATTGCACTGCTGTTGCTGCGCAGCCTGCAGTGAATGTGCACACTTCACTTTATATCTATCATGTTGATGAAGAGTACAAGCTGCCTGTTTTGCTAAGAAAGCCTCTCCCTACTTAACCTGAATCCAGAATGCACGAGCAGTTTAACGGTACAGGAAGTACCGGCTACAGAGATAAATAGTGCTGCAGTTTGAATTACAGGCTTGTTATAAATCCAGTGGGAGCTCTCAGAAACAAAGCAATCACCGGCTGCAGCAGCAGCAGAGACAACAGAGTGAGTAGGACCCCTGCTGTTTTAAAGGGGAAATGCACACTCCAGCATGTCTGATCAGTGTCCAACATCACTGCTGCAGGGGAGAACAGAGTGTCATGTAATATTATTAATACATAAAAGTTTAATGCGTGGCTCTGCAGGATGCAAAAGCCATCTTATAATGCAGTTAAAAAAATCATACTGTTGTTAGTGAGTCAAAAACGGATGTAAACAAAGCACAAACTAGATCGTGTGTTATTCCCATTATTTTAGGTTATTTTGGAGGCTGTTAATACTGTTGAATAAAGTGCAACTTTGGTCCATTTTTAAACATGTTCCCACTCATGATCAATCATCATCATCATCATCATCATCACAGCTGCATTCACTGACTGAAAAATGTGTCTTGATAATCCTAACTAATAATAATCCCTTTCTCTCTCCCTTCTCTTACTTTTCCACATTAAAATGTTAATAGTTGTCATTTTTTAAAGCAAACTTAGAAGCAAACAAATGAAAATGTATAATATGCCACAAATCAAGGGGCACTTACATTCGAAGGACCCAGCTCTGCTTGGCCTCTTTCATTTTAGGGCTCTGCTGCACTCATTGTTCCCATGTCTTAACACACTGCATGCATGTTTCACACCTGGCGAAAAAGAGCAAAGACACTGCAGCTCTGATCTGCTCAGTGTCTTTCTGCAGTCAAACCTTCAGTATCCCTGTTCAGTGTTATTCATCTTCCCTTTTGAGCACTTACAGCTTCGGATTTCCTTGTTAGTCCAAAAATTTTTCCTCGAAGCCTCCTCGTGTGCAAGAAACATTCCACTTCAAGTCGCTGCTGACAAGACGAAGGCTGAAATGGATCCGTAATTCGACAGAGGCCTCAATTCTTTTTGACAGAGCACTGCTAAATGCATGATTATGATGTGCTCGATTTAAGAGTTTCTAGTTCATGTGTTTTAAGCTTCTTATCCTGCTGTTTATCCACTTTGTTGATTTGCAGATGCTTGTTGGTTTGCATGTACAGAGGGTAAGGTTCTCAGGTTGTAGCTGTTGGTAGTGTATAAGATGACCATGTAGCTAATAGCTGGAGGGCTAAACGAGGGCTGGACTGAGCGGAGACGGTGACGGCGGTGTCTAGTTAAGAGGTAACGATCTCCCTTCCTAGGTGCCTCCATCCCTTCTGTGCCTCAGCAGCTGGAAAATATTCTGCAGCGGGGACGGCAACACAGACGGAGACAAACTCAGAGGCAGAATACAGTGAAATTCACTCAGGCTATGACTGATCATGGAATGGACAGAGGCAGGCAAAGCCTTACCTTGCCACACATACCATCTTTACTGCAGTTCTTATTGTCCTTGTCTGTGGCCTCCTCTTCCACCTGTGGAAACACAAGAGTCTAAGAAACCTACACATAAAAACGGCCTGTTCAAAAACAGCATTGTCTGTCAGTAAATGGTTCTTACTTCCTTCCTCCACTTGAGCTCACAGAAGACTCTCTCGAAGCACTCATGCATGTAGTTGAACTAAACAGAAAATGCAAAGACAAAAACATGGGTTAGGAAATTTCAATTGAGCCTAAGAATAAGAAAGACTTGATAAATTTTGCTGGCAATAAGAAAAGGATATCAAAGTCTGGGCATTCCCTAAATTGAAAATGTATTTTCTTTAAAAGTTTCAAATTCAAACTATTGTTCCAAATTGCCTTGTAATCATTTAAAATCTGTACTTTCCCTGCTGCACTGTGGCACATGTGTTATAATGTGCAGGTTCATACTCACATAAGGTGTAAAAATCTTCACCCAGCGTGGTTTCTTCTCTCCTCGGGCGTATTCAAAGCAGAAGGCCATACCCTCCTCATCCGTGTCCCATCTCTGCATCTCCCCCCAGTCAAATGCAATTACCTGGTTCTGGAACAAAACTGAAACTTCAGTTCATGTTTCCTCCCTTTAACATATATTTAAATGAATGCAAGAAAACAAACACAAAAACAGTTTTTTTTGTGATACCTCAAGAGTCCCTTCCTCTGTGCAGGCATGCAGCTTGAAGTGGTGAATGCTGATGGCTGTGATGACGTGGCCTTTGCGTCTGGAGTCGCAGGAACAGTGGGGGAATATGATCTCGTTGTAGCCCTCACAACTCCTCAGCAAACTCAGATACTAAGAGAGGTAGAGGCAGAAGACATGAGACAAGGTTTTTTTTTGTTTTTCTTTACCCTGTGTTACAACGTGTACTTGAGGGAAGCACCACTTGATGTGTAAATGTCCTTTAGCTTTACAGCCATACGACAAAATTCAACCGGATACAACCTGATCGGAACTAAAGACTTGGTTAATCTGTCCAAAGTATTTGGTAGTTTTAAAACAGAATTAAGTATAAATGCACATTTCCTCCTCTACATTACTACACTCTTTCTGTTAGTCAACCTCCACTCCCAGAAGACTCTGCTCCTTATTGTTATATCACAAGCGGTGCAGGGAGACCGAACAGGTGGGAGAGACGAGATGACATAAGATGAACTGAACTCTTCTTTCTGTGTCTGTGACTCAGAGCTGTAGTAAAGTAGTCGTGGAGTGTCGGCTCTTATGTGAAATACTAACCATTGACATTTTCTTCTGCTCAGCCAGCTTCTGCAGTTGGTAGGACTTTTGCTCTGCTTTAATGAAGCCTTTCTTCACATCCTCCACAGCCTGCACAGATTGGACCACAAGAGAAAAAAAGGGGAAGTTACGGTTAAAAAAGACGAAAACGTTCATACATTCAGAGACGTGAAGAGATCTGACTTGTGCACAGACCTGGTGGAAGAAGTAGTTAACTGCCAGCTGGTTTTCATTCAGCAGAATCTCTTCTTCTGTGGTGAAGAGCCACTTACGCAATGTGAGGCAGGTTCCTGGGATGGCTGAGGTATAATTCTGTACATACAGTTTGTGGGGGAATTCATTTGGGGCCAGCTTGCGTACTGGAGAAGAAAGAGACAAATAGAAGGGAGGAAGGGATGGAAAAAGAAGGCGAGTGATTGAGAAAGTGAGTGATTTTCTGTCTTGACAAATTACAGGTTTTCCAAACGTGTTGTTATCGACAGAAATAATAAAAGAGTTGAATGGCCTCATTAAACAGACAGATGTAAATTTACAGACTTCATTATCACAATAAAACAAAACACAGAGCATCTTTCAGAGGAAACAATTATATCTGTAACTTTGCTTTACAAAAGAAAGGTTAATGAACTGAAAGGAGGAAGATATGCTTCCCCTATCTCCAGGAGAAAATTCAATGTTTTCACTCCGTCATTGAACATGCTACACACGTTAGGCAGAAAGACTTAAATGCACAAACACAATCCTCCAAAAATGCACTAATGGAGAGATGTTAGAGTGACGGGCTGCATATAAAAAGCACCCCAAGCAATGAAGAGCACCCAAAGATTGAAACCTGCTGACTTTGGTGATCCCAAACTTAGGGTCATGACCCAAATTGAGTTGCCAGACAACTTTCATTGGGTCACCCATTGGCAGAGAGGGATATTAAAATGATTGGTTAGATTCAGTCTGCTAATTAAAACTGATAAGTGCTCTATGCACTAAATGTGTGGGTGGATGTCACCTCAGTAGGATAAAGGTTCATGTTTAGAGGTAGGCAAAGTAAATCAGAAATTTAACCCACTTCATATGTTAACAAAGACTTGGCTTTGATCAAGGTTAATCCTCTGTTCAAACTTAACATTAACATAAAACCTGTTTGACAAGCTCGGCTCGTGTGACGCTCATTTAAGCTTTTATATCTTCCACCGATTTTTATTTTATTTTATTTCTTTGTTGCCAATAACGTCATCATGTAGTCTGAGTTTTAGTCTTGTCAAGGCTCTTTCCCTCCAAGTGTTCTCTTGTTGTTGTTCTGTTGTTTTTATCTTTTCCTGCATGTTAAAGCACTTTGTAAACTCTTTTTTTAAGTGCTATAAAAATAAAGTTATACTCATTATTATTATTATAATTATTATTATTAATTATATCCATTAAGATCCAATTATAACTTCAAAGCTACAACTTAGTGCAAATCTTCACCAGCTGTCTGATCTTTCTCAAGTTTTCTGAGATCAGTCCTACCCCATTAGAGCAGGGATTGCATGCATCTATCTCAGGTAGACAACCTCTGCATAGACACTCCAAATGAAGGGAATTTAGGCTCTTTTTAGCGATCCAGATCATTTGGCACCGCAAGAAACAGCGCTTTCAGCTTCAAAACAGCTCTTCATAGTCCCATTTTGGCTTACGAGAGGGGGCTCTCTGAGGCCAGTCCTTTGCCAACAACACAAAGGCTACTACCCACCTCAGCAGAGATGCTGTTTACTGCCGCAGCACGGCATCCACTGCCATAAAGTCAGGTAATGTGAAACGACAAAGTTAGAGGAAACTTTGTGTAAAAGAAGTTAAAGTTGAAATTTTCTTTATTTTAAATTAACAGCCACATTCAAAAGTTATTAAAAAAATAACGCCAACATTTAAGAATTAACTGATTGATGGATATGTGGGCGTTTGTAGGGATTCGTGATGATTTTTTTTCCACCAAAAATGATTCCAAAGAGCCTAACGTGACATCCTCAAGTTGGTTCTTCAGTTCCACCTACTGTCCAAAAACAAATGGCCTCATTATGTGCTGTTTATCAAATGACAATAAAGGAGGGAACTCTTCCATTTAAGAATTTAGAACCAGAAAAAATTAGCTATTTTTTATTTCGCAATCCCTACAATAATGTACTGATAATCCATAAAACTGGAAAAGATTATTTTTAATCCGTTAAATATTGTATCTATAGATAGGAGCTGTGGGGACGCCTAGATATAGGATCAAGCTGTAAGGAGGAGTTGGACACAGAGGTGCTGTAATGAGAGCAAGGCAATGACTTTAAATAATGACAGGCGACATCCATTTAGGCCATTTTTCTTTGGCATATCAGAGTACAAGAGATTTGGCAGGAGCGACCAGCCAATCTGAAAGCAGCCAGCAGATGCACAGGGCCAAAGGGATAGTTTTTTTTATTTCATGCGGTTGTACGGAGCACTTATTAGTAAATGTATAGTTCACAAAAGATGCCAGTCAGCAAGAACCCTTCATTAAGAAAACAACAGAGGCCAGGCCATCGATCACTGCAGACAGGGTCAGTTTGATCATATATGTTCAGAATTTTTAAAGACACACTTAGTTTTCAAAGAGCGTCTTTGTTTTTGCACCATTTGTAGATCAGCTGTTTGAGCTGCAGACTTTATAAAACCATACCAAAACTTAGGATTTGATGATAACATAGACATGTCATCTATTGTGGGTACAAGAGGAGACGCTAATGAACCAGAGTGTAAAGAGGAGGTAAAGAGAGAAGGGAGATAATAAATGACTTTGTAAAACTGACCCTGTCTGCAGCGGTGTATAACCTAGCTCCTGTGCCACTTCTCCGTCTGGTTTCTCATCAAAGAGGCCAAACAGACTGGGTCCCTTGTGGATAACACCCCTAGTAGTAACAGGGAGCTTGTATAGTCCTGTCTAAAAGAATGAACTATCCCTTGTATAGGTCAAGGGCATACAGTATCTCACTAAAGAGCACACAAAGATTAGATGAAGACATCTTTGCACTGTGCTGGCCTTAGAAAAAGTGAGGACCATTCAAGGTGATGATGAATAACATTATTCTTGTACAGTGGCCTTCAGGTGTTCACCAGGATGATTTTGAAAAGAATGGCTGAAGCAAGAAAAGTGAAACTCAGAGCAAAAACTCTGAACTTTCTCTGACTAACCGAAGGTGTGGTTGATGACCTCAAACAGAGCAAAGTAGCTGGCTGTTACGCTGTCCATCCCAAGCTTCGTAACCACAGCCTGGAGGAGGGAAAAAAACAGGAAAACAAGATTAGGCATTTACAATATGACTTGAAGAACATTTGAGCAGAAGAAGTGATTTTATTTTACAGGCCTTTGAAAGTGTTTACCTGGTAGACTTGGTCTGTAGTGCAGTTTTTGCGGACTCTAACAGTGAGTGTGGTTTTGTCTGGCATGGCTATTCTCAACTCCACGTCTGAGACGCCATTATAGTTCTAGGTCATGAGAAGGAAAGACAGACGGTGCCATGAGTCACAGGCAGAGGGCCGTAAAAACACACACACACACACGCACACTCATGGAGGTTTCTCCTTCTTTTTTACCTCATCTGATTCAGACAGGAACTCTTGCATGATGTCACTTTCTCCGATTACCCGCACAGAGCACACTGGAGATGAGAGAGAACTGACATTAAGGGGGAGACCTTTTTTAAAGAGCATATATGAACACTTAAAGCTTAAAATCTCTGTGGAAAACTGACCTTTCTCAAGGTATTCTTCAAGGCCTCTACGTCGTGCATCTAACTGCTGCTCCGATAGGGAAAAAGGCCACTTTCCGGGCAGCTTTGGGAATGTAAAATTGGCAAATTCCCTTTTTAGATTTTGGTGTAGGATCACGAATTCCCGGTAACGCTTGGAACAAAGTTGTCTGCCAGCCATGTACACGTTATACACCTGTAAGAGAGGAAGAGTAATGAAACTAATTTAATTATTTCACAATAATGTCACAATTTCACAGTTATTTTTACATGTTATTTCAGTGTAGGCATCTTTTTATTTTTCAAGCCATCCACTTTTTTTGTCATCTCCTTTCCCTCTTCTTAATCAGCCATCTATGAATTCATTCACAACTGCACCCACCACAAACTTTTCCTGGTTGAGCTCTGTGTGTTTGTAGCTCGGCACAGAGATCGGGACGGCCTGTTTATCAGAGTAATCATAGCAGGACTGGGCTGAAATATCGTCTCCTGGATCCAGGCAGTCAGCCTCTTGAGGTGGAACCGACAGCACGGCTAACACCAGCTCCTTCTCTCCAGCCCGGATCAGGTCCACCACCTGCTTGTGGGTGGCTCCTTCTACATTCACACCGTTACTGTTGAAACATAGAGGAACAGATGAAGATGTCAGTCAGACTCTTACAAGCTTCCCTCTATTGTTTGGTTCACTTTTTCTTTTATGCACAGCTTTGTGTTACAACTAAAATCAAATAACCATATTGTGAGTTTCTTTTTTTTCAAAGGGACCATAGGAGTGTCTGAAGCTACTTTTCTCCTGGGTGGTAAAAGCCTGTGCATTGAATGGCCCAGACTGTCAATTTTCATATACAGACAACTGATAAGATAAAAAGGCCCTAAACCAATCAATTAATAATCAATCGATTGTAGAAGTCATTTTATTTTATCAAAGAATCTCACTCTTTTCTCAATACCAGTCAAAATAATTGTGATTATGATTTTTGCCATAAACAAGCAGCCCTAGTTCAGTGTTTCAAATATTATATTGCATATATTGTTATATTGCACGCTGTATGCACATGTACATATCCACAGTATTCCAGTATTCTATTTAAGATTCATTATATTTAGGTATTCTATCGAAGGTTTCATGTGTATATATTGTTTATATCTTGTTTTTCATTGTCTTGTCTTGTATTTTATTTATTTTATTTTATTGTATTTTGTCGGACTGCGATAATCTTTCTTTCTTTCTATCTTTCTATCTTTCTATCTATCTATCTATCTATCTATGAAATAGTTTCAATGGGGGAGAAGTTGGAACTGCAGGCAGGTCAGTGTAGCACCCACTCGGATTTGGCATTGTCTTGCTGAATATATGAGTATATGTCTTTAAAAATGCGAATGTGACTAACTAGTTGGGACCTGTTTCATCACTTTTTTTCTTCCTTTCACTTCTATTTTCAGTTAAGTATGGGGTTTAAATTACTTGCAAAACAAGGTTTGAATTATCTGTCATTACATATAATTTGCTTTATGCAACTTCTCAACTTTTTTTGGGGTTGGGTTTTTAAACGTATGCCCTACTTTTGCTGTTATATATTATCTGTTATTTAATGAAACTAACTCTTTTGCTCAGTTCAACACAGTGGTACTGGATAAAGCAGCATCCGTTTGCATGGTAAATGGGTATAAGCAAATGAGTGACCGTTGTAAAATCTCTATCTTCCTACAGATAGGAGTCAGACTGTTGCTTTATGTTACCAAGCTTTACTGTGAGCAACATGGGGTGTGTGCCCTTTGGGCAGCATGTGTCACAGTCATGACAGAGGTGCTGATGACAGTACTGTAGTGACCTGACCTGTAGTTAAGTTCTCTCAAAAAAGGCAGCCGCAGCATCTTTTAGCACCTCTAACTGTTTCTGACACATTTAAAAACACGTCCTAATTTTGTGAGAAGGCTGATGAGTTAATATTTAAGCCATGCCAAACTGACATCAGTATCCTGTAATAGTCTGTGCCTTATGAATGGAGATAATGTAATGAGTTTTGCCACTCAAACAATGGCTTGGAAATAATGGGATGAATGCATAAGTTAGCACAACTTCTTGAAATTCTTCCAAATTTTGCAGGAGCAAGAGTGTCCTTGAATGCCGTGCATTACCATATTTCACAAGCTAAATGCAACCCAGTCAATAACAGGGAAAAATCTTTAATTGCACTGGGAATTAAGTAGCTATTTCAAGACTGTCTCTGGTTGTCTAATACAATGCTTTCTGGGTAGCATTTTTCAAGACATAATGCTTGAATATGCTGCTTAAGCAATACTTGAACAACACTGGCACAGTTCTTGACTTTTGCTTCCACCTGTGCCCTGCCTTTTATTTCAGCACTGTCTAAACTACTACCAAAATCCCTTCAAAATCCCACAGGGATAGAACTGTTTGCAAAAGGATTAAACATGATAACTCACTTTTTTGGTCAATAGCCAGACCTTGCATGGACAAAGTCTGGGTCTGTTAGAGGTGCAATGGATTGTTTTTAGTTTTTGCCATTGAGGGTCATACAGCGGGCTATGTAACCTGGCAACAGGACAAAAATACTGGGTTGGAGATGCAATTGGGGGTGAGAAGGGTTTCTACCTGAGCACTTATACTTTTCATTGGGTCAAAAGTATCTGGTGTTTGTTTCAAATCACAGATCAAAAGCCATAGAAGGAACACACCAGAATGAGCTGGAAGAAACCAATGTGTTAGACATAGAAGAAAAGGCTGAACTGCTGTATCAGTTCTTTTACCATGAATTTGCAAAGAAGAAAAAGGGGACAATCTGAACATAGATTCACTAATTAAAGTTGGAACCTACAGGCAGAATTGTGAAGAAATTGTATGAAGAAAGTAGCTGACAGGAAAGCAATCTTTTTGCAGGAGTAATGTGGGGAAAGAACAAACTTCTACCTGGACACAAAATACAGTCTAGCTATTCTGGCAGCTTTTCAAACCTGGCACATTTACAGCTGCATAATAAGCACCTGATGAGGTGGCCTTTGCACTTGCTCTATCAGCTCTTCTGTACATGATAAACAGTTTTTAAGAGACAGAGTCCTTATGTGGCATATCTTTCATCCCTTTGCACCTGATTTCAAAATAATCAGGGATGTTTTATGTAATGTCTTCATATTTGCTTAAGTGGAAGATGTTTTACGATGTACATCACTCACAGAGAAAAATATTCACGAAACATAAAAAGACAAAGCAAATCAGCTAAAATGATTCCTATTCGATTAAAAGATAGAAGGGCTATGTTACTGAGTGTTAAAGCAAACGCTATCAACAAATAAAAAGGGGTCTTACTGTTTGGATCAATGTGCATCACAAGTTCAGATGCAGGGGCTATTTGAAAATATACTCGGACATATTGATTGTAAATGGCCAAGCGGAAGTTCTAAAAAGCCAACTGCACATACGTGAAATCAGATGCATGCACACACGCACAGCGGAATAATGGGGTCAACAAACTGCCAGGTTACTGCAGGCCATGCATTAAGGAAGCAGTGTGCAAAATCCAGCCAATGAAATGTTGAATTTTGCAGGCAGAAGCCAATCAGAATCGAACTGATGGCATCCCCCCCTTTCCTGCATCACCTTATTCAACAGTCACAGTCACACTGAAGGACCAGTGCTGATGCTGAGCTGTATGCTGCGTCTTCCTCTCCATAGCAACAGAGCCTAACATCAGCAAGCAATCTCTGTGCATACTAAAAGGTGCCATTGGGGACCACGTTTGTCCTACATGCAGCATACATACACACTGCTGCAGTTATCAAGACCATGTGGGGTTAATTTTCTAATTTCAGTGATGTTTGTCATACTACTTGTCTGTCTTAACTCTCAGGATTTCTGAAAGTAAAGCAAACAAACTCAGACAATATGTAATGCAGTTTGATTACACAATGCACCTGGTTACAGTGATGTGAGGTGCTGAAGAGGTGGTATGCTGTGAATGAGAGGAATAGGTTGCAATGTGACAAGAATACAAAATGATCCCTGGATCTCTCCTCTCGGACACACACAGACACTCCTTTCATTGGGATCAACAGCTATTCTGTCTTGCTAGACAAGTATCAAGCTACACAGACAAACACACACAGAGAGGTTTTAGTGACTGACACTAATGAAGATACGGTAAATGATGCACACATGCTCTCCTATATTGTTCCATTCAAACACGTTTTGACACAGTGGTTTGTCTGTAAGTAACAATATATTAGCCACTTACACTTCGAGGATTCTATCCCCCTTCGATATACCGGCTCTGTCGGCGGCGCCTCCCGGTAAGACAGCGCTAACATGCTGCAGAGGAGCGTACAGTTCCCCGTTAATGCTCCGTAGCTGCCCTCCTTCACTAACTTGTCCCCGGACATTAAACCCATAGCCCGAGTCAGACTTCACTATCCGGACTAGCCGCGGGCCTGAAGTAACGGTGGTTGCCGCCTGGCAGCTGTCGCCGGTGCCCGGTGTAACGTTACCGCTACCGGAGCCGTTACGAGACGAAGGGTGAGACAACGGAGGGACAGATGAGGAGATCCCTTGTCCCTCTACGTCCGCCATTTTTCTACTCTATTTGTATCATCCACTCCGGTTCAGCTTACAATAAACATCCCACAAACATTAGCTGGCAGTAGCAGGCTAATCAGTTTAGCTAGCTAACCGACAGAAATCGCCGGAAAAAGCCGGAGGAAGCCGATTGTTTACGAGACCACCGCGGATGCGTTCCATTCGGGTCACTCAAGCCCCTTATGAAGGGTGCCCCTGCGAGGCCACATACATGCACTCAGGAAAGTGGATCTCTTTTTTTTTTTTTTTTTTAAATCAAACCAGCAATGTTGCGAAATATGTGTCTCTCTTTTAGGATTTGTATTTCACCTCATTGTGTTGAATGAAAATAAGTTACACTTATCCAGTTATATCCTATATAGGGGTAAGAGTGGGGTAAGATGAGCCATTTTTCATGTTTCGGATCATAGCAATCATAGTTTTGTCTCTAACTAGTGTATCTTCAGATATTTCAAGATCTTGTACATCCCTGCAAACCAACAAAATGAGTATAAACATAACTGTCTTGATAATAGAGCATGCCAAAAAAAGTGTTCTTCCACGGTCAACTTACCCCGTGTATGGGGTAAGTTGACTATAGGAGTGGGGTAAATTGAGCCGTAACGCTGCTAACTTACCCCAGAACTACTATTATGACTTTATTATGACTCTGAGCTAAAATGGTGGACTTTGATGCTAGGTTTTCAACCTCATGTTGTAGCTCATAGATACCACAGTTGATGTATAAAACAAATTTAAAATGTTTTTTTTTTTTTTTTTTGGCTGAACACAATTCTAATAAAACCTTTGCGGACAAAATTCACTTTCAAGAATAAAAAATGATTTTTTTTTTTTTAAATAAATGTCTAACCTCTTCACTCATGTGCTTCTAACCTTCACAGACTCCATGAATTGATGCCCATCTCCTAAATATTTGGTCACATGATTAATTTCTTTTACAATTTTCAAGCAACAGGGCGTGGCTCAACTTACCCTTTGGCTCAGCTTACCCCACTCTCCCCTAAATATACAAGAGTAGCCTACTTTAAACACTAGACAGTTTAATTCAAAATAACATTATTCTTTCTGTCTTTTAAATGCGAACATAAAGAAAAAGTACCCCTCACCAATACCAAAAGTCATGGTTTCTACTATTTAAAAGTACAACTTGCAGGTTATATCTTTTATAGTGTCTATACATAACTCCATCTAAAATTAGCTGTAGGTTAATAATTGTTTTATTTCTAACAAGATAGTGGTGCAGATTGAGACAAAAAAGTACATGATTTCAGTTAAAGTGCAACAAAGACATGTAGACACACTTGGAAAGAGCTCAGATCATGTGCATGAGCTGCAGAGTGGAGGATATCAAAGGACTGAAGAGAAAAAGTCACATGAAACCTTGTTTATGAGCATGATAGATATACCTACCCAGACTCACATAATAAAGCATCTGTATCCTCTCCAGAAATAATTATTGTAGACTACAGTGAAACACTTACAGGGCCCATCCAGATTTTGTCAGTTAAAGCATGTGGAGCCATAGACCATGTATTAAATCATGTAGTGGATTGGACACTAGACTCCTTCATGTTGCATCACATTTGGATTGTGTGTTTTTGTAGAAGGGAGTGATATTAAACTTGCAAAACTTACTTTAGAAGTTACTGGAATGTATTAATTCATGCATTCTGGTACAAATTTTCAAGATAATTTTCCCACAGAGTGATCTACTGGGGTCCTTCATCTGCAAGTTATACTTGTATATTGATCGAGCCAGATTACAACAGTCATTAGTTTCTAATATTTTAAATGGACAGAGATTGTCATGTAAGTGCTTGGAGACAGAGCTACTTATAGAACATATTTGTTTACCATCTTATATACATTTCAACATGACAGTTACCCGGATAGGTGAAGTTTCTCTTCCCAGATTTTCTTGTAAACTTGTAAAGGTTGAAAGGCTGGAAAATCAGAAGCCATCTTTGCCCAGTAAATGTGCAGTAGAGAGTAAGGAGCCTGAATCTGCCTAACTATCATCAGGCTGTAAACAAAGAAACAATCACAAACTGAGACAAGAATTTAATTCTGGGCGTTTAATTTTCAAAGGAATTCCACCAAAGTATTTATTCTTGAGAGGCCAGAAGACCAAGGGTTATAACGCTGATGACGTATTCCTTGAAATCAATAACACCATCCTTATCAAAATCCAGTGTACTGAAGAACTTGCACACTTTTTCGTCGTGTGAGCACTAGAAGTAGAAAAAGACAGAAAATTTATTGAACTCGAACCATTTGCATTATGACAGAGGTATTTTCAGCCAAACATGGTTTCAGTGCTACATCTTTTCTACTTACTGCTTTAAGATCCAACTCGTTGTGGAGCAGTTCTGTGAGTTCTCTCTTGGACAAAGTCTCAGGGTCTCCGTCTTTTTGAGAATATTTGTAAAAGGTCTTCTTAAGCAGTGATACAGCCTCATTGAGATCTGACATGGTGGCTGAAACAGGAAGATATTGTTTTACTCAAGAGTTCACTTTTTTTTATTTGACACACATCAGACAATTCACAGATCTGACGCCAACTGTAGAACCCCCTATTTAAAATACTGGATGAACAGCATTTCAGGACCTTGTTTTCACAACCACGCCCTAGCACCTGTTTCTGAATGGATTCACTGTGCACTGAAACAGTATTTGTCCCTCAAGTTCTGCTCGTTGTGATGCTCTCTCTTTTACCAGAAGAAAAAAATCACACATGGACAATTACTGATGATACTACAGCATTCCAAACTGGATACACATACAGGCAAATTAATCCCCTTCATGAATTGCCTCAGCATTGTCAAAAATCAGGTCAATTTAATCAGATGTACTGTACACCATGGCTAATCAGAATTTTAATCAAAATGGCTCTGATCTGTGACTGAGATTGGCATCGCTAAAGTTCTTTTACACAGTATTTCATGCTCTAACAACACATGCTCACTCTCACTAATCACACTCAAACATTCACTTTTGACACAAAAGTGACAGCAAAATTTTCAATATTGTATTTTGCACAAGAGTTTCAAGATACATATTATGACTTACCAAAAGTGTAGGACGACTTGTGTCTGCTGAAAGTGTGAAAATTAGGAACCAGAGCGCAGAGCATCGACAAAACAGCATATATAAAGTATGGCAACCCCCAAATCCCACCCACTCTCTGTCTTGTTTTACCTGCTTTCTTCTGGTTAATTGTTTCAGAGCTTCAGGGCTTGAATACTTGGGCATCAGAAGCAAAAAACATCGACCGAAGAATTTCAGGCTGTGAACTGGCTCATATGTGACCATAAGGAGAGAATCCATGAGCAGCCTTGCAGGTTAGCTGTGTGGTTTTAATAACAATTCTCAAACATTATGGGAGTTAGTGATGGGAGGCTGGAGGCATACTGCTATGTAACTGTACTTTCGCATCTGGTCTGGCTGTATCATGAGTAATTGTACATACTTGATAATGCACTTTGCATGTTGTTGGAGGATGCTTCCAGAGAGTATGCCATAAAGTCCAGATATTATGTACTGATAATGGATGTGTGGGGTGTAAACAACAGAAATGGCAACACTTGATGAGGTTACTCTAATGTTGATGCTCAGATCTTAAGTGCCAGAAGCAGCTATGTAGTTAGTATATAAGGCCAAAGATTGGATAATTGACAGTATATAGGATAATATACAGCCTACAGATGAGACAAAGGCATATGCGTCACTAGTGATGCCAACTCTATCACAGCCACTCTGTTTCTGCAAAGCCAAAGAGCAGAGAAGCATATCCACTCCAATCTGCCTCCACATACTTGCAAACAGACTGCACCGTACATGTTGGTTGTGTTAAATTTTTTGAGCATATTTGTAAAAGGTCCTTATAAGCAGTGATATAGCCTCATTGAGATCTGACATGGTGGCTGAAACAGGAAGATATTGTTTTGCTCAAGAGTTCACTTTTTTATTTTACGCACATCAGACAATTCACAGATCTGACGCCAACTGTAGAACCCCCTATTTAAAATACTGGATGAACAGCATTTCAAGACCTGGTTTTTCATAAACACGTATATTGCACAAGAGTTTCAAGACACATATAATGGCTAACCAAAAGTGTAGGACGACTTGTGTCTGCTGAAAGTGTAAAAAAATTAGGAATCAGAGCACAGGGCATTGACAAACTGGTGTAAATAAAGTATGGCACACCCTGGATCCCCCCATGATCTGTCTTGTTTTACCTGCTTTCTTCTGGCAAACTTTTTCAGAGTTTCACAGCTTCAATACTTGGGCATCGGGAAAAGCAAAAAACATTTACCCAAGAATATCAGGCTGTGAACTGGCTCATATGTGACCATAAGGAGAGAATCCATGAGCAGCCTTGCAGGTCAGCTGTATGGTTGTAATATCAATTCCCAAATATTATGGGAGTTAGTGAGTGACCCTAACCCTAACCCAAAGTGATAGTATCAGATATGTAGTTGGTATATAAATTCACTGGATTAAGCCTGAAGAGATAATTGACTGTATTTAGGAAAATATACAGCCTACAGATGAGACAAAGGCATATGTGTCACTAGTGCTGCCAACTCTATCACAGCCACTCTGTTTCTGCAAAGCCTAAGAGCAGTGAAGCATATCCCCCCTCCAATCTGCCTCTGCATACATACAAAGATACTGGAGCCTACTTGTTGGTTGTGTTAAGCTGTGAGGAGAGGAGTCATCAAGACACATGGACGCCATCATGCATTACCATATACAGACTCAACAGCAAGTATATCTCAGGTCAAAGGAGGCTTCCGTGATAAAAAAGGAGTGTAATGGTCACTGGTCTGATGGTTTAAAGTCTATTGGCTGAGTTTTGTACAATCTTAAACTGATTCCAAGACTTTTCTGTTGTTGTTGGTCAAAGGGCTGTTGTAATCAGAGTGAAAGCAGATGAAGGCATGCCTTCATCTTACATGTAGCCTCAACTTCAAGTATCTTTTTTCACAAAGGAGGATCTAAATGTGCCCCACTAGAATCCCATGACCCCAATCTCCCTCGGGTAGCTCGAGAAATTTTTTTAGGAGGTTAAAATTGAGGACATGGGCTGCCACTGCTGCCAAGTCTGTCCAAGTTTGGTTTAACAGCACAATAGTTGAATAATAAAAACTTCTCAGAGGGGGGTTCATTATTGTCAATGAGGGTATGGGACTTGATAGAAGCATCAAGTCCACATAATGAAGTCATTCAAGACTCTGCTGAAGGCTAACTTGTCAGGTGTTTATTTGATTTTTTTTTTTTTTTTCAAGTTTTAAAAAATGGATGGACTTTGCTTTATAACGCCCACTGAAAGAATTTAGATGAAAAGCTTGTCATGTTGAAGTATGTAACAGCCAAACATCACACACCTCTGATTGATAGAGCCTTTTTACCCTCTATCAAGAACCCGCACTACAACATAAAAGCGTGTTTTTCTGTGTTCTGCTTGACTGTTGCCCGTCACATTTTCTCTCTCTCTCAAGGGGAAATACTGCATTTCTGGCCTTTGGTGAAAGCCCAAGGTTTAAGCCTTGTACTTAGTGTTAAAATGGCCATGCTGGAATGCAGCCTTTCCAAATTCCCCTTAACAATCATAATTCCAGTCTTACCAGTCCGAGGATCCTGGGTTCATACATGAAAATGAACTGTTAGACTTAAGTTTTATAGTTTTCAGTTGGAGAAAGTGGATAGTTTAATTTAATCTTAAAATTAACATAAATTAAAAATTGGGAAGCGCCTAAAGTCACGACATTTTCCCTACCCCAGTTAAGGGTATTAACTGTAATCAACCTCTTTGGTATTTTTTTGGAATAAGTTCTTGTAAAATGAAAAAAAAAGACATCAACATCGACACATTGACAGAGACACACAATGAACCAACCAAGAGGGGAGTCTACACAGGGACTAGATACACAAATGAGCAATGAAAGACAGGTGAGACACAAAGACACAGGTGCAGACTATCACTGAGAAGGGAAAAACACAGGAAGTCAAACTTAACCATGCAACCTCACAAAGAGAAGAGACAAAAAACTATCCACAAGACCAAACAGAGGCAACACAACAGGAATATAAGAATGATAGCCACAGGGGAACAGGAACTATAGAGAATAGAAACACTAGGAACAAATACACTGAAAAAACATCTAGATAACAAAATCAGGAAAAAGTAAAACAAGAACCAATCATGACACATTAAGATGAATAAACATTACCTGCATAAAGCTGCAATTTAGCACACAAAACTAGTTAACATAGTACTTCCATATGCTGCATATGTTTTTCAAGTTCTGTTTATTCTCTGAAACACTGCTCAGAGAAAAGATGGTAAAATGCAAAAATGGTATGGACACTTCAGAGTGCAAGATCTCAACACAGGGGGGCAGCCCTGGAGAAGCTGAGGGAGCGACTGCTGGGAAAAACTCCATGGAGAACAAAGACAATGAGTGAACCCGGAACAGGGACTGAAATCTCTTTGAACTGACATGTAAAGATGCTTTTGAAATAACCAACTGGAACAATATGAATAAAAGAGTTTGTCTTTGGCTGAGTTTTCAACTGTATTTTCTTACTTTTGTGTTTGTTCATATAGTATAAATATCCAAGTGGTTAAAGAGTTTTTACTGCAGCAGCAGAACTTTGTTTGTGTTTAGAGTTTATAGGCTCCACCCTCACAGCTCTCTGCAGATCCATTGTACAAGCAGAAACCTGAGGAGTGATGAGGTAATATTTTAAGCCTCCAACAATCATGGCCTCCAGGTGGATACCAGGAAGTGGTGAGGCCAGGTGGCATTGGCACAGGGCAGCTGTTTCAACAAAAGATCATGGGGAAAGACTGGAAATCATGCAGCCAAATAGACAAATAAGGTGGTGATTGTGAGAATAATACACATCAATGCAGTTTACGACAAGCATTACTCCGTTATCAGTTTGAAGCACTTATAGGGCTAATCTGATGCAAGAGTGATCATGCTGTATCGAAGAGTTTGTGTATGAGACATTCTTCGATTCATGAGGCACCAGTTGGCTTCAAAGTTCAAGCCTCCTTTTCATCTCAGAGACCATAGTCCTCATTGCAGTGGTCTCTGGTTTGACTCCCAGCCTCAACCCGTTACTGCGTGTCATCCACCTCTCTCTACTCCTCGCGTTTTTTGTCTCCCTTCTGCTGTTCTGTCTGATAAACATACAAAAGTGCTTCCAAGTGACCTTAAAACTGATGTTCACATCTCTGGGTTGATGGAAAAGAGGAATTTGAACAGAGAGCATGCATCTACACCTTTTTGCATCAACCGACTTTACTGTTTTTGTACTTTCTTCTCCTCTATGCTTCATGTGATGTTTCTTTTTATTCCTGTTGTAATTGTTTGTTTGTAACTCATTGAAGCACTTTGAATACTCTATGTATGAGCAGTGCTTTACAGATTAACTTACCTTGTCTAGAAATCTTAATAAGTGTCAAAACAAGAGTACAACTCAGTCTCCTTTTCCCTTAGATGAGGGTAATCAGTGTGGCATAGCTTTAAGTCATAAACTGTGTTAGATTATGCAGTTAAGCTTTTCTCGATCAGCAGGAAACATGAAGAAATATGAAGTTCATGAAAATACATTGATTTCCAAACAGCTTTTATTTTAGGATGTCAGACACCAAAACTCAGTCTCGTGTGGTTAATCTCTATCTATAGGTCTCTTTAAGATGAGCTTACAGCCTATCATTGTAGTTAACATGTCCTATGAAAGGTAGAGTAGTTTTTAAAGGATGAATTACAAGGCATGAAGACTTAATTTATTTGTAGTCGAAATACTCAAGAAATACTATGAAAAATCATAATGCGTCAACATTTTATTTCCTCAGTCACACACACACAAAAAAGATATTGAAGATAAGTCACCTCTAACAGATAAACCAATTAAAATGTGACATGCACTCTAACTCTTGAAGACATGTGAAGTTTCTCGTGCAAAAAGTCGCATCCATCTATGTGTGTTAAAACAGGCCGTCTTTGATAAATGTGAAGCTGATATTAGAGAAATTCTTATTTGGTACAAAGTAAATAGGGAACAAAAGTCCTGAAGGCATGTGGACGAAGTCTTTATTTTCCACAGACAAACTCAGAGATGGCTGCTACAAAAGTGCAAAACTCTGCAAAATTAACAGCATTATCGCCGTCAAAATCCATACTTTTTAGGAACTTTTCAGCATCTTCATTGGTGACCTAAGACAAGGAAAGAGACATAGTAGAAGAGGTCAAATATCAAAATTTCGAAGAGGCACTGCTGCAATGGTGCGAAATCTTTTCTACTTACCTTCTGCAACAGGCACTCTTTACGGAGCAGTTGCGCAAGTTCACTCTTGGTCATAGTGGTGCTGTTTCCATCAGCTCCAGCATATTGAACAAAGATTTGTCGAAGACCATCAATACTTTTAAAGAGTTGTGACATGGTGGCTGGAATGAGAAAATACATTTTACTTTGTAATCCAATGGGACTTTATTTATCACAAAATATGGTAATGCATGGATTGGGCATAACTGGAATTTCTAATACAATTATTAGAAGATGAATTAGCAGCTGATAAACTCTTTTTGCACACATAGTTTTCTTCTATAAGCACTGCCTTTTCTTTTTCTCCCTCACAAATTCAAAGCTTATTTGTTATTGAAATCAGAATATTAGTAATCTTATACACAGCCATGAATTGCCATCCTTGTCTTACTCAGATGCAGCACTCTACACAACACAGCAACCACGCCCTACTCTCATTCATGTATTTCATGCAATAAAACATAGCAATATGCATTAAGTTATCTACTCTGAACTAATGGAGCTCAAAACTGTTTTCTCTGTGATTTAAATAGTAGTTTTAACATATAATTCTACTTACCAAAGTTGTATGGAAACTTGTGCAGCTAGAGCGAGTGGCAAAGTGGGATTTGAAGGAGATCATGGCCACAAACTTTTTTTATATAAAAGCTGACACATCCTACACCCAAGTCCCTCCCAGTCTGTTTTCCTCCCTTTTCCTTCCCGTCCCTTCCCTCCCCTTTCCCTTGTCAATTCAAATAAATGTTATATAACTTCAAAATTTCAGTGCTGGAATGAATTATTTCCTACTTTCCCTCAAATGCAGGGCTCATGTTGCACCAGTAACACCATTATTGGAAAAACTAAAAGTCATAGGAGATAAATATGATATTCTTCTAGTCTTTAAATACATGGGAACATTGAGTTCTATTGTTAAATAGATATCAGTAGCACTGGAAATTATTTGAAACTCAGCCTTCATGAAAGATCTGTTTCTGACGGTGAGTTTCAGGGGGTTTCCTTTCCTCAGACTAACACTGCACCACACAGTTAAGCAGAGTCACCACGGCAACATGGAACCACTGATTCAATAGTACTCAAACAAGTCAGAACTGCATGTACAGTATGTCGTTTTTTTTTTTATGGCACTTGTCCCACGAGTCGGCACCTTTACTCACGTTGTGAAGAGAACTGTGTCGTTGGAGAGGAATAGAAACTAAAATGTGCAAAGTTGTAGCCTAAAGGCAGAAGATGAGAGTGAGCCTCAACAAAAACAATGAGTTAATACTCACACACACAATTACACAACTGTGTAATGTTGCCAACATAATACCTGTGAGCTGAAACATCACACTGAGGATATGGTACGGATAAGATGCAAAGTTACCAGCTCAGACAGAAAAGGGCGTTGTCAGGAACAGCATGACTCGTGAGTGGAAAACGTTTGTGGACACCGAACGAGGCTCAAATAAACCACACTATGCAAATGATCCTGTTGCACACACACACACACACACACACACACACACACACACACACACACACACACACACACACACACACACACACACACACACACACACACACACACATTCTTGTATTTCTGATCTACTTAGGGCCTCCGATTAATGCCTACCTCTTTCGGGCCACCCTTTCCAGACACACAGATACACATTAGAAGATCTAACTTTGCATCCAAACTCTCGAGCTTTCTTTCTCAGTCAGGATTTTGACACAGAGGTGATGTTCTCCCAAGTCCATGCATATGTTTCACAATCCATAACATTTGCCAGATATACTGTACTGTGCAACGCCTATCTAAATATATGTTGCTCTACGGTGTTTAACTTGTTGGTGTTGCATACCTGCTCATTCTGGGAGGGTTCCCTTGTCTGTCACTCCTCCTGACATTCTCCTGTGTTTGTATGTTTTTTTTATAGTTGGAGTTCCTCTCTTATCCAAATCTAGGGTCCAGTGTAATGTACAACACCAGAGTTACATTTTATGTTATATTGAAGTACTGAAAATTGACTTTATGCGACATGATATAAAGCTGGGAGTGGGTCAGCTCTTTAGGATTATCTGTTTAATTACAGTCTGCAGTCTAAGAGTCTAAAGATTAGCTGAACCTATACTTTTCTACTGACTTTCAGCCTTAATGTGTCCAAACTGTACCATTAAAGTTGATTGAGCTCTGATAAGAAAGAGTTTAGAGTCAGACCCAAAACAACTCCAAGTTTTTTTTTTTGTAAAGCACTTACTGACACACTGTTAGAAATAAGAAGTGCTCATCTGAGGCATATTTTAAGAAGGAGAAAGGAGATAAAATTACCAAGACGCCTTCAAAGTTTTGAAAGGATATATTGCCAGCTTTCATTTTCACTCAAAAATCCAAGCGAATCAAATATCCTTTCTCACGTTTCATTTTCCTTTTGTACACTTTATCACCCAATGCGGTGTTTGCTTCTTTTTCACATTTTTCAATGTTGGATCATAACGTCTTTCTTAGTCCAGACTGAGAAGAAAAACCACTCAAATTAAATGGAAGTTTAGAGTTCTAAGAAACTAACTCAATCAAATCCCAGTGTGATCTCTTTCTTCCTTTGAACTGCAGTGTGATGAGAATTAAGCGCTTCTTTGTGAGACTGGATCAGGAAAAACAAAGCAAACCAGCCCTCTCTTTATGGCTCCTCTGTGCACTAGCCAGACATCCTTTTCAGCTTCATTGTTTGTTATCTGATACTGAAATGTTCGACTATCAACAGTTTTCCTCATGAGCTGTCTCTTTCCCAAAATCACTGTGTGGAAAAAAAAAACAAAAAACAACAAAAGCAGGGATGCAATACTAATTTAGTCTGTATCAGGGGATCTTGTCGTCTGTTTATGCTGGCTTTAGTTCTCTAAAGAGGGACAGAATAAGTTCTGGTCAGTCATACAGTTGGCAGCTCGAGCTTATGGTCGCAATGACCGGGGAAAACTCCCTTTTAACAGTCAGACTCATTGGTGAAAGCCAACTACCATGGAGGGAAAGGGAGAGACAGAGTCAGAGCAATGAAATCAAAACTGATTAGATCATTTTTCCACCACGCTTAGTCATTTCTACTGAAAAAGACTGAACTGAAACAGCTAATTGTATGGATTGTTGCCATGTTTGAGTCTGTTCAAAGTTTTTTCATGTCAAGTGACAAATCTCACAGTTTGTACAGGTATTTATGCTGCCCAACAGATCATATACGACCCACATAGCTGGTTACTCAGTCATTTTGGTTCTAAGTTGTGTTTTCTGAATATCTGCATTTAGATGACTTTCACCTCTAATCCTCATACATGGTTAAATCCCAAGTAACTCACAAGCTAACTAATGACTTATCGTTTGCAATTGTGTTTCTGAGTGAACCAAGCTGTAAACTCCAGGACTAAGAAATTAAGCTAATCCTTGAGTGACGAGAAAATACAGTCAAACATTAGAACAGAAATAATCCGGATTTTTGTTCATTCATTGCAACTAATTGTAAGGGGCTTACTTGTTGTTGTGAGCCTCTTGATCCGTGTAAGTGACAGACAGATGATGCTAACCGTCTGCTCAACATAAACACAGCTTTTTCTCTCACTCTTTCTTTGTTTTTGTGCCTTGAGGGGGATTTTTCATGGGAAAATATTATAAATACCCATATTATGGCCGCCTATAGGGTTTATTGTATAAACAGACCATCTGAGAAGTTTGTGTTGCTGTTGTTTTTGGTGAGAAGCGCTTTGGTGTCATATCATTATTTTTTTAACACTGCTCAGCAGGTATTGGTGTCACCGCTATTCTAGACCGACAGTAATAAAAACGTGGCATTATTCATGTGGCACTTCAGTCAATAACACAAAACTAAATCTAATTCTCCTGCTGATGATTTAGTCGGGTTTCATTCTGAAAGTCTGCAGTTTGCTACCCTCTTTTCTGATCACTAAAAAACCAACGTGGCGTCTTCAAAATACCAATCTCAACGTCTAAAAATACAGCTGACTAACCAGTGGGTTATGTCATGATGGCTTCAATATACTTCAACAGTGAACAGGCCAAACTATGATAGTTATTTCAACATGTTTAGTGGTTATTTCATTAGGAGCTCACAGCAGTAATGAGAAGCTGGTGGTGCCTCAGGCTTATCACATTTTTAACACTGGAGAAGGATTTGACTGGAGTAAAATGAACACAAAAGTAAGAGACACTTCATCAGGCTGTTACTGAGCGTCTGAGGGTCTAGGTCATCAAATTGTTCCTCCAATTCCACTGGACTTCTTGTGAAACCTGCATTTAATATAGTTATAATTTAGATTTGGTGTTTTAAGATGGGCGTAAGGACTGTTATCAGCAGCTTCATGTTTTGTTACACCTGCAGCAACTTAAGCTGTCTTAATTTTGCTGATTACTGTTTAGTTAACTTTTGTGTGTATATACTGAAAATAGGTTCATATATAATTTCTCTGTAATTGCTATTATAAGTGTTCAAAGAGGCCCTCTCTGTTTTGGATAAACAGGCTGCTGTAGTGAGCTGGTTTCTCTCCGCCTCTCTCACCACCCACCCACCCATAAAAAGGAGGAAAAAAAAGAAAAAAAACTAAAAACTTTCCACTACATCCTTGTGGTCTGTTGTGTGTGTGTATTTGAGCACAACTACATGTTTGTTTACCTCTATCTGAGGGTTGTTTTTTTCACAGAGGAAGCAGCTTAATTACAGTATAAAACACTAAATCAAACAAGATGACAAAGAGAGGAAGAATGTCTTCTCTGCCCTCTTCTCTTCAAGTTTCGGTAAAGGCCTCTCGCTTGTGAGCGCTTTTGTTCTTACTCGTGTACTATAACAAGTTATTTGATCCACACATGGTATGAGCAAATCACTCTCTTCTGTTTTACGCAAGACAAAGATATCATATGAAATCAGTTAGAGATGTTTGATGGAGATTAAAAAAAAGACCCTCTCAGAGCTGAACAGCTCCACTTGCGTAACAGTTAATTTGACTTTATAATAGTTTATGTGCTATGGTTTGGCAGAATTTATTGCTGCAGAGGAATGACAGATCAACAGAACAAATGAGTTTTCTGTGTAGCTCTGTGGTTTAAGCAAATATAATGCCTCAGCTGGGTTAACAATGAGTAACCATGCAAAGCAGGAAATACGAGACCTACAGTGCAGCACAAAGACGTCCGAGTTTGCTGAGCGTGACTACATTCATACACTGCTCTCTATCTTCTTTTGTGCTTTTATTTGTTCTTAACTATTTTGTTTTATCTAATATGTTAGCTTGTTTTTTTGGCTGCTCATGTTTACGCTCTTCTGGAATACAAGATAATGTTCTCGTGCCCTGCTGCAGGCACATTGTGGTCCTTTGTTTCAAACACATGCAGGGTATTACCTCGGCTGTTTCTCACGCTGCTATGATGATCTAATTCATGAGAATAAGATGATGAATAAAATGATCACCAATTAAATGCAGGAATTTTGTTTGTTTTTTTCAGAGCTGCCTATTTTCTCTTGCTCATATTTCTTTCCACCCGCACTTAATCTACAAATTAAGTGAAAACAGTCAGATGTGCATCAGAAAATGCTAGTCTAATATTACATTTTGATTTATTAGAATTATTCACGACACACCGGGTGTAGATTCAACTGAATGGGCAGAGGAGCACCCTGAGTTGAATTAGAAGGGTGTGGTACAGGGATGTTTTTTTCTGTCTTGGATGTGGTCAGCTCTGGTAATCCTTCAGACGATGAGTTTTATTTAGACAACTTGATATGTTCTCTGGAATCATCTATCTTTTATCAATCTATGCGGTGGCCCATACGAGCTCAAACATTCTCCCATGACAGGTTCAAGAGAGAGTGTCCCAGTTATGCGTGAAACTCATTTCAAACAAATGTGCCATTTCTCAGACTTACTGAGTTTCTTTGTGGATTGGAGTAGACTAATGGGTTGACCAAGTCTTGCAAAAATTGTGTCATGTTTTTGGCTGTTCTCAGTTGGTCACAGGCCTCCAACAGAACCGCACCACACCCTCAGTGTTTGCCCACCCGACTGAAGATGCTTTTTCTCTGCCTCCAGATTAGCCATTCCATAAGATTATGTAACCCTCCTCCTCCTCCACCACCAGTCTCTTAGCTAAGACTTTTTTAACCACAATATTTCTCCAAAGTAATGTCATTAAGACTCATAACAGTAAGTACACTTGAGCTGGAGTTATGTGAACAAATGCTTTTAAACAAATGAATGCAGAAAGGAAGAGATGTGGTTTTACTCAAACCGCTTGAAAAACTGCTATGAGAGAAAGATTTGAGTAATTTTAGAGTAGATAAAAAATACTCTACAGGCTAAGGAGCTCACAAAGTTTTAGATATGCTCAACAATGACATAAAAACAATCTGCAAAACTTTCATTTTAAAAGAAGTGCCCTGAAACACAAATTGAGTTATGATTGGATGTTTTTTATTCTCAGAAAGGATTGAAGCGATTCTTAAATTCATTTCACATGGGACAATTCAGATCACATTGCATTTTTCTCTTGTCAGTACAGACAATGTTGCACATATGGGTACACTTTATTGCACTTTAGTATTTCTTTTAAGGCTTTATGATCAATCTGCTTAGTTAAAAAAGATTTTTATGCAACTTTGTCCACGTGATAGAGGCATCTGGTCATGAAACCCACACACAAAGTAAACTCTTTGATGTCGATGTATCCATCCTTGTCCCGATCCAGCGCTCCGAGGGCCTTGTCCAGTGTTTCTTCAGTGACCTCAGCCTGGAGATGATCACACATAACAACAATAAATGCCAAATAGTTGTAAGTAAAGGTGTTTTGTGAAATGTATTGCATCACAAGTGAGTTTAGTTTCTTACCTTAACTTCAGGGTTTGAAATTTCTCTGTCCAACATGTCCTTGAAGTCTTCCTTGGCTATATAACCATCACAGTCTGCGTACTCATTGAACAGCTCCACAAGGCCTGTAATGGCATTCTCCAGACGAGCCATAGTTGGGGCTGAGGATGGAGAATGAGAAAGAAAACACCGCTATTAGTTTCCCCAGAACTACAGACACTTTTATCATCTCCTAATGTAAGATTACAGGCACTTTCAGCTACTTTAAAGGTAAGAATGAACAATGTTAGAGTCAAAGAGTCAAATCTATACAACAGGCTGACAAATTTTCATTGTAACTTCAGCTCCAATTAAAGCGTTAACAAATTTACGTTGCCATTCATGAACAATATAATACAGAAATTAGCATCCAGAATTATATCGCCATTTCCAAATTGGGCTCTTAGACACTTGTCCTGCTCAGTCCATCGATATGTAACAGCTGCCACAACCCTTCCTCTGTAAAGACTCACCTTTAAATTCCTGTTTATCAGGTGAAGAAAGATCAGGTCTGTGTCACCAGTTTGGTCCCAGCTGAGGCTGATGTCAGTCCAAGAAGGGTCTCCTTTTATAGGAGCTGACATCAGCTTTGTGACATAAGAGCACAGACATGTACAAAAAGACACACACTTGTCATGTGGTGAGTTATGCATGTAAACCTGCCCCTCTCCCCACAAACCTGCTGCACCTGTCTTAGCGTGCACTTCTCAAAAGAATGACCATTATGGTGCCTTGGGGCTAGACTGATGTTTGTGGTGCCTATAGAGAAAACATTTGCATTTGTTGACATTGCCTACATGTGGACTACATGCGTACATATGTGTGTGCGGCAAGAGGGTCTGTTAACAGGTGGAGTAAACATGTCAGACAGAAAAATTCTCTTTTTACTTCCCAGCTTCAAGTTGGTTCATAATAGGTGAAAATATGTGTAATTTTCAGGTCTGTGATGATCATCAAGGACCAACCCTTAACTAAGAGGTCAGGCTGAAAAAACACCAGACTGACCCTTGCTTGTGTTGTACTCACTCTCCATGTACGCTGCTATGGACCCCAAACAAAACTGCTCAATAAAACTGTATCATTGTTACTTGTATTACCCCCTTATCTAACAACAATGAAAAAGGTTGAAAATGGAAATAAAAATGACCATAAACCCGTGCGCTATGTACATCTTTAACTTTTGGATACTTTGCATTTAAGGCTGCAAACCGCTTTTAGAAATACAACAGGATACATAGGACACTGCTCATGAAGAAAGAAGTTGCAAAGCCATTTCCTGTATGTAAATGCTGTGTGCATTGACTGTCTTTCGTGACACACATTATGTATATTAACTAATTATGTAAGAGCATGCTTCAGTTTACCAATTTGGTTTTGTTGCTAATTCAAAATAGGATATGTTAAACGTAGCGATCTAAGTTATCCTACAAAAATGAGATCACTCAAGAATAAGGTTGATAAATGATTTTATAATTTGATATCGGGGTGGGGAGAGGAGATTGGGTTTCGCACAATAGAAGTATTACAATACTTGACTTATAATGTTACTGTGTCTTACTGTGAGACAGCCCTTGGATGATATCTGATAGAAGCTCTGTAGGAGCACCTATTGTTATGCCCTATATATGTCACATAAATTTAAAAGGAGGGAAAAAAGCAGCCCTCAGACAATGGCGTCACTTAGAAGGAGCTGGATCTTCAGGTCCTCTCATTTGCAACTTACAAATCACTACGTGGTCTTTCGACTCAAACCTGTTTGGTGCTCCTCAAACAAACAGAAAAATGAAGTCAGCTCTTTTGCTCTCCCAGCACTTGCACACTGTGGTACATTCTCTTCTTCTAAAGTGATTTGCAGGGGAGATAAAAAAAAAAAAAAGTGAAAACGCTGTTATCTTATCTCTTGATCACCATTTGTCATCTCCAAGTCATGTCACCATAAAGCCTGGGGACGTGAAACCTGATTGGTCAGCAATCAACCCAAATGAAGTCTTTGATACATGTCTTTGAAAACCATCAAACTATAACATAACTGTAAATCTAATGCAATGGACTCTTAAAGTACATGTCTGGAAAAAAATCTAATTGGTGGTCTGGGACAAGTTGGGATCAGAATCCAATCTCTGTCACAGTGGGCAGGTGCTGAGCCCACTGTGACAACCGGAGGACCACCTTGGGCATAATTGCAGCCTTACAATAGATAGTTCAGTGAACAAACACTAGTGAACACAGAGAAGACCCCACACAAGCACAAGGAGAATACTGAGCACATAAAGCTGGAAATACGATTAAAAAAGTGCGTAGTGCATAGATTTCACCAGTTTAGCATAAAACCCTTTGAGAGGGAATCCTCGAGCAAATAAAAACATCTAAACATATGATTCCTACTTATGGTAGGTGACATCCTGCACCAAAAGTCAAGTAAGAGATAATATATTACAAGCAGATGGCTTTGTGGATTGGAATACAAACAGGGTGATCAGGATCCCAATGCAAATGAGTTAGGTCTTGTCCTATGCTTAAGGCAAAATCAATTCACTCGTGTTTTTTTGTTGGCATTTGAAGTGACGCATAAAAAGACTGATGGATGTGACATAGGTCTTTCTTTCAACATACTAATCCTTTACTGCTGCCAAAGCCCTTATCACGGTTTTCTTCAGTTTGTTTGACGGCTCTTTGTTCAGCTCCACTTATCTTTTGACCTCCCTCATTGTTTATGTGTTATGTAACCTTTAAACACTGAGCGGATGTGGTTCAGTGGTAGGGTTGGTCATCTCTCAGGCGGTAGGTTGAAGGTCTGATACCATGTCCTGCTGTCCTTAAAAGCGCCACAATGTCAACAGGCAGAGCTAAGATCATGTTGTATGAAAATGCTGAACACCTTACATGAACTGATTTGATTTAAAGCGTATTGTGCTGATAATGAGCATGTGGTCATACTGTCTTATGACCAGGTGAGTCAAGATCTGGCTTTTTAAAAATTATGTAAAGTCTGATCAAAATTGCACGAGCTCAAACTTCTCATAGCCAGACTAGTATACCTGAAAAATGCAATTTTCCCTGTACTGCGCATGCTTCAGTTTTCACACACTGGGCTTGGAGCCAGAAGTTGAATATTATGAATCCTTTGCTTGAAAGCTGAGTAGCTGAAAAACCTTGACAGATGAAAAAAGAGCATAAAAAAAAGGACAAAATGTTCCCATTGTGCAGACAAAGGGTACAAAGCTGTAACAAGCTGAAGGGTGGCATGCCATCATCTACCATGGTGGTGGACATGTCTCTGTCAATAATGCCTGTACACTAGTACACTGGGACAAGGACGGTGGTCCAGTTAAATTACCTTATCAAGCTTTGACCATAGCTTGACTTAACTGTGCACTTAAACCGCATATTCAACACACAATCATACACACAAGAAGATGGTGAAATGTTGTTTCATGAGAAGCACACAACACAAAAATGAAACTGGTCAAGAAAGGGGACCCAAGGGGGAAGACAGTCTGTCCTCACAGATCCACTTTGGCCAGTGCTTATCAGGGGATCAAACCATAAACCAAAAACACTTCATTATAAAAAGTCCCAATAACATTTGAGGGAGAAACTTTTAGTGAAGTTAGAACAGACAAACAGAGACTAGTCTGAAATACTCCGGCTGGTTTAAGTCCTGGACTCTGTTCAAAAACATGAGGTATTTTTTTCTTCAACAAAAAGGGCGGTGCATCTCAAAACCCTGCTGTATATACTATGTCTCACATTGTATATACATCATAGGCCACATCTTGAGGGTGACTGCTTCAAACTCTAACACACCTGTTGCGCATCAGTACACACAGTTTCAGTGAAACATGTTCAGTCCTGAAGCTGTTGCAGAAATGTTGGCGCACTGTTTTCAGACTGAAAGTGCCCCTGGTTACAGGTGAGAGGCAGGTAGAGACCTCTAGTGGACCCAGAAGAAAGCACAAGGATTAAAATCTTGAGATTACCACACCTGAGATTGCTTCATCAGAGAGGAGACATTTACTCGTACAAACTGTTTGATATGTATAAAAGACAAAGTGTGTTTTCAATTTTTATGCCAAATTGACGAATTCCTCTGTGTTGTTGGATTGTTTTTCATTTACATACATTTTAAACATTGAATGTGAGAGTATTTGATTCAGGTTGATGTTATATGCAGACTAATTGTAAAAGCAGGTCAGCCAAGAGTAAGTCAGAAAAGTCTTGAGATGCCACTTGCTCCAGAGCATAAGGTAACAAGAATTAAATAAAGCTGTACAGAGTCTAAACTTCTTTATTAGACTATGAAAAGATTAGATTGGATGCCACTTTCACAAAAATATGAGGCAGAAAGGGACCTTAATGCAGACAGGAGACAAACAGTCTCAAACTAAACTGATGACAAGACGAGGCAAAAGGTTGTGAAAGAAATTCAAACATAAACTGAACCGCAAACATTGTGAACTTCTCTTATGGGTGATTGGGAAAAAATAAGGCAGGGTCCTGGGTCACATTCAGCCTTCACAAAATGTTGCAAAACTTGAGTCAGCAGAAAAAAGAGTGGCATGTTATACATGCTGTAAAGACAGTGCAGGCTCCGTGTTGGGGCTGACTGCTTCCTCCCCGACACGCTCACTAAACAAAAACCTGTTACACACCATTTCAGAGAGTTTCAGTGAGACATGTTCAGCCCTGAAGTTAGAGCAGAGAGGTTCACACTGTACTCAGACTGGAGGTGATTAATGGCAACAAGTGTCTGCGTCCACCCAGGAGGGCGGGTATACAGCAGCCTCTGGTGGATCTTAAAGAAATGACACCTGAGACAAAAATAACAGATATTTTATTTCAGTCATTCATCGAAGACGGACTAAAGCTTGCAATGTGTGTGAATATTTGACTGACAAAATTAAAAAAACATAGAAAATTTATGTCCACACATTTTCACACGATAGAATTTGTACAATCCAAAAAGAGCAGGTCAAAACCCAACGATTTACAACGATCTACACAATTTCAACACAACTCTGAGGCCATTTATATTTTGACTCTTAAGCTGAAAATACATCTATATTTTGTGTTGACTCTATCTTTACATCCATTTTTAACTGTAACATCCTTTCCTTCATAAAAACAATATTAGATGCAGGAGGACTCTTACTCTGATCTTAAAAAAGTATTTCTAATCTTTTTAAAGATACAGTCTACAAATATGCAAAGCCTTAGTGGCCATGAGATATATTAAACTTTTTAAAAGCTCTTTTCTGGAGTTTGATTGAAGGATCTGTTTGTTTTATACATCCTTCCTGACCTCTGCACAGTGTGTCAGATATGGCAAAATAAATGAGCAATACACATAATGCAGATATGTCTTATCCAGCAGATCCTTTATTTTATAAGGAACACCATAGATCTGGGTATCTTTTATTTGAATGTATCCTAGCTGCAGCTTTCAACAGAGTTTATGATTTACTCGCATATTGTTAGACACCTGTTTTACCCATCACCCACACCATTACTGTCCATGTTAGAATAACTAATTGAAACTTAATTCATCTACTGGAGTGAATCTCACAATTTAAATTTGGTAATCATTTTTTATAACAAACAACATCAGTGAAATGCAAACAAAATATGTAAGAACAAGTGTGAATAAAATGAAAATAGAGTAATGTCGGTGCAACCATCATTTTAGAGTAACATCTCCAACAGGTTTAGTTGAGTTAAACCTGCTCTGCACGTATTGTTGAAACACTGCACCTTGTTCATTGCAGCTTTCAGTGAAGACAAAGTTGAACTAAGAGCCTGTCAGACTACATTCACAAGTATTATGAAGTAATTTGGCTGTTTACTTTTTGAGGCAAAGTCACGACAGCATGTCAAAAATTTGACATTTTTGAACAGCTATTGTTATGTATATACTATTTATACATACAAAAAGTGTCACAGAGACATTTTCTTTGCTACCAGTTCCTCAGGGTGACCCCATGAGATGAGACATTGTTGGAATTGCAGACATCATATAAGAGGTGGAAGCAGCCTTTTAAAATCAGAAAAGGTCAGAGACATGAATTCAAGGCGTCCGTGGCATGCTGAGTGCTCTTGAAACTGTGGTGCAATTACAAAACACACCCAACAAAGACCATAAAAATGCAGTTAAGTATATAATTAAGGCTATTCAGCTTGTAATGATGTGGCCTGACGCTTGCTGTGCAATAGTATGTGGACTGTATAAAAATACCCTTCTTCATCTATTATCCTGTTTGTTAAATGTTTGTAGAGAAGAGGAACATATTGGGGTGTACTCAATCAAAACAGGAGGTAATGGTAATAAAAAAATATCTTCAATACTCTTCTCTTCAGTGTGCAGCAAGTTTTTTTTCCTTTTTTCAACTGAACAGCCACTTGCTCCTGGCAGTTTGGAGAATGCCGTTGTGTTTTAAAACTCCAGTTTCAAGCAGCGACCTCTGGTCTGGTGCTGAAAATTGACGGTGCTGTGGTTGTAGTGTATTAATATTATTGTTTTATTTTACATCATTTGTATCATCATCATTTAAAGGGCCCACTTGAGAGTGAAACTCTGGGACTGGGTGGCGATTGGGAAGTGGATGGTTGAGTCTAACTATAGCATGACCTGGTGTTAGAGAAAATCATATTGACATAAGACAGCAGTAATGTGATAGGTTAATAAAGAGAGTGTGCTGCGGTGCTATTGGACAGAAATGACCAGGTGATGAAAACAGCTGATGGTCACAGGAGATATGAGTCAACATGCAAATAGGAGTGAAAACAATACAGTAACAATGAGTCAGCTTACAGAGTCAACTTTGCCTGACTGAATTTTTGCTATAGCTCCATGTAATTAAATTTTTGGTGCAAAAATCACAAGTGTTCCCAATCACTTTTTATAATCTGACTCTACTGATCTCATTTTTGACACACAGAAATCTACTCCTTCAGCTTTATGTTACGAATAAAGCTACAAAATCAGCCTTTTTATTTTAATCCTGTTTTATTTCTGAGACTGCCTTGTGGTTGACTGCAGTGGGCACTTGTAGAGATAATGGGCCCCGACACTCCCACACATGTTCTGATTTTCTCTGGAGCCCCTGTCAGTCATGATAAAGTCATTTCTTTCTCTGGCTGGCTGGGAAGCTTAAGCTGAGCATTAAAAACAGACAAACTGACAGCCTTGTGTAAGTATCAGACTAAAGAGTAAATGTCTGTAAAACTAACCGCAAAGCAATTTCCTGAGAGTTCACTTGTTTCACTTCTAATTTTCTATAAGTTCCTTTTTTTTCTCATGATTTTTTTTTTACAAAGGTTGAAAACTCAAAATGTGTGTAAAGGTTTTGTAAATGGAATAAACAAATACAATTACAGGTTGTGTTCACGTGCAATGCTAAAAATATGTTGTCTCTCTCCAAAACAAATACTGTGCAGAAACCACACATGAGTCATGTCCTGCAAACCTGACCTATGTCCCACAAACCAGTTCTGCTGGTCATCTGTTTAAACAGAGAGCTTGTTAATGCTTTGTGTTGATTGTAGAGAAACGGTTTGTATGGTGGCATTGATTCTATATATGCATTAACGAATATAGTTCATTCAGGCTGAGCACTTTATCCCGGGAGTGGAAGTCTTTGATTGTTTAAATGACTGTAATCTCTTAGAAAGACTCCACCCACAGGCGGTGTCTCATCAACAGCAGCCTGAAAATTCAACTGATGTTACTCAGACAGTACCTGTCCATCAGTTGTTTGATGAATAAAGAGAAATGATGGTGCAAATCTGTTTTTTTTTTTTAGTTTAATTGGTATATTTCTTTATCTTCTGAATTAACTGACTAGTGTTGTGTTGGTGGATGTTTGTTGGCAAATGGTTAACTGTTGTGTGTTTTTGTGTGCATTCCCTGACTCAGACTGACTCAGCAAAAAAAAAAAATATTTAAAAAAATATATAGAAAAGAAAAGAAAAAAAAAAAAAGGAAAAAAAAACCTTGAGATACAAATGTATTTAAGTACGACTTTGTATATTAAATTGAATCTTTTTGAAGGTGGAAAAATAGTTTCTAATTTTGTTCAATTGAGAGGAAGGGACAAAACACAAATTTAGATCGAGCCACAAACAGATCCAGATGCAGCAAAACACAGAAACACAATTGTTTCTCCTCACAGTTTAAAAACACAATTTAATATATATATATGTATGTATTATGATGAGTCAAAGCTAAAAGGTAAGATATAGATTTGACTAAACCAGAGGCAGTTTTGAAATACTTTCTGCTTTGGGTGGGTCCTGGTCTATATTACAAAACTTGTATTTAAAGATAAAGGGTGGTGCACAGTTGGAATCAGACAGATGGTACACAACAGGGATTTAAACTAACCCAACAGACAGGTGCAGTTTTGCATTCATGTCCTCTCCTACGCAGTACAAAGACGGGTGCAAACAAGAGCTCAGTGTGTCAGGTACTCCACTAGGTTGGGCCCATTGCAGCCTAACCAAGGTTCAAGTCTGAACAAACACTTCATGAAAAACTTAATGAAAGAGAAGAATTTTAAGTCTGCTCTGAAAACTAGGGATAGTGTTTACCTCCTGGACCCTGACTTGTACATGACACTAAAGAAGGGAGAGAAAGTTTTAACTCCCATACTACTTTAAGATAGTTATCACAAGCAGGCCTGCATTCCAGGTGAGAGGAGAAGTTTGGTTCTGTAAGCTCTTGAGGATATATGAACATGTTTACATTGAGCTACACTTCATATAGTAGATACACATATACACAGGCTAAATGCTGCCTGTCTTTTAACTAACACTAACAGACGTGAACACATCACTCCTGTCCTTAGCTCCCTTCATTGGCTTCCCGTCTCTTTTAGGATTGATTTTAAACTTTTAATGTTTGTTTTTAAAGCTCTTAATGGCCTCGCCCCCATCTATTTAACTGAGCTTTTAACCATTAGAGCTCTGAGGTTGTCAAATCACCTTCTTCTGGAGGTGCCCAGGTCAAAACACAAGCTCTAGGGTGACCGAGCCTTTTCAGTTGCTGGTCCCAGGCTCTGGAATAAACTCCCCACTGAAATGACACTTACTTCTGACCTGGGCCTTTTGAAATCTCGATTGAAAACATACTTATTTATGCTGGCTTTTAATACCCAGTAGTGTGGTGACACTTTAATTTATTGCATTGTATTTTATTCTTTTTTTATTGCTTTTTATCGTTTTTATTTCTTCATTTTTTTTTCTATTGTAAAGCACTTTGGTTCGCCGAAAGGGTTGTTGTACATAAAGAACATTTACATTTACATAATTGAATAATCATTTCCACATATTTATTCCATACATACCTTACAGCTCAGCTCTAAAAACAAGGTCTTCCACACCCTGGACTGAGTACCCCTCCTTAAAGAAAAATATACATTAGTACATACGTTTAGGCACTGCCCCCTATAGAAAAACTGACAGATAATACAAAGCATCCATACGCCCTCTGTTTAAACAAGACACCAGTGAAGCTAGTTTTTGAAAGATGGGTCATTTTTACAGAACATCAATCATCTTTGGTTTATTTTTTCAGTATTTTTTGTGTGTCCCTGCTCTTATAAAAGGGAGGTTAGTCCCCTCAGTCCGACACCAGTCTCACTTTGGACCAGGCTGCTGACTCTGAGGATATCTCTTTTCACTTTCTGAAAGAAAATGACGGGTGAGTCCTGATGGGTGAGAATAAAACATTCAAGTACTGTAGTGGTTTTATTTGCAAACTAAAAGTTTTTTTTCTTTATTGTGATTGGACAATACTTAAGTAGTTACTTTTTACAAGAGGTTTATTTTGTTTTATTGCAATACAAGAATCCTTTTGCTCCTAAATAGGTTTCAATCTGATGGTGTAGTCAAGCATATTCATGTTATGTGCAAACACTATATGATTTGGCATTGCAGTGTCAGCAAAATCTTGGCAATAACAGATTTTTTTTTAAACTCTAACTTTCTTTATCCTGTGATTTCTCTTTTGTATTTGTATCTATGCTGCTGTAATTTTTAGAATTTACCCCTGTGGGACTGATAAAGGTATATCTTATTTTATTTTATCTTGTCTTAATAATCTGTTTATCCTCTTTCTTCCCAGCTCCTGTTCCTTTTGCGAGCGTCAACGACGCCATCTCGACCATTGTGAACTTCTATGAACAAGAAGTTCAAGATGGCAAGATCAAAGATGGAGAATTAAAGGAAAAGATTGAAGAGCTGAAGAAAAACCCCAAATTTCAAGTAATAAACTATTAAAGTTCACCTGGCGCTGTTAATGTTTTCCTTTAAACACATCAAATCATTTATTTTTTTAACTTTTTCTAAATCAACAATAACTGCTTACGATATGCCTACAGGAAAAAATGAAGCGCGGTGGACCCCCCAGAGGACCCCTGAGAGGGATGATTGCGGGACAACGGGGCCAAGGGATGCTGGATGGAGGTGATGGAAAATTCAACATCAAGAAGTACTCGTTCCTTGTCGCAATGATGGTCAGATGTCACTTCAAAGGGCAAGATGATGGTGATGATGACGATGAGGACACTAACTAAATAACAGAGTTCTCCTTCAACTACTCAGTTACTCCCAACATGTTTGAAACCATCTATAGAACAGACACACACGGTGCTGCCTATGCTGATAGTTACCACAGCACTGTTAGGTACACTTGAGGCTGTTTTCACAACAACAATTTTAGTCTTCAAAAAGTGTCTGTTCCATGTTGTCTGAGAAAAAAAATTAAACTACAAAGTTTGGTATTTTGGCTTTTCTCTTTCTTATTAACGGGCTGCTCCACACTGATTGGACTGTACAGAAATTTACACTCTCCTTTATTGTGTTTTTTTTTCTTTGCCTTTCATAGATAAAAGAAATAAACAAGAACAAGTTACTTCAAATAGACACCCTGAAAATCAATATAAATAGGGTCAATTATGACATTCAACTGAAATTTGCTGCCTTCCTGTTGGTTTTAGGGTAGGGATGCAGAACAGTTTTTGTAGGGCTTGATGAAACAAATGTTCACAGTGACGGTCATACATGTTATTGAAAACTACCTCTAAGAGAAGAGCTTTTTGAAAATGTCAGGGGTTGTTATGGAGAACATTTTTTGCAATATAATTTCATACATTTTTGGGCATGTTCAAGGCCCAAAATTTTCAATTTATTATTGCTAAGAAAGAAGCAAAGCAGGTATAATAGGGCCTTTTACACAACTCAGTGCTGAATAAAAATGTGCAGAGACATGAGCATGTGAACCGAGTATGTGATGGTGTCTTTTCATGCCTTATACGTCCTCTTAAGTTTAGCTTTAAATATGTCAAGTTTATGAATCAGAGTGATTTAAGAATGTTTAACTCATATTAATGTACCCAATTATTCAACTGTATGCTGCAGGTTTTCATCTCATTCAAACTTGACAGTATTTTTGACCCACTTGCTCCACCTGGCAGACAGTTGGGAGAATGCAGTTATATATTTGTATCCACCAGTAGTCAATATACAAACTACTTGGCAGGAAATGTGCAGTAAGAAGAAACCAAAGCTTCTCCTGATGAAGTGGTTAAATGTTGCAACGTTAGAATTTTATTTAACAGAAACTTCTAACGCCTAAAACGCCTAAATGACAAACATTTGAGAATAAGAACAACACAAGCAAAGATCCAGACAGAAGGAAACAATATGAGAAAGTGCCACGTTCTGCTTCAAGCCGAGTGGATGAGTCTTGTTGTCTTGCAGTGCTAGAGTTGTTCACAAAGAGCTGGGTCAAAAAGTTTCTCAGAGGTTGTAAGGAACTGTTTGGATCACAATAGTTGTATCAGTCATTCTACTCTGGGGACTGCAGAGGAGGAGAGCTGAATTAAAGTGTGCAAGTGTTCCCTAAAGAGCTGAGTCTGAAGCTTTTTCATAAAGATGTAAGGGGACTCTGTGGATCTAAAAGAGTTGAGTGACAACAGAGGAGAAGAGTTTGGTTAGTCACTTGGGGCCTTATTGTGATGGAAGCACCAGGCGCTTTTCATTGGCAGAGTACAGTTTTTTTTATTTTTAATGCAGGTTGCTACTGGGAGCCAGTGAAGAGAAATGAAAAGCTTAGTGACATGTCCTGTTGGATGAAAACCAGACCGGCTGCTGTGCTCTGGATCATCTGCAATGTTTGACTGCAGAGAAGTTGCAATTTGTGATATTATGAGAGTCTGTGTCAGGAGTTGAGTCATGTGCTCTGTCAGGAAGACTCTGATCCTCCTAAAGTTATATAGAGGGCAAAACTGCATGACTGAGCAACCGAGGCCATATGAAGCTCAAAGCACCCAGATCCTGAGTGGGGACACTTTCATTTGGTCCAAGTGGGATTTCGATCTGTGGTTGTAAGGAGGGCCTGGCTGAAATGACAAGAAACTCAGTTTTGGAAGGGTTGAGCTGAAGGTGGCAATCCTTCATCTATTTAGAAATATCACCAAGGCGTGATGAGATTCATGCTGGGAAAGTTGTGGGGATGATAGGAAGAGCAGGGTATCATCTGCATATCTGTGATGGGAGAACCTATGAGATTGAATTATTGCATGGAGGGTTATGGTTTAAATTAAGAGAAGGAGAGAAAGGGAGGGGACCAAGCACTGATCTTTGAGGGACCCCTGTTGATCGGCAATGTGGTTTGAACACTTCTCCTCTCCATGATCCTCTTCAAGATCTCCATTTGAGGTATGGGACACAAACTACTGAAGGGCAGATCCAGGGACACTAAGTTCAGTAAGTGTGAAGGTTCACTGTGTCAAAGGCAGAAGCAGATCCAGACAGACCAGCAGCTCAAGTTAAACACAACAATTCCATTGCAAACTAAAGAGCAGTTTAAGTGTAGTGGCCCCACCTAAAGTAAACAGATGGAGATCAAGCAAGGTGTTGTGATGCATGAACTTGGAAACCTGATCACACACTGTGCACTCGAGATGTTTTGATAGAAAAGACAGAAGTGAAAAGGATGCTAAAGACTTTCGCCACGAGACACACTAATATCGATGAATGGCTGAATTTCTTTGGTGGTACAACATTATTCGGGCATCCAGAAGAACCCCTAAATGCAGACTTTTATCCAGGTTGAGAACCTGTTTTGAAACACTCCCTGTTGGTAGAACAGGATTGGGTTGGTCCTGGACTACATTGCAACCTTAACAAAACATTACATTACAAATCTTTTATCTGAACAAAAAGGGTGGTGCATCAGTTGGAATCAAAAAAATGGTGCACGGAGAGTACTGAAACTAGCCCAACAAACAGGGGAGCTCATAAACTTCCAAGAAGAGGAGGAGGTATAGTTTGTAACATGCATTGGTGGGTCATCAGTGTGTACAGCAGAGGAGGACAGACAAGAGAGTGGCAGTGGGTCAAATCTACAGGTATATTGGGCCCATTGCAGCATAACCAAGGGCAGGTTCAAGCCTGACCCAACACTAATGATAAACTTCAAACTGGAGGTAATGTGTACTTATCACCGGCATTCCAGGCAAGAGAGGTAGTTAGGCTCTGCAGGTTCTAGAGGATGTATGAACATGTAAATATTGAGCCACACTTAACATAAATACACATGTACACAGGCCACAATGAATCTGCTGAGTCATTCTGAGTTATCATCTCCACATATTTCTCCACAGTAGGCCTAACCTTACAGCTTATCATTAAAAACAAAGACTTCCACACCTTGGGTTAAGTACTCCTCCTTCAAGAAAAATATACGTCAGTGCATATGTTTAGGCACAGCCACCCTGTACAAAAACACCAAAAACTATACAAAAATTGTCAGATAATAAAAAACACCAATGTATGTTGTGAGAAATTCATAAATAGAATGTTTTTTTAAGAAGCATCAATAATCCCTCTGTTTAAACAAAAAACCAGTGGAGCTGGTTTTTGAAAGGGTTCAGATTTTCAGGACATGAATCACGTTTGGTTTCTTTGTTCAGTGTTTTTTTTTTTTTTTTTTTTTACAATAGTACCCTGCTCTTATAAAAGGGAGGTTGGTCCCCTCAATCTGACAACAATCTCACTTGGGACCAAGCTGTTGACACGGAGGATATCTCTCTTCACTTCCTGAAAGAAAATGACAGGTGAGTCTTCTAGAGCAGAATCTTTTTCATTTTTTTGCAATTCCAAAAAAAAAGAAAAGAGAAAAAAGGATGAGATATAGAAATCTCGAAATCAATTTTTATTTATTTATTTATTCATTCATTTATTTTTTTAAATGTTAAGCATTGCATTCAGTCCAAAGCTAAAGTAGTTACTTTAACACTTCAGTGTCAAGAAAGATCTTGGCAATAATGAAATAATCTGTCCTTCTTCTTTATTTTCAAAGAACCTATGACCTTTGACAAGGTCATTGAGACCGTTGCCGACTTCTACAGGAATGGAGTCATAAATGGCGACATAAAAGATGAGTCTTTAAAGAAGGAGATCGAGAAGCTGAAGGAGTGCCCTAAATTTCAGGTAATTCAACTCTCATAGTTTACCTGACACAGTCATTATGTTAACTTAAACATAATAAATGTTGTTGTTTTTTTTTCTTTTTCTAAGCCAACATCTTGACTTTTTTTATGCCACTAAATCTTTCATTATTCTCCCAGAAAAAAATGATGAAGCGCTCCAAACGCCGAGGAGGAGGTGAAGGGATGGGGGAGGGATGTGATGGAAAGCTCACCCCTCAGAAGTTTTTTTGTCTTGTGAGAATGAAGGTCATGTGCAACCTCAAAGGAAAAGATGATTGTGATGATGATGACGATGATGATGATGAAACTAACTAAATAATAAGAAGTGAAATCATCTATAGAACGGACACACATGTGATACCACAGCACTATTCCATGCACTTGAGGCTGTTTTCACACCAACAATGTTAGTCTTCAAAAAGTGTCTGTTCCATGTTGTCTGAGAAAAAATTAAACTACAAAGTTTAATCTTTTGGCTCGTCTCTTTGTTATTTTTGGGCTACTTCACACTGATGGGGAGAAAGAAAATGGATTTACTGACTTTGGCGCCCCCTATTGACGAAGAGTTCTTTGTTCATTTTTTACTGTTTCATAATGATTGTTTCTTTAAAAAAATATTGACTGTCTTGTTTTGTCTTCTGACTATATTAACTAGTTTTTTAAATTGACCATGAGGTATGGACATTTTTTTAGTCCTAACTTGCCTGTTATCTTATTCATGAGTTTTATAGACTTTCAAAAGTACATTTTACAACCCAAAGTCTCTGTGTATGAATATATTTACAGCAACACTTTTTTAATTTTTTATTTAATGGTCTCTTTTCATGCCTTCTATATCCTCTAAGGTTTGGCTTCGACAGAAAAAAGATGAATGTCAATGGTTTCATAAGATTTACCTCACTGTGTGTAACCTGATACACTTGTTCAACAGTTTGCAGTGAGTTTTCACCTCATCTGAACTTAACAGTATTCTTTGTTGACTTGCTCCACCTGGCAGGCAGTTAAGAGGATGCAGTTTTAGATTAAAATGGTCGACGTACAAACTACTTGGCAGGAAATGTGCGGCAAAAAGAAGCATACACTTAAACTGATTAAGCACTTGTATCAATACATACCTGGATATCTTTGTTGTTGTTTCAGATCCCCTGAATGCAAACTATTAAGCAGGTTGAGAATCTGCTTTATATGCATTTTCATTAATACATTTCATTTTAAATAAAACTATCCCCAGGCCATTTATTTGTGGGTGAGTTAACGCTGCTGAATCATAAACAGAGCTGAGAGATAGGATGCTGATTGTGGTTTTTGTGGTGGTGAAGTGTGCAGCTGAGCTTTGCAAAGAGCTGTACAGCTGGTAAGTTGGTGTGCACAGCCGAAAGCACACTGGCAGGAAGAACAAGGTGGATTTCACTCGAGTATGTGCGTCACTAAAGAACTGCGAAAACCTTAATATTTCTTTTATAGAGTTTTCCTGGGATCTTAGTTGAAATTATTTGGATTTTACTCTAATCTAATCTAATCTAATCTAATCAGGGACGATTTTGAACTTTTGTCTGAAGTTTTTTTTTTCTCATCGTTGTGGTACTGTGCTCGTGTGGCACTGAGAAGTCCTTCATCCTGTGTGCATAACCAACACCTTATGGCCTTACAACACCAACATAAATATTCAGTCTCATGTAAATGCATGTATAATTGATGCAAGGATGTAAATGTGTTCAGGCAGGAGGAGAGTTAAAGTTGTGCAGGGGTCTTTCGTCAAAAGATTAGAACAGACGGTAATGATATGAGCTCCACAGAACACTCTCAGTAATGTCTGATGAATGTTTGATGAGCCCATGCGTGTTTCCTTTGACAACACTGACAACAAATACACAAGAATGACTCATACACTGGTTTCCAAGCACAGATGAAGACACTCACAACAACTGTGAAACTTTGGTTTTTATTTATGTCAGGAGGTATTTAAGGTAAAGTTTCTGCAATACTGCTTTAGAAATATAATAAATTGTACAGTTTTCATGCAGGTGTAAGACACAAATATTAGTCTTACACCAGTACCATCAGCAGAGCTACATGTAGCAAATGAATGAAATACTTTTAAAACATCATGGATCTGTTTCAAGGATTTGTTGCCTCTTTGTCCTGGCCTTTTCCTTTACCTTTCTTGCCACCCTTCTTTGACTGGTAGTAGCACTTAGCAAGGACAGTCACACATCGACAGAACTCTCGAAAGTTGACCTCCCCGTCGTGGTTTTTATCCAGCATTTCCATGGCCTCCTCAATGTCAGCTGCATTAATTGTACCCTGTAAGATTTATTTTCAGGATTCCATTAGAGCACACAACAGACCAATGCAGAACTGGGCGATATAAAAAAAGATGAATAGATGTGTGTTCATTTGAACAGAGTGTCCTGTCTCTTACTTTTAACTCGGGGCTCTGGATTTCTTCCTCCAACATCTTCTTGAGCTCATCTTTATTCAGCTGACCTTTCTTGCCTTCGCCTTGGGAATACTCCAAAAATATGTCCACGATGTTTGTAATGATCTGCTCCAGACGAGCCATGGCTGAGACTGCAGAGAAAATGTGTTAGTAAGAGTGTGTATTTTATGAAAATGCAGTTGCAGCACAAACAGCATGAATGAAATAGCGATTAGTTAGAGGCACAAGTTTTTGGATGAATAAAAACAAATAAAGTTCTTCTTATCTTATCTTATCTTATCTTATCTTACTTGTAGAACTTAGCCTAGGATCTTAACCATTTATAGGTTGTGGATGTATGCTCTGAGCTTTTGTGGTTTAAGCAACACTGCCCTTAAATTACTTCAAAGTCAAAATGATTGTAAAAGATCTGCTTGCAGAAAATACTCCACCATTTCTAAGCATTCATCATGCTTTTGTTTTGAATTAGAAGAAGTATGTTTCTTTTCTATCTTTCCATCAAACTGCCCTCCCTGGCTTCTTGTTTGTTCATTACTCACCTTGTTGATGTCGACCACGAGGTAAAGAGAGATCACGTCCGTCGAATCAGCCGTCTGCAGTGTGCCTGTTGTCAGACGGGTTTAAGCCTCCTCTTAAAGAGTGCAGAGAAGCTGTTTGGCACACTAACACACCCACTCTGTAGCACCAACACACACACGCTCACCCACTTACATGCACTCACACTCACACACACACACACACACACACAAGCTGTGATTCATGCAGTGAAAATGTGCCCCGCTCCACCCAGGAACCACAACCGTCTGTACCCAAGCTTTACCATGTGGAAATACTACCTGAAGAAAACTTTGTATTTGTTTCTGTGGGGTGAAGTTTTGTAGTTGGATTTGTTCACAATGTGTTTATATCTGTGTGTTTGTGAGTCTCTGCAGACAAACAGAGTACTATTTCATCCAAGGTGTGGCAATCCTTTTCAGTGAGTAGCTGCTCTGTGGAGCCCCCTGGAAAAAAAAAAAAGAGTCATTGGAAAGTTACAAGAAGGTTTTATCCCTGCCAGAAATGGTGCGTTTACGTCCCAGTCTGTCTCTGCTCAAATGTAATTTGTCTCTAGACTTGCAAATGCAGTCAATGTAACATCTTTCAATAAGTATTTTATATTTCTGAAGAATTATGACACATTTTTGTACACATCCACATGCATGACTTACTTATACTGATTTGTTCTCATTGAAAAGGACTTCTGTCAAGAATCAAACAGATATAAACAAAATATAAGTATATCTGTATGCAACACTCAGAGATCCCTGAATCAATAAAGACATTTTCATCTGTATGTAAACATGTCTGATTCTGGTGCCCGCCTATTCATTCATTTGACTTGTTATGTAACCAAACTGCTCTTTCAGCCCGTCTGTTCCAAGGCAGCAGATTGGCAGCATCTCTTATCCTCTCCCTCCTTCGCCCTCCCACCAGGTTCTTTTATTGGTCAGTTCAAACTGTTCAGGAGGAGCTTCTCTATTACTTTCACTCATTGAAAGCTATCAGATTCTCCCTGCAGGAGAGGAAAAGGAAACAGAGATGGAGGATCATGTGGTGTCCAATACAAAGAAAAAGAACTTTCCACACTCTGCTGGTGGAAGTGTGAGTTACAGTTTCATCACTGGAGAGGTTTTGAACCTCTGCGGTGGTATCTCTGCATGAGTATTTCAACTCTGTAGATAAAGGAAGTTATTAAGTAGAAGTAGCTTTGAACTTCCTGATATTTATTGATGACTCAGTTTCATCAAAGTGCAGCAAAGAAGAGAATTTGACTATGAACATGTTTTTTTTTTTTCCACAGATGTAGATAACACATGAAATTTGTCTCTTCATAGTGATTGTATCACATTGTGTAGTATTATACCATGACATACCTGATCGAATATTTTCATATCCTAACTCACTTTATTCTGTTATTTTATTGTGTAATGTTGTGTCATATCATTCTGTTTTATGTAGTAATGAATTACATCGTATATCATGTGCAATAATAACATATGCAATCATATGCAATCATATCATATCACACTGTATCAAGTCATAGCATTTTATATATCATATTATACTGTATCATATCATGTAGCCATGTCATAAATTATATTATTTCTTGAAATATATATCATATTATTTCACATAATATCATGTCATGTAATGTCATATATCTATATATATATATATATGATTTTAAAATATATCATATCATATCATATCATATCATATATCATATCAGGTCACATCATTTTATACTACATCTTATATCATATACCATACGCTGAATGTTATTTCATTGTACATCATAATGTTATGTATTGTGCAATACTGTAGAGTATCATTTCCTAACTAAAGTCATATCATTTGATTTGATACGTAAAGTCGAGATGAGTCATAACATGTCATGTGGAGGAGTCCAGTATTTTACTGTTTCTAAGTATCATATTATATTAAATCATATCGTGTCATATCTTATTGTAATGTAGCGTATTGTATTGTATTTTTATTGTAATTTTTAGTTTTCAGGCAACTGTGACTTTGACTTATACAAGGGAGACAAGGGAGTAGGCAAACCTTTCTCATCACTCAACTTCACTGACCACTCATTTCAGCTGGTCAGTTTCACATCAATGAGGAATTCGTAATTTCTCCTGCTCTATCAACGACATTAGTTTCTATCATCCTTTTATTATTTCTGTCAGAAACAACGAGCGCCTTTAAATGGACTCCATCTGAGTCCATAAACCAGTTTCAAACCATCCTGTACACTGCCTCTAGCTTTGCCTGCTAGCACTTGTGTTTGATTGTCAAGTTGAGCTCATGGTTTTTTAATGTGATTGAAATGTACTTCCCATTTTTTAAATGCTTGTTTGTACTGTTTTTTGTTTTTGTTTCTCCTCACCTTTGAGAGTGTGCATATCATTTTATAGCAGAAGAAGTGTGGACTGTAAATCGCTTATTTTGAAAAATGGAGATAAAATATCACAGAAAAAGAAGTAGGTGGAGGCCCTGAGAAGAGTCACTGAGAGTCTTACCAACATCTAGTGGTTGCTCAGTGTCAGTGCATCGTCTCCTGAGTTTTTAAAGGATCCCTGTTATCATAGGCTGAAATATTTGCCGAGCTGAGATCATCCTCTCTCCACACACAGCATATTTTTGGTGCTTAGTGTATACTTTTGAAATGGAAAGTCTCAGTGTCTTAGTGAAGAATATAAACCCATTTTCATTTTTAAAAAAAATCTGAAATGGCTATACTAATGGAATATGTAAGGGAAAATCTGTGCCCATTAAAAACAGCACAGACCCATCTTTGTTGGCATCTAAAACTATGTAGAAGAAAACTTCCGCTTTAGGTTGGTTGTGAAACAGAAAAAGCACGAGATCATCAGCTCATCAAGATCGACCACTTCCACCTCTGTGCTGGGCGGGGTGTCAGATAAATTATCAACAGTACATTGCAGAGACAACCTTTTTAACATTTTCCATAACAAAGATTGTCCATGAGCAAAAATATGACTGTTTCAAGAACACAAGATGAGATAATTTTTGATTTAAAAAAAAGAAAGAAAGAAAAAAACGCCTATTTTTTTTTTTGTAAGAGATCTGGTTTTGTCCACAAGTACTGCCTGCAGTTTCTCACAGAGGCCTCAAATTTTATCGACAATCATGCTGTTTCTGACTGTTTGTCTTCTAGGCTGACACAGTGAAACGTCCTTGATGCCTTACCTCTCATGAGTCACACGAGCGCTGCTTTGTTTTCATTGGCTTTTTTCACTTCCTTACAGCTAACCTATAGCTGCTGCGGGGCTCTTTTTCCATTGTTTTCATGAATCACTTGTTTATTGACTTAGTTACTGCAAGTTTCCCTCTTTAAATCATCGCACCAGTATCTTTGGTTTACTACTGCTTTCCAGTTTTGCAGTCCTCCCACACATTTCCTTCTGCATTTACAACGTTAATTATAGATTGCACGTTTGATAAAGTACATATTGGTAAAACAAAATTTATGTAGTCTAAATGTAAAACTATTAGGTTGGGTTCCATTTAGATTCTTTGGTTTTGATGGTGCTACATCTACTTTACCGGGCAATCTCGATAGAGTACAACCATGATTTACGCTACAGCACAGAGGCAGACACACCTCTGCAACAAATCAAAAATGTTTCCTCTTCTACCTCTCCAAGTTTTCCATGTGCAGCTTCATTCAACAGTACCACCTGCTGCAAGATGAATATCAATGACTCCAATCATCATTTCCCAGAGGTTTTTCATTTGATGATCTGTTTATCGCCTGATGCTTTGCAAGCATTGCATTCCTCTGCACTTCAAATGTTTTTAACCTTGTTTTTGCATTTTACCAATCAAAATGTGTAGAATTCAGTGAATGTTAATGCATGTTATCTTAAATAAAAAGCTTGCAAATTCTGCCTGTGTAATAAAAGCAGTGCACATAGGAAGCTCACACTAGAAACACCCTAACTCTTGAAAACACAGTGTACCTGAAAGCTCCTAATCTCTGACTCATGAATGAACGTGTGCACTGGGCGTGTGTGCTGCACTGTAGTTCAGGCCCCATTTAAAATCAGCACATTTCCATGTTAAACAACTCAGAGAATATATATGGATGGATTTAATTAAAGTCGGGTGTTTTGTTGCATGGACAGAACTCTTGATTTAAACATCCTCATGCACATGGCTGTCACAAAGCATGCAAAATTACATGCACAGTATGTTCAAGAAGTGATAAAACAGACGGTTAAGTTTGTTCAAAGGTACTCTTTAATTGGGAATCTCACACATATAGTGCCACAAAGGCTTTTCATTAACAATTCGCCTTCATTGTTTCCCCTGGTCTTTACTCTTGCACTTCTTTTGCTTCATATTGTAGATCTTCTCACAATTCATGGAGAGGCCGGTGAACAGAGGGATGAACTCCTGAAAGTCTAACTTGTCGTCCTTGTTAAGGTCCAAATCTTTCATGATGTAATCCACAAGTTTGGGGTTGTTCTGGGCCTGAAATGGTGTAAGCAGGACAGATAACAGTGCAAAGTCAAATTAGAGTATGTAGTTTTGTAGAAACAGTGAGAGTAGAGAGTGAATATTATGACAGACACTTACTTTGGTGAAGACGGGTAACTCATTATCAAGCAATTTTTTCAGTTCCTTCTTGCTTAAGGTCTTGATGTCACCATCCTGAACAGCATAGCGGTGAAAAATGACGATCAGGGACTCGATGCATGATTCCATTTCACTCGGCATGGCTGCAGAGTCAGGTACTGAATGAAAGAATAAAAGACAGAGAGTCAAAGGAGATACTTTTTCATAACCTCAGATGACAGCTGTTAGTAAATACTGAACAGATTTCAAGTTTCAGAAATAGATTAAAGCTTTTTTTCTTTAACTATTTGCCTCACAAATTAAGATTATAATGCACTTTTACATAAAAGTGAATTCAACTTTAAAATTCTCTTCAGAGTTAGTCTTTATACTAATGGATCACTGAGTACAGTTAAATATAACAGCACAATATATTAAGCTGTTGTGTTAAAAAGTCAGCTTCTTATCAGCTATACTATACTTATTACATTGTTGTGCCACTGGTCAAAACTGCACCTTTTACTCCACCGCATTGAGTGTCTCTGTTGATCTTGGTTACTAGGCATCATCAACAAAAAGGACACACCTATTTTTTGTTTTAACACAGATGAGGACTACTCCCAAGTGTGTCTTTTGCTTCCTTAACGTTGCATGTGCACTCTATATTTTCTATATCTATATTCTTCTTCACTATATACAGTAATTGCTTGTTTTAAGAGTCTGAGCTGTTCCTAAAGCACTGAGTCTACTTCACCCAAGACTAACTTACATACAGTCCGATGAGGATGTGGGTGTTGGTTTTACTGGCACTCAAAGCAAATTCTTCAGCTCTCACACATCATTTTTTGTCATACAACTAAACACCCTTATCTAAAGGGTTGTACTCTCTCTGCCTCTCCCCTTATCCTCCTCTCATGTATTACCTACAGACCGATGTATGCAGAGATGTACTTAAGGGTAACATAACTCAAGGCGGAGATAGGAGTGGACCAGTCTCCACATGCCACAAGTGGAAAGTCTGCGTAAATAACTACGCCCAAGTCCGCCGAGAATACATGCTGAAGAGACCACACCGAAAGTGCGAGAATAGAGATACACAGAGTACAAAAACCGAGATCTGTAGACTAATCTCCCTAAAAAACGACTTTATCGGATGTTCGTTCAAACTCGCGCAACTTCAAAAAACGCGAGAAAACAGCGAGAGGAGAAATAGGTTAGAAAAAGTTAGTGAAATTTGAACTTACCAGGACGTAGAGAGAGAGACAGGAACTGAAACACAAGACTCAATGAAGAGTGTATGAGATCAGTGAGAGTTTACAGTAGAGTTATAGTCAGCTTAGCTAGGCAACGCCCTGTGATGATGGGAGGGAGAGGGTGGGATATTGAGACAGCAGAGGAGAGAGAGAAAGAGAACAGAGCAAACATACCATCTCTGTTCTTATCTCCCTACAGTCTGTGCTTGAGATGTGAGGAATTTCTACAGTGACAGCTTGTTTTCTTTCATCGATCAGAGCTGATGGAGGAATTTGATGTCATCTGCAGAAAGAAGTGCCAAAGTTCTTCCCCCATTTTTTAGCTTGAGTCATAGAAAAGAGTGGCAGCGCCTAAAATGACACATGGAATCACAGAGGATGTTGGGAAATGCAGCACATGGGCGAGTCTGGGCAACAGGTTTCCTGAAAAAGATCACTCAGGAAGGTTGTGCAGGCTCTAGTGACTTCTGATCCAGTCTACATCTGTTTCCTTTACATGCGTTTCACAAAGCTACAACTTTTATTAGACAAAAATGTCCAATAATGCAATAAATTCAATCTTTAAATGCACTTTGTTGCTGCATTACCTCAACGTTGTGATAAATAACCACACCTATCTTGTACGTACCTTAAACAGTGTTTTTGCGTCTTTCAAACCCGTTCAAATCTGAGAAGTTTGCCGTGGTGAAAGTCACCTCGAGGTTTATTCAGCTTCAGATGTGCAGCCTTCAACCCCCTGTATATGATTTTTTTTATTTTTGGACTACACAGACAATAAGATGAGCCACCTGTAATTCACTGCAGTTTAAAGGGTCAAATTTTTCCCCAAATGCATGTTATTCAGCCCATATATTCCCTTTAAAATATTCACACTGAATCACGCCTGAGAACCAAGCAATGCCTTCTCTCCCCGCCCCTCCTAGTCCTTCATCACTTTCCAACAGCTCAGGATTTTAGGATACAACCACACCCACTTGAACAAACACACCGATATCCCTATACTGGAAAAATGTGAGAGCACAAACACACATCAACTGGATCCAAGTTTTTTACAGAGTTTAATTACAAAAATGAATTGAAGAAAAAGCAACATGACGCACTGATGAATACATAATAAAAAAAAAAGATTGGATGTTTGTATCTCTTCGTGGCTGGTAGTGTAAAAACAGTGCAGAGAGAAAGGTCATAAGTGGAATGTTTGATACCGGGGGAATTTCTACATGAGTCAAATGTGAAAAATTAAAATAAAAATAAAAAATAAAACAACCTAACTACAAGTTTGGAGAACTGGGACTGATTTTGTTTATTTTCTGTCTGCAATTTCTTTGTTTGCAATTCTATGTTCACTTTTTCTCTCTTTTTTACATGTTTGAAACATTTTACTTCAGTTTACATTTGGATTCAATTCAACCTTCTCCACGTGATATTCCCAAACCATTTTTAAAACCCTGGAGAAGCACACCATGGGGGTTTGTTTTTACAAAAATTGTGAAAAATATGCAAGTGCTATGTTGCAGTGGTCATGAGCACCTGGGTGATATCGACTGATTCACTGAATGCAATGAACTGCACCGTCCATCAGTTCTTCCTTTTACCCTTGCTGGTAGCCTTGGCTGGTGTCACCGCAGGAACAGCTGCTTGGTAGAGAGTGGCAGATATTTTGTTGATGTAGTACACGGCGAAGAGAGAAAATATCAAGCTGCAATGGGAATAAGGACGAAACAAATTAGAATATTTCCAGATAACTTCTTTTACTGTGTTTTGAGGGTAAATCAGGCAGATGTGCAGAGATACTGTCTCATACCATGTTGTGACACAGACGCGGTGCACTAGACCAGAGGCAAACAGTGACAGGAAGAGGCACAAAAGGACTGGAAATAAGAGAGTGAAAAATACAGGTAAGAATCAATCAATTCAATTTAAAATTCTTGGAAAATCCCTTGCTTTAATTATTTTGGGATAAGTGTGAATGAGTTAGCATATGTCAATGTGAGCTGACCTGACACTTGATTCAGCTATTCATAAAAATAAACAGAGAAATTAGAAACAATACTTACTCTCTGGAAATATCTTGGCCTGAAATCCTTTCCCAAAAACAAGGTTTTCCAGATTATTAAATGCCTGGAAATACTGTCAAGGTGAGCAAACCTCATTGATATCACAACATCAAATACAAACAAGAAATCAGGTAACCCAGGTGAGACAAAAAAATGAGATGCAACATAGTGTGTACAAAAAGATAACCAATAACATAAAAAGCTGCTGTGAAACACTACTGTAACTCAGAGTTTTGTGGTCGGAGATTATTAAAGCAGCTACAACAAGCTAATAGGAAATGCAAATAGGATACAGTGAGGGAGCAGATGAAGAGGACTGAGCCGAGGAAACCTCCCAGGATGGTGAGCCACTCAGTAGATCCCAGCTGCTTACTGAACATCTGCATCCCAGCAAAAACCAGCACTGACAGCAGACTGGACAGCACCAGAGAGGTGCCCGTGTTCACGGCTGTGAAGTAAAGAGAGTAACTTTATTGAATAAATTCATACAAATACAAATGAAAGTCCTCCACAAAGGCCAGGCATAGGGCTGGACGATAAAACGATTAAGATATATAAAATTAATCAACTTCCCTAATATGTTTTCCGATAGTCTGCATTCTGCCATGTTTTAGACCATACAAATAGCCAATGAAAAGGGGAGTTACATTGGTGACAACACTGGCAAAAAACGTCGGTGGTGTGGAGGTATTTTGTTTTTTTGCAGTCGGAAATTATGTCAAGAACATGTTCTTGCAAAGTCAGGGTACACCTCAAATCTTTTTCACCAACTGAAGTAGTGCCATGTGGAAGAGCACGTGTAACGCAAAAGGTTACAAACCCTGAGCGGAGCAAGGAGCCTATGGCGCCTACGCAGCCGAAACAGCCGACTATTCAGTCCGCTTTCTCTAGCGCAACGCCTTACGGCAAAACGTCAGAGAGACACAAAGACCCCACAGATGCAGTAGCTTCTTGTATTGCAAAAGACATGCTTCCAATAAGCAATGTTAGATTTCATTTTTTGTATCATGATATGTATCGATATCAACTTATATGAAAAAAATATATATTCTGATAAACTTTTTCCCGTATCACCCAGCCCTAGTCAGGCATGACATGATGGTAGTAGACTAGGTCCATGTAGATTCTCATTCATCCAGGTCATGGTTTTCTTAAAGACTCCAAAAACAGGCAACTGGACTGTGTAGAGTTGAGAAGATGTTTCGCCTCTTGTCCAAGAAGCTTCTTCAGTTCTAAATATTGCTAGTGTGAGGAGCAGATATTTATCTTACTGGAGAAGTTGTGTGTCCCCTTCTCCAGTAAGATAAATATCTGCTCCTCACACTAGCAATATTTAGAACTGAAGAAGCTTCTTGGATAAGAGGCGAAACATCTTCTCAACTCTACACAGTCCAGTTGCCTGTTTTTGGAGTCTTTAAGAAAAGTAGTAGACTAGGATGGTCTTGGCATTAATGCAGTGCACAGGTACACCTCAAAGCATCAGTTTAAAAGCAAAAGTAAGAAGCATTTCATTTAAAACTTGACTGACATAAGTTAAATATACACAATCTCAACACAATTAGATATATTCAATAGCTACAGCATTATTATAAGTGCGATACAGGCATAGAGTATAGACGAAAGTATCTAAACGAAGCCAACATGGGTCGACTTTATAAAAACAAGGAATATCTAGAAGCGTAAATCTCAAGGCCTCTGCTGCATCCACAGATTTAGTGAATGCCAACCTTATTTTGAAAACATGTGCATTAAAAATAATGAAGCTAATAAAACATCCTCCTCTGCGAACGTAACGCCACGTCAGTGTTCATTCAAAACCGCTTCCGACATGTTGTCATTAGCCTTCAAGCTAAAGAAATTATACCAGCAGTAATACAACACTCTACACATATTGTAGAATACTGTGAAATACTTACAAACACTGGTTGTTTTATAATAGTAAAAATGACCGATTTTGTCATTATAGATTACTGTGTGTTCAAACAAAAAACCTTCATCTAGCTAACTTCTCCATGGAAATGGACGCTAGTAACATACGACAGCTTTGCACTCACTGTCTCGCTCGGAAATATAATTTGAATGAAACAATGATCCTGCATTTACATACCCATGATTCCGAAATGAACTGGAGCCTTTGCAAAGACCAAAGGGGTGAAAATTTGTAGGTACAACTTCGTGGAGCCAGCTGAAAGTCCAGGCTCTCTAGGAACTAAAAAACCTGACGACCCGGTCAAAATTACATGTCGGAACAGTGGGCGGAGTCATGTATTTCAGCTGCAACGTCAGACGTCCTGGTAAATTTACTCCTTCCAAAAAACAAGATTTTATTTTCCTTAAACTGCTAACTCTGTGGGTGGTACCTGTCTGCACCGGCTGTGCGTCTCTAGTTTTACTTTTTGAAGCAATTAGAACTGTTAAAGTAGAAAATCACTCTTTTTTCAATGATGTTGATTCTTATTTGATTCACCCGCTCAACCAAAACGCCACTCTATAGCCACAAATAATGCTCAGAACAGCACCTAACTTCATCAACAGTATATATTGGATCCCAGCCTCAGTACTAGCCATCAAACATCTTTTTAACTTTGCCTAATTTCTTTAGCACAGAGACTAAACACAACTCACCTACTCTCTCCCAGCAGCCGCTTGTTTGTACGGAGACCTCCGGTTGAGTCCATGGACTACAGCAGGGTGACACAGCTCAAGGAAGAACATTTATGATAATTTCTTAATCATTTCCTTGAATTAATAATCTTCATATTAATCATTTTGCACTGCAGACGTGGTAGTTCTCCTGCCTTAGCATCTCGGTCTGATTGCATTTCCATGAAGAAATGATCATAAATGTTCTTCTTTGAGCTCCACAGTAACAGGGTAAACTGTCCAGAATATCAGTTTGTCACTATTTACAACTACTTTCTTGAAGTGTTCTAACATTCCTAATAACGTTTTAATATTTCTAAATGTAAGCACTACAGGCATTCTATGTAATTCTTGATTAACCCTGTCCACTTTTAGTGAAATAGGTGGTACATGACATGTACTTGGAGCACACTTTGAAAAGCTTAACTGTTTGGTAGAAAAAGCCCAAGGTTCACAAGAGTTTAGAGGAATAGAATAAACAACGAAAGTTTCAGAAAAAGCTGGTACAAAATTTATTTCAGTTTACAAACGTTTTCTGACTTTTCAACAGAAAAAATAACAGACCAAACAAAAAATAATAATTTTCTGTAACATTTTGTCTAAACTTAGCACAGCACCTGATAAAAAAGACCACAACACTACATTTTCTGCATCTCTATCATTCAAAATGTATATTATAAAAGAGTTAAAGAAACAGACTGAGAGCAAAGTGTTTAATCTGTTGATATTTAGTACAAAAATGAGCCTGGGGAATGTATTTTGTCATCACCAATAAATCCCAACATGGGGATGCATTATCACCATCTAATACGTTGATGTCCACATCCACTCTTGTTGGAGGATTTTACATCAAATCTGTCTTTCATAGGTGTTTTTTCTTCATTCCAAAAACAGCTATAAACAGAAGAATCTCCACAAAAGCAGGTAGAACACTGAAGGAGAGATAGAAATGTAGGAAGAACAATTAAAAACACAAGTCTTAAAGAATCCATGCTTTGCTGTTTAAAGAGACTCTATTGCTCTGATCTCATGAGATACAGCCACATTACTACATGCACTCAGAGCAACACCCACACACCAACCTGCACGTGGCAAAAATAACCCAGTATGTCCAGCATTCCCACTTCTCAGACACAAAGAGAGACAAGGATACAGATGCGCTGCAGTGGACAGCGAGTGCTGGGGTGCAATATAGGTCAGGGAAAAATAATCTCAGGAAAACAACAACACAACATCACATGCAAATTGGAACTAACCTGCAAACAGCAAGGATCCACCAATAGATGTCACAGTCCCACTGCTCAAAAAGAAAGAAAAGCAGTGCTACTGAGGCACTGGCGTGGACTCCTGTTGCTATATTGAAGTTTAGGTCATGGAACTGTAACTGAAAACTACATTTTTTTCTTATTATTTTGATAAACTCAGAGGGGTTCTAAAGAAATATTTCAGCCAATAGTGAAATACCATGTGGGGTGATGACTATCAGCAATTCTATACAAACATAAACCACACACTTATGTTGGGATCCCCACAACAATTTCTTAGCTTTAACTTATCTATGGCATTTCTTTAACAACCATCAGTGAGGGATCCCCAGACTCTGCAGGAAAAGGATACACAGAAGACCTTGGCTGCAGTTGAACATCGAGACACCTGAGAAGAACCCAGCTAGCTCCACTCCAAACAGACCCAGAGTAACTGCTAGTGCCACTACCAACCTGAGACAAAGACAGACATAGAGGGGATCATGGAAAGCAAAATAATGTGTTCTACAAATGCAAAAGTACAGTTGCTTATGACATTTTTCTTAAGTAGGCATAAAACTACTAGTCCGCTCTTCTCAAGCGAATGTAAAAAGTACTGTGTTTGAATTGTACTTGAGTTGTTCAGTTTGTCAAAGCATATTTGCCCAAACTACAGCCAATAGCATCAGCGTGAAGTGAGTTTGAATACTGTATTTCAAAGCCATTCAGGTCAGAAATGGTTTTTGGGTCGATATATCTTTTGAAAACAACAATTATGTTCCAACCTGCATGGTAAAAGAAGCTTATATGAAGTACAATTAGATTTTTGACAAAAGGAAATGTAGAAGAAGTGAAGATCTCACCCAATCAACTGGCTGCCATGATCTTTTTTGATCTGAACACAATTCTAATAAAACTTATGACAGACTAAATTCACTTTCAAGAGTGAAATTCTTTTTTTTTTTTTTTTTGTAAATAAATGTCTAACCCCTTCACCCATGTGCTTCTTACCTTCACAGACTCCATGAATTGATGCCCATCTCCTAAATATTTGGTCACATGATCAATTTCTTTGACCATTTCCAAGCAACAGAGGGTGGCTCAACTTACCCTACTCTCCCCTTCTATTTTTTTTAACCTAGTAACCAATGCCATATAACATGAAGAGAACTACAATAATTCCAATAGAGAATACTTAAATGACAGTACAGATTTATTTTAAACATTTATCAAAAATGTACAAGTACGCAAACACTACTCAATTACAGTAACTTAGATTAATGTATTCCAACTCTTTGTATAGTTATAAACTTTACATGTTTATGTGTTTGTCGAGTGTTTTCTTACTTTCTGTCTTCCTCTTCATACTGCTCCTGTGTATATTCCAAAGGCAAGCAAGCCTTAATATTATTTTCCTGCAAAACACAGATTTTAAACAGTCCAGCAGGACGACACAAACAAAATGCAGTAATTATAAAGCATGTTTATGATGAGAAGGTGTAGGAAAAATAAACACTGTCACTTACCCTCGACCAAAAGATCGTGATAACTATGACAAGGTGGGCTATGATCGTCAAAAAACGAGCAGGGACAAGGCTGTTAACAGCAGACATGGTAAAGTAACTCTATTTATAACCAGATCAGTACTGCTGAAAATAATAAGGCTGCAAAAATCAGAAGAGAGAGAGACAGCTCAGTCGAATTAAATGTGCGTGTTTTGCTAAGTTAGCCGTTAGCTTTGCTGCAAATAAACAAACTAATTAATCCCCAAACAGAAAATACTGAATTTAAAACTTGGACAGATTGATTCAAGCGACCAATTCGTCATCTCGACTGATACTTGCGAACATGGACAACTACTGTCACAAATCTCTCGCTGTTGCGCCTTGTGGTTGCTACAACAATCGACGACACCAGGTGCAGCCTGAAATTAAGACCGGCTTCGTCCACGGCTGTGTACTAAGGTTCCGGTGTTGTGCCGTAGAATGCATCACCTGACGGGAGCGCGGTTGAAAGTACATAACAAGGCGAAATAATCCAAGTTTTCCTTAGCGTTGGGTGGATTCAAAAGCTCGTGTCTTTAATGACTTCATTCAGGCTATTCAGATAAGCCGAAAACAATAGCCCTCTGATTCGGAATATAGCCATCTTTACTATTAACTATAGCTAATGGCTAACTGTACAGTTAACAGACCCAAGTACACCTCTATATGTGCGTCATTGAGACATATACAAACAGAACGAAAGTTTTCTGCTCCGTTTGACATGTTGTCAGGGTACAATACTCGTGTTATTATTATCATTTGAGATAATTTTCTTCCACTTTAAGAAGCTAATTAGAGGATGGGATGCAGGGGATGCCTTTTACGGCACAACACCGGACATGGACAACAAATGAAGAAGGACCGTAAGTGTGTTGGTAATACGACACTGCCACCCTGCGGCGATAACGAAACTAGGCCACAATCAATTCGGCACGGGGAAAAGGAGCTTTGCAGACTCGGACCTTTGAAATTAAAACCCGAGGTGTTTGCTGTGAGAAAATGAATCACTGATAGTGTTGGCTGTTGAGATTAAACAGAAATGATTTAAAGGGATATTTTTAACTGCTTTTGCAGAAACGACCCCCCCCCCCCACACACACACCTTTCTCTCTACGACGGCTGGACACGGAGCTTCGAGACAGCAAAAAATCAGCGTGTGCGCACCGACACACAGCAAGCAGGGAAAACAACCCCCGTGTCTTCGTCAGTTCACCGGCCAATGGTTGTTTTTCCCTGAATAGAGGGCTTTAGTAGAGACAGGCTGGCATCGAGGAGACATGGCAGAATCGGAGTTACAAACCTTTACTTCTATCATGGACGCTTTGGTTCGCATTAGTGTAAGTATGACGTTCATTATATTATTTCGACCATGTGATCTTCATTCCACCGGTTATTTCACTTTACTCCACCTTCATTTGGATTATTTGCCATATTCTACCCGAGCTATCTGATAGGGGTTGCGCGTGTGATGCAGGAATCAAAAGCTTTTACCATTTGCCCAACATTGGTTTGGCATGAATTGAATCAAAGGGACGCTGGCGGTTCGAGCACCGTTGGTAGACATAAAAGCTAGGCCACAAATTGTGTTCACACAGGAGGCAAACGCTGTTGCAGAGAGAGCAGGGGGGCTCTTGATGGTCATGAATCGAGATAGGCTGCTAATATTAGCCAACAGTGACTTGTTGTAGCTTCAAAATGCTTCACGGGCCGGACACGATGAGAAGGCAAAGATGATGCACGTTGTCATAGAAACGGGATGCTGCGTTTAGTGGTTGGAGGAGCTGGAAAAGGGTTTACACCACCAGTACCACTGTTGTAAAACCAGGCCCACAGGCTGACACACTGGGAAAAATGAGAGCTATTTATTTATTTGTATTGATTTTAAGATGCATCATCCCTCTGTGTGAAAGGTACCTGGTTAGCAAACGATGGCATCCTGTGCTAGAGCAACCAATTCTACACCCTTATGTTTCAAGCTAGAGGAATCCATTTTTACTGAGAGAAAGACCAGCAAACACCTGAACTAAAGGGGCATTAGTATTTAACCCTAGAACACTAAAATTAGTAACACCATCACTATCACCGGGTGATTTTTACCCGAAATAATATACCCAAGAAAAAGTACTTGTCATCAAAATATATCAAAATAGGACAAAACATGACAAATTAAAGTAGTTTCCTTTTATTTTTAACTGTGCAATGTCCAAATGAAGGAACAAAAAGTGCCATGAGGGGTAATATAAAAATGCAACAAAATAACTGAAATTAGGCATTCATGAACAAAAAATTCATTAAAAAAGTATATATATAAACTGTAAAGTTAGTTTCTTTTCCACCCATTCCTGGAGCATGTGAGTCTTCCCTGGTGAAGACTCAGGGTCCTTGGCACAATAACAGCTGCAGGAGAGAGAACCAAAATATTGCATATTTTGAGTGAGTAAAAATGACCAGCTGACTAAAATATTTCTTATCACCATATGAATTCTCTTAAAAATCACTACTTTGCGATAGTTATTCATAACCACTGCACAAAATAAAGATAGCATGCAAATTCCAGGACCACTCTTACTGACCTTATTCCCTATATGCAGCTATCAAATCCACCCAAACCTACTTTACCCTCTATCACTATTGCTGGGTGAAAATCATCCGAACATGTGCCTGTAGGAAAAAGCAGGTTTTGGATCAGGGAAACAAATATGCCTTCAAAGATGTCAAAGGCAATGCTGAAGCTACCCAGGGAGCCATGATACTCAGACAAACGCAACATAATGAAAATCACGTAAACATGTTTGGTCGGGTGAAAATTCTCTGTATCCAACTCTATGTGGTTGTCTCCTGCAGCTCCCAGACTCGCTCCTGACTCCTACACGTCTCATACACATTTTTAGGTCACAGGAGGCTCAGAGAAAAAGAAGCAGTGCATCTTTTGTTTATTATAATGACTCAGCCTTTACCGGCTCTGACTCCTCACTTCTCTTCTTGAACCTCTGCAGTCCAACATGAAGAGCATGGAAAAGGAGCTGCATTGCCCGGTGTGTGATGAAATGGTGAAGCAGCCTATCCTCCTGCCTTGCCAGCACAGCGTGTGTCTGCTGTGTGCAGCTGAGGTGTTGGTACAAAGAGGTTATCCTCCTCCAGACCTTCCTCCAGAGCCCAACTCACCTGCCTCAACGCCCAACTCCCGCTCTCCACGTCAGGCACGAAGACCGGCACCCAGGACCCCTGACCGCTTGGAGCGTGTGCTCAGAACAGGTAAGGAGGGTTTTGGGAATGAATATATGCAAAGGTGAGCAAGGAGAATCTGAATGAGCTCAGCAATATGTCACCTAAAAGTGACATCATACATATATATTGAATAAGATGATAGCATGTAGCTTATACTGATGAGTCAGATTTATGAGTTCATCTGATGACTTATTCAAGCGCATGCAGGGGCCAAATCTGGTCAGGCAGAGTCAGTGATTTGAGCATTTGTTATGCAGGTGAGATTTTTAGAGTTTGCAATCCAATAGTCTTTCCCACAACACACTTCACATGTGTCTGAGCTTTTTATAAATAAAAGTTAGAGAGAAAGAGAATTCTGCTTTTAGACGTTCATCATGGGGCTTTTATGTTTTTTTTGTAGTAGTAGTTGTTGTTTATTCAGTCACGACAACACCAAATATTCAGTCACGACAACACCAAATATTTTACACAATATTGACAAGAATCATGTGTTGAATATTGACTGGAAAGGCATAGACAGAAGCAGACTGCTTATAAAAGCCTATCCTGTATTGTCAACTTTTTTAGGCTACCGACCTCCAGAAAAGCAAAGAAACCACAACAACAGATAATTAATCGCACTTATAAGCTTCAAAAATAGCTTTACAAACCATTTTCTTAAAAAACAAAAAAGAATGACATGTTTTTAGATCTATGTTGGCATCATTCCAGAGTTTAACTCCAGTAATGGAGACACATCTCTTTTTCATACCTTTTTTAGCTTTTTGTTCAGTAAATTTGTAAACACCTCTGAGATTATGTGGACCGTCCTGAATTGAAAAGAACCTCTGTATTGAGTCAGGGAGCATTTTTGATTTTGCTCTAAATATAATTTGCATTATTTTATCATAAAACAGATCATAAAATTTCATAACATGAGAATTTAGAAAAAGTGGCTCCGTATGATCATAGTAATCAGTCTTATAGCTCATTTTTGCAGTTTTATTATTGAATATATAGTGGTTTTAAAGGTGGAGCCCCGCAGTTCCACACAGTTAGATATGTAGGGAACAATCAATGAGTAGTAGATCAAATGCAAAGCCTTTGAATTCAATACTTTTCTAGATTTGTACAGGATTGCAAGTGATTTTGAAATTTTCCCTTTAATGTATTCAATGTGTTGTTTCCATGTTAACTTTTGATCTATTAACCCCAAGAAATTTAGTCTCAGTAACTCTTTAAATGTCAACATTACAGATTCTTAATTTAACATTACAATCACTTTCATTTAGATTCCCAAAAAACATCAATTTTTTTTTTTTTTTTTTTTAATATTTAAAGATAATTTAATGGCATCAAACCAAGTCTTGAGATTTTCCAGCTCCATTTCTACACAACACAAAAGTTCCTTTAAATTCTCACCAGAGCAAAACAAATGGGTATCATCTGCAAATATGACATATCTAAAAAGGTCTGTTACATTGCAGATGTCATTGATATCAAGAATGAGGATGTGACAGTGGATGGAGTAAAAACCAGGAGAGACAGAAGAGAGTGACATAAGTAAAAGAACCCGCAGGTTGGAATCGAACCTGTGCCACCTGCTTGAGGGCTACAGCCTCTGTACATGGGGCGGGCAGTTAAATAAATAGGTCAGACAGGCTTCCTAGGATTCTCCTTTTTACATTTTCCAGTGTCTCCATGCTTACCTTTTCCTCCCTACTTGTCTCTATTCATGTCTCGTTTTACTTCTCATTCCCACTCCTCTACACCTGTGCCCTTTTCCCAGTGTGCGGCACATACCCGGGGCGGAGACGGAGGGACGCCGCCCCTCCCCCCATGCTGTTCCCGTGTCCTTCCTGTCAGGAGGATGTGGAGCTTGGAGAGAGAGGCCTGACAGACTGCCTCCGTAACCTCACCCTGGAGCGCATCGTGGAGAGGTATACATGTGCACAAACACACTTGGTATGCACCGTAACACACATTCACAGATTAAATAGACAACTGCAAACAAAGAAAAACAGCACACTAGCAGTAATTCAAGAAAATAATCAGAAAATACCTTTTAGCAGTCATGCATGCATTAAGGAAATGTAGTAAATGAAGTGTGCGATCAATACTTCCTTATATATAAGACAGAAAATCAATTATTGGAATGACTTTGGAAAATGAATCTTTCCTCTAGTCCTGATCCAAGGCTAAACCTGAGAGCAGACTGCAGCGACGGCTCAAAAACGCTGCAGTGTACTCCTAAAAATCTGGATCAGCTTCACCAAACTTTTGTTGTGTAACTTTAAAAGTGAAACACTTCTCACTAGCCTTTAATGTTAATCATCCCCTTCTCTTACCAGTTCAAATAGTGAAGATCAAAGCGAGCGGAGCTGCTTTTGAAAAAAGAAAAAAAGGTGCACAGTGATGGGGAGGGAGAGTGATGGGGAGAGGCAGTTTCCCAGTTTCACACGCAGCAGTTTGATGAGTGCAGCTGCTCCCTCCCCAGGCAGTGGTTGTGTTGTTGGTCAGGAAAGTGTGACGGTGCATGTTTTAGTGAGCAGGATGCACTAACAAGGCAGCTACTGGTGATGTATCCAGGTCAGGCTGTTAAAAATTTCAACCCCTCACGACTGAAAGGAAATCAGGGCAAGTTAGGATGAGCTCAATCTTCCTTTACTTAAGTTTGAAGCGCTCCTACTTTTTGCGTTTTTTCTGCTGCCAGGTTTGCTGTAACCCTTTCCTTATCGCTCTGTCCCCCTGTCTGCCCTTTAGGTACAGGCACACTGTAAGTCTGGGCAGCATAGCCATCATGTGTGGTTTTTGTAAGCCCCCTCAGTCTCTAGAGGCCACAAAGGGCTGTGCCGACTGCAAGTCAAATTTCTGCAATGAATGTTTCAAACTCTATCACCCCTGGGGAACTCCTCGAGCCCAGCATGAACACATCCTACCCACCAACAACTTTCGTCCAAAGGTTTGTCTGGTTTTGTGCTTTTGATCATATGCAGTGACTTCTCTGTATTGTTTTAGCACCTTAATCCTTTTTGGTGCTTTAGGTCTTAACATGCACAGAGCACGAGCAGGAAAGGATGCAGTGGTACTGCCGTAACTGCCAGAGGTTGCTGTGCTCGCTTTGCAAGCTCCGCCGAGTCCACCATGGACACAAAGTTCTGCCTATAGCACAGGCTTACCAGGCCCTCAAGGTGAGTTTGCCCTCAAGTCTATAACTACTTAGTCAAGAAGACCCTGATGTAAGCAGCTTTGAAAGGTCAACTTTTGTTTTGTTTTTATAGGATAAGGTCAACAAGGAAATGAACTTCATTCTGGCCAACCAGGAGACGATACAGAGTCAGATCACTCAGCTAGAAGCTGCCATCAAACAGATGGAGGTGACGCATCTTTACTGTGCTGCAATTTTTGCGTCCTGTTTTGTTTTGTTGGTCTGCTTTGTCAGAGTATCCGTCATCCCACATGGTATCGTTTAACATGAGCAATAGTATTTGTAAGAGGCTCTGACATTATGTGTGTTGGGTTCAACTGAATTTGACATATTAGGAGGTTCGCAGGGATACTTTCACTTAGATGTCAATACCGCCTTGGGCCAGAAAAACAATCATGACTTTTATTTTGTAAAACAAGTTGAATGCAGCCTGCTGACTTGGAAATGAATCTATTTAATGTTTATTTTCTGCAAGTAGCACTTACAGTATTACTAGAGCCTGGCTTTTCCGGGTATTTTTGACACTGATACTCAAAGCAGTTTTAAAGGGGAATGATAATTAATTGTGATTACACTGGGACATGTAGTTAAAGCTCCAGTGAGGAGTTTTGTGTTTCGGAAATCATATCATATTAATGCCTTTTTTATGATGTGCAAAAGTAAACAAGACCGTCAGTGACGTGCTTGATTTTTTTTTTACTGTCACTGATAATGTTTGAAAATTATATGATGGTAGGTGTCAGCCTTGCCGCTCAAGAAAATACCCTGTTTTGACTATTTCCACATAAAATATTCACAATTGATGATGCATTTTAATGTCAAAAGTCAGCAAGGGGTTTGTGTCAGAAGACACAGTTTAAACACGTAGAGGACATGATAAGCAAAGGTTGCTTAGTCCAGAGGGAGCGCCAAGTTGGACACAAACTGAAAGTTCCTTGCAGGAGATTTAATTTTTTAAACATCAGTATTTTATTATGGACTATGCACAGATTTTATACTCAAGTGAAATGACTTCAAAGCTCTTTGCTTAAACAAGTAACAGCATGTAAGGATGATTAAATGATTATAGATTTTCGACCAACCCTGAGGACCCTAGTTTCCTCTTCTTTATGTGAAGCAGATAAATCTAAAAGTGTTTTTTTAAACATCCTGCTTCAAAAACTGAATGATTGAATTATTTGTAGTTGTAAAAAAGTCAATTCTGTTTACCCTAAGCTTTCAATGCTGTGTGATGTGTATGAAGATGGGTTTTATATAAGGGTGTTTCAGTATATATCAGTGATCATTCTGATCATTAATGTTTTAATAAATCATAGGAATTGTTCACCAGCCGATTTATTTCAACTACAGCTGCAACTGTGGGACCTCTTGAACCCTTTGGTTCCACTGCCACGGCACACTCATAATAGACTGATATTTTTCTGTCATTTTCAGTCAGCATGAACTGTCTTTGCACTCTTCTTTCAGCTCTTTCCACTCTCAGGATTCCCCTCTCTGTCTCTCTCCAGGCTAACAGCACAGTAGCTCTGCATCAGCTGACACACTGTATCCGGGAGCTGGGAGCAGCTGTGGCGGAGCGTCAGGGGGCTTTGGCGCTGGCCCTGGAGGGATCCCGCAGCAGGAGGGAGGAAGCCCTGTCTGCCCAGGTATCAGAGAGACGAGGACTGCTGGAGCATGCCGGGCTGATGGCTTACACACAGGAACTGCTGAAAGAGACTGATGCGCCCTGTTTTGTGCAAGCTGCTAGAATCACTCACAACAGGTGCACACGACGCACACACACACACACACTCAGAGGGAATACTGATTAGATATGCCTCCCAGAAGGCCTTATTTTTTATCAGTTTAAAACTTTTCACCCGTGTATCTCTTCTGCATTCTTATCTGGGTGTATCTGTGTATTTCTCTGCCCCACAGGCTGGTGAAGGCCATAGAACACCTTCAGTGTTTCTGTCTCGCTGCTGATCCCTGTTTCAGACATTTTCACCTTGATGCAGCCAAAGAGGTCAAGCACATCCAAGGCTTGGAGTTCATACGTGGTATGCTGCTTTGTTTCTAAGATGAAGGTGAAAATAGTGCAAAAGTGCAGATAATGACAGTCCATCACAGCATGTTATAGACTAGGGTACATTATTTTTTATCCAATTTTCCAAAACACAATAACACACAGACTATTGATGATGATTAATGCATAATGTTATCGTACACAACATTTTGCTTACTATCACTAACCGTAACAGCAGGTGGTCAGAAAAAAAGAGTAAACTATTTGAGTTGTGTGCGTCCATAATGACTCAGTCTGACTCAGCCTGAGACACCGCAGTAGCATCAGATGTCTGTCTTATCTGAGTCTGGTTCTGCTCAAGGTTTCTGCCTGTAAAAAGGATGTTTTTTTCCATGAAGCTGTAACTTGTCAAGTGTTACAATCATGTGGATGAAGTGGGGATGGGAATGAATGGGTCTGATGGTACAAGATGAGGCTCAATTGTATTCAGCTTTTATTATTATTATTATTTTATTATTATTATTATTATTATTATTATTGTTGTTGTTGTTATTATTATTATTGTTTTTGTTGTTATTATTATCTTTATTGTTATTATTGTTGTTGTTGTTATTAATATCTTTATTATTATTATTATTATTATTAATATTATTACTATTATCTTTATTATTATTATTATTATTATTATTATAACCTTTATTTAACCAGGTTTGTGCCATTGAGATTCACAATCTCTTTTGCAACAGAGACCTGGCCAAGAACGGCAGCACATGCAGATATTGTGAAATGAGGTTAAAACAGGATGAGTGGAACAATGAAAAACAATGAAAAACAGAAAATTATCGGAGCTTAGCACAGCCATTGTCTGACTACCCTGCAAGATTTAAATAACCAAACTTCCCAAAACCACACCCTCAGTGTCGAAACCCTGGACGTACCTATAAATCATATCCTAAACAAATATATTTTGCCTCCTACACAAATAATAATTGAATTTTCAAAATTTGTTAAAAGAATTTACAAGATTAGTCAAACATTTGCACTCCTGAAGCCTGAGTTTATCATGAATTTGATCTTATGTTCGATCTTCGTCTAGACCCGAGATAAATATAAATAGATAAAGATCGAGAGATTGACTCTCATTTGAAGTGCGTTAACACTTCCTCTCTCCATCTTCACCACAGCCCCACTGGCTCCAGTCATTGACACACAGAAGACTCTTGCCTATGACCAGCTCTTCCTGTGCTGGCGCCTCCCCCAGGACTCGGCCCAGGCTTGGTATTTCTCTGTGGAGTACCAGCGGCGAGCAGGAGGGGCTGCAGCCACATGGGGAGGCATCGGATCCCCTAATAGTACGACACCATGGCTGCGCATGGACGAAGTAAGAGGGACGAGTGCCGTGGTCGATCGGCTGCAGATGGACAGCGTGTACGTGCTCAGGGTGAGAGGCTGTAACAAAGCGGGGTTTGGAGAGTACAGTGAAGAAGTTTACCTCCACACTCCACCAGCACCTGGTGAGGCAAACATTAAGACGTCCGTTTCTACTTTTCATTCATCTGTAAATTGGTTTTCATCCAGACATAAGTTTTCATTTGGACATTTCTCCAACATTGCCATTTTTCAATTAATTGACTAATCTTGTTTGTTTTTTGTCTCTCCATCCCTTCATCACCTCCTACTTGATTTTGATTTTTAGCTTCAGCATCAAACTTTCCATTTTTTGTTCGGCATTCCAGTTTCATCCCAGTCAGGCTCTTTCGACACCTTTCCTTCTTACTTCAGGTTTGTTCTTCACTTCAGAAAACCTCCTTACCCGTCATTGATTTCCTCGCTGTTGTCCATCCCCTCAAAAAAAAAGTTCTGAATCGAGGCATTTGTTATATCTTGTATATCTACACTCGTTTTCTTTCCCTGATTATGTGATCTCCTCCTATTCCTTGATAGCTTTTCCCCTTTGGTGTTCAGACTTGCTTTAGGATCTAACCCCTCCTCCTTCTTGACTCCTTTCCATTTTCCTCCTCACCATCCCTTCCTCTTTTGTACTTCTCCCTTTTTCCACCTTTCCTCCTTCTGTCCTCTCAGTGTTGAGTTTCTCCTTGGACTCACGCTGGGGGCTACACGCTGACAGGCTAGCGCTGGGTAGAGGCCAAACCTACGCTCGCAGTGTGCCAGGCCTCTCCCTCCTGCAGGCTGCCGACCGCACTCTCACTTCCTGCCACTTGACCTCTGACCTGCTGGTGGCTGACTTAGCCGTCACTCAAGGCAGACACTACTGGGCGTGCTCGGTGGAACCTGGGTCCTACCTGGTGAAGGTAAGCTAGGTGAAGAAAGATTGATGGTCTGGTTTCACAACAGCTAGCTTTATATAACACGCTGAGTCAAAGCGGACATGACTAAAGCTTTTTGGCTCTTTTTCCCTCCATCTTTCAGGTGGGAGTAGGACAAGAGGTGAAGCTACAAGAGTGGTTTCATCTCCCCCAGGACATGACAAGCCCCCGGTAAGTCAGGATTAATTTTTTTCCCAAAAGTTTGAAGCTTTTTTTTTAAAGTTTTGAGTCTTGTATGCCTTGTTTAGAGGATAAGATAGGAGACAGAGGAGGAAGCTGGAAAGAGAGTGGATAATTACAGTGGATCAGCATCAAACACGCCCCTGTAAATGGCATGCACAGCTTAACTGCTGAACCATTTTTTGACAGTAATTGATATTCCAAGCAACAACAGCGTGGAAATAAATGGAATTTTTCACAGGGATATAATTCTTGATGTTTTAGCAGATCTGGCTATCCAGACTCACACAAAGAGTTAGGAGCTGAACTACCATCGCTGTTTTCTATTTAAAGAAACATCTTCTGTTCACTTTTTGGTCTTCCTCGGCCAGCAGTACAACTTGTGAACACACCACCTGGAAAAATCTGCTGCCACAGAGTTAATGATAAACAACAGCTGATAAAATTAGCCAAAGAAGTAAAGTAACAAAAGTGAGAAATGCAGGGTCAGTAGATATTTGTCTGCATGTGATTGATGATTTAAGTTTATTTTGAACATATTAAAAAAATGATAATTATAAAAAAGTGAAGAATACAACAAAAAATGATAAAAAGTTTTCCATTTTCAAAAAGAGTCTAGTCCCACCCCGTCTCTTCACTAATGATTTACATATATATCATAATATTTTATAATAATATTAATCATCATCATAATAACAGCAATAAAAAAATAATGATAATGTTAATAGGAACTATGATTGTGTTTCACATCTAATGGGAGACATGAATTAGTGCAGCTCAAAGTCTGAAAACTCATGTTGGCCGTGCTACCAACATCTTCTTTTTGGAATAACAAATACACTGAAAGCCATTTCTTTAAGCCTCGCTCATCTAAGTTTAGTTTTACTCTGCAAACAGGTTTTTTTACATGAGAAAAATGCATGTATTTCTTTTATTCATCTTTGAGAAATATTGAATGTCTCCTTACACCATGATCACAGATAAAACTGCACACTGTATCCCTGCTGTGCATGATGTGAAAAACCATCACTGCCAACATTCAAAATTGCTGCAAATATAGAATTCATCCATGTGTAGGGAGGATCACAGGCACAAAAAGTCTGATTTTAAGGTGTCACATTTGGAACATTTTTCTATTTCAAAGTATAATTGTGTTTTTTTCCCCAAAACTTTTCTTTCATATCTTTTTTTTTTGTGTGCAAGTGTCAATCAAAGATGCTCTTGTCTGCAATATGGAAATCTATCATAGCTCTTTCCCATTTCTAGGCTTTTCAAGTTTTTGTTTATTATTAATACTTCATTTAGATTCATGTAGCATTGTTTTTTCTCTTCACTAACTTTCTTCTTCTCTCCCACTCAGCTGCGACCCAGACAGCGGCCATGACAGTGGAGCAGAAGACGACCAGCACTCTCCCCCTTTCTGCTTCCTCACAATAGGCATGGGCAAGATTCTGCTTCCTCAGGGACACAGTCACAGTCAGAGCCAGTCAGAGGGAGCCCTGCACTCCCACAGTAGCAGCCACAGTAACCTTCCTCACCATTACACCGCTCCTCTCCCACCTCGACTCGGCGTGTGCCTAGACTGTGACAAAGGACGTGTCACTTTCTATGACGCCCACTCGTTGAGGATGCTCTGGGAGGGACATTTGGATTGTTCGGCTCCCGTGTGTCCGGCCTTCTGCTTCATTGGCGGGGGGGCCCTGCAGCTTCAGGACCTCGTGGCCAATCGGATCATTGAGGAGCCGCCACCTCGGAGGGTGACTATCCAAACGCGTGCAACTAATCTCAGCAAATAAACAACAGTCCGAAGGCACTGTTCACTCAATATGTCTGTAGAGTTAAAGGTGGTTTATATTTGCCACCTATAATCTGAGTTTGTGGTTAATTGCCTTGATCCTGTCAAACTTCAACTTGATCGAACTGTCACAGCTAAATATGGTTATGTGATTTCTTTTGAATGTGATTTTTTGAAATCTGACTATGAAAATCTGACGTTTCTTTGCATTTGCACTTAGCCTGGAAATATCAAATTCTCCTTTTTTGGCTTTATTTAATCTAATATGTATTCCAGCTGCTTTTTGCCTTGATTTTGCTGTGCTCCTAAGAAAAGAGTAGCTGGAGTGATCTTAGACTATGCAGAATTTTGTTGACAGGGTGAGCCAAATGCCTTTTAAAAAGGTTCAAAAAAGTCAGTTTGCAATGAAAAAAAAAAAGAAAGCCCTCCCTTTACTGTTGTCTGGATTTGTTGCAGAATTGCTGGGCAACATGCATTGCATGCAAGCAAAGCTAGGATTCATACTAATATACTCTTAATGCAGATAACTGTCATTCTGTAAAAGCACCTCAAATGTACTGTATGTCCAATTTTATATCCTCAATTTTTTATGTAGCCTCAAAAGTGTTCACAGTATGTATCCAAGTGGGAACTGGAGATGGTGAACATAAAGTACTGTTGGCTCATGTCAGGATAACATGTCTCTGAGTCTGAACAGTCCTGAGTGGCTTTTATAGAGTCGTTGTTTTGTATTTCAGAAAGGGAAAACTCACAGGAAACGTTACAGTTGACTCGTTTTTGAGGAGAAGAATCACGTCTGATTACGCTGTTTGACTCAGAAACATGCAAGTACAGTTCATTGTTTTACCTTTTGTGAAGAGCAGCAAAAAAGTCGATGTCCTACATGTGTGGCATTAAACTTTGGTGTTTTAATAATTTGCACATAATAATAATAAGATGTGACATTTCAGAAAGTACACACTGTAATATGTGGAGAAAAAAGGTCTATTTGATGAGCTCTGGTTGACTTTCACTTTATTTTTTTCTATAGCTTTTTGACTTTACTTTGAATCTCCCAGATGCTCATTGACTCTTAAGCTGGTTTACGGTAATTTTGGGGAATGTAACCGCAAAATTCTGTATCGTTTCAATGCAAGAAATCGTCACAATATTTTCGAATCTACTTGCTCTGTGTGCATTTTGATATAAGATATGATTTTCTGGTGTGTGTATGTGTGTGTGTGCGTATGTGGGCTCTGGCTGGGACTTTGATGCTTTCAGTTGTGTGTGATTCCTGCCTTGAATGACATGTCTAACCTCCTCTGCTTGTGTTTCAGCACATGAATGAGATTAGACTGTAGCATCCCAGAAATCAGACTCTTCATTTAGACTTAGCCTCACAGGCCGAATGTTTCTTTGATGTCATATAAGAAAACAATAAATAAATGATGGATGACCATTAATTCGACTCAGTTTCTCATCAACACAATGCCGATACTGCACCGTAGAAAACTCATCTTTTAAAATTCAAGCAATCATAACATTAAACTTGCTGTTTTGATTGACAGCAGTCTTCAATTTTTAAATTAACAGTTTTGAAATATTTGGATACCCTGCAGCCAGATTATGTTTTTGCCAAAATACACTAAGCAGTAAAATTGACACATAAATTTGTCACATGCTATTGACTGTCAACAGCAGGAACAATATCCTCTGTGTGATTATGAAAACAGACTCTCCTTGTTCAAATGTCATGGAAAAACTGATGTCTCATTGAGAGTACGCTGCGTGTAACAACACGCGTGCCTTTAATCACCCGAGTGTGCCAGGGCTACATGAACATACAAATAGGATCTATTGTGCCACGGGGCTTAAATATAATCATCTTATTCTGTGCAGTGCCAGGACACACCTCACAGGACACCTTATACAGAGGAACAACAGCAGAAGTGTGGGTGTTCAGCTGGTGAGCCAGTTGGACTGGTAGTTTGTTCATTGCTAGACAAGTTATTATCATCCAGACAGACTGAGTGACAAACATGACTCCTAGGTGAAAGAGTCAAGGTGTTGTGTAACACCTCAACTGTCATATGTTTGTCATTATTTGTGTCCATCAACAGGAAGGTGTTGCAACCAGTCCAGAGCAGTACGTGTGATCTGTCTGCTGCAGGGCTGCGCAATGATAAAACTCACCAAAAGAGGGCGACATTGTTTGCGCTTTGTCGGTTATTCACTGTCCCTTGTAAAAAAAAGAAAAAATAAGAAAAGGTTTGTGAGCAACAGGTGCACAATGTGTCAACACTGACTCGTCTGGTCCCAGGTCTGTGATACCAGGTTAGATAAGTTTACAGCTTTTGTTTAGTCCCTCTGAGTCAGTCTCTGCTATTTGCTGAATTCAAGATCCTTCAAGATTTTGTTTTTGTCTATTTTGATTCTTTTTCTGTTTTTGTCTTTTGCTAGATGAGCTTCAAGGTTGAAAGACTGACCAGTTTCCAACAGCAGTATCACAAACAACAGCTATGTTGCAATTATCACACACACTCTTGAACATTTCTTACAAAGCGAGAAAGAAGGGAGTATTTCTGCAGCAAGACCGCACTGGCCCTAAATCAGCTTAATAAAAATAAGCTTAAACTGCACCTCTGCTTGGCTTTGGTCCCACTGTGGTTGCATCATTGCTTAGTTACAGCTACGTTTTCTTTACTCATGTTTACCCAGCAGAGCACCTCCCTTCTAGAGTTAAACCTGTCCTGTCTGACTGTTTGCACGCAAGCCTGTTGAGGTGTGAATTTAGCTGAACTTTCAACTCATTTCTTGGGAAACTTTATTGTTCTTGAATCATTTCCAACATATATTTTTACAAGATATCCTGAGTGACGGTCGATTATTTGCCTGACTTTCAGAGGAGATAAGATGAGTGTGCAAGTAGGTACAAATAACGGCAAGTTTTGGAAGTACAGAGGGCCAGATGAAAACATATAATGGTGAAATGAAACAATAATTTGAAGTAGGTTGCCTTAAATGTTTATTCCTAAGGATCCTGAGGCAATTTAGATGATTTTTTAAGGTAAGTTTCCTCTGTAACTGGCTAAATTTGTCCTCCATGGGTCATTATTTGGGTAAAACTAATTAAATTCATCAACCAAACCTTTAATTAAACAAAGAATAATAATGTCATTATATAATTGTCATGTGTTGGAGTAAAAGCTGCTGAGTTTCATGCAGAAAAGGTCCCACAAGCAAACTTTTAAATGTGCACACAGAGCAGAAATCTGCAGAAAAGTTTGCAAATGCAAGCACAGATCCCGTCCCCTGAACAGCTGTGTCTCCTGTCTTTCTCAGCACCTCTGCACAACACAGTAGACATAAATGTCTCGCACACACTCTCAGTCTACACACAACATTTCAGCTTCACAAGTTCCATCTATGGTCAACCCTGAAAGAAAAAAAAAAGCAGCCTGTAAAACTGTCAGACTAAATGGATTTGTGCGACTTGCACAGATTTGTGAACCCACTGTGATTTTTGAAGAGCTTTATTTGTCACAAACTGTACTGAAATGTACACAGACACAAACACACACACACACAATGAAATCCACTTTACATGGTTGTCATTCAAAAACACATCCAAATCCACACTAAGACTCCTACACACACACACAAATCTGCCACATGTGTGTGTTCTGGATGAATGCCAAAGAGAGTGAACATGCTACGACAGGACCAAACCTCCTCAGGCTCTGCTGAGTATTTATGGGTGAGTGTGTGTGATTTTTGCACAGGAAAAACATTAACTCTTTATAAAGTTCTTATGAATACTTTACCACCTGTTTGGCTTGACGCTGAATCGCTTTCTTCACAAATACATTCTGCTTTGTTGCTTGACTTAGATCAAAAGGAATAGTTCATGTAAAAGGAAGATGTCTGTGAGTTTAGGATGAATCTAAAACAAAAACTTGGTTTGCTTTGATAGGGGGGGAAATGAAACCTTATTTTGGAGCACATCTTGCTGCTTTAGTTGAGTGTCAACCACAGGAACTGGATCCACATTCGGTCTAACAGGTAAAACAGATAAATACCCGACAAATGATTTATACCAGAGGTGAAATGTGAATGTTCATCCTTACTGACAGTGTTTTTGGTCCATAGGTTGCTCTCTGACAGGTTAATGACTAGCTGTCCACATATCACTTCACTCACTGTTTTTTATTTTTGAAGGGCAGTAGAGGCAGAAGGAAGAGGAGGTGGAGGAGGAAGGAGGGAGCAAAACAAGCCAGACTGTACACGCTCAACTACACTATAACCCTCAGGACAGACCGGAGGGCCACCTGTAAATCTATTTCCATAGCGGAGGTGGAGCAGAGGTCTTTCAGCACCAACTGGTTCTAGTGAAAACGCTGGGGAGCCACATTTTTGCACGTGCGATCGTGTGTGTGTGTGCGAAGGAAAGGAAGGTGGTCTTTGTGTGTAAATGTACTTACAATGTATGCAAGTTCTTGTGAGAGCCCCTCAGCTGTTCATCCTGCTGCCTCTGAGGACAAAAGCGCTGATTCTTAAATCAAAACAAATGTAGAGAAGGTGGTCAAACTGGGAATAGTAATGCACTTGCTCTCCTGTTCCCTGTAAATACCTATAGCAGCAACTGGATTTACAGAGAGGGGAGTTCATGCATATACATGCACAGCAATAAAAGGCAGAGGGCTTCTGTGTAAATGTTAATTGGGGACTTTTATGTGTAGCTCTAAAGTCTGAAATCTGCTGCATATCAAAACAGCTAGAGGTCTTCTTTTTTCTTCTTAACTTTGCTTATAAAACCTGAATAAATCTTGGCTGACAGTTTCATGAGGCAGACCTGATTATCACTGAGGAAGATGTGAGTGTACAAAACATGGAAGAGGACTGTGTTTGAGGATTTCTAAATTGTAGGGGGGAAGAGACCGCAAAGTATTTCAGAGTACACTTGTTCCAACACAAATTCCAGCACTGGTACTGATACCACTATCAGAACTGACACTGGCAGTGATATCTGTTTTTGGAGACGCTGCGTATAGACAATGATGTGATACATTATCTACCCAAGAATCTAAAGGTGTCAGGAGTATGAGCACATGAAGATGAAGCTGTAACCTTGAGGTGGAATAATGAAGGCCATAAAGAAGAGTGATAAACTTTAGTTTCTGTTGTGTCTGCTTCAGGCTGGCTCCACAGGAGTCGATATGAAAACGTCCAGTTTGACAGCAGATTGAGACAAGTTTACAGACTGGTACAGCAAACACTTTTGTCTATTTGGCCCAGTTGAAACTGCACTAAAGATACCTTTTTTTGTAACATCGATAAAACTGTACAATTAGAAAAGACTTATTCCCTCGGCCTCAGCTCAGGCTCTTTGCTAGTTTCTGTATTAGTTAAAAGTTTGGTTACAGCAACACTGAGGAGCTGGCTGATCAAAGCTAGCAAAATTTTAGAGATCAGTATCAATAATTTCGGCTGGTTCTGGAGGGATAATTGGCACCACACCTTAAGTCTAAGTGGGATTTGTAACATGGAGGACATATGGTACCAGATCGTCTTTATTCCAGAGTATAGAGAAAACTTCAAGAATGAAGTCGTATCTTCAAGAAAAGGTAGGTTAAGCACAGTCATCTCAATCCTGCTACAGTCCTCACAACGGGCAGTCTGGATCTAATTCCAACCTGCAGCCTTTAGCTGCATGTCGTACTCACTCTCCCCAAATCTGAAGTCTAATTGAATAGAAGCTTAAACCCACAAATGAAACACTTTTTTAAAGATTTGAGTTTGAGATACAATTGGGAAAAGCACAACATAGAAAAAGAAATGGGACTGTGAGAGGAAGAGGAATAATGGCATAATTAGATGAGAATTCAAAAGAGGACAGCGACAGAGCTGACATAAAGGGTGAGGGGCTGACAGGAAAACTGAGAGAAGCACATTCCTTCTCTCCCTCCTCTTCTCTTCAAAACAGCAGCTGGGACAGGTGTGTTTTTACTGATGGTAAAAAGTGCACAAGCTGCTGACTGCCCCCCCGTGTGTTGTGTGTTTGTTTATATGCTGAGTGTGCATGCTGTCTGGCTGCAGACTGCGTTTTAGCAGAGAGTTAGTTGTGTGTAATTACTAGGGGGAAACAAAACCCATAGATCAGGATTCGCCCATAATGACAAAAATAGACATCTGAATGCACACATGGTGTTTGTGGGGGGGAAGACTTTGGGAGTGTCTGTGTAAGAGACAACACACTGCACACACAATCTGTGTGTTTCTATGTTTAAAGAGACGTTTGCAAAAGTACAAGAGTCTGTCAGTGTGTGTGTGTGTGTGTGTGTGTGTGTGTGTGTGTGTGTGTGTGTGTGTGTGTGTGTGTGTGTGTGTGTGTTGTTGAAGGAGACAGTCTCTACTACAGGAAACAGAGGGATCCTGTTTGTGAGTTGTACTCATTGTTCAGCTGATTACCCTCCTCAGCACCCCCACTCCTCCACAGACACACACACACACTCAAAACATAAGTCCCGTGTTACTTTTTGGCAGTGGACCAAATCAGTATCAGAGGCTGTGCTTCCATTTCTTCGCAGTAAAGCCACAGTTTGTAATGAAGGGTGTGTACGGCCAGTCAATACGACTCCACGCATTGTCCTTCCAACCAAAATGAAGTCCACCTCTTTTCACTGGAAGAATAGACAACACCCAATACCTCCTTATCTTCTCCTGGACTCATCACTTACTGTGGTTTTTTTTTTTTACCACTGCCAAAACCCCACTCCCCTGCCCTAAATAACTCATGTCTATCCACAAGGCCACTTTATCTTTGTGTCTTTGTTCCTTATCAGGACATGCTGGTTTATATTGCTGCTAGTCCCAGTGGTCTGCTCTATCTTGTTCCTATGTCTTCAACAATCAAAAATCTACTCACACTTTTGAATTGAATTTCTGTTTTTCAAACTGATTTTTACCAGCCAAATCCATAAAATTCTCCATTTGTCCCAAGTTTTAAGGTCTTCTAAATTATGCCAATCTCTGTTTTCCAATCTCTCAATCACATTCAAGGCCCCCAGAGGAAAACCCTGTTAATCAGGGTGGCTGTGGTTTGGCTGGGGCAGGACTTTTATCACAGGAAATGTCTCAACATCAACTGATTTTGTGGGGAAAATATAATAAAGTCAACATCAACATTTTCCAGACATTCATGGTTCTCAGGTGATATATTCTGCAGACTTCAGTGTTTTCCTGAGAGCCACCATCAAGACGGGCCTCAGAGAGGAATGTCATAAAAAGTGCAATTTAATTAAACTGCTAGAAATTGGGTTGAGGTTCAGGTCTCCAGGGGCATGATGGCTTTGGTGACCACCTGAACTTTTATCATGAGAAAAAAAATCCAATATTGATGTTCATGACTTTATCTGTAAAAAGACAAAACTGGGAATTTAGTTCTCTGCTAAATGGGATCTTTAGGAGCAAGTAAATGAATTCTTGTTTTTTCATTTCTGTGATTTTGAGCGTCCTAAAGGGCTATGACACTACATGGTATATGAGATCAAAATCTTTACAAAGATTGAAGGCCAGCCCCGGCAGAGACTCCATGAATCAGCCTACAACACAGAAACATGCTCAGGCTGGCTAAAAACATCAACCCTAACCATTACCATGCTCTAAACACTGAATATGAATTATTACCATCTCTGTTAAGAGAGGCACTTCAGAATTAGAAAATAAACCACCGTAACACAAGTCCAAGCTTCAGGTTTTTAATATTTTATTATAGACCTTTTTCACAGTACGCGAAAGTTAGCATTCTGCTCACTTCCGGTGTTAGCGTGTGAAAAATAGGTCAGAAAATTTCCAGACCTATTAAACATAATTCCCGAAAAGTAAAGTACAAAATCCGGCCAGTATAATGAAGAACAGGAGTTAGTAAAACAGCACAAAGCATAGTATTTTACATTACCTTTCGAAAAAACGAGTCGCGAGCTTGTTAATATCGTGAAAAATGAATGGCCGTCTATGGGCGATGCTAAGTGGCTTCACCACACGCTAACACCGGAAGTGAGCAGAATGGTAACTTTCGCGTACTGTGAAAAAGGTCTATAATAAAATATGAAAAACCTGAAGCTTGGACTTGTGTTACGGTGGTTTATTTTCTAATTCTGAAGTGCCTCTCTTAACAGAGACACATTACTTCACTGTGGGAAACAATACCTGATTACCTGATAGTAATCTGTGCTATTCCAAACGGTACTCTAGTTAACTGAAAAGTGTTGTCATTGTCTTAATCTGACAAAAAATACAAATCTACAAAATAAAATTTCTCAAAAAACTTATATTTTACAAATTAAGATAGTAAAGATGAGACAAAGGTAGCATGCTACCATTATCACTGTAAGCATGCTGCTGGTGCACACATCTAGCTTGATGAAGGCTACACAGCTAGCTGCTAGCATGCCTGTTTGACTTTGTTGTTATGACATGTCACAACACTTTCACCATTTCCCACCTCTGTCTTGTTTCTATATTTCGTCCCTCTGTTTTCTAATCTGGTCTCAAAAACATTCCTGTTTCTTTTTTTGTTCCCTCTTTCAACTCTAGCTCATTCATCTCCCACCTCCAGCCCTCTTAGCTTAGCCTTTCTTCATAACACTCAATTCCAGCACAATACAGTGTTGAGTCTGTGTGTTTTCTGTCAGGGGTAGTCTTTGAGCTCAGGAAGAGAGGCCAATGTAACACACACACACGTATACACACATGGGATGAGAACCTCTGGCGTGGCCTTTCCCACCACTGCCCTCTCTGTATCAACATACTCACACAAACAAGCTCATTCACGCTGCTGCACCATCAAACAAGCTTTTGTCTCTTCTCGCACAATCACCCTAATCAAACACACACTGACATACACACACAAACTTATCTCCACACATCTGCATGTAAGCTCATTACTGTGTCCTAAACAAAACCTCCACACTACGGCACAAATTACTTCAAAAGGTCAAGTGCTGCTTTTGATCCTGTTCTAACACCCTCCAAAAAACATAGATGCCTCCCATGTTTTAAGTTCAACAAGCTCAGAAAATAAGTTTGACAGTTGCTGTAAAATATATTTAGATGGCACCTTTAAGACTCCAGGGTTATATGTAAAAAAATAACGAAACAACCACCAAAACATTGTCTTTTTTGAGTTGACAGCAACAAGATTTAACAGTCTTCTCTTATTTAATTCCATCAACAAGGGTTTACAAAAATAGCAATATACGTATACAATATTTGATATTGGACATACGCCAACATAAATATTCTGTATCAAAAAGGCATAAAATACATAGAAAACAATTATGAACTATATTTATTCACTGCCACTGATATGACTCATTATTCCATATGCATTGGTTATACAATCATTAGTACCATTTCCACAGAGGTATAACCATTGCCTCACCATATGATAAGATAAAGTATATGTGAAACTCTATATTCTATTACTCCACAAATGAGTACCACAGACATGAGAAATTGTAAATGATTGATATCAAAATAGAATCCACGAGTTACAATTGTCAAACAATCAAGTCTGCTGACATGTTGGCCAATGAGTTTAAACGGCAAACATGATCAAGCAGAAGGCACTTTAAGGTCATGGCGACAATTTTAACATAAACTGCGAATAATTGATAAAAAATTGATAACCTCAACCAAAGATTACATTTTTTTGCCCTTGCTATAACATCTCTGTAGTGTTGTCCAGTTTGTTTTTGTCCTTGATGCTTTGATCCTCGGTCCAAAATATGCTCTTCCTCACATCTTCACATCTGCATAGACTTATAGGAAGGTGAGTCTTGATTGACAGACGCAAATTTTCTAAACAGATAAAACCTGACGAGGCTGGTGAAGATTCCAGGCGTGTTTGGTACCTGGAATGAGCACGGACAGGAAGAAGAGATGGCATGAGGGCTTTAAGGGAACCAGCTTCAAAAAACAATGTTGAAGTCTGAGTTCACTGCGTCTTACCACAATAAAGTAGTCATCCAGCTGGAGGCCGTACAGGACCCAAGAGGTTGATGTGAAGAAGGTGGCTACAGTGAGAGGGAAGGACAAGCGCTTCACATCACCTTGTCGCACAATCTCTACCTAAAACAGAAGAGAGAACGATGTAATGTAAAACCCCATTAACACATATTTTCACATCCATTATGAATCAATTTTGTAATGTGAAGATGTTCACTCTTCAATTGTTATGTCGTCCATTCAGAGCCGGCCCAAGGCATAAGCGAACTAAGCACCTGTTTAGGACCCCACGGCCAATAGGGGGCCCCTAAGAGCAATTAAAAAATAATAATAATATTATTAATATTATAAAAATTAATATATTAATAAAAAAATTATATTTTGCATGTATGAGTGATGCTTTCTGTATGATCAAATATATATTATTGTAAAAATAAAATAAAGTAAAAACATTTTAGTGCTGCAATATGCACTGAGCATCCAAAGCGCGGGTAGTTGTGGGGCAAAACAATGTCGCAAAAAAAGACATATCCTTCAGGAGCAGAGAAAAGAAAGAGGAAGAAGAGAAAAAACGGCAAGATAAAGGTATGTTTGCATGTCATGGAATGTTCATCAAAGAGATTTGTGAAGGTGTGTAAATGATCAACAATCAATATTATTGGCAGAAATAGAGGGCCCTAAAATCTAATTTTGCTTAGAGCCCCATTGAGGCGTGGGCCAGCTCTGCATCCATTCAATCATCAAAATCAAGCTCGACTCAGGACCCTGTAAACACAGCAGTTAGTCGTGACCTGGTCTTGGATAGTAGACTTTTCTTCTCTAGTTAGTTTGGCTGTGTCAACATCAATGATTTAATGCTGTGATCCTTATCAGCTGGCTAGAGAATAAATAATCAGTTGAACAGATTATCGATATTTTTACTACAGAGCTCCCACAATGCTGACAGTCAAGAAGCTAGATTGGGAAGACGGCCAAATCAAGCTTCCTGATTGTGTCCATGTGATCTGGTACCTTTTATCAGAATGGGTCTATGGTTGTCATAGATACAAGAGTTGTTGAAAACAGGGAAACAATGTCTAAAACAATAAGAGAGTCACTTGGGTATGACTTGGTCATTTCTAGTGACTCAAACCTCAGGTCAACCAAAGTATGAGGGACAACAGAAAAATTCAAAAACACTTTTGGAGGTATAACCCCCTAAAAGTTAGCTAAACTGAAAAGACATCTACATCAAGAAGGTAAATGCAGCATAATAGGAATGGTTTCACTGTTACTCATTTAATGTGATGTGTGAACAATAGTGGTAAGTGCCGACAAAATGATACACAAACTGTAAGGAAGAAACAGAATGTAACCAAGAGGATGAGTCAGACAATAACAGGAAGGCACAGATGAGAGAAAGAAAGGCAGGAAACTGCAGAGTAGGGGTCATTCGGAGCTGTGAAGCAGATGGAGAGAAGGAGACAAACAGGATAGCAGACAGAGAAACAAGATGACACAAAGAAGCTAGAGGAAATAGAAAGAACTGAGATTCATTCCTTCATTAGCAAATATCTGCACGTGTGGCGCTGCCATGAGGCGCTGAGGATACTAGACTGAACAGATGCTGTCTGCTCAGTGAAGCATAAGTTCAGAGGAGAGGACTTGGTGTTCTGTTTACAATTGCATGAACTTAATATGGTGTTAAAGCTAATACTATAAGGTTTTGGAAATGTGGAACATGCAGAAAACACCATCAGTGCTTCGAGATAATAACAGTAGAGTCAGTGGTTTGCATGTAAAATTGAATAAAATCGATAAGATTAGTAAACCTGTGGTGCCTATCATCCATCTATTCCTAATGCTCCAAAGCATGAACAGCTCACTTCAGCACTCTTGAGATAATGGACCTCACTGTATTAATGCAGCACTTGGAAAAGCAATCAGCAGCCACTGACTGGGCTTTAATGGGCGGAAACACAGCTATGGTTTACACTTTGAGCGGAGCAATAACTCACTGATGTCAAAACTCGTCTCTTTTAACAGACACAGTGATCAAAAAAAAAAGAAAGAGCGAGTGAACCAGGACTCTTTCAAAAGTAGATCAGTGAAGGAATAAAGGATCAGTACCTTCAAATCAAAAGACTTTCTCTTACTTGCTCTAAATCATCAATTCGATGTGTTCTAGGCGTGTAATGAATACGATGATGTTCAAAGTTTTTCATTTCTTACTTCTCCTTCATATCAACTCTGACTCAACAATCAAATTCTTTTTAATATTTAGAAGAAAGGATCCAAGCAAAGATTCCTGCTTGATACGTAACATGAGAGGATAGTGTCAGCTATTTGAATTTCTTCTTGTCTGATAAATAACTGAAGCTATTTCAGGAATAATGTGCAGTTAGAGGGTTTTTCTTCGAGGAAACCTGACAGGTCAAGCAGGATCTGGAAAGGCAGTGACAGGATCTAATCCTACTAATCCTAAAGGGCTCTTTCATCATTTATTACATGACTATTTGCCTGAGGGATCCCTAATTTTGCACCAAATATTTATTTAGACATGTTTAAAAAAAGAATGTGTGATAGTAAATGTTTAACCACATGAACAATACTATCCTGTCACTACAGGTCTCTCTTGGTAAAGGGATTTAGAACTTCCATTTTAAGGGTACAGTGTGAAGAACTGGAAATATTTGGAATATCTAGCAGAATAATTCCAGATTGAAATGCTCAGCCCTCCCACTGGTGGACAAGAAGCATCTGCCATGCATGATACGTATGATCTTCCAATGACAACTGTCAAGTTTCTACTTTCAAAAATGTCAATCAATGCAAATGTTTTAATGCACAGCAATGACTACTCCTTTCGTGCTCATCTTCTAATTAATGTATTTTTGTTCGTCCAGGGGTGAAATCCATTTGTAAAAACATTTTATTTCCAAATTTACTTTTACCTTGAAGGTATATTCTGGCGTAAAATTAATTTAGAGTCAAACCCACCGTAACACCGAGTTAGACACCCCCTCCAGAGATGAATGTTGCCGACCGCTTGCTTCTCTAGTTATACCAACTTTAGTAACAACCGCACGATAGCAATACACAGCGGTCTGAGGAGCCATAAACAAACCTCAACCAAAAAGCCACTCTATAGCCACAAATAATGCTCACAACAGCACCTAACTTCATCAACAGTACATATAGGGTCCAAGTCAAAGCACTAGCCACCAAACATCTTTTTAGCTTTGCCTAGTTTCTTTAGCAAAGAGACTAAACACAACTCACCAACTCTCCTCCAGCAGCCACTTGTTTGTAGCGAGACCTTGGGCCAGCCCATTACGGACTGCAGCGGGGTGACGCAGCTCAAGGAAGAACATTTCATCTATTCATCTTTTGAGGGGGTGTCTAACTCGATGTTACGGTGTGTTTGACCCTAACTTAATTTTACACTAGACTATCCTTTTAACTGTAACAGGTAATTCAAGATAACCATGACTAAAACAATCTATCTTCACATTTCTACTTAATCTACTTAATTTGTAGTGTTCATGCTGTTTCTATGTTGTGTGTCTGCATGCATGTATGTTGTACCAGGTCTGTGAGCGGAGACATGTACATGCTGACGGTGACCACGCTGCAGGTGAGACCAAGCTGGTTGAGCCGAACTTCTCCTTCAGGAAGAATCTTGGTGAAGTAGAACCAGCCACAAGTCAACACTCCGCTTGCTACCAGCGTCTGGGACATCACCAGCCTCTAAGACACACACACACACACACACACACACTGAGCGACTGATGTGCAAACAACCTCTTCAAATAAAGTTATAGCTATGCTCAGCTGACCTTTTGTTTGGCGTAGTAGAGATACATGAAAATGTACAAGATCTGCAGCAGAGCTCCAATTACATTGACCAGGATGATCGTCTGGTCTTTCTTCAGAATACCATAGTACAGCCAGCCCAGGTTACTATGGAAACACCACAAGCATTAGAGAGAAATAATTGACCACATAGTTTGGAGGATCACTGCCACACAAATACTCACTTAAGACACGTGGTGAGAAAAGGTAGAAACTGGATATTGTCGGCACTTTTGGATTCTCGCATCTTCTTTAGGTCGGTCCTAAAAATACACACACACACATATATGCAACAAGCGGGTGAGATAAAAATAAATGTCCTATATGTCCATGCAGCTGACAGGGGAGCAGAAAAGAAGTGACCCATTAAGCAAATCCACTAAATGTATTTCACATCTTTTAGATTCTATGCAGGCGTTTGAAATGTTTGGATAAATAAGAGTTTAAAGTAACATTAGTTTGTGGAATTAAACTTACAGTCCAGTCGAGAACATCCCGACTGTAAACACGGTGCAGGCCCATGACAGAAACTGCAACGAATCCATAGACCGAGAAGAAATATCTATACAAACCACTTGGTTTTTCAAATTTCATACGACGTCTTCTTTTGATCGCGGATGCTCTAATTTTATTGACTTAAAGATGAAACTAGAGAGCACGCTGTAACGCCCTCCTTCTCGAACTGTATTTCCGTGTTTGCAATCAGTGTGCTCAGCGTTTCTGCGCGCTGATTGGCTGTAAGAGTAGAGCCGCTCCAACCAGGTTTCAGAACGTTTACAGACGCCGCGCATGACGTCATTACGTTGAAAAAGTTTGGGACCTGGACGGTGTCCTGGAATGAGTAGGTGCTGAAGTAGGTTTAGAAATGAGCTGCAGCACATGACCACGGTGAAAGAGAGGCAAAAAAAGGGAAGTTTAATTCCTGCACAACATATTTGAGGGTTTACCTTAAAAGAGTCTGTTTTCAGACAGTATCACGGTGTTTTATAAGCCTATTGCATTTTTAGTCAGGATTTAAGGTGGCCACTGACCGCCACTGCTGCAAATAAAAATAAAAATAAAAAATGGGGAAGAAAAAGAAAAAAAAAAAGAAAAAGAAATGTACTCACTGCAAAAATAAAAGGATGCAAATAAAAAAAGCCACAACGGAAGTGAGCTGTCAGGGACCAATAATGATGATGCACCAGTGTTTTATGATCTTGGCACAGAAGACGATGGCAAGAAGATCATAAAAGAATTAAGTGGAAAGGTTATTGTTTAATTTTACTTGGTAAACTTTTCAATGTGTCATTTGGTTAGGTCATGTCGCACCTAAGTCAATATAAAATTGATCTGGAGGATGCCGGTGTAGTTTTAGCTTCAGTTTTACTTCATATTGACTCAGGTGTTACATGGCCTAAACAAATGACCCATTGAAAAGCACACAAAGCGAAATTAAACAATAACCTTTCCACTAACTTCTTTGCTCGTCTTTTCGCCGTCGTCTTCTGTGCCTAGATCATAAAACACCGGTGCATCATCATTATTGGTCCCTGGCAGCTCATTTCTGTTGTGGCTTTTTTTTATTTGCTTCCTTTTATTTTCGCAGTATCAAACATTTTTTTCCATCGCTACTTTTTTTTGCGTCATTAACTTCTGTTGTGGCTTTTTTATCTGTACTGTTTCTTTTTTTATTTGCAGCAGTGGCAGTTCTCGGCCACCGTAAGGATTTCACGTCAGTTCATATGTAGTGATAGTTCTAAATCTTGAGGTACGATGTCTTTGTTGTTATGCAAGTTACTAAACAGATGAAGCCCAAATTAAAAAACAGTAATTGTGATTTTAATCCCACGTGATTTAAAAAAATCTCAGCACAAATTTCTATGTAGTAGTATTGCATGTTATTTAAGGACCAGGATTGTAACATTGTGCAGAATTTTAAAGCAGTAGGTATTCAGAGGTTTTTGTAAAAGATGTGTTTTCATTTTGACCAAACTTGATCTGTGATGTTTAATAAATGGAAAACTAAACAGTTGGATCATGTAATCTCAGTAGCCATAACAGAGCAAGGTTTTGAAGGTGTGCACAGCCTCATGGGGGCTGGTTGTGCTTTCTGTACTTCATCAGTAAACTGCAGGTGCCCTAACAACAAGAGATGCAAAACAGTAGGAAATTGTTTTACTGAAAAAAGTGAGGGTTTATACTCTGTGTTTTAAATCCAAACTTTAAACTTCCGCCACCTTCCCATTTTAGCAAAGCTCAGGCGAATTTAACCTTTTCCAAGGAGTCCTCATTATCTTTATTTTCCTCATTCTTATCTCCCACCCTCTCATCACTTTAAAAGCTCTTTCCGCAGAAACTTTTCTCTCTCAAGAAACCTCTCAGACTTGACCTTTAACAACAGTCTTTGATGTATAATTTTCCCTCTTTGTCTGTTTCATTTTCTTGAGTCCACGCCACGGGTTTGACATTTAATTTTTTTTCACTTAACTTTTTATGTCTTTATTTTTAATGTATTTTCTATAGAGATGTTTGACAATATCTTCTTATGATTTATGCACTCATCTTTGGCTAAAGGGTTTTCTGAGTTAAGAAATGTGTTTTTTAATGCAAAATAAATCCACGTCTCAACTAGATGTTTCGATACATTTCAGTGTAGATTTATGTGTTTCAATTAACAACAACCATCAGATATAGACATTGATATCCACTGTTAAATTTCCCTTTTTAAAAATCAGAAATGAAAGCTTATATTTTTTGGGTGTGTTAGACCTTATTCCAGTACATTGCAGAAAGCAACACTGCTTTATATTCTGCATGGGTCTGATGGTACTTTTCTCTATTGATGAGCTTGGATGATAATGGGCACCCTGCATTTGGTCTTTGTTTTCATACTTTTGGATGACGTTGTTTCATACTGGAGCAGGTCCAAGCTGTGGCAAATACTGCCAAGTTTGGTATTCAGTCAGCTAAAGTGAAGTCCATCCTGTATTAACCTACAGAAACATAGGTGCTACATTACAGCATGACTTTTGAGGAGGTGAGATCATCTTCAGTGAATTTAAACCATGACGTGATGATGGAAAGACAAATACTATAGTTTCATGTTCATGTCTTGAAAGTGTATGTTGTGTGGTTTTACAGGTGATGGTGACTTATAACAGTTTTCAGTCAGGTCAGAGGCATGTGCAGAAGGATGTCCAGCTTTCCCTTTACAGAGAATGTACACAGCAGTAAAATAAAGGGCAAAAGGGGAGGAAAAAGGAGTGAAAGAGTGTGAGAGCAGAGGCGAGAGTGAGACCTTCACACCCGGTTGTCAGTTTGCTTGTAGGCCTCCTTCATCATTCCCCCTCCCGGCTCTCGTGTTTGGTTTTTCAGGGCTGTGAAATCTAAGTCAGGCCGGGCCATGTCACCGGGGGGATGAAAGACAAAGAGGGCAGAGATGAAGGGGTGAGAAAAATGAAGTTGGGAAAGACCCGGGGGTGGAAATATGGAGGGTGCTGGAGAGATTTCATCGGATGGGAGACAGATAGCCTTGCAAAAATATTGTCACATCAGTCAAAATCTCACTGACGTCAGTGGGATTTCAAGATCCTGAGGTTTGTGCAAGAATATATTTCACAAGAGCTAATAAAAAACAGGTAGACTTTTTTTTTAATGACATCACATTTCTTTAATTCACTAAAGATTTTTCACATCTCAAAACAGTTTCTTATAGTTTTCTCTATTTACAAATTTACATATAAACATTTTACAAAATAATACAAGCATGTTTAACAAGTAAACAACTGTGAAAGAATTATGGGTTGTTTGAGGTTGTTTGACAAAATGCAAGAGAGGATCACATCTGCACATCAGCCATTGTACCATAAAGTGATGGGACTGTAGAAACGGGTAAATAATTATAGGCCTGGAGGAGTTTAGCTCTCTGAAAGCCCTGTTGGTTTACAAAGATTTTTTTTGCACTTGATCATTGACTTTCAAGCTCGTGACAATATGAAGACAACATATGAAGATTTGATTTCATAATAAGTTAATACATAGTTCTCTAGGACAAAGGCAATTTGTTGCAAAATGTAAAAACTAAGATAAATAACTAGAAAAATATCTACTCTTCACTCTCTGATCTGTATGGGTAGAATTGAGTGCTGCATCTGAGGCTCAAAGGCCACAAAGAGAGGAGAGACTGAGAACAATTGAGTTGGGCTTCGGCATTATTTCTTGTAAAATAAAGTCAGCCTGAATATGACTGTTACTTTGTACAGATTTGAGGAGATATAACAGGGAGCTGAGTGCTACACAACAACGAGACACAAATCCTACAAAATGTAAACCATTTTGGCAGTAGCTGACAACATTTTCATAACACAAAAACACGGAGATTAAGAGAACAGTGAACATTTGTACCAATGGTGCAGGGAGGCTCAATACAGAATAACAGAGACAGTGTAATCCTCTTGTTATATTCACTATGATATTGATCCATGAAACATTTTGATCCATTTGCTTGCAGTTTTTGTTCATCATGGCTGGAAAAAAGTGTCCTTAAATGAGAACTTCCATCCTCATTATGAAGTCATAAAAAACATCTTTGAGGTCCTTTTTTTGGAACGATCCACGTCCCACAAACACACGCACAAACACTCAAACACACACACACAAAACTGTCCATGCTTGTATAAAAAAAAGTCTTTATAAAAAAAGTCTGTTCAGTGTCCATGGTCCCAATGTCCAGCATTGAGTCGGTATTGTCTCTGTGGTTGTTAGCCTCATTGTAACATGAGCGCTAATAATACGGGGATCATTGTGAAGAAGAGCGAAAAGGAGACCAGCTGTGCTCCTGAACTGCCGATGCTCCTCTGCACATTTGGCTCCATCACAGCAGGGTCATCTAAGGGAAGAAAAAGAGAAGGATTAGATTTCATTATTCAGGCTTTGTAAACACACCCAGCTGAGCTCCTCTCAGACATGGGGCTGACCGCTGTGACTGTTATGTATCTGTCTGGGATTATAGTTTGAAGAATCCTCACCTGCTGGGAGTCGGTTAGAGGGGTTGTGAACTCCTCCTAAAGCAGGAAACTTCACTTTTCCTACGTCCATATTTTTTCCTGCATCATCAGCCTTGGGTTTATCTTGATGGTTCTTCCCGGAGCCTTTGTGCCCAGCGACGTCCACTTTCAGACGAAGACAGTCCTGACCATGATGATGCATTGGCTTTGCTGTGAGGAGAAATAAAGGAGAGGGAGGTTAAGAACACGAAACCAGCAGGATTAACAATAAGCTGCGAAAGTTACTTGTGCTTTTGAGATACTTACAGATATAATAATAGCTTTCCCCCTGCCTGAACTCTTTTCCCAAGGTAAAGGGAGTATAACGCTGGAACTTCTCCGAGAATTTCTCAGGGGCGTGGAGAGCGAATGGCCGTGAGCACTCCCAACGCAGCTGGTCAAAGGAGTGCGGTTTGCACACATCGTAGTCCTCTTTCTCCACCATGTAGAGCACGTAGCGCTCGGCTGAATGCTGTGACACCTCGCCGTGGGTGTAGTGGGGGCAGACGATGTCCAGATAGTCATTGATACGCACTTCCACTGTGTAGTCATCCCACAAGAAGCTGCAAGGAGAAAGAAGGAAGGAGGAGGTTAGTGATGAGTGTCTTCAGAGAGCAGGAAAACAACCAATTTAGGAGAATTACATCCGTTATGATTTTGGACACGTGTGCGGCACACACCCAGACAGCTTGGCTCACACAACATGCGTGTCAAGAAAAATAATGTGGCTTAATCACACACTCACACACACACATTTACTCACACACGTAACCGCACAGGTAAAGCTGCTTGGGCGCAATCCAGGAACCACGTGAGGGTGTTTTTGTTGATTTGTTTTTGCAAAGTACTTGCTCAAACCCGTCACTGTGACAGATTTAGAAAGAGACAGATCTTGCCCGACTAGTTCACTTTGTTTACGTACAAAAAAAAAAAAACACACCCTGAACCTCATAAAGCCCCACCATCACCCCACTAACACACCTTTTTCCTGCTCTAACCAACGTTTTGCCTTCAGCGGAGATTTACTCCTCACCTGCTCACACGAAGATGAGATTTTAAATGACAGCTTATCACAGAGCAATCTATCTTCCTGCCTTTGGTGTTCGTCCGCTTGTGAGCTGCCTCAACTTTTTCTTTTGAGTCTTTTTGAACTGTTTTATTCACCTGGATGTTTGATTATCAGTCTTGAGGCTTCTTACACTAATTTGTTGTACCTTTCTGTGTCTATTTCTCTCTGGTTGCTTCAAAGACACCAAGTAGAGACAGTCAGACTGTCGCTCCCTTTCTGTCTTTTCATCTTTTACCCCCCATTTAGTTTTATGGCTCATTTTCAGCCTCCCTGTCTCCTCTTTGCTCACTTCTTAGACATGTCCTCCACCCTGGTGTATAGAGGCAGGAGACACTCATTTTCACCAACAACAGTCAGTCAAAACACAGACAGAGGTTTCCAGTTATGCCGAGTATAGACATCAGTATACCTCGAACATAATGAGGAATAATTTAATAGTCATGGTCACTTTCAACTTAACCAAAAAGGAAAAAGTGGACATGATTCAAGCGTGCTGCAACATGAGACATGCAGCTAGCTTGCGTGTAAATACTGCTAATGACAAATGATTGATACTTGTGTAGTTCTCCATTTACAACCTCAGGGGCCACCAGGCTCTAATCCTTAAATTAAATCAGTGTTGAAACTGAGTGACAGCCTGTTTTTTGTGTCTTGTGGTGAGTGAAAGTGACAGGAAAACAGCTCCTGTGTGTCTGCCATTGTTTATGTGTGTTGAAAGTGTGTGTACCCAGCATCAAAGCTCGGGACACGGTGGCTCTGGCCCCCTCCTCTTGTTGTTGTGGCTCCTGTTAGGACCCCCCTGGCCAAGTCACAGACACACTGGCTCCAAAGGTGGGCCTCTAACCCCTCCTTCCTGCCCTCTGTATGCGTGTGTAAGAGTGTGTATCAGTTAGTGCTAGCCTACCTGTCAAAACACGCTTTGTTAGCGCAGCACAGCTCTATACTTGTTATCCAGGGCTAACAGGCTAAACACCATCCTCCACTCACAATCACCGCTTTCTCTCTCTTCAGAAAAGGCTCTTTGTAAGTTTGCACATTCCCGCACAGGTGCGTGCGCCTTTGTTTGTGCGTGTTTGTGAGCGTAAGTGTTTCGTTGAAAGAAGAGACACGGCCTGTAGAAGCCTAATTGGCTAAATAATCTTTACTCTCATCGTGTTCCTCTCTGCTTTGTTGTCTTTGAGTCAGAGCAGAATGAGAGAGTTGGAGAAAACAAGAAAGCTTAGAGTTCTCGAGTCGCTCTCTCTGATGTAAAAAAAAAAAAAAAAGACCTTTGAATCGTGTAGGGTGCGGATTTCTCACAGTGTGTCCTTAGAAACACGGGCTTGTCAAACACTAACAAAAACAGACTGATTCTGTAGCTAATTTCATTCACGACTCATGCTTTTAAGAAAACTCTCCTTTTATCCTCCTCATTTCCCCCTCCTCCTCGTCCTCTGCCATATTGGTTGGGCTAATTAAAAGCTGTTAGGGGTCTGGGGCCAACGTGTTCTCTAGAAAAGGCGGGGAGGGGAATGAATAGTGTGTAATTATACCCATACTCTCCCCAAAGACAGACAGGGCCCCCTGCAACCTTTGTGCCCTGTCCCCTGCAGAGCTTTCACTACTCTAACTGCGGTGAACGCATGCTAAATGTGTGCTAATACGGCTGTAGGAGTATTTTTAGCTCTTAAACGCTCTCATTTACCCATCCTTCTTTTTTATTTGGGTTTAATCTTCTTAATTTGCACGTAAGTAAATAGAAAAGCTCTTGCTGATGTCCTGCTACGGGTCCTAACTCTCAACCAGACCCCTCTCTCCCGCAGACTCTTGTATCTCCCCGCGTCTCCTCTCGCCTCCACCAGCTGACAGTTCTCAGGAGGGTGAGAGTCACATTAACGTGATAGCTAGCTGTGTGAGAGAGCAAGGGCCAGGTGTGTGAGACGCTGCAGCCCTACTTTTCGCGCTGCTTCATCTTCCTGCGTGTGCGGGTTTGCCTCTGCCTGTGTACGTACGTGCATGTTTTTAAGCGAGAAGGATCCTCTAAAGACCCTTATTCAGGGCGTCTCATGCCGCGGGCTCATGAGCACATCTGTTTATCAAGGCCTCCTGAAGCCTCTTGTGTGTTTGGAGCGTGTGTGTGTAAGAGAGTTGTCTTGCATGTGGCTGAGGCGCAGGTAAACAGGGAGGGTTGAAGGTGGTTGTAGATCTTCCTCTGTGCCAGAAAAGGTCATTTCTCACCAAAGAGCTACTCTAGCTTTTGCGTCAGCGGACAAAGTTTGGTGCATGTGTCTCTGAGTGAAAGTGGGTGACTTCTTCTTCAGCACTTAGCCCCCCTTGGTAATCTTTGAAGTCTTCCCTTTGTCCTTGCTCTGCACTTCCACCTCTTCTCTTGTCTTTCTTCCTGCCATCCTTCTCTCTTTTATTTCACATTTCTCCCCCCTCTGACAACCCCGCCGTCCCTCCATTTGTCCCCCTGGGCCCTCTCTGTTTTCCCTCAAACATCTGACACAGGAGCCCTTGTCTTCCTCCATCTCTCTGGGGGGAGTTTCAAACTGGCAGCCTAGGTCGCAGGGTTAGAGTTCAGGGTCGCAACTTCTCACACTACACAGTCTGAGCGTCTGAGTCAGCAGTGTAAAGATGTGGTTCACACACACACACACACACACACGCACAAGGCAAGTCAGCAGCAGATGCACCCACACACACACACACACACACACACACCACCATTTGCTCTGCAGGTAATCAGTAGTAAGCGTGCACGTGCTGGAATGCTGCATCAGGGGGCTGCGGTTTGGACAGATTTACTACGTTCACACTCATCAAATTTCCACTCGCACCCACTCTTACACTTTCACTTTGAGGTGTACGTTTAATACCCTATTAATTTGCTGTGGTATAGCAAATTCACACCTCCTTTCACACCGGCTGAGGAGCTGTTAGTGAGTCTAATAGGTTTAGCCACTCACTAGTGGGATCCTCTATTATAGCCAATCTAATATACACTGAAAAGTCTCTTTGTATTAGCTTCCAGTGTAATCTACCTTCATTCTTCTTCCATCTCATTGTGCTGTAACAAGAAACCCAGGGGGGATTCTTTCTCCACAAGGCACCAATACAATCTTCTGTCTTGACTTGGATTAAAAACCCAAGACTTACTTTTTTTTGGTCGAACTTTCTGTGCTTTTAAATGTACGCTTGGCTTCGTTACAACGCAGAGAATCTCTCAAGCACTTCACAAGTGTTTTAAATTGTCAGCTACACCATTTCTCACTTATTCAATCCCAAAACGTCTCCCCTCCCTTCATCCATCACTGTCCACTCTCTCCTCCCTCCGTCTGCCTCTCCTTTATTCTTTAACTCGGCCCTTCCCCCCCTTCTCCCTCTTCTCTATTTTCTCCTGTCTCTTAACGCTGACATAATATACCAGCGCTCTTCATCCAGGCTAATTTCTCAACACAAATCCCTTTCTCCAGCTCACCCTTCTCTCACCCTGCGCCTCCTCCTCTGTGCCCCCTGAAATCTTTTCACCCGGCCTCCTTCTCTTTGTAGCCACCCCATTCTGTCTGTGATGAATAGAGGAAGGCCAAATGGTATCATGCTTGGTTTAATATGTTCGGGGGTCAGGGAGAGTTAATCTGTGTGCCTATGTCTGTCTGTGTCAGTAAGGAAGACAGAGAGAGTAGAAGTTCAGCAACTTTCAAGAACTCACTTTAAATGTTCAACTTTTGTTAAATTAACTGAGAGAAACAAAGTCCATCTGACAGAAATTGATTGCCAATTCAGCCCTTCAGGGGGCGATGGCGGGCTACGGAGTGGTCAGTGGTGCTAAAGTATGTCTGAAATGCTGTGAATGAGCAGTGTACACATGCATGCATGCCTGCCCACTCATACTACGATAACTCTTGGGTGAAAAAAAGCGAGCCTCTCTGATGTGAGCTGAGCCCGAGCTGAGAGGTGCTCTTTCTGTCCTTCTCGGGTGGAAAACTACTGGGGGCAAAAACAGAGGAAGGTCTGTGAAGAAAAAAAAAGAAGGGGGGGGTCTGATGTGGTGAGGGGAGGGGTGAGGAAGTCTGGACCGTAGATAAGGGGGCGAGAGGAAGAGCGGGGAGAAAACAGAGGTGCATGCATGCGGACCTTAACTCTGATGTATACTGCAGCTAGACTGGCGTGCTGTGATGCGTGAGGGTTTGCGTGTACATTTTGTATATTTATAAGCCTATTAGGTCAGAGGACAGAGGACAGCTACACTATAGGAGAAGTCACACAATCACTCTGACACTAATGTGCAGGATGCAGTGTGAGCCAAATGGAGATTTTCTTGTTGAGTTTGGATTGATTATTGTGATGAAGCCTGGATTCTATCGAGCAGATTATGGTGATTTATACGTACTGTAACACTTACACAATAACCCACCTACCCAGATATGCACACACACATACCTACAGACTATAGGTGACATAACAATACAGACAGAAAGTTACATCACACTCTCAAGTATGAGATGACGCTGAACTGTCTGTGGGTCAGATGGTCAGATTACAAACCATGTGTAATCTATGTTAGTGCGTATGCGCTCTCATTCTAGCGGGATTAAAGACCCCTAACCAGACGGGGCTCTGGCTTGGGAGGGGTGGATGAGGAGAGACAGAAAGACAAAGAAAAAAATGTGTAAATGTAAGGATAGGAGAAGAGAGGGTGGAGGAGTTCATCTCATCCTCGGATACTTAGGAGACAGACACACACAGGGAGGAGATAAACAGAATATTACATTACAATCTCCTGATAAGGGTATTTGCACAGATACAGCGTGTGCAGGCTACTCTAGATGGATGAAAGCAGCCAAATAACACAGTGATATAGAGGAGGCGGTGAGAAGCTGTGTGTAGTGGTATCCAAATCTGGGCAAATAAATAAAAAAGACGAGATCTGGAGTGTAATTTAGCGGAGAGAAAAAGAACAAGGAAGGAGGAATCCCATCTGTTAAAGAGAGGGAGAGGAGTAGGCAGGTACAGTAAGAGAAACACACACTTTCACACACACAGACACACACACAGCTGACAGAGTTTAGTATAGTAACAGCAGGCTGGAATGCCGGCTGTAGCTAATATTAACACCCAAGTTCTCCCTCTTGCCCCCCTTAGCAGTGTGAGTGTGAGTCACACATTTATAACGTCCCGGTAAGTCCGTCTACGGTAAGGGCCACTCCTGTTTTTTTTTTTCTGTATCACTCTGACGTTGCTGCCCGAGTTTCATGCAATCTCAGTCTTCAACAAAAACAAAAACTTCCTGGATAAAGCAGAGGGCAGCACAGGTTCAAACTAACCCGTGATAAGTCTCTCTCTTCAACACACACACATACACACTTGCGACACAGGCTGGGACACGTAGTGTGAAAAACAAGACCGGACCGGACCTGGGAAAACATGTCTCCACACCTGTCATGTAAAAACCTCCACACACACACACTCAGAGTACCAAATCCCTACAGGACCTGAAGTACAGGATTAAGCTGTGATCATTCAATTGCTCTGACAAGTTGGTGAAAAGGGAACACACTCGTACATTCATTGTGTTTAGTGAAAACACACACACACACAAACACACATTTCTCTTGTCCCTGAATGAATGAATGGCCCGACTGCTGCCATCTGGTCACTGTCCTCCTCCACCTAAGACAAATCACTGCCGCTCACAATCCCACCAAGAATCACTTAGCATCAATTATCTGGAAACGCTCAGATGGATTAGTATAATCCACCACACAGGTGACTGATTGATCATTGAGGGTGGGGGTGAAGCAGGTGGGATTTCAGTCAAGAAGAGAGATAACAGTTACAGGGAAAACCAGAGAGAAAAGTGATGAGAGAAAGAGTAGGCGTCTGGGAATTAGGGATTATGGAGGAGCAATGGAGATTAGACTATAAAAAAAACCTGGTGAAAAAATATAATACGAGTTGCATGTGGGGGTCAGACGATTATGGTTTCATTTTTGCTTTCAACTGCCATTATCCTCTTCATACAAGTTTTTCTTTCTCCCTTGTGGTCATTATTTGAGTTCAAGAGCAGCAGAGGGATGAAAAAGTGGTCCTAGTTGAACCTGACAGATTACTGAGATGAAAACGAAGAGGGAGAAAAGCTGCTGTTTGCGATGTGGATGTGTGAAGTTCTTCCTGTTTTTCGGAGTCTATGTTAAGCCATCCAGTGGGGGGGGGGGGGGATTAGTGTTGTGTTATGAGTTTTCTTTTGGTTACACAACTCCCATTTAACTGCAAAAATAGTTTCGAGCCGGATTAAACTATTAGACCACCTCCTGTCTTTGACATCTTTTTGACTTTATCATCCTTTATTTCGTGTGCTAAATATGGAAGCTCCAATTTCCGAGTGATAGGACAAAAAAAGACTCTTGTTGTCCTTTTCTCCTTCGGTTTACTCTGTCTCCCTGTCTCACCTGCACATGAGTCCCCCCATCTGGGTGTCTGTTATGACTCAGGTGCAGAAGTCAGGTGGGTTGAGTCACACATGGACTAACCCATGACACAAGCACACCTCATGACGTGAGGACTTTTCCATCAGACTCCTTATCCAATTATAGGGACAACTGTTTTCCTTGTTGTGGGGTTCTTCTTCTTCTCCTTCTTTTGTCACCGTTAAAGGCCAATTAGAGAGCAATGATGTAACCAAGACACGACTAAAAGACCATAATAGCTCTTGCCCTTGTTGTGGATTTTAATCGACCGATGTGGGGACTGTCCTTCTGTTTCAGCTCGGGTAGAAAGTAATAATACTGTCTTTCAAGCGTCGGGATCACTCGCTCCGCGCTAAAAGCTCAATAAATCGCGCTGTGATATTCCGCGTCTGTCAAGCTCCATCGATCCAGCTGAGTGGTCGGATTGCATTACATTTCTGACCTCAGAACTAAATAATCAGCAATGAGTGCCTCTCTCTCTCTGTCTGTGTCACTCTGATACACACTCAGCCTATTATCTCCATCCAACCCAATGACACACTTCAACAAACCGTGGATAAGTCTGATAATGAAATTAACCCACTGAATCATTCTCATTAATTGTCTTTCCATGACACACACGCAGGTGCAGACCCCGCAGACAGCCTCAGAGGCCAAGTTCATACTTGTCAGTCTATTTTCTGCTATTAGACTAGTCTGTGTCTGTGTGTTGCGGTTAAATATAGTGGTGAATCTGTCCATCTGTCTGGGCATCCATGCTGCGCTTCTGTTAAAGTCTGCTCCAGCCTTCAGGGCGAGTTTAAATGCGGTGCAAGTCTGACCCACACATCATGTGAACATTCAATTAGGCTACTGCAAAGGTGGAAACATGGACAAGCATCTCAAGTGTTGTTCGAGCGCATGAGCAGCTTCAGGGTTTTAAGACAACAACGACTTTACAATTCAACTAAGAAGAAAATTACCTCCACGTGCCTTTTCAGACAACAGGAATAAACACAGCCGCACATCCACGGGACACAACTTCCCAGTCAGCAGGCTTTTTCTCTCTCTCTCACACACACACACACACACGCACTAAAGCACAGATGGAGCACTTACAGTGGGTTCGAGCTGTTCCAGTAGACGCTGTGTCTCTCTGCAGAAGCGAACCAAACGCCGATGCTCAGCGCCAAGCACACCAAACACATCAAATCCATGGCTCCTTTTTCTTCACAGGAAGATCAGAAAACTCAAGCGGTCAGCGGTGACTTCAGTAAATCAGTGCCGGGGTGGGTGGATGTGCGTAAATACGCGCGCAGAACCGTGGGGAGTATTTCACGCTCCAATCGTAGTCAATAGTTGATTTAAGTCTCTACTCACTGTTGCAACTCCTGACTGACTCTCCAAAGCGCAACTTGTCTGTTTTGTCAGTGAGTAGCTCCACCCACTAGTATTCCTCCAGCCAATTGGAGTAGATTTTATCTTTATGCCCCGCCCATACTTTTTACTCCGGCACTTTAGACCAGAGGGACACCAAAACAACTTTACTACCAACCTCAGAACATCGTACGAGTGTAATATAAAACAATAAATGAGAATTGGGGCCATAAAAAAACAGGATTTAGAAGAAGCTGAGAGTGTGACATAATTTCACCTTTTCTGTAAATGTAACCAGGGCTTTGAGTGATTTAATGTTGTGAACAGCAGTTATTCAAATACTTGAACAATGGTTTGAATTGTTTTAATCTAATGTGTCTTTTATTCACTGGTTACATGCAACATTTAATCTGAGAATCCAAGATTAAATGAAGCTTTAACTTCAAAATAGTGTTATTTTCTCTTCTGATAGTGGAGACACTTGAGCAATGTGATGCTATTGTCCTTAGATGTACTTTTTATTTTTTTTCCAAGCAAAATATCTTCTTTTTTTCACTCCTGTGCGACTACACTGAGGAAGATGGAGACTATTCTAAAGAACATGGATTACCCACTTCACAACACCTTGATGGACCAAAGGGCCAGTGGTGGTGGATGGATCCTCTCTTTACGCTGCAGGACAGAAAGATTCAGAAGATCTTTTGTACCTACAGGGATACATTAAGTTCTTCTTATCCTTACTTTGATTTCAGCTGAGTTTTTTGTTGTTGTTGTTGTTTTGTGATGTTGTGAAGTATCATAGATATCTGTTGATGTTGCACAGCTTTGTAACACATTGTATGTTGTATTTAATTGTATTGTGTTGATGTGTTTATATGTTGATATAATTAACTTCATCTTAGATAGATAGATAGATAGATAGATAGATAGATAGATAGATAGATAGATAGATACTTTATTAATCCCAGAGGGAAATTCAATTTCTCTAAATTGTGTTGTTTTTAAAATGTGTGGCATTACTTGTCATGATTTCAGTGCAAAATTCACCCCTGAGCATATTGTACATTGATGAAATTTGGGCTCTGGCTGTTCCATTGGTTGTGTTTTTGTCTGTAAACCATGTGCAAGGAGGTGTGTGCATTCTTACAGGTTGTTGTTGTGCAGGTACACTTGTGTACTGATATGCTTTGTCAGATAGTGAAGAATTATTACTGTCTTATCAGTTAGTCTGATCTTGTGGTCTCCGCGTAGCCACGTCTCCAGACAGGTACGTTTAGACAACAACCTCACAGATGGAGTGGATAAAGTCCAGACTGGAGGGTGTCAGCGGGAGTGTAGCTCCAGCAGGAGAGGGGCTTCCCTCAGGCAGGGATGGAGCCCGGCCTGGGTTAGCTGGTTCAGAACTCCATAGCTGCAGGGAAACAGGAGGGGGCACAGTGTGTGTGTGTGTGTGTGTATGCGTATGTGTGTGTGAATGTGCGTGTACAAACAAGCTGAGTGTCTGACTGTCCCTAGGCTTGGCTGGGCAAGCACATACACGCCTGGCACTCTGAGAGGATCACAAACACACACACACACACACACACACACACACACACACACACACACACACACACACACACACACACACACACACATGCACAGACTGTAGATCCTGTAGGCAGTAGGGTGTTAATCACTGCTGAGGGTGCTTTTCCATTCTATAATGTCTCCCCAAAATGTGAGGGGTAATCTGGGGGTGGGGGAATCTTGGAGTCAAGTGAGTCAGTGCATGATTGATTGGGTGCAAGTGGTTAATATCCTCTGACACCACAGTTTGATGATAATTCTACTGATGCATAATGTCTGGATAAGTTCAGACACTACTTTAAACACACATGCATATTGACTTCCTCTGAAGAATGGCTGAAATGCAAATACTGTCCTAGTAGCTCCAAAACCAGTCAATGATTCACGAGCCTTAGACAACCAGCAACAGGATCCTGCAGCTCCTCTTCATATGCAGTGAGTATCAGGGTGTCCCTCACTGCTAAAGGACTTCCGCTGCAGACATGGGATCTCCCCATGATGCCTTCATGGAACACATAACCAAATGCGTGGAAAGTCTGAAACAGAATGCTAAATATTCCCAACCCACAAATACACCTCCTCTGTGCTGCTGCAGCCAAGAGTCAGATTGCCGGGGTCGCCCCTCTCACACATGTACAGAAACACAAGCAAGACGGTATTTTCTTCTTCTCTGCAGGCTCCTGTGATACTGCTGCACAAGCCGTGGATGACTCTCATGTAGTGAGACGTAATCCTCCCACAGCCCATACAACCAAACGCACAGTAAGGAAAAACCGAGGATTCTGGGAATGACAGTAAAGCAGAGAACACATGATGGCTCAAAAGAGGAGAGCTCACAGGAATAGTGTAAGAGAGCCTGACAGCTCTAAAAGTGGATTAAAGGAAGCTGTAGATGATCTGACAGCCATACAAACCTCTCAGTACAAGGAAAGTAGCGTGTTTATTTTGTGGAGCTCGTCTCTAGGCGGCAGACGCAGTACTACTACCCTGGAAACCCCACACTTACATAACATTAGTAATTATGTTGGGAAAAAACCTGAAGAGTGTGCTGCCACCTGTACCTGGCAATTCCTGATTGTCTATTTATAAGTCTCTCAACACATTTTTATTGGACAAGGAACTTGACTGGTAGTTACGGGAAGTGAAGATATTAATAAAAGAAAAACAGGTGGTGTCAGAGCAAAAAGAAACATAGCTCTTGAATAGATGTTTTGATAAGAAGGGTTAAAGATATTCGGGAGACGGATATTTAAAAAAAAAAAGGGGTAGACAGAATCCCCTCAGACCATTAAATTTCCAGCCTCGCTTCCCTCTTCCACTTCTTCCTCTTGGCTCTCATCCTTTCGGCTTCAGGCAGGGATCAAAGCTGGTCAGGGGTCTCTGTCTCAAGATTTGGTAAGGTTTTGCGAGGCACACATGCGCACAAACATGATAAAGGCGTGAGAGGAGAGACTGAAACTTCGAAAAAGTAGGGTGTTACAGTGAAAAGGCACATGGAAACAGTGTGAGTCAGCCAACCTGATACGAAACTGAGACCAAGCAGGGATGATAGTGAAAAAAAACACCTCCGGCGGCTGTATGAACCCATCTGCCCAATACACAGGCATGTGCTTGCACAGTTTTTTCATTTTATTACAGTTTAAGGATGTGTAGGAGTGCGCCAATCCCTGCTGTGGTTGTGTTGCTGCTTTTAGAAACTGTTATGATCATATTTGTGTCTTTCTTTTGTCTTGGCTTTATCACGTCATCACTCGTTCTGCCCTGGAGCTAATGCGCCATTTGTGCTTCTCCTCCCTTACCTCTCCCACAGACTTGCGTTAGCTAGCAATGGAACAAAAAGGTCATATGAAAAATCAACATAATAATCCAACAAGAAGGGGTTAATCACTGTCATATGCTGCTAAATGACTTCAGTCAACCTCGGATTGCTTTTCAAATAGTCCCCTTTTGTTCACCCTAACTCTGTCATTACCGTTAGCTTAGCCTTGTTAACACTTGGCATTGTTTGGTCCACACATGGACAGCTTGTCACCCTGCTGCCCTCTGTCCCTTTATCCCCAAGCCTCCTGCAGGCTCTTGGCCCTCTGGCTCATAGCGGCACACTCCGACAAGCTGCTCCATCTCTTGCACCACAAAGGCATGTGTCCCCTAGCCCCTATTCATACCCATTCATCTGCATACAGGTGGTCCCCCCACAGAAGGGAGGCACACTTATGCTTAATGGCGCTCCATGTGTTTAGGTATTGCTCGACTGGGGGTGTAAAACCATCATTCTTGCTGCTACTATCTTTTAGGTGAGGTGGTGGATCTGCTTAGAGCAAAGGAGGTAAGAATATTCCAAATCAAGCTAACGTGGGGTCAAAATGAGTACAGATACACAAACCCATTAAACAAAGTTGCATGTGTGTGTCAGTAGGGGGTAAATGAGCCCCCTCCCTCTCTTCCTGGACCAACACTGTGTCACTATTCAACCCAGAGGAATCATTAACTTGCCCAGTCAACAGGCACACTTCACTCGTTCGCTCTCTCCTCTGCCCTGCTCTGCCCTCCTTTCCGCCTCTCAGGGACTCTCACTTCACACACACACACACACACACACACACAGATTCAGAAACACAAAAGAGCAAACAAACCCCAGTGAAATATTTAACCACTCTAGTCAGCTTGCATTGCCTCTGCCATCATTTGTTATACTGTATCTCCTTGTCTGTCCCCGCCTGTTCTCTCAGCTCATCTGTCGTCTCTGCTGTCTTTCCTTCCTTCCCTTTCTTCTCTTCATCTGTTCAGTTATTTCCACAGAGCCCTCACCAGCCCCCGGCCAGATCGTTCTTGGTGCATCTTTTTCCTTCTTACTTCGCCTTTTGAGCGTTTTCCTTTCACATTGACTGGCTCTTGAGCATCATCCCTTCCCTTCACTTTCCTTTCTGCTCTATTGCTCTCTTTCAGTTCTTACTTCACCTCAACTCGGTGTAGTCTGGTTTTCTTCTTCTCGCTGCCGCTCCCCTCCCCTCACTTTCAGTCTTTTCTTATCCATGTTCCCCCCACAACTACCTCGGGCAGTGCATTTGTTAGGAGAGAATCCATTATCCTCCTCCATCCTCCCACCTTCTGTCCTCTTTATCTCTCTCTCTCCATCTCTTTCTGTGTCTCTCTCTCTCTCTCTCCTCGCGTCTCCTCACATGCTCCTGGCCCTGGCCCTATATTCATTACCATAGTGTTAATGATCCCAGATGGACTGACATGTACTCTATGGGGGCGAAGTGTGAGTGGTTTCTTCCAAGGGTGTGCGTGGGTGGTTGTTGGATACATGTGTGCACATTTCTGTGTACATATGCATGTGACTGTGTTGACATGTGTGTGGGTACATGTGCTCATGACAGCATTGCATGAATTAGAAAGACAATGCTTATTTCTCTCCCGGCGGTTGATGCTTAGCATGATAATATTTATCTCTTCAGACTGTCTTTCATGAATCCAACAATAGAGTCAAACTGGGACATTGATTTCCTGTCACGGTAATAAAGGACAATAGCTTTGCCATACAGGTCTGTCATGTGCAGTCATATTGGTTATTGACCATAACTGGATTTTGACACCTTTGGGACTGTATCCCAGCAACAAGATTCCAATCAATTTAAGGTGTTTTGTTGCAGAAACCCCACAGAAATGTTGCTCACTCATCTGCTATCATCTGGAAATGATTTTAGCCTCGAGGGCCAACTTTTTATGACGATACTGAACGGTCTTCTGAGGATTGACTCAAAAAGCCAGGATGGAGCTGGTGTTGGGAATCATCTCAGAGCAGATTCTGAGATATATCTGTTAAAATGAACTAATTTGAGCTAATTCAACCTCAGATGTATAACCTCATGAAGCATCATGTTTTTGCTCTCCATTTGGACAGTTTACCCGATTACAGCCAATTCTCGCTGAAATCCTTGTAGAAAACACTTCTATAACCAAAATCTGGTAAAATCTTTCGCTATTTATTATCAGTTTAGAAATCTGAGAAATAAAACTAAGGTTCTCACAACTTTCCTGGACTCCCTGGGGTGAGAATCAAAGTCTCTGTGCTCACAACTTTTAGACTCAAAAGCTAAGACACAATGATGGATGAGCATCAATAGGCAATGACCAATACTCCAAGGCACACAGTGTTCTAAGTGCTCATCTGTGCAGATGCCTCCTCTCCCATTAAACATAATCTGAGCAATGTCAGACGCTGGTTTTCACCAAGGACTTTTGGCGCCCAGTGATAGCAGTCTCCAGATTGGAAATACTGATCCAACTTAACTCTAAGTGGGCAAAGCAAGAGGCGAAGAGCCATTAGCTTTTTCTCTAACTGCTACAGTGTCCCCATCTGTCAGTGAAGTCAGATATCCCCCTGATTATGCAAAACTCACAGTCATAACCTTCACATCTTCAAACTGGTGAGTAATGGAGGAATTCCCCTCCTGTACAGTGTGTTTGAAGAGAAGATTTAGCACACGTGTACTGACTTAATTTTTTTAAATGAACAATGAAGCACTTGAAACCTACACACACACAGTATCTGCATATGAATGTGAAAATGTAAAATTTGGAATTGCGATACACCGGTAAAAAAAACACAAAAAAACGTTTTTTTTTTCTTTTCTTTACCTGAACAGATTGTTAGTTGTCTTTGCATGCTGATATGTATGTAAATATATCAATGTCAAATAACTATCAATATCTGTAGACTGTATGTTGTCAAGGCAGATTGCACACTGCCTTCTTTTGCCCTCTAAAAGGTTGTTGTTGTCGTTGTTGTTGTTATGCATATTCAAACTTTCTGATCTATGAATGGTCAGTACCACCCTGACTCTGAAAATACTACTAATGTAATTTTGAATATCTCTCAAATTAAAGTCCAGTCCACCATGTACAGACTCTGTATTTTATGGAAATTCTGCTTATAGAGATTACTGTGCCCATGGGCCCTGTGAAACAAAAATATATTCATTTAGACTAAATCTGACTCTAAATTATTACTCAAACCCATTTACCAAGTGCTGTAAATCCAAAGCTGTCAACATCAATGTTGTTTAGTTCTCGCAGACTCCAGCTGTAGTTTAAAAGGATTGTACAATACCATTTGAAAGAAGTTGTTCTATGTTGGTGCAGGCACTCCTATAAGCACAAGATAAATAAACCATAAATTCGCTTTAGTTCCTCTGTGCTAAAGCGAGTCAGAAATACTGAGAGTGGTCTGAGTCTTTTCTCTTACTGTCCTCTCACTTTTAAAAATTTAAAAATGGTGAACGTCCTGCTGCGACCTTTCCCAACATCTCCAGAATGAATAAGAATGCTAGCTATGTACCAAAGTCTCGTGGTTGACGTCGGTCGTTCCTGTGGCTGAATGGAATTTATTAAGGTGAAGTGACCCTCAGATTCATAGCATGAATGCATGCTATGCTTAACGTATCTTTGGATAGCTCAACAAGTTAAAGAAAGCCAACAGTAAAAATCCTGCCGCTAACCAAGTTTAGTTTTGGGTCCCGCGATGAACACAAACACGCACATAACTACTCGCACTATGCTGAGGTTACAATGTTACAGGTGCAAGGGCAAAGTGCATGTATGTGTGTCATGGATACGTTAACATTCTCTAAATGCAAACACACATTGCCTGACCCCTCCAAATATAACTTACTGCATGCTCTCCACCAGTTGCATAAATCTCAACTCGAAAACCATCAAACCAAATTTTCATTTGACTCTGGCAAAACACCAAAACAAACCAAGCTAACACTTTATCTTTAAATAAGTCTTTGGAAGACTTTATCCTCGCTCAGTTGTGTTTCTTGTCTTTTCTCAGTTATTCGTCCAACGTTGTCACGCTGTTCTTTCTTTCTGCCTCCTGTTGTGTCTGTCTGTTCTTTCTTTGTCTTCCATTGGCACGGTCATGCTCATTGCATAATCACACAGTCGCTTAATTATCAAGAACGCTCTGTCTAGCACTTGCAGGTCAGGGGGGCTACGTGCAAACAATCCCGACCCAGGAGCTCTCACACACACACACACACACACTGAATCAATCACCGTGTCTATTCAGACCATCATCTCTGCATGTCGTGTTATCACATGTTGAGCTGGAGCGTGGCAAATAACTAATGTGCAACGAGAAAAACACCTGTAGATGCAATTACAGATAGCATCTTCCAATAATGCACAGCCAGATCCACCCACACTAAACCACTCAGACACACAGCCAGAGTAATAATGCTGGACTGTGTGATAGATTTTATGTGCAGCTCTTTGTTGCAGATTTTCAATAGATTCCTCTGGCAGTCACTCAGTTTGGGAGCACAGATGTGATCCTTACGGAGATTGTCTGATGAGAGCCTGGGAATGCATTTAGCGAGAGCAGTCCATTAATAATTGATGCACTCTCTAGTCAAACTGGGGATTGGTATTAGTTTGTGTGTGCACCTCTTGTTTAAGAGTGATCACTAAACTGAGCCCCCAGTTTAGGGCACAGCGCTGTCTAATCCAGCTATCTTATTTTCCTTCTATTTGATCTTCTACATTGAAAAAATTGGCTGTGAAAATTAAATTGATGGAGATAGTACTAATTAATACACCAAGATGGTAAGGAGCCCTGAGGATATGTTTATAGCTGTCCAGATGGGCAACACGAGAGATCAGACCAGAGCCAGAGATGCTTTAGGGGACTCAAAGGTCAGCCTCTTAGTAACATTCATGGAAAATCTGTAATGACACAAAAAGGACTTCAAAGGGATGTTCCGGTGTAAAATTAATTTAGGGTCAAACACACCGTAACACCGAGTTAGACACCCCCTCGAGAGATGAATGTTGCCGACCTCTTCTCTAGTTATACCAACTTTAGTAACGACCACACGATAGCAATACGTAGCAATACAAACCTCGACCAAAATACCACTCTATAGCCATAAATAATGCTCAGAACAGCACCTAACTTCATCAACAGTACATACAGGGTCCCAACCACAGCACTAGCCACCAAACATCTTTCTAGCATTGCCTGATTTCTTTAGCAAAGAGACTAAACACAACTCACCTACTCTCTTCCAGCAGCCGCTTTTTTGTAGCGAGACTTTGACCAGTCCATTATGGACTATAGCGGGGTGATGCAGCTCAAGGAAGAACATTTATGATCATTACTTTATCATTTTCTTGAAGTAATAATCACCATATTTATCATTTTGCACTGCAGACGCGGTAGTTCTTCTGCCTTAGCGTCTCGGTCTGATTGCATTTCCATGAAGAAATATCCCTTCAAGTCCAATAAAACACACCAGTTCTCTCTAGTTTGTAAGAGCAGACCAATTTTGTTATTATTGGATGAAGTATGTTTGGATGTCCAATTTTTTTGAAAAAAACAATTATGTAGTCCTCCATTTCGGTGGTGAGTTTTGGGTCCTGTTTGAACATCAAGTCGTATTTAATGGCCTCCTGCCCTTCAGAAGTCATTGTGGAAGGGACAAAGTTTGTGTAAATCAACAGAATTCACTCACAAGAAACAAAGTTTCAAGTCTATAAGCTTAGATAGCCAGTTAAAAATGAAGTCTAAAAACATGCAATAATGTCCCCATAAACCCAAATGTCCTCAAAAGGTAATGACTGTCTGCAAGGTCCCCAGAAGTACACAAAACAAGAACAAAACATGGAATTTCCACGAGGTTTGAATTGTTTTCAAATGCTGGGTGAATAAGGCGCAAAATTTCACTCTTATGATACTAAACAGACACCCTCCCAAAACACACACACACACACACACACACACACACACACACACACACACACACACACACACACGTGTACAGACGATCTTTCACACAGAAATAATTCAAGTATGTGTGGACAGGTTGTGTATCCAGTTTTTGGATGACAGCAGGTGATGGGTAGAGAAAAGGTCAGGTCAGAATTTAGAGGTTAGTGGGAGAGTTAAAACAGGCAGTGCGCAACATGTCAGTTGGGGCGGTGGTCTCCTCCCAAGCTCCTAACAGCTAACAGATGGTGTCCTCTACCAGAAAGGACTAATGGAATAAAATACTCTGAATTAGTTGGACTCACGCACAAACACACATTGATCCAGCAAGGAAAAAGGCTCATGGGGATCTGAGGGATGTTCAAGGGATCATTCAAAGGGAGGTTGTTTTTGGAGACGTTTTTTCAGTGGGGACTGTAGTCATTCAAGTAAAATGTTCTCCTCTGATGTGGGCTTTTATACAGCTAATGGGGTATATGCTCTAAACCAAAGTGTCTTTGTCACTGATGTAATTCAACATTGATCTGATGCATTGTAATAAGTTTTGTATGGACACATAAACCCTCATCAAACTTGATTTCTGACAAAAACAGTCATATTGGAAGTGAACTCCAAAAAGAATCCAAGTTGGATGAAAAATAAAACTTCGAGTCGTATTTAGCTTTGATCACTGCCATCTGCACTGGATTGCGTTTGTCAGATAAGTGGATTCACAGGCACAAAAACTGGGTGTAACATGACCTAACGCTAGAGTATTTATTTTGTTAATCTAACGTGTACTTCAAAGTGAAAGATCCCTTAATGACGCTTTCATTAGAAGCCAATCTCCGTCTAGCCAACAGTGTCCGTACGGTGGAAGCATGTAATCCAATCCAGCCCTGCTGCCTCAGGTCAGGTAATCTTGGGATTCTTTTAGAGGGCAGGTCAGGGGTGACTCAAAGAACAGCCAAGGAACAGTACCGGACAGGATCTCGTAGCTCCTCAGTCTCTATTGTTACTCTTATATGATTAAAGGAAATCCCATTACTGTGTCCACGTCTGTGCGGGGGGATGTGGAATGAAGAGGAAGCTCAGTTTGTCTGGTTATAACGGACTTATGGTTAAGGTCTGGGGGCTTTAAAGTGCTATGAATCATTTCTTTAAACCTTCAATGCTTGTCATGGAGTCTGAGCAGAACTTGAATTATAAAATCGTACCTCTGCATCTGATTTAAGTACAAAAACAGTATAGATGTTACGATTAGACTAAATCCCATAGTACCAATCCTGGTTTCTTGGTGCATGTGAGACTCCTTACTCCTTTCACCACGTTTCTACTCCATCAGTGGAATCAAGGATGTAATCCCATTATTGGATATTGCACTTAAGTGGGTAAGCATCAGTGTCTTTGCGTATCTTATCTTTGTTTGTGTGTCTGTGCGCACATTTAGCTCTCTTAAGTGGACAGTGAGATAAATGTCCTGGCACGCCTCAGGACGTACATTTTCAAGTGTGCGGTCTCTGTTAATGCATCCCATAAACACACTTCAGCTTCACTCGCTGCTATTACCCATGTTTCTTTCTTATGCTCGTGGTTTGAAGGTTGTGTATATCATGTTATGCATGAATGCGATTCATGCTCTACCCAGTCATTGTATGAGGATTTTGTAATATTACCTTACTTTGTGTGGAGGGAAAATGTCATCCTGCTTCCCAAAATAAGATGCGACCGTGTTTTGTTAGCATATTTGACTTAAGAGGATTTCTCAAACACCTGCAGCCCCAGTTTTTTTTGTAATTCAAGTGATCCACTCAGACACACTGATATGGATTTCAATAAAATGTCAGCCCTCAAATTGATTCGTCCTGCTGGCCTTCTCTCTGCACTATGTCTGGGGAGCAGAAAATTAAAATAAATAAAATGCTGGAAACTTGAAATTTCATTACCTTAGTTGCAGATATGAACGCCCAATTAATCAGTGAACCCTGACGGCACGGAAAAAGCTTCTAAATCGTGCTCTCTCAAGGTTGTTATTTTCAGGAAGGTATGTCTGCTGATAAACGAGCTACATTTGCAATTTCAGATTGTGCGGGGACACTTGAGGAGGTATTTTTTTAATGTTTAAAAGGCTGGAGAGAGTGCGGCTCTTGCTGTGAGGATGTGTGTTTGTCTAAGCTGCACGGCCTGTATAAAAGTTGAATGTTTTCTCTGCTGTTTTCTCACTATTCTGGGAAAAATCTTAATTACAGTCCTCCGTTGTGGTGAGCTCACTGTGGTTCAGGGTTGTGCTCAAATGACTCTCTATTTCTCTTAAACACAAACACACACACACACAAACACAGACATGGTCAGTGATCCCTGCAGGTTTGCATCACCTCTTCTCTGGCCTCCACTTCATCATGACGGCACAGGAAATTATTCCCTGACTATAGCCGGCTGCCAACAACGTTGCCAGTTCAATTCCCTCTTCAGCTGTTTGTCTTGTACATCTCTGCTGAGGCAGGGCGCAGGAATGGACAAAGATACACTCCAGGTCAGCTCTTACATTTCTAATTACAGAAAAGAGTGCAGCTAAGAGAGGGCACTTAATGCACTGTGGTCTGCTCAGACTGACTGCCATAATTACAATCGGGCTGGCATACCAGACCCCGTCTATAGGGCCGAGGTGTTAAACCACCCGTGGCTCTCATTAGAGGACATGGGCTAATGAGTGCACTCCACACACATAACACTGGGAACGCACACATAAATGTGTCCATGGCTCACTGTGCTTTCACCGCATTTTGGCAAGCTTAATTTCACACTTTTGTCTCCGGTGACACACACACATACACTCAGGCGTACCTACCCTGAGAGGGGGTGTGATTTTAAATAGAGCTGTTATGAATGGAGCTGGGAAAGAGCCAATTAAGAGTGTGTAATTCTAATTATGCCATTCATTTTACAGTGCGCCAGTCCACAGGGGAAGTAGGGAGTGCAGGAAATGAGCACAGGGGGGAATTTTGAGGGAGAAGTAAAACGTTGGAAACAGGTAACAGAGGATATTTTTGTTAAGATACAAGGAAACACGGGGTTTAAAGAGACAGGGACAGAAAGAGGGAGGAGAAAGGAGAGGGATGGGGTGAGGGTAAAGGAGAAGGTAACCTGATCTCTGTCCCAATGAAGCAACTTTATTTTGGAAGGTTACAGAAACAGCACTGAGTCACTACGTGGTTCAAGAGCACTTAAGAGAGGGGGAAGGAGAGGGGATATGTAGACTGGGCACAAAAGTTCATGATATTGTCATGAGAGACAAGATACGCCTCTTAATAAATCAAAATATAATGAGACAATTCTTAACTCATATTTTATATTTGTGACTTTTTAAGTGAAATAACTGTGGAAACTTCACACCAGACTTAAAACACTTTGGGGTAGTGTTGAGCGGTATGACAGTATATACCATGTGACGGTATAAAAGTGTCTACCAGTAGAAATCTTGCTATACCGATTATACTGGAGAGAGAGAGAGCAGATGTCTGCTGCATCTCTGTGGTCAGTGTGTAGTAGTTTGGACTCACTAACAGGAAAGCCGGAGCGCATCCTTTTGAGTGCGTTTCCGTATATTCACCAGCGTGTCGTGCAGAGTTTGTTTGCTCCGTTTGATTGGTCAGGTTTGAGTGCGCTACCCATAATCACAGCGTGTCCAGCAGACTGCTTGGCATTTTGTTTGCATTTGTTTACAAATCTGAGTTTAAAAATAAAAGGAAAATGAATAAATGCAACAGTATGGTTATTTTTAAGCCATTAATTGAATTTACAGGGGGAAAAAAACACACCGTGATAAATACCGTTAGCCTGGCTGGGCCATCCTGTTGCGTGAATCACTTGCCGTTCCTTCACACAACAGTCTGGACTTCGGCCCATAGAGAGCGTGTATTAGCGATCAGAAAATAACCGGGCCAATCAGTGACTGTGTTTCCACTGTTCCCCGGACAACAGGGAAAGACAGCCTCTGATTGGTCCATGTGTAGATGGTGACATCTAACACGTGCTGCAGGACTTTTCAAAGCATCGTTCATTCAGAACACCGTTAATGCTGCAGTTGACTTTGCAAAGTCGGCAGAAATCATTTAGATCCGGATATAAACGATTTCTGCCGACTTTGCAGAATACACTAAGCGCTAATACACGCTCCCAATGGGCCGAAGTCCAGACTGTTGTGTGAAGGAACGGCAAGTGTCACGCAACAGGATGGCCCAGCCAGGCTAAAATACCATTACCGTGATATGAAATTATTTATACCGTGATATAAGATTTTGTTCATACCGCCCATCACTACTTTGGGGTATGTGCCTTTCCACTCTTTTGAAATATCTGGGACCTTAATGTCCAAATGAAATTCACAATTTACTTATCTAACTCTCTGCATGGTTTGCTTGATATTAGTAAAATTGATAACTGAAGTTTCTTGAGGACACCTTTGCGTGGTGGCTCTTGATGCACTGACATCAGCCTTAGATAAACGTTCCCCAACAGTCCTCACCAGGCTGCTGACATCCTCGTTGCATATGCATGTTTCTCCACCACTCTTTTCAGCAATGACCTTCTGTGTCTCACTCTCATTGTGGAGGTTGTCAACAAAACACCCTCCACTTAACTCTTGTATCAAAACCTAATTATGTTTACATGGAGAAACTGGTTCTATCAGTTCAAACATCAAGTCAAAGCAATCACAGCATACGCCCAGTGCAGCAGAAATCTGGACGTGCCTGGTCTCTGGGGCCTGGGCGGTGTGTTATTGAGTGTTTGGGTGGGGCGCGCGTGCTGTAGTGTCAAGCCATGATGTGTTTGACTCTTGTTGATCTACATCTGTCTTGCTGGCACTGTTCATGTTTTATTACGACTGGTGTTGACTTGTCTGCAGGGAATGACCTCATGTGTGTCTGCACAGGAGTCTAAATGAGACCAGAATTTGTCAGTTTGTCTGCCTGACCCAGTAAAAGAAAACATTTCATGGAAAAACACAGGGGTGCGTAAAGTCAAACAACATATCCAACTTGGCAGTGTCCACCCAAGGGGACTGCCCTGACCTACATCTTCCTGTCCGCAGTTTCAGACAGTTAACAGTAGGCTAAGCCCTACTTATGACACGACATTACGGACACCTAGTAAAGCTTAGCAGATCCAGGTCTCCTGCCATTAGTTCAGATGTTAATACAGCTGTGAGAGGAGATGGAGGCTGTGCATTTGCGTGCGTGAATTAAGAAGAAAAAAGCTCGGAGGACAAACAGTATTAAGGGCAGTTTTTTTCCACACACCAGCCCTGATTTCCTCCACTGGAGTCGACACAAATGAGGGACCAAACCTGGATTGGACTGCCTGGTCTCTGAGGGGGTCAGGAGGATCAGAAGGATTCAGACCGACTGGATTTAATTGACAGATGCTTGAGTGACAGAAAGAGCAGACAGACAGTGTCTCGCATATCTATCTAAAGACAACACTGTCTTGTTTCTGTCAAGCCTACAACGAAATCTGGCGGGTTATACCGACAGAGAAGGGTGGATGTAGGGGTGGAGAACCGGAGAGAGTGTAGAGAGCTGGATTATAATTATGTTCTGCTTTAGATTGACCAGTCAGTCCTGGTAACCCTGACAACAACAGGCACGGCTGGGCTGTGTTATGGGATGTAGAGCTGGTGCTTTTCTCCTACACAGGCTGCAAACACAGACAATATAGGAAAGAAAATAGATTATACCACTCCAAGACTGATCGATGCAAGCGAACTTGTACGTGAAGAATCACACGCTTCACGCTGATGTTAACGTGATACATTGTAACACTAAATCACATGTGTGGTGTACGTGCTTGAGGTCATGGCGAGCCTTTATTGTGAGAACTATTACCTAGGTGTGTGTGTGAACCTCGTTCTACAGCAGATAATAAAGTTACAGAGACAGGGTATAAAATAAAAGAGGACGAGCCAGCGTTCGTGCACTTCTTATCATCTCAACAATAAAACTTTTATCTCGCAATATGTGTGCAAAGTTCACCTGTTTCTAAAGACTGGACTTTGTAAGTTAGGTTGTTTTGTAAACTCAGCTCTGAAGGTTTTCTGTCTGAGGCCACAATAGAAGAGGAATCCATTAAATTCCCACAGAGACAGGCACAGCAAAGCTACACAGGCTTACACAGGCACTATTGTCCCTTCATCAGGCTACCATTGTCTCTGTTTGTGCATGCATGTGCATAGTTATTGCCCTGTGCACCAGTGTGTGGAAGGCATCTGGTAGTGTATATAAGCATGTAAGTTTATGCATGCATGATGGCATGCCAGTATGTTGAAGGAGAGGCGACTCATGGACTTTTGGTTTTGTAGACTGAAAAAATAACATGTATTGATGTGAAACTGTGAGACAAAGAGAGAGAGAAAGCTTAAACACTCAAGAAAAACAGTGACAACTAAAAAAACACAATGAAAAATTAAAATGTGAGGTCAAGAGAGCAAAACGATGGAAAAATACTGAAAAAAAGGGAAAGGAAAAAACACAGCAATAAAAAATCTCCATTTTAATGAGCTGAAGCGAGTTGTAAAAAGTGAAATATCTCTGATTTAAAACATGTCGAATGAAGCCCTTCACATTAATTCCAAATAGGGAAGGAATTCAGAGGGAAGGAAAGAATGAAATATAGAAGCATCCACCAGCCAAGGATCTACGAGGACACTTATCTTATCACACACTAAACAAGGTGATATCATACTTGCTGGTAAGGCGTGTTACTGATACTACACTATTTACATCATCCAGAAACACTACTCCTGTCTACCTCACCACCTCATCTCTGTTCTTACATCTGACTCAACATTTAACGTGCTCTAATGCTCGCTCTTGTGTGATGCCATGGTGCGGTCAGCTTTTTTTCCAGGTAATGAAACCTGACACCTCCTGATTATTGCTGGAGCCTGCGATACCTTTTCAGTGTTACCGCTCTATTGAGCTAGTTGAAGTGACTGTTCATGTTAGCTTAGACATGTTATTGGATGATTTATTTGGTTTCAGGAGCCAAGCAGACGGAGTAAACAGAAAACCGCAGTAAATCTTTGAAGCGGGAGTAGCTTTGAGATCCACTGAAAGGCAGTTTTTCTTTCATTACCTTGTATCTTTTCCACATAATAGTCAAGGCCACAGTGAATAACTTGGTTCTGAACAGCACAGAAGTACTCTTCTTCTCACACCATCACTGTTTTGAAACTTCTGACTTTATTTTACATTGAAAAACCAAGTCAGGGTCACTAACATGTAGCTGTATAGCTTGACATTTTACAGAGCGTTACAGAACATTTCACACGGCAAACCTTAGTGAAAGTGAAAAAGAAAAAAAGACTTTTGTAGAAAATTACTCTCTGCGTTGATTTTTGCAAGTCTAGGGTCCCATTTATATGTACTCGCTTATGTTTAAAAATTGAGACATTAACCATCATTTGCACCCAAACAGAGAATTCGCCCCTGAAAATAATGCTTTTTTAAAAACTCTGGCCAGAGAGGAGATTTTGGAAAACTCGCACATTTGCATGTACACAGAGAAAAACGCAGATTTGGGTAGCGGACAGCAGGTTGTGCGCAAGACAGAAGGAAGGGACGTTGTTGTTGTTGTTGTTGATGCTATGCGGGATTCTGATTGGCTAACTAGCTTGAGCTGCTCGCTACACTGCCACCCACATGTTCGATACGCTCTTGATGGCATACATACACAGGTCGGTGTAAATGAAAACTTTTCTGAAAATGTAGTGGTGTGCACGCAGTCTTTTTTGTAAACGGAGACAATTAAATGTCCGTTTATGAAAATAGCCGGGCATGTTTAAAAATAGTCTCGGACATGCTGCTAATGGTTTGTAACACTAGGCAGGAACAAACACTGTGGTCATACAGGTGGGAGTTGCTAGGGTAGATTTAAGCTTGGATTGTACTACTCAGTTGCTCCAGACTCAAGCTATGGTTACACATATGCATAAAAGTATTCAAAATTTAGAATGAGCTACACGTGTGAACACAAATAGCCAAAAATTCACTCTGACTTGTTTGGGTGAGCTGATATGAGATTGCAACGGCTAAATTTTCACAAGCAAAATATTAAGACTTGTTGTGTTTATGTCATGTAAGATGTCCAGCACCACGTATGAAAAGGACAACACCAGTCAATGCATCATACTTTCAAAGAGGTGTGTAATGGTTTCTGCAAATTTTTCATTTGTAGCACATTTTTAGACTTACATTTGTTCAGACTTCTGCATGTGTTCTCAAATTTGCATCACTCTGTGTTTGTGTATTTGTGCCTGTCTCATCAGATAGAAATTTGATGGGTCATCTTAAAGCGTTTGCACTGTCAGGTGTTGTTCCACATCTGTGCACTGTAAGTCAGACACCACATGAACTATCGTGGCTCAGCTTTCCATTCTAGGTCAGAAGAGATCAAGGGCACTACTCGTCTCTTCACATCCCTCGGTATCATCAGTGGCCCTATCAGTGTTTCACTCCGCTGCCGTTTCCTCGTACCACAGAGCTCTCTGTGTCTGTAAGATCTGTGTCTGTCTCTGCTCAGTGATGGATCTGAACACAATTCTGTTTGTGTCCAAAGGGAAACAATTAGAGCAGTGTATGTGTCTGTGTGTTTTGTGCTTGAGTTGGTGTGTGTGTGTGTACTCAAGTCAGCAGAGCAGGCATTCAAGGCCTTTGCTGAACAAACCCATTAACCTACCATTTGTTACAACCTGGACAGGACCAAACAAGACACAAAGAAAACAAAACAAGTAGAGAGATTTGGGATTGATTTCTAAATCGGAAAACATGGGAGAAAAGGCACTTTGGGCTTAATGATTCCAAAACCTTCACTCATGACTTTCGTTGCTTGAAAATCCTTGTCTTTCAGGATTCGCTGTATTGCAGTGGATGCAGACACACAAACAGAAGTGGACAAACATGAGAAAAAATGGGCTGTTACTGCAAGTGATATGCATATGATGTTAACAGAATGGGACTGATTGTGCTGGTCGGTTCCTCTGATACTTTCACACCATGTTAGTGTCAGATTGACTGCAATAAGTGATTGCTATTGGTTCCTCGCCACGGTAATTTATGTCTGCAGCCTTCAAGCCCAGATTGACTTTCTTTGATGGTAAAAAGCCCGAGACCACCAGAGAAGCTTGAATAAATATTTAGCTTTGTTTTTCACTGACATTTTTCCATGCGGTTCAATCATTTCTGTCTGTTTCCTCAGGAGGACATTTTAATCGTGCTGTCTTGTTGCTTCAGCTGCATAAGCTCACGAAGAAATGACTCTGAAATAACGAGGAAAAACTGCTAAAGAGGTGATCTGTCCATCTATTTCTAACTCTGTGACTCAGTGGTGAAGTTGTCAAGTTGGAAGTGGCTGAACAATGGCTATTGGTCACGAACTGGGCCAAGTGCAAGAAGATATGAACAGATTTTAGAGAGATGCTTTTTGGTAAAACATAGATGAACAATATGTTAGAACTTGTTACATATTTTTTTGGCTCTAATGGAGAAAAAAACAAAAAAAATTTGATGGAATTACTCAAAACTAATAAATACTTTGTTGACATTTTTTGCTATTTTTCTCAACAAACCAAAAATACTTTTTTCAATGCAAAAACTCCAAATGTTTACATTACAGTAGCCACACTCAGACAGCAGAAAAGCACAGGCCATCACATTCAAATGAACATTATCTGAATTCTGTTAGGCTGCTTCTCTTGTAAAGACCTGTTGTTGTGCATGCTGACTGACTGTCACACTGTCACGCCTGACTGCGACACTCGAGTAGACAGATTTCAGACACCGGGGTGTGCAGGTATGCAGAGGGTACGAAATGAGCCAGAATGACTGACAGGTTATGGGGAAGTAGTAAAAATGTGTTTTGTAGGTTTAACTGTGAAACTTGCAAAAGTTATGTGTGCTAAATGTTTGTTATTCCAAGAAGGGACCAACATGGTTAGCTTAGACTAATAAGATCACATTTTTGTATGCCTGTATGAATATTTTGATTGGTTTGACATGTGAATGGTGTTTTAGTATGCAGCTTCACTCGTGATTTTGAGAAAATGAGGGAGCAAGTGCAGGATTCCCATGTCAAAACTTTTTATCAGCACAAACCAGGTACACATGCTGCATTTTTTCACAAGAATCGTTGTAAAACTATAGATTTACTTAGTTTCTGTTAGTCTGAAACACACACACACACACACACACTACTGAGATGACGTGACTGCACAAATTGGACTGTCTTTAAACTGGAAACCTGTTCATCTGGTAAAGCCTACTTTAAAGTTCCTATGAGGGGGTTTAAACTGGTTATGAAACAGACTGATGTTAAAAGTGATACCTCTCCCTGTGACCTACAAAAGCAAACTGAACCGTCAGTGGGGAGTTTTTGACCGCTGCTATCAGCAGGTCAGTGTTAGATAAAGCGATGCTGCTGAAACATAATTTATCTCATAAATCCCATGGCAAAGTTTTACAATAAGGGGCTAAATTGGAAGATTTAAAACAGCTGTGGAATTAATCTTCATTATAGAGCACATTTACATATGTAACAGATGAAAACAGACAAAAAGTCTAGTTGTTCGCCAAAAATACTACCATCAAAATCTACATGATAAAAGTCCCCATGAGTAGCTTTGTTGTAGTGGTAGCTACTGTGATTTCGACAACTGTTAAACTGGCCCCCAGAGCTAATCAAGCCTTTCACTGCATAATGTAAAGGACAGACTAATAGGAGTAGCCTTCAGTACTAAGGACTCAAAATAAAAAATGGAAGACTCACTCAAAATGTCATAAAAAACTTAAAATGATCACCACCTACCTTTATGTGCTGCTTTTATACGCAACAACACTCCTACACCAACAGCTGCTTAAAGGGATGTTCCAGCGAAAATATAAGTTACAGTCAAACACACAGTTAGACAAGCCCGTCAAGAGATGAATGTTGCCAACAGCTTACTTTTCTAGTTATACCAACTTTAGTAACGACCGCACGATAGCAATACACAGCGGTCCATGCACTCAACCAAAACGCCACTCGATAGCCACAAATAATACTCAGCACCTAACTTCATCAACAGGACATATAGGGTCCTAGCCACAACACTAGCCACCAAACATCTTTTTAACTTTGCCTAATTTCTTTAGCAAAGAGAATAAACACAACTTACCTACTCTCTTCCAGCAGCTGCTGGTTCTTACGGAGACCTCAGACAAGTCCATCACCGACTGCAGCAGGGGGATGCAGCTCAAGGAAGAACATTTATGATCATTTCTTTATCATTTCCATAAAGTAATAATCATCATATTAATCATTTTGCACTGCAGACACGGTAGTTCTTCTGCCTTAGCGTCTCGGACCCATTACATTTCCATGAAGAAATTATCATAAATGTTCTTCCTTGAGCTGCGTCACCCCGCTGCAGTTGATAGACTCGTCCAAGGTCTCCGTACAAACAAGCGGCTGCTGGAAGAGAGTGGGTGAGTTATGTTCAGTCTCTTTGATAAAAAGATGTTTGGTGGCTAGTCCTATGGCTCGGACCCTATATGTACTGTTGATGAAGTTAGGTGCAGTTCTGAGCATTATTTGTGGCTATAGAGTGGCGTTTTGGTTGAGCACATGGCTCCTGAAACTGCTGTGTACTGCTATTGTGCAGTCGTTACTAAAGTTGGTATAACTAGAGAAGCAAACGGTCAGCCACATTCATCTCTCGAGGAGGTGTCTAACTTTGTGTTATGGTGTGTTTGACCCTCAATTAATTTTACGTCGGACTATCCCTTTAAGACAACCAGACCAAAACCATGCTGAGTTATGAGCAATGGACACAAGCTCTCTCACTTTCCCTCACAGGAGAGCTCTTTCTGCTCTTTCTGCTACTGTCATTATCACCTCCACTATTACCATTGTTGCTCACACCTACTCATAAACAATGGCTGGATAAGTCCAGGCCTGTTTGAGGGAAAATGGTGAAAGTGGTTCTGGGAAATGTAGGACAAGAGAAGTTGCACGACTAAGTAAAAGGGAATGTTAAAAGTGTAAGAGAATATGTGATGGGGGAAGGGGTGAGTCAATGGAAAACTGATCTTTTTCTGGGTTATACAATAATGATATCAGTCGACCTGCAAGAAGATTGAAAAACTGTATGTTTTCGGTGTGTGCGTGAGTGTGTGTGTACTGTATGAGGACATGTTTATCAGTGTAAAACAGCACTTCTGTAGCGGCATGTCCAGATGTTCCCAGATTATTACTTTTTTCTCTCTCTCTCTCTCTCTCCATCTATCATCCTCCTGCCTTCTGTCCTGCCCCACTGACTTACTGCTGTTGATATGTGTAATCCCCACCTCTTAGCTTTTTTCTCTCACTCCCCTCCCTCCCCCTGTGCCATGTCTTCATTATGTATTTGTTCATCCATTGCTGTAAACATTTAATCTTTTTCCTGAAATGAGTGATATTTTTGTACTTGTTATGTATAACAGGAGGGAGTTTATTTATAGCCTGTAAACTAGAATGGTTAAACCCCACAATCGACATGTGATGCTTAAATGAATCAAGCACAGCCCACAGGATGTGTGATAATGAGGTGTTTTTATTCTAACGGACAAGATGTGTCTTAAATTTTCCCTTGTGTATTAAATCATATTGAGCAGCTCTTTTAAATGAACTGGTTCTTTGTGTGAAAACCTAAATTAAATGGTGTGTGCGTGTGTGTGTGTGTGTGTCAAGGCTAAAAGTTAAGAAATCTATTTAATGAGCAAGCTGGACTCTGCAGAAGGAGAGAGAGTACAAAATCCCTTTGTGAGTTTTCTTCTCTGGAGTTATTATATGACCACAACTGCAGCACTGGTTTACTTATAAAGTGAAGTGACATTCAGCAATAACGACACAGATGAACCTGCCAAAAGAAAACCACTAATTATGCGCTAAAATGTTAGTTCCTTTGTTTTCTTACTCTTAGGGTTTCTTTTCCTCTTGAAAACCACTCAGATTTGGGATAAACATCTCAGGAAGGAAGCAGTGGGCCGTTTCACACAACAGTCATTATTTGAACATCACCATTACACTCCACTTTCATATGGAAGATGAGAACGGCCATGGATTCTTCTTTTTTTATGCACTGTTATCGCATTTATAATCTCATTATCTTGATATAGCAAATTTCATTTTCCTGTGATAACAGAAATGGCGATTTAACCGACCTAAAACAGTAACTTTCACTCTCCCGAGTGAGATATTTACCTCCGCCAGGGAGGTTATGTTTTCGGTAGCATTGGTTTGTTTGTCTGTTAGCAACTTTACGGAGAAAGTAACAGACAGATTGACCTGAAATTTTCACCAGAGGTGCGTCTCAGCCCCAGGAGGATCCCATTACATTTTGGTGGTGATCCGGACAAAATTCTGGATACTGTGATCCAGAACACACAAAAATAAGGGTGTTGTTGGAATTTTCAATGCTGAAAGATAAGAAATGGGCGACACAGTGGTGTAGATCGGCGGCACAGTGGTGTAGTGGTTAGCACTGTCGCCTTACAACCAGAAGGTCCTGGGTTTGAATCCTGGTCAGGGTATTTCTTGTTTAAGTGGGGACATGAGCTGCTTGGCGGAGGTCTACGCTCTCCGAGTGCCTTTCTAGTTCTGAAATGCCGCAGCCAACGTTGTCAACAGCAAGCTGAGTTTTTTCAATGAAAACGCTGACAACACGCTCAACTCTGCGCATGCATATTACACTTTCAATGTGGGAACATTAACTGCCATGAGGACAACAACATTAACAACGGCGGACACATTATTATGTGATTTGTTGTCATGAGAAAATTACATTTGGCATGATGATGATACAGTGCATTAAAAAAAAAGAAAAATCCATGGCTGTTCTCGTCTTCCCTACCTTAACACATCATCATCTGAGAAGCTTGATGACTAGATGATGACTTATCAGCTGCAAACAACCAAGTCTCAAATGCTAACCATAGAAATCAGCCTAATGTGATACTGAGGAGTGTTGGGAAGTCTCAAAAGTTGAACTACTTTCAGCACTGTGAGCACAGCCAAAAACTAAAAAAGACAGAAAATTAAACTGAGTCCAAAGATGTTTGAATGTCTAAATCACTGTCAGATGTCCATACACAGAGACACAGAGTCAATTAAATTATTGAAAGACTGCATGGTTATAGTCATAACATTTTGATCACTACATATTACGTGATATTATAAAAGATTGCTGTGGGAATGTACTCAGAGTCAGCCAGTCCAATTTCAAAATGGACAGAAAAATAGATCCAAAAATATAAAATGTATCCACTCAGCATGTATCCACTCTGAAATCCCTCTCCTTGAAAACACTGAAATAGCAATTACAATGTTTTTGAGTGAAATCAGGCTCATTTTTATTATGATTTTAATAGTAGATGATACCTTATAGAAACCAGGTGTGCAGATACATATTAAAGGCTTAGAGCTAAAGGGGCATAAGTGCAATATGTCACATTTTACAGGAGAACCAAAACTATTTTTCATCAGAAGCTGTTGCCACATACTAAACAAAGTATGTTATACTTTTGTGTTTTCATATTGAGCATCTCTTTAAAATCTACATCACAGTTTGAAGAAAGTATTAGCCGTTTAGAAAAATACCAAAAAAGAAAAAAGTGAGTTACGCCTTTTTAGCACAAGCAATTTCTAATCGACCGATGCTGATTTTACTTTTAAACACTTTTAAAAACCCTAAAAACCCGTGTATGATCTCATCATGTTAGTCTTTAGTTGTTACCTGTTTGACACAGTAAAGATCAAATAAAACTCACAGAGCCATGACATGCCACCCTTGGTGCACAGTTTAACGTCCTCCTGTTTCTGTTTTCGCTGTGACTGGAGGTCTTGTATGGCTGTGGTGTTTTGACCTTCAGGTCACTCTTGCTGCTTATTATGCCACCAGAATATTTTCTAATAACTAATTGGATAGATCATACTTACTGTAAACAGTCTTGATGTCCTCTTCTACATAAGTTTCCTTTAGCTCTCTAAGCCTTTCTTGCTGTTTTCACAACATCGGTAATTACATCGTCTTTTTCTTTTTCTTGAGTCTCTTTTTTTAATCTCCTTCTCGATCATTTCCTTCAGTCTCATTTTACTAATCTCTCTCTCCTTTATTTCCTTATTTCTCATTTTCTCCCTAATTTTTCAGAGGTTTCATATCCTGAGCTCTCTCTGTCTCCCTTCACTTTCTTCAGTCTCTATTTTCCGAGCTCTCTTGGTTATTATTTCCTCCTTGCTCCTTCTTCTGGTCCTCAATTAGATTCATGTAAAATGTGTTTCGGCGTATCTTTTACTCAACAGGTAGGATGAAGGGCTTGGTATGCATTATAGCATTTAAAATCTGCCTGTAGCTTATGCAATATTCTGGCTAGTTCACATATTACACTTTTCATCAACAATTTGAATATAACACTCTCATGATTTATTGGGAACATTAATTTATTTTCATCTGGCTTATAGTGAGATAACGTAATAAAAACATAACAGTCAGGTTGTTTGCATGCTGAAGCTGATTAAGGAAAGCATTAATTTAGTTTTTCTCTTAGATCATATCCTCCTCTGAGTTTTAGGCCTCAGTCATGAAAATTCTCGACTCATGATCCATTGTTTTGTGCTGACAAAACCCTCACGTTCATGTTACACCTTTCAGTTTTT